GTTCTATACAAAGCGTTGACTGGGACAGCAGCAAGTCGACGAGTCGATGGGTATAATGGTGTTCTATACAAAGCGTTGACTAGGACAACAAGTCAACGGATTGAATTGATATGAATTCACAATTCACATGTAAATGCAGTTCCAGTGACGAGATTGCTAGAAAATCGTCATCGTCACATCACCACTCGGTTTTATCTTGTAATCGTTGATTACCTATAGTACGGTACATATAGTATGTCGTCGAATGAATCTCACGACATAGAAACCTAGGGTTGGTAACACGTGACTTGAGGTATACGCGGATACGTCGTCCCAAACTCCTGTCCATCCATCCTTGTCGAGCCCACTTCTTACTACAGATCGCACCAAGGTTTTGACGATTTACCGATAACAGTTAGGCCAGATGGCCGAGGGGAGCTAGCTACACAAGTTTCACAAAAATTATCAAACCATCATGTCGGATAAAGGTTGCTTCTCGGGCCCGAATCAAAAGAAAATATCCGTTCAATATTCATGTACTTGTATTGTGCAGCCACAGATTATGGGGAACCCGAATCGAGTGGGAATTCGTCGACGTCGACGGTGCTGGTGCTGGTGCGGTGGGGTTGTTTGTGGGATCTGACTCTGACTCACTGGGCTGACACTCGACCGAGAGGTCCCGCCGCCCGTTCGGCCGAACAAAGGACTGAACGGGAGAGTGTCTGAGAATTGGTCATGGGGTTTTAATAATGAGTGGACGACGGAGAGGACGTACTATGTAGGTACTGTGCAGACACGAACGAGTAAGCCTATTGCATGCATTAGATATTGTCCACGTATCTACCAGGAGAATGAATTCATGAAATTCTTGAGTTCTCCGAGTCACCGGTGGGGAGGTAAAAGACATTGCGATTCAAGAGGATGGAAATGGTGGAAGTCGTGACTTCCAATTCATTGACAAATGACCAATGAAATAAAAGGGTAGGTACCAACTACTCCGTAGTACTGGGAGGAAGGGATTGACCGGCAGGACCCAAAAATGTCAGTAGTCAGGCGACGCGGAGACGCCGGCACCCCCCTTCTTGACCCCTTTGGATCTTCTTAATTCTGAGGGATAGGTGGGACCCTTCCGTGCCTTCCCAAGTTCTCACGTCCTTCCTCCATATCAGTACTCCGTAGTTTACCATCTCTGGCAGGCGCCTTACAGTCCTTGGCGGTAAATCCATCATCTCCCACTACTCGCTGTCTCGTGCCACCGAGTCTCCGTGTTCTCCTACCTGTTCTTTCCACAGTCTAATGATGCCAAGGGCCTCAAAGTCCTTCTGACAAGCGACACTGGAGGGTTCATGTTGGAACAGAACAAGCCTTTGCTAGGCGCCAATCAATTGCGCGGATGGATCGCTGACAGCACGTATCCTGGTAGGTGTCTGGCATCGGTTGGTTCGAGACTACAATGCGAATGTGAGTAGGGAGTATGTGTGACAATGATTCTTTCATGGCAAAAGTTTCCTGCTTGGCTCCGTCAAGTGTAGCGAGTCAGAAGCTCCGTACCTAGATTCCCATACCTGGCCAGCGTTTATCATTGAGTGAAGTAGGGAGTATCTTGTAACTTTTTCTTGGAGGACAGGAGCCCGTCTAAAAGGATACTGGATCGTCAACTAGAGAAGGATCGACTGGAAACTTGGAACGAGGCGGCAGTCTCTCTATCCATTATTATCATCCACGGAGTTTGCCACAATTGGATCCACGTGCCCGGAGTTAACGAAAAAGAAATAGCAGAAACCATGGGGAAACACGGACATAGCAAACGCAGGCAGCCAGGCAGCTAAACAGGCAAAAGAGAAACAAGCAACGGTTGCTGACGTTCACCAGATCCCTCCATTATCGTGCACAGATTCAGAAGAAGCTCAGCTGTCTCTCCCCCATCAAAACTTGACCTCGATTCCCCTTCTGGAAGTGAGCCACTGACTCAGTTTGACCCTTTAACCTTCCAGGGACTCTCAAATCTCGGTCTTTGGTCTCGGGTGTGGTCAAAGGTCTGTACGCGTATTTATTGTGGTTGTAGGACCCCTGTTGAAAAATGACGCAAATTCCACTCTGACGCAGTTGCTGTTTCCATGCTTCCTTCTTTCTCTCCTCCAACAACTTCGACCGGTTTTGACTTGTGGGACAAAGAAAAAGACATGTACCAAATGATCAAAAGTGCCCCGTGACTTGGCCGTCAGAATGACCTTAGAATGATCCTCTTGCAGATTGACTACGACTACTACAGTAAACTTCGTATCATACTCCAGAAGCGCTCGTAGTGATCTTGTCCTTTGTGGGTTGTAGGAATGCCATAAGTCTCGGGTCCCCGGTCCCCGGTCTTCCTTTGGTGGAATCGCACTAGATAACTGTCGGCGTCTGTCGCAATGGTGCCATCGTGGCCTGTTTGCTTCGTACCCGCTGGCCTGGAATACGACGCAGACCAGCTTCCCATGTGCTGAAGGGGTTACCGGGCGCATGCTACGACACTCCACCACCCGTAAGCCAATCGCCTACCGGCCGATAGATGGACCGCCCATCATCACCCACTTGAGCCTTGAGCCTAGAGCCTTGACCCCCCCCGGCCCTCCCAGACATGCCACTACGTATGTGACTAGGGGCTTTCCCGGCGCCAGTCCGGGCCCTGGCTTACCCACCATGGGTGATTTTTCTCGCCTAAACCCACAATCACTGATCAGAAACGTAGATGCCTGAATGCTTGTTCGATAGCGGCGTTGGTGGCTTGAAGGAGCGAGTGCCGCGAGGGGCTCTCCCGCATCATCTCCTACCCAAAGAGGTTTCAACATGATCCATGCTTTCCTCCAGATTCTCATCTCGTCGGAACAATTTGCTCGTCCGCACGCACCTCACCTCACCTTACCAATACCTCTCGATCTCTTGTCCTGGTCTTGGTCCTCTCTGGCTTTTGAACACCTTCTGATACACTTTCATTGCTTCATATTCTCCTCAGTGTTTTGTCCTTAATCACAGCCATCAATTACTACTCCTATCGTCCCATCGGGCCATTCTTCTCTCTTCGAGTTGCCTTGACAGCATCCATTCCACTGTCCACGTCGCTCCCTCTATCCTCCGCCATACATATTCACTACCATTCACTTGTCGCCCGCTTCCACCTTCCTCTTGATAGCCTGCTCCTCCAGCGATCCCCCGGCCAAACCATGAGCTGATTGGTCTACCTCTCCTACCACCTGTCTACTCGACCTGCTTGCCCACTACCTCTTCCAGCGGAACCTAACGATAACCCACCCTACCACCGTCATGGACCATCGGGGCAGTCTAGACACCATGGGCTTCGACATGTCCCAGTACATCTCACAACAGCCCCCACAGATATTTGGTGCCTACAACGCTGATGGAAGTCCGATACCCGCCACATTGCCTGCCGGTCACTACTTTGGAGATCTCGATGGTGGTTTCGATGATTCAGATCCAAAGCGACGTCGTATCGCAAGGGTAGGTTTATCTTTCTCCCTCTCCCCTTTGCTCTGACCTAATTCTCATGCCACAACAGGCGTGCGATATGTGTCGCAAGAAAAAGATCAAATGCGACGGCAAAATGCCCAAATGTGGCCATTGTATCAATTACAAGACCGAGTGTATCTTCACTCAAGTTGAGAAGAAGCGCAATCCTCCCAAAGGGCATGTGTTTCTCCCATACCCTCTCTTCCATTCCTAACATATATTGCAGCGCAAAATATATCGAAGGGTTAGAGAATCGCCTGGGTCGCATGGAATCCTTATTGCGCATGTCAGGTCTCCTCACCGAAGAAGAGGCTGGAAGGACAGATCTTGGTACTCTCGAGAAACGACTGGCCGAAAAGGCTTCGTCCAGAGAGAATGCTACTGCCAGAACATCATCTCCCGCCCCGTCAAGGATAGGCGTCAATTCACAATCAGAAAGCTCCCCCAGACCAAGCTCTCAGACAGACACCAATACTACCCCTCGTGATACTGTCACATCCCCAAGTTCCGACAGCGACAAACTAAAATCATCCGAAGTCGAGAACCTGTCCGAAGCCATGTGCTCTCTTGTCACCAACAATATTGGCGAAACGAGATATATTGGTCTGTGGTCTTAAAGAAACCCCCTTCCTTGCCCTCACTGACTTTTCGCTTAGGCTCCTCCTCGGCATTTTCCATTTTCTCCTCCAAAGGCATCGAATGGGTCAATCAGAAGACTGGAGATGCCTCTTTCCAAGAAACCATCCAAAACGCCGTCAACGAAGAAGACAACAAATGGCAATATTGGAAACCAGAAATCTTTGGCGACATTTTTGTGCGTCGAGTTTTCAAACCACTCCCTCCCAAGGATGAGGCCATGTCCCTCTTCAAGGACTTCTTCGAAAATTTCAACTGCATGTTTCCCTTGTTCCACGAGCCCACATTTATGCATCTGGTCGAGAAGCAGTATTCCAAGGATCCATACGAAGGTAGTGGTTGGTGGGCTAGCATCAATGTCGCCTTGGCCATTGCCTATCGTATCCGAGTCATGAGCAACGTCGTACCACAGGAAGATGATCAGAAAGCCTGGTTGTATTTGAAAAACGCCATGGGTGTCATTACCGAACTCACTATGAGGAACACAGATCTTCTCAGCGTCCAGGCATTGTTAGGCATGGCTTTGTTTTTGCAAGGTACTCCGAACCCGCAACCATCCTTCTTCCTCATCGCCGCTGCCATTCGATGTTCTCATACTATTGGCCTCCATAAACGTGGAGCAGCTTTCAATCTCAACCCGATCGAGGTGGAACAACGCAAGAGAGTGTTTTGGATCGCATATCTCCTCGACAAAGACACTTGTCTCCGAGCAGGTCGACCTCCTGCCCAGGACGATGACGATATGAATGTTGAACTCCCTTCCGAGGACCCTCCTGACAATATTGGCAATGTCCCCCTCGCCGATGGCAAAGGCAAGATCAACCTCTTCCGCCTCATGTGCGAATTCGCCATCATTTCTAGCAAAGTTTATCGTCAACTATATTCCGTCCAGGCCTCAAAGCAGAGCGATGGCGAGTTGCTCAATACGATCGGCGAACTTGACAAGGAACTCGAAGCCTGGAAAGACAGCATCCCTATCGACTTCCGCCCTGAACATGAAATCAAGACTGAACACACTCCTCTTATCCTTCACATTGTCGTCCTGCATTTCTCATACTACAACTGTTTAACAACCATCCATCGCATGTCAGTCCACCATGGCTACTGGACCAGCCGCTTATCCGAATATGCTATTCAAGGGCTCAATACCCGCCCACTGAACCCTCGAGTCTTTTCCTCCGCCGCACTTTGCGTTTCTGCAGCTCGTGCTTCAATCCACCTCATCAAATACATACCACAAGGTGACTTCGCATGTGTCTGGCTTGTGCTATACTTCCCCGTGTCTGCACTGGTGACGTTATTTGCCAACATTCTACAAAATCCTCAGGACACTCGAGCCCGAGCTGATATCAAATTGATGGACTTGGTGGTCACTTTCCTAACCAACATCTCGCGAGAAGAGGACACAGGCTCACTCAATCGCATGTTGACCGTTTGCGGAGAGTTTGCCCGTATTGCAAGAGTGGTCATTGACAAGGCTGAAACAGAAGGCTCCAAGCGAAAACGAAGGCTCGTCCCCGAGGAAGTTCTTCGGGTCAATCAGTCTGCCATGGCCCAGGTCCAAGCACAGCTCAACGGCAATCTGGCACGGTCAAGACGAACGAGTGGTGCTGGGAACTCGCCGCGCACTGGATCGAATGCCGCCGCACAAAATCGGGGAAACACACCAATGAGCAATAATATCAATACCAGCGGAATGAACTCAGCTTCTCAATATGTCAACATGAATAATTTTGACAGCGAATACCTCGATATGCTTCCCCAGGCAACCCTTGGCTCTGGTGCGAATTCTGCCGTCTCAGAAATGTCGCCTCTCAATGTAGGCTCATTTCAACAACCGTTTGTCCCTCAGGATCTGTGGCAGATGCCTATGACCTTTGAATGGGATTGGGCCGACTTTGGCCAGCAAGGCTTCAATGATTTCATTATCGGAGACAACATGAACGAAGCCATGATGCCACAGCAATGAAATCAATAGAATGGAATCAATTTGATTCTGACGAATGTCCATTTCGATTGTTAACAGCCAGTTGATCATTATTTGGAGCAGAGTTGAACATGTTGATCATGCCGGCAACACTTGGAGCTCTGAATGTACAATACAATATACCCTTGATTCTCCCAGAAACATGAAAACTACTTTCAATCTACGCTCTAGTCTGCCATGGGTGAACAGAACCGGCGAACAGAATCCTTTACTCGCGCTGTCCTCACTTTCCTTGCTATAGATTCATTCTTCCATTGGCCCACCCATCGCAACGCAGATGGACTCATGGAAGTAGTGAATTTTCTGAATTCCATGTTGGTACTTCACTGCGCTTCTTCTGCTGATTGTTTTTTTTCTCTGCCAGACCTCGCAGTCCTTCCCTTTCACACATTCTCCCAAACTGCTTTTCACACATATTCATGAGCAAAATCAGACTCAGCTTCAAAACAACTGAATTGATTGCCATTCATCCATACTCACAATACCGCATTTGTCACAAAGAAAACACCATCTTCTCCCTCCCGTCGCAAGTTTGACCAGGTCTTTGTGCCGGATCTGGTAATCTGCATCTCCCCTGCTTTGTCTTCTACACACAAACAGCCTTCCCAACAGACGGTACAAGACAGGTACAAGAAAAGGTAGCTTCAGCATCATGGTAAGCTTCTATCGCAGTCTTTTATTGACGATTATAGATATTTCGTACCCGACAAAAGCAGCACACTCCTTTTCCTTGCCACTCTTTAACCCACCTGTCAAAGAAACAGACCGTACTCGTCCTCTAATCACCTACGCGCATGCCCTCAAGTCGCCAACATGATACTCCTCCACTTCGTTGTCATCGGCATCGCCACCTTGCTGGGCCTCTTGCCAAGGCTTCAGCTAAGAAATGCTCTCCAGGGGTCCAACACTCTGACCTTATCGCCAACTATAACACCCCGTGTGGTTGAGGTCCAGGTCCCGACCTTGCCGTACCAAACCTCAGACTGGGTCGATGTCATTGACGTCCATCCTTCGCTCAATGACTTAGCCTCCTCTTCGTTCCTGGTGAACAGCTGTAGGCTTCGTCCTATCCAACAGGCCATCTTCCTCCCACTCTGTCCCGTTATATATGAAGCCCCAAGGATCAACATTCACAAGGAGGGCGTTGTTACATCCCCTCAAGAACAGATTCTTCTGGAGGATGACTTCCCTAGCATCGAACGCGAGCCGGCCCAACCAAGCCGATCCTGGATCCCTAGGCCAGTGGACTTGTATCCCACTGTTCTAATACTTGCCGCAATACTGGCTGTGAAGTACGTTTTACACCTATCGTCAAACAACAGCCGCGATGCTCAAGTCCAAATCTACACCGACCGGATCAAAACACTCCAAGGAGATGTCTTGATACACAGAGAAGGTGCCCGGACAGCAGGTGAAAAGGTTTCGCATTTAGAGTCGTCCAACAACAATCTTGAGATGGAGCTCAGGCACCTGAAGTTCTCCATTGAGCAATTGAAGTCATCCAACGAAGAATTGAACTCCCGACACAATAGTGTTCTGGAATCGCGGGTGAATCTGGAGAAAATGTACAGCCGACAATCGGAGTCGGGCAAGAAGCTTCACTCTGAGCTTCAACACAAAGAATCCATCATCAAGCGGTTGCAGACACTAGACAAAGAGCAAGCTGCCGGTTCCACGACCGATAGCCATGCACAGACAGATGGTCAATATGTACGTGAAGAGCTAGAAGCGAAACAAAGTGAGCTCGACGCTGTTCAATCCGACGTGATCACGTTGCAAGAGGAACTCGCCAAGGTCAAAGGGTCTCATCAACATGTTGAGAATCGTCTTGCACGGAGATCTCTTTCGCTCGAGCAAGCGCAAAAGAAATTTGATGATGAGAGGGCGACCCACAAGATCACCAGAGGAAAACATCAGGCCTGTGCCGCATCGCTCGAGAAGGAGACCAAGTCAAGGCGTGAGTTGGAACAAGCCAAGACAAAATTGACTCGCGAGCTCAAACAGCGCGAAGATCAGCTTAATGTGTACAAGGCATCTGCGCAGAAGAAGGAAAAGGCATTGGAAGGGCTGCAGTCCAACGACGAAACTGCGACTCTGAGAACCGAAATCGCCGACTTGCAGAAGAAACTCGAGGCATCCGACAAGTCCAATTCCTCACTTCTCGCTGACTTCCAACGACAAAAGCGCCAACTCAAGGACAAGGACGATGTTCTAAATAAGAACTCGTCCGAGTTATCAGCTCTTGAGCACCAGATCAAGACACTCGAGGAAAAGAATAAAGATGCAAAACTCGAGCAAGGGATCCTCTCTCAAAAATACACACAACTGGAGAAAGAAATCACCTCCCTCCAGTCTGACAAGAACGCAGCCGAGAATCTCAACTCGGATAAGGAAAAGCTCGAGGGTGAACTACGTGAGGCACAAGCAAGTCTCAATCGTCAAATCCGGGTAAATTCAGTGCAAACGGCTGAGAACAAGAGGGTTCAGAAAGAAGTTGAAGAGCTCAAGAAGCAGAGGAAGAGTCACAACAGCGAGGTCGAGACGCTGACTGCTCAGCTCCAACAAAAAGAGGCCGATCTGCAAGCCAGTCAAGCTGCAGGCCAACGTATGATCGAACCTGAGGTCCTTGAGGCAGAGAAAGAACGCGTCACTGGGTATAAAGCCCAGCTGGATGGCGCTATCGCTTCGAACGAACAGCTTAAAGAGACCAATTCACAGCTTGAAAAACTCTCCACCGATTACCAAAGTCGGATTTCAGAATTGGAAGCTGAGAACGCGAGCGCCGTCGCCTCGAAAGAACAGCTGAAAGAGACCAATTCTCTTCTAGAGCAACTCCATGCCCGATATGACAGTCGGATTGCAGAATTGGAAGCTGAAAACGCCCTGCTGAGACAGACGGCAGCCGTATCGACAACGCCTATTTATGACCAGGTCGAACAACAAGCCGAGAGCTTCTCTCCAGAAGAAACTTCCTTCTTCGCGCAGGAATGGTCATCAAGCCCCGAAGGTCCAACGACCGCTGAACCATATGTCTTTGAGACTGGAAGTGGGTTCAACGAGGCAGACATTAAAAGAAACGCCGAGCGCGTTCGCGACCTACCAGATGCGCCGCCCAATCCAGAGAGTCCAACAACAGCGAAATCCCTCAGCTTGGATGATGATATCATCCGTGTGGCTGCTGTTGAAGCTGGAGACCGAACAAGATCCATCAAGGTCAAGTTCCCTCCTACACAGGATGATGCCCATGTAGAAAGTTCGCAGTCGTCGCTGGAGCCGAGTGGGCAACCGATTGAATCAGAGACGAGATCAGACGTGGAGGAAAAGGAAGTATCGGTTGCTTCCTCTCAACAATCAGGTGATGATAAGACATCAATTCCTTCACCTGAACCGACACCAACAGCAATTTCATCGTCTGCTGATGAGAGCACCGTATCAACCAAATCTATTCCGGCCGCTGTTGAAGAGCCTGCACCTCAAAGAGCGGGCTCTGAGAAAGAGGATAAAGAGGAACTAGAGAGCAATCCGTCTGCTCCAGCAACAGCGATGTCAGAAATTGCTGAGTCCCCCAAGCCCTCCACCGAAGAGCAAAAGCCCAAGGACAAAGGTCTCGAAAGTAGTCGATGGGCTCCAGCAGCAGTGGACTCGGAAGCCGCAGAGAAATCTACGCCCTCCACTGAACCAGAAACTCCAAAGACTTCTAAAGGGCTAGAAGCTAGTATGTGGGCTCCAAAGGCAGCATCGTCGGAATCTACTGAGCCACCGGAGCCCTCCATTGAGTCGCAAGGCCCAAAGACGCCTAAAGGGCTGGAAGCTAGTATGTGGGCCCCGAAGGAACCTCAAGAAGAAGAGGAATCTAAGGAGGCAAAGAAGGCCTCTACCTCATCGCCCGTGGATACTCCTCAAGTCAAAAAGACGCCTAGAGGGCTCGAAGCAAGTATATACGCTCCCCGAAAAGAACCTCAAAGAGAGGAACCGGAGGAGGTCAAGAAGGCAACTTCCAAACCGCCAGTGGACACCCCGCAAGCACCAAAGCCAAAGACTCCTAAAGGACTTGAGGCCAGTATATTCGCCCCCAAGACGCCTGAGCCATCTGAGCCCTCCGCTGAAACACCACAGGACTCCAAGCCTAAAGGACTTGAGAGCAGTATGTGGGCTCCAGCAGCAGTTCCAAAGGCTACTGAAACCCCAACGCCTACTGCTGAACCGAAAGTCTCCCAGGCTAAAGGGCTCGAAGCTAGTATACATGCCCCGAAAGAACTTCAAGGAAAGGGATCCAAGGATGAGAAGACTTCCACCAAACCTACGGATACCCCTCAAACTTCGAAGACCCCTAGAGGGCTAGAGGCCAGTCAATTTGCGCCGAAAGAAATTCGAGATGAGTATTTACAGGCAAATAAGGCCGAAGACAATTCAGAGAAAGGTCCTGCAAAGATTCCCAAGGGTCTTGAAGCTAGTATATACGCCCCGAAAGAAGTTCAAGAGGAAGCATCCAAGGCTGAGAAGCCCACTCCCAAAGATCTTGATACCCTCCAAGTCAAAAAGACTTCCAAGGGACTTGAGGCGAGCCAATTTGCGCCGAAAGAAATTCGAGACGAGTATTTACAGGCGAAGAAGCCGGAAGACATTCTCAAGAAGGACGCCGCCACCACATCCGAGGACGTTCCTAAAACTCCAAAGATCCCGAAAGGTCTCGAAGCCAGTCAGTTTGCGCCGAAAGAAATTCGAGAGGAGTATTTACAGGCAAAGAGCCTGGAAGACGATTTGAAGAAGGCTTCTATGACAACAGAGGATGCTAATAAACCTCCAAAAACTGCTAAAAAGGGGCTTGGAGCAAGTATGCACGCCCCGAAAGAAGTTCAGGAAGAGCATATACAGTCCAAGAAACCTGAAGACGATTCAGAGAAGGGTTCTGCAAAGACTCCCAAGGGTCTTGAAGCTAGTATGTGGGCCCGGACAGAACCTCAAACGGAAGATTCTCAGGATCAAGCCTCCGAGGACACTTCAAAAGACACTTCAAAGAAGCCTCCTAAGACTCCAAAGACCCCTCAAGGTCTTGAAGATAGTATGTGGGCTCCACCAGAAACCCCAGGCGAGGATAACATGGTCAAAAAACTAGAAGACTCTTCCAACAAGACGCCCACCACATCGGGACATGAAGCTTCTCAAGCTTCACACGGTCCAAAGACTTCCAAGGGCCTTGGGGCTAGTATGTGGGCTCCGAAGGAAATTCAAGAGAAGGATCCCAAGGGTCAAGAGCCACAGGGCACTCCAGAGAAGAGTTCTACGGCGTCGGGAGTTTCGAAACCGAAGGCTCCTAAGGGCCTTGAAGCTAGCATATTTGCGCGGCCACAAGCTCAGAGTGAGGACTCAACCGCAACATCTCAATCCACCGCCCTGGAAGACCACCCTCAAACATCCAAAACACCCAAGGGTCTTGAAGCGAGCATGTTTGCGCCACGTCCGGAACCACAAGCTAAGGACTCTCCGAACCCAAAGACCCCCAAGACCTCTAAGGGTCTTGAGGCTAGCATGTTTGCGCGGCCACAAACTCAACAGGACAGCCCACAACCCAAAGCGACATCAACGACTCCTCTAGGAGATAGTCAATCTCAAGGCCCCAAGGCACCTAAGGGTCTTGAAGCCAGCCAATTCGCACCACGTCCAGAACCACAGGGTAAGGATCCTCAAGCTGCCCCCAAGACCTCCACGACCCCCAAGGGTCTCGGGGCTAGCATGTTCGCACCGCCACAAACTCACGCTGAGGACACAAAGTCGAAGACGTCTTCTACCACACCCACACCCACACCCACACCCACACCCGCAGGTACAGGTACAGGTACAGGTACAGGTACAAATACAAATACAAGGGGATCTCATCGAGGATCTCATTCCGATAGCATGAGTCGCAGTCAAAGTCGTGGACGCGGACGAGGCGGTAGTTCCAACGGCAACGGCAGTGTCAGTGCCGGTACCAGCCGCGACGCCAGCGCCAGTCAGAGCCAGAGCCAAAATCAAACTCAAGGCCGTGGACGTGGACGCGGACGCGGACGCGGACGTGGGGCTAGTACGACTAGCCGCGCCGGTCACGACCAGAGTCGTAGCCAAAGTCGCATTCCACGCCGTTCGGAACCATCCACTTCAGCATCAGCATCAGCATCAGCATCAGCACCAGGGAGACCTCCTCCTTCTATTGATGGACCTGGGCTAGGTGATAGGCCATTTGAAGGTGGAGCGCCAGATACTCGGCCGGCGAATCCCGGCGCGGAGTATCATACATGGAAGTCGAAATGATGAGGAAGGGGAGGATGGGAATGTGGATGAGGAAGATTATAAATAGGATAATAAGAGGCGGGCATGGGATGGGATAGGATGGGGTTTGGAGTTGTGATGGATATAGAGGCGAACAAAATAAAGGGGTTGGAGTTCGAAGGTTACAGAGAGGGAGCTGTTTGCGTTATCTGGAAGCATGGTGGACTTTATCCCTGGGTTTAAAAAGTGGAAAGTCATATGATATGCTGAGATTGTAAGGGAATCGTGTCTGAGACGCTATAATTGGCACCTTGAGGGAAAAGCTTTCAGAGAAATATACGGAAGATGGCAAGATCATTTGACATATCTTGAGAGAAGGTCGCTAGGATAGATAGTCCAGACATACTAGAAACGAAAGCTACCGTTTCCATTAAATTCCCACACCTACAGCGAAATCCTTGCAAGAAGTACAGAAACCCCAGGTTTTGGCCGAGTTGAATTCGATGCAATCCTGACTGCTGTCAGGACTCGTAGTTCCACATCCATCGGACAGCAGCAAAATGTCAAAGCCTTTGCTGAATGCCTATACCAGTATAAATGAGTAGATATTGAGGAGGGCGGTAGGGCGGTAGGGCTCAACTTACGTCTTGTAGCGTTCCGCCGACGCACTGATCCGTATTGACACCAGCAAATAGAAGTGTCTTGATACCCTCCTTGTCCAGAAAATCGGTACAGTTGGTACCGGAACCCCACATTCCAGACATACGATTCTTATGAATCCACACGTCTGGGACTGGGGCATTCATACCTTCTTCATACGCAGCCCTCAGTTCAGGAGTCAGGTCAGCATTCCAGGTGTCTCTCATCAACAATCTTCCACCTTTGACGATTTTCCCAGACTCGTCCATAACATCTCCAATGTCTGAACCCAAACCTTTGTAGATCCTTGGGTTCTTTCCTGAAGTCTCAATCTTAGGATCTATCTCAAGTGAGATATTCTCACACCCTTGATTGACGCCGTGAGAATCGATGGCCGCTTGCTTGGCTTTCACATTCTTCCACGTCTCAAACTCGTTGGCGGGAACTGTCTCGAAACCAAAGGCACGCAAGGTTGACGGTGGCATTTGTGTCACTTCTTCATCGGTGAGACCCCAGTTCAACCAAATGATACGAATGCCAGCCTTTCGAGCAGCAGGAATGGCATACTGGAGGAGTTGAGCCTGAGCCTGTAAACCTTTGGATGTAGTCGGACGTCCCAAAGATGGTGAGAGGAAGAAGTTCTGCATGTCAATCACAACCAGAGCAGACTTCTTGGTGGAGATTTTCACAGGCTGGGTGTCAGTTTTGATAGTGACACTAGGATCCTCCGAAGCAGTGGTTGGGGTAGGTGGGTGTGTCAGATCAAAGCCAGCGACCGAGTCATAGAGCCAGAATGATGAGGACTCAGGTGAGCCAATGATGCCTTTACGATGTGTTGATACTGAGGCCGCCATGATGAGTTATCTTGAGTAGGGGGTGGATAAGCGGGCACGTTGCGAACAAACGAGGCTGAGGAGAAAGGGGTGTGAGAAGCTAAAACACGAGAAAGGCTCATCGACAACTTTCAGGGATCGAACAGTAACAAAGTCAGAAATTTTGAGACGATAGTCGTAGAATCATTTGAAGTTTGAGATAACCAGAGAAGCAAGGTTCAGAAGAAGCAGCTCAAAGTTGAAACCCAGTATCAAGTCGCTCTTTCCCATCCAGATTTGAATGGTCCTTTCCCCATTTGGATAAGTGACGATAAGGGCCAAAAGAGGAAGGAGCGGAGTCGAGAGATCGTAATTAACAGCAGGAGCGAATTATACGGGATTGATGCTCAAAGAATGTCACGGGATTCAGCGCCCCTCGAACTGGCCGCTGTTCTCCGAACAGTCGCAATCATATATCATTGGACATATACTTAAATGAGTGATCTAGTTAGGTACCCTGTTGCATCTCCCCTTCTATCATGCAAGGCTTGCAACAGCTGATAAATCCGCAACAGGGGCAAAGGCCGACAAATCTGGCAAGGGCCCCTGCGGATCAGCTTGCGCAAACGCCTCCATCATATCTGGCCTGGGTGGATATATCAAACAACCGTTGACGTGCTGCTTGATCGGCTTAGCATGCGAACCCGATATGATGACATGACGCTCCCATCCAGCGCTGACCATCGATCCCCATGGGCCGAGATCCAGGCATGTTCCGTAGGGGACCTGCGAGTAGGGGAGGAGTTCCGCCCCAAGAAGGTCGGCGGCCGCATTGTGTCCTGAACTGCGGCCCAGTCGCAAGGCATGTTGACAAGACATCATTGCAAAATGTCCTTCGTCGTCGGTTGCTGCAAGGGCTGTGTCTCCCGTGGCAAAGACGTCCTTGCACTGTGGGACACGTAGATTCTTGTCCACATGGATTCGGCCCAGTCTGTCCTTTTCCCCTGCAATCTGTTTCGTCAGCGCACTCGCTTCCATTCCAGCTGTCCAAATCACTGTAGAAGATTCAATTCGTTCCCCACTGGATGTGGCGATGCCGTTGGCGTCAATCGAAGTGACTCCGAATCCAGTCTTGATTTCCACCCCCATCTCTGTCAATGCTTGGGTGATTGTTGGCCGGGGGCCTGCTCCGAGATCAGGTCCAATATCGGCCGATCGTTCGACAACGACCACACGCGTCTTAACATTGTCGCCCAGAATAGTCCTAAGACGTGCTGGAAGCTCAGCAGCAATCTCGATGCCTGTGAAGCCCCCACCAACGACGACGACCGTGTTTCGAGCCGTACTTGGAGAAAGAGAAGACAGTCCTTTGAGATGATTCTCCAAGCGCTGTGCTCCCTCGAGCTGATCGATATTGAATGTGTGTTCGCGAAGTCCTGGGATGTTCGGCTGCACCAAGCTGCTTCCAGCTGCCAGAACCAGCCGGTCATAGGCGAGGTTGAAATGCTTTCCAGCCGAATCCACGACATCCAGGCTACGTGCCCCGGTGTTGATTTTCTCGACGGACCCCTGGACAAAGTTGACCCCAATGACATTGAAAAGCTCAGTCAATGGCGCAGTCATGCTACCAGCGTCCTTTTCGTAAAGTCGTGGACGAACGACCAGCCTGGGTTCCGGCGCCACAAGCGTGACCTTAACGCCAGTTGCCCCGTCTCCATGAAGGTGAATCAACCTCCGTGCTGCAATTGCACTCCATAGGCCGGCAAATCCGGCCCCAATAACCACGAGATTCTTCGACATGTTTGATTTCTTTTTGCAAAAGATGAATTGTAAGTTGTTGAATATGAGAATGATGGTGGTGTCATGGCGAGCATGGGTATAGGCAGTGCAGCTTTATAATGAAAGTATGGTGATTGTGTCATATCGACCAGAATATTGCAATCGTCTTTCCAGACACATGAGAACCCATTCCAGCATGCAACGGGAAACTAATGAATTCCCACGATGTCAACATCGGTGCACACTCGTACAGAAGTTGGCAATTCGGTATGATCTGCGAGTTGCCGTTCAACATATGAACAGGTACACGTTCCGCGCACGACCCGGTTAGGCTTCCGTGTTTCCCAGTGGAAAAGTGAACAAGTACGCAGACCAGGACCCGATATCCCGACGTGTTCTCGCATACGTCAGACAACCTCTTTCCAAGTCATCTTGACGAAAGAACTTGAGACACATCTACTTGATGGGAATACCTCACAAGGCTTGAATAATGTGATCGCGTGAAGGTTTACATTGATGTCTAGGCAAACATTTGGAATTTGGGTCTCATGATGTGCTTACAGAAACCGTCAGAAACCGCAGAAAAGGGGGAAATATCCAAAATTATGGTACTGCTTTCAGTTTTCTTTGCTCTGAAATAGTGGAGATGATGATTGAGCTGATTATATTTTTCGTTCTTGTTCATGATCTTGAGAAATGTATGCTTGCTTTACAGCATGGATAGCGTCCTCACACGGATGAGCTATGCACCGGATGCCTTTTTTGCTTCCTCAACCGCAGCATCAATGACGACCAATCCCATCAGGCCTTGCTTGTCAATTGTCTCTTTTTCCACCATGAAGATGGCAGTGAATTCTGCATCCTCATCGCCAACAGTTTCGGACCGGACGTGATGACATCCAGGTGGCTCATACCAGGAATCACCAACAGAATAGATCTTTGGACCAGTGCCCTGAGAATCTGGCTCATGGCATGGGCAGACCATTTGGTTGAGCATTTTCCCTTTGGTCATGATGGCGGTGACTGCTGCTCCGCCATGGGTATGAGGTGGTGTGGCAGAGTTGACGGGTGAAACAACCTTTGTTGCCAGGATATAATGATTTGGGGCATTTGCTGGAGACTCTTGGAAGACTGGTTCAAGTCTAGGAAATGGTCTCCTGTCTTGGTTGTCAGTGTATACTATTTCCGCGGGCCAAACCAGCCTGCTTTACAAACTTACCCTTCGACCATCCAGAGTCCATCTTTCTTCACTACTTTCTGGTCTTGCCAGCGCATTTGCATATCGGGAGCCATGTTGAGTTTTCAAGTTTATATTGGTTTGTTTACGGTAGATTTAGACGAAGAGGGCTGTGGTTGGTGAGATTCCTTGCACAAGATAAATTACTCACTCGTTTTATACACGGTGGCCTGCTCTCAGCACCAAGCAGCTTATGCCGATGTTGAATCGTATTCGATCAAGAATAGAGTCATCTATACGAGTACCCGATGACTAACTCCACCTTGTCCAACTTCATGTCAGTATTCTTCATACAACTGGGCCGTAAATAGTATTTGTACTGTGTACTTCATAGTGTGAACTACCGTATTCGGACTAGTATGTGAGGCTAGTCTTCTTTAGGCCAGGTTTCTCTCCGTGCTGACAATAGCTCGAACTCTAACTTCACTGCAGATCCCGCCTAATATGGATAGCGGAAGCGGATTGTCGAATGACAGCCCTAAGCGAATACCCGAGTAGTAATACACGAGTACCCGAGGAGATGATACCCCGGTTATCCATATACCATTCTCAATATCTCTCACCCAAGCCTCATGAACATATCAGAGTGCGACCGGCCTACTCATTCGTTCGGCGACCAAGTCTCCAAACAGAATGCAAGCTCCCCCAACTCCGCCATCGCCTTCCCAAGCTGCAGCTGCAGCGCTTAGAGTTTCTCTCGCATGCGTGCCCTGCCGAAGTAGGCATGTACGGTGTGACGGAAAGAAGCCGCAGTGCAGGCGCTGCTCTTCGGAGGGCAAATGGTGCATCTACGAACAGTCTCGCAGGGGTGGTCTCACTCGCGCCGCTTTAGCTGCACGGCGTGAAGCTACCGCAGGTCAACGACGACGTCCTGCAAGTACACAAATCAACCTTGAGTCGTCTCGATCTCAAACATCATCCATGACCAATGCTGCTCCTGACCTGTCGGTATTGGCCGGATTCTCGTTTGATAAGTCTCTGGCTTCTGTGGATTCAAACCTGAGCACCGATGAGTCAACGGGATCGACCACATCCATAGACGCGAGCGGAGATCCCTTGCTAGACCTCTACTACAAGTACTTTCAACGGCTCCATCCTTTCGTTCTACCACAAAGGCACTTTTCCAGGCTTTTAGCAGACCCAGCTAACTACGAGAAATTAAAACCACTGATTGCGATGATGAAGTTCATCGGGTCGCTCTATGCCGAGTGTGAGAATTGCCGTGAGCTGAAAGCCGTTGCTTCAGCTCTCCGAAGCGAGAGGCAGAAAAATTCACTGAAGCCAGATGGGTTTTTGGTGCAATGTCATCTTCTCTCTTCCATGGCGCTGTACTGGTTTGGTGAAGAATCGGAATCTCGTGAAGAAATGGCCAATGCTATCAATCTTGCGTTGGAGCTGGGCATGCACAATCGACATTTCGCTGCTGCCAATTGCTATGGCGATGCGGTTCTACAGGAAAGCTGGCGAAGAACGTGGTGGACGATATATGTGATAGACGCCTTTTACGCAGCCATGACTCACGTCACGACATTTCCTACCTGTGACATTGAGGCGACGACAGAGTTGCCATGTGAAGAAGAAGATTATGAATCCGGGGTATGTTTCCTAGTCCCTATCAATTCTGTTTCAGGACTTACTGACAATGCGACCTCGAAAACAGGTAATACCCTTTCCAATGACGCTGGATGATTTCAATTCTCGCGAATTTGCAGCCGAAAGTTATGTTTACTCCTCGTTTGCGTATCTGATCGGGGCGACCCATGGCGTTTCCTCGGCAATATCGAAAGGGTCATCTGAATTTTCTGAGCGCTCATCCCAGATGGTACTTGCCGAGGTGGATGCAGTTGTCGATGGATGGCTACTCCTTCTTCCCGACTCGAAGCGGCAAATTATATCTAAGAGTGGAGAGGTTGATGAGCTCATGTATCAGGCACAAATGGCGATTCACGCGTAAGTTTTCTCGCCGTTTCGACTGTCCCAGAAGCCTTGTCGGGTTGCTGTCTGCAATATGATTTTTTGCTGACTCTTGTTCCAATAGAGCAATGGTTGGCGCACACCGACGCTTCTCAGAACTGTACTTCGATCCTGTTGAGACAGTTTCAGGCTGTACGCCAACACCGCCCGAATGCAAGTCTCGATATCGGGTCGAGTACGAGAACATTCACACCAGACGCTGTCTGAAAGCTATCGAGGGGCAGGTTCAGCTCATGGCCGTCCCAACACGACCATGGCTTCACAGTCCTTTTGTGGCATGTATGGTCGTGACTGGTACCATTTCGCTGCTTTCTGCCTGCAGATTCTACTTTACTGGGCACAGACTCACTATTGCACGAGCTCAGATTCGAATGACGATTGGCTATCTCAAATCTCTTGCCCAAATATGGCCTCGAGCACAACAGAGCATGCAAGAAGTACAGGTCATAGCTCGAGAGGTGCTAATGCTGTCGGGAAAAGACGGTCATTCCTCATCGCAGCTTAGAATCACTAATCAATGTGGGCCAACATCTCTAGACACAAGTATGGATCAGTATCGATCAGTACGCGGTGAATCAATACCTGGGATGGATGGGTTTCAGTCGTTATTCGACTTTGGAGACTTTTGTGCAGATACGTCATGGCTGAGTGGGAGTTAATAAAGGCGATAGATCTCCTCGTGTACATTAAAAATATAATGCGAACCATGACTGCCTTGATATACAGGACTGATCACATTGCTGATTGTCACCAGTCATGAAGACACACGTGATCAGTTGAGAATAGCTCAGGCACGTGTTCGCCATCCAGACTTCTTCGGCGCAACAATTGGTTAAAAGGCGCCAAAGACTGGAGATCTTCTAGGCTCTAAAAGTAGGTCTAGGGCGCAGGGCTAGGCCCGAGGAGTCCCTGGCTGCCCTTGTGCCCCTCGTCCATTTGGACCCTTGGGTATTGGAGTTACAGCACTTGATCATCAATAATCAATCTACCCCACAAATCAATCCATTACCCAATTCCTCCAAACATGCCACCTTTTGCATCATAATTGCATTTGGTGCAGAACCCAAACACACGACCTCAGACCCCTCGTTCACCGTCCACCGCTTTTTGACCAGTTTCCTATTGCGCACTCTGCTTTTGGATTCCTCAAAAACTGCTTCTCGCATAGCGCACTGTATCTTCTCTTCTACTGTTGGTCTTCCTCTAGGGTATCTCATCTCTTCCTTGCATCCTGCATCCCGGTCCCTGCACCTCTATCATGGCATTGCTACAAGCTCGAGTTAAGAGTGTCCTCTCTGGAGACACTCTGATTATCACCAACCAAAAAGGTGCCGAAAGAACTCTTTCTCTTGCCTACATTTCGGCCCCAAGGTTGAAGAGAGAGGGAGACGAGGTAGGTCGCAACAAGCCCTCGAAGGCTCATAAAGGCTGACGTCAATGGACAGCCCTTTGCCTTTCAATCCCGGGAATTTATTCGTGAACTTGTTCTCGGAAAAGTCATTCAGTTTCAAGTCCTCTATGCTGTTCCCTCCACCAAGCGCGAGTACGGCCGTGTCAAGCTACCCAACGGCCCCGAACTCCCCGACCTCGTGGTCAAACAAGGATGGGCAAAAGTTCGTGAAGATGCAGGCAAGAAAGAAGACGACGAGAGTGCTTTGGCATATCTCGATTCCCTACGATCCCTGGAGTCCGAGGCAAAGTCGAACAATTTGGGGCTGTGGGCCAAAGGTGGTCAGATAGAAAATTCGTCAGAGGTAGCAGACCCCAGTGCCCTCGTTGAACGATACAAGGGCAAAAAGGTGGAAGCAATTGTGGAGAGAGTCTTGACTGGTGATCGGTTGATCGCAAGAATTATCCTCTCACCTTCAAAACATTTACAGACGCTACTGGTTCTGGCTGGCGTGAGAGCTCCTGCCACCAAACGCACCTCCCCAGAGGGCAAGGAAATTCCTGCAGAACCTTGTGGATCTGAAGCACATGCCTTTGTCGAAGAGAGACTGCATCAGCGAAAGGTCGAGGTCGAACTTGTCGGGGTAACTCCTCAAAACCAACTCATTGCCAACGTCCTACATCCCAAAGGCAACATTGCAAAGTTCCTACTCGAAGCAGGTTTGGCCAGGTCCAACGACCAGCATGTCACGCTTCTGGGCAACCAAATGTCAGCCTTCAGACAGGCCGAGAACGCCGCCAAGACCGCAAAGATCGGAGTGTTCACGGGTGCTACTACATCTAAAGCGTCTGGGGTGCAAGAGGCCGACTTTACCGTATCCCGAGTGCTCAACGCTGAGACCATCTTCCTACGAACACGTTCGGGCGAAGAACGCAAGGTGGCTCTCTCCAGCATTCGTCAACCTAAGCCATCAGATCCCAAACAGGCTCCCTTTGGAGCAGACGCCAAAGAATTCTGTCGCAGAAAACTAATTGGCAAGCACGTCAAGGTCAGCATTGACGGGAAAAAGCCTGCATCAGAAGGCTTCGAGGAGCGAGAGGTAGCCACCGTCACGGTCGGGAGCAAGAACATTGCACTGGCTCTGGTGGAGGCGGGTTACGCATCTGTGGTTCGGCATCGGAGAGACGATGACGACCGCTCTCCAGACTACGACGCTCTCCTCCTGGCAGAGGAGACGGCTCAAAAGGACGAGAAGGGAATGTGGTCCCCTAAACCACCAGCGGCCAAACAATATCAAGATTACTCGGAAAGTCTACAGAAGGCCAAGATGGAAGCCTCGGTCTTGCAACGACAAAAGAAGGTTCCTGCTGTGGTCGACTTTGTCCGGGCGGCTTCTCGATTTGTGGTGCTGGTGCCACGGGAGAATGCCAAACTCACATTTGTCCTCTCTGGTATCCGAACGCCGAAACCAGCTCGCCCATCCGGAGAAGCGGCAGAACCATTTGGCCAAGAAGCGCTCGAGTTCGCCAATCGCCGCACATTGCAACGAGACGTGGAAATCGATGTCGAAACGACGGACAAAGTGGGAGGCTTCATCGGCTCACTCTTTGTGGGAAGGGAGAATTTTGCTCGAGCGTTGCTAGAAGAAGGGCTGGCGGAAGTCCATGCGTACTCGGCAGAACAAAGCGGAAATGCCACCGAATACCTGGCGGCAGAGAAGAAGGCGAAAGAAGCAAGAAAGGGCATCTGGAAGGATTGGGATCCAAGCCAAGACGCAGAGGAAGATGAAGCAGCAGTCCCAGCCACTGGTACCAATGGCACAAACGGGGACTCAGCTGAGAGTGCTCCTAGGAAAAAGGACTACCGAGATGTGGTGGTGACACACGTGGACGAGACAGGCAAACTCAAGATTCAGCAAATTGGATCTGGAACGACAGGTTTGACAGAGCTGATGAGTGCGTTCAGGTCGTTCCATCTCAACAAGGCCAACGACCAGCCTCTAGCAGGCCCTCCCAAGGTCGGAGAGCTGGTGGCAGGAAAATTCACGGTGGACAATGAATGGTATCGCGCCAAGGTTCGACGAGTGGACAGAGACAGCAAGAAGGTGGATGTAACATACATCGACTATGGCAACTCGGAGATGATTCCATGGAGCCGACTGCGACCTCTGACGCAAGCACAGTTCTCAACACAAAAGCTCAAGGGGCAAGCCAACGACGCAGTCCTTTCATTTTTGCAAGTACCAACGTCAGAACAGTACCTACGAGACATGATCGATTTCATTGGGGAGCAGACCGACGGCAGAGAGCTGGTTGCCAACGTGGATTACATCTCTCAAGAAGGGACGTTGCACGTGACACTACTGGATCCCAAGATATCTACCAAGATCGACGAAAGCATCAATGCAGAGGTCGTTCGAGAGGGATTGGCTCTTGTGCCTACCAAGCTCAAAGCATGGGAACGACAGGCAACTGACACATTGACCAAATTGCGAGCGGTTCAAGAAGAGGCCAAGTCTGGTCGTCGAGGCATGTGGGAATATGGTGATTTGACCGAAGATTGAGAGCAATAAAGAAGAGGCCATCGAGAGACATGTATCCTCGACGACATCACGTGTGTCTGGTAGCCTGGAGAGACATTTATCACAACTGCGGTGGAAAATCTCAAAACTAGCTAACACAATGGAAACAATATGTGGACACCAACGCACTCAGCTGACATGATAGCATCGTCGCATTTTCTGAAAACTCGTGCCCACCACGGTTGTTGCCTTAAATCCGGGTATTCCTGTTGATGGCAAGTCCGTGCGCGAACCGAGAATTAGAGAATTACCTAGGAATTGCCACGTGAAAACTAGGAACCTGCCGTGCCTATTTCTTCCGTTAGCAAAGGGTCCACTGTCTGATGTCTACGATCTTGTGAGAACTGGGGGCTGAATTTGCTTGGATTGGCTTAGGTCAATTATAATACCGCAAGGCTGATCTATACCAGGTATCCAGGGACAGAATGGAGGAGGGAAAAGATGAATGAGAGAGTATCAAGGCACTCTAGCTGACATTTGGCACTGCGGAGCAGTTGGGATTGGATGCCGCAACATCAGCCCCTGGATGACTGGGTGGCGGTAAGACCATGGCGTTTGCGCGCCTAGGCGCCTAGGTACCTTAGGTGCCTAAGTAGATAGGGAGGCAATTATAGCCAAGGACGACCTACTCCAGAGGCACCTAGGTCAGTACCATAGAGCGAAAGGGGCTTCTCGGCGTATCCGAGGCCCCTCGGCCGTCTGGGGTCGACTAACGAGTAATCTATCCTAAAGTATTGTACGTGATTTCCTTAGACAAACAAAATCCCCTGAAGAGGTTAAACTAAGTTACCACGCGTATGATAAGAGCTGATATAGATGACATCAGCAGAATCATTCTAGGTGGCCATCTATCGCCTCTTGCATCAGCAGCTGATGACTCCGCATATCTTTTTTGGTACTTTTTAGAGTTATAGCGTAGGCGGCGAGAGTAGGAGGTCGAAACAGTACAAAGTCACAGAGAACCTACCAAACGCATGTGCCTGCAAAAACAGATCTAGGGCATAGAGACTCCACCATGCAGCTGCACGGGCACCAGTGGCACCCAAGCTAATAAAAGTCTTCAGGAGGTCCAGTGGTACCTTGGGTATGCAATCCCCGTACTCGGGTGCCTTGTCGTGCTTGTGCAGCCCCCCGACCGGCCTCTCGGCAACCAGCCGTAGCTCGCAGGGTTGGGAATTCATTGGCAATCATTACTCATGGTCGATGCACAATTCTGATTAACCGAGGTTTCCAAGCCCGGGGATCTCTCTGTACAAATCGAAATCGCCGTCTATTTTCACGCTACTCTCGTGCCCATTCTGGCCATGGCAATAATGATCAGAAACTTGCCAGTCCCATGATCTGGTCAGTCAGTCTAAGTTAGCTGAAGTCATCACATACTGGTAGCTTTCTACCAGACATTCAAGGACGCCTCTCGGCGCGCCTAACATCCCTATAGGCTACGAACAGGGAGTAAGCCGAACGCCAGGGAGCCTAATAATGGCTCTCGTGGGGCTCTGTGCTTCGAGGGATCTGGGTTCTCTTCTCGGGCGACCCGTTCCATTATGCACATGGACGGAGCCCAGTCCCTAATCGTAGGTAATCGTAAAAAGACGATGGATCGTTTTGGGCCATCCCTTCCGATTCCTTGCTTTTTACCAACCACGAGTGTTGACATCAGACCCTGGAAGCCCTCGGACATTAAGGTATTCTTATTATTATTCCTGCTACCGCGAATACTACTTACTCTCTACTTACTCCAAATATTAATTCTTGTTGTTCGCGTCGGGGCATCCATGATCGCCCTCCCTCGTGTTTCCTCGGACATCGTCGTCGCTTAGTTCTTACCCTACCCTCCCTCATCGCGACGCCAGCCTCCCACTCTTCCACCTCTCGTTTTCCTATATACAGCTGTTTCCTTACCTCTATAGGATATTTCCAGCATCTCGACTGAGCTCTCACTTGACCAGACGAGCTGGTGCAGTTCAATAATTCCTACCCCTCGATTTCTAGGACATCCCTGCGCTTCCGCACATCCGCATCCCCCACATCATCATGGCTGCGCTCTACAGGACACTCACCGGTCAATCACAAAAGTCCCATCACTCCGAACACTCTCATCATTCGCATGCACATTCGCATTCGCATTCACATTCCAATATAGCTCACCCTGTCTTGACAAGAACGACCACGACTGATCCCTTGACTGGCACTCTCAACCACTTGACCCCGGTCCAAGAAGAGAAGCTCGAGGAATTCAAGGCTGAATTGTTAAAGGATGGATGGTGGTCTCCTGATAGTGTCAATGGCAAGGCTACGCATGATGACGGAACATTGCTGTGAGTTTCACACCCGCCTCGTCCTTTTGTGCATATGATTACAGTTTCTTATTGCCTCTTCAACTCTCTAGTCGATATCTTAGAGCCCGAAAGTTTGATGTCCAAGGCGCAATCGGTCAATTTACCGACACGGAGAAATGGATGAAGGAACAGCATGTGGTTGAACTCTATGATCACTTCGATGTCGATATCTATGAGAAGGCCCGTCTCATGGTGAGCAGCCCTTTCAACTAAGAACCCCCCCACCCCCAGGTCCCTTGTGCTGATCCTTCCCTCTCTGCACAGTACCCTCAGTGGACCGGTCATCGGGATAGACGAGGCATTCCCATCTACGTCTTCGAAATCAAAGGTCTAGACAGCAAGAACGTCTCCAAATACCAAAAAGAGTCGGAGGCTTACAAGAAGAAACTCCCCCTGCACAAGAACCTTTCCACCCCCGCCAAATTAATCCCCCTCTTCGCTCTCTACCAGAATCTCCTCAATTTCGTCCTTCCCTTCGTCTCTACACTTGAACGACCGAATCCCGAAGTCCCCGTCACTACCTCCACAAACATTGTCGACATCACCGGCGTTGGCTTGACCCAGTTCTGGAATTTGAAGGGTCATATGCAAGACGCGAGTATTTTGGCTACTGCCCATTACCCCGAGACTCTGGACCGAATCTTTGTAAGATTGCTTGCTCCCTCCCTCAATAATCACTTCTTGCTAACCTTCTCCTTTCCCCCAGATTATTGGTGCCCCTGCATTCTTTCCCACAGTCTGGGGCTGGATCAAGCGATGGTTTGATCCCGTCACCGTGTCTAAAATCTTCATTCTCGGCAAACACGAAGTCAAACCGACTCTCGAAAAGTTTATGGACCCCAAAGACTTCCCCAAGAAATATGGTGGAGAATTAGAGTGGAATTGGGGTGAACTGCCTGATTTGGATGCAGAGACACGTGCGGCTCTCGAAAAGGACGGGAACAAGGGCTGGGTTACAGGTCCTTGTCTTTGGCTCGACGGCCAGCGGCTTGTGGTCGGTTCTCAAGATGGAACCCTGAGGAAACCCGACAGCGAAGTTGAGAAACACCTGCCTATTGTCTATGCCGCAGATTACACAGATGTACCCGTCCACCCCGATCGAAAGCTTTCCAAAGCGAGCGAGAAAGCGCGCCTATCGCATGCAGCCAACGGGACAGCAGAACCTCACCACATTGCCGAATCCGAGACCGCAAAAGTAGCACCAGACGGGGCCACGACCGCCACAGTCATCGCAGCGCAGACCAAGCCGACTAGCTCGCAAACTCAGCTCGACCCTGAGAAACTCGAAGGCAAGAACATTCACTCATCTCCTGCCAGTGGATCGGCCGTTCACCTGCCCACGGCACAAGCCGCCCACCCGGCCGTCACAGCAGAGTACATTTCTTCTAACAACAATCTTACAGCCCAGGAATTACACGAAGTACCCGTTGAAGATCATCCACATCCATCACAGTCCGTACCAGTCGAATCTCGAAGGCAGTCACAGACTCACTCCCGACCGTCAACCGCCGGCGGGGCACCACATGTAGCCGCCCTTCCCCAGTCGGGACCTATTTCCGAGCATGCCGAGGCCATGAACAAGGCTGTCGTGGAGGGATTGTCTGGCGAGTCCGTGTCCGAAATCCCCGCCACGGCAAATGGACATTCGACAGAAGGACATGCCGAGGTGTTGATCGCCAGTGATGGCAGCAAGGGTCTTGCCATCGAACAGGACAAACTTGACCGACCTCCCATGGAGAGATTCGTCACAGCAGGAACTGGGCTGACGTCTTAGTGGGACCGAGTCAGAAATTTGTCGAGGTGCAGGACGAGTACGAGCTAAAGAACATTACATCACCAATCCATCTCTGAATATTCGGGTTTCGGTCTCATTTACGTGCTTTCGTTCTTTGGACGTGTACGAAACGAACAGTTATTCTTTTCTGCTGGATACCGTTGTTGTTGTTGTTCTATGGTCTCGCAGTCGCACTATCCAATGGGTTTGTTTGGGATTCTCTCTTCTGGCAATTAAACAACTTGGTTGTTGCTTTTTCGTTCGGTTGCACGGTTCCAACACAAGACCACATACCCGGGGAGTTGGAGTTTTGATATGTTTGGAATCGAATGAAGAGAAGGCGAGGTTTCAAGGGAGAGTTGCCTTAGTCTCTCGTCGAGAGTGAGGGTGAGATGGCATGGATGCATTGATTATCTTGATCGCTGAGACTCATGGTGATTTCAATAATCATTATACTCATCACCGTGATCATGACTTGGTTAAAGTCTTTGGTTTCTTCCTCACCTTGAGTAGTATCATTTACATTCCAAGACGACATGCCCTATTCCCGTAGAGGGGATAATCGTGATCCACAATCCAACAAACACGGCAAGACAATAGCACCAAAGTCACATTATACAATATTTAGAATCACATGATACGACATGAACAACCAGGGAACAACATTTGGTCTAAGGCTTTCTTAATTTGACTTTTTGGCGATGGATTGAAAAGATCCTGCTCATACTGCGCACGGTATATGCGTACAGATTGGATGCGAGTTGCACAGGGCTATCCATGTCGGCTCCTCAGATCCTATTGCTATAGTGAAGACCGAACCGGAGGCAGCAAGGCCCCTCTCTGAACGATTGACAACATCGTGGTCGGCGTCACCTGCAGTGAAAATTCACTTCCACTGGTTAATTTATGCGGCGAGGCCAATGACACCGCAAGCAGGTCGGGGTCCAGCATTGCCGGTCTTTTTGCTTTCCTCGTTCCCGCCCTTGCCCAAGTCATCGGTGCCTCCGTGAGAGACGACGGTACGCTACAAGAACATGTCAGCTTTAACAGCACTCGTGTGTGGTGTTACGAGGGAATGCGGCTTACTCCGAGCACGCTTTGCTCGCCAATCAGCTTGATCAGGCTATCAGTGACGCTGCCCTTCGCGTTACCCTGGGCATCGGTCTTAATGTTGCCCAAGTCACCAACGTGGCGCTCGGAATCCGAAGGACCTCCGTGGGTCTTTCCATAAGGGTTGTCTGAGCAATATAGTCAGCTTCTCAGGCTCTTTTGTGTGCATCCCTGCATTGCCGAGGGTTGTGAGGCGGGCGACATACAGTGAGGGCCGGCGCTAGTGCAACCGTTGGTGTTGTCACCGAATTGATGGATGTGGAAGCCTCGCTCGGCGTTGGCGTCATGGCCAGTCAGGTCCCAGCTGATGGTGGTGGGGGAGTTCTCATCGGCCTGCTCGAAGGTGACTTGGCCAGAGACCTTGGAGTCTCCTCGGAGAACGGCAACTGAGTGGAGATGACGTGTCAGTAGATGGCAATCACTTCACAGATAACAATGGGAGTGTCGACGTCGACGGCGAGGGAGCTATTGGACTGGTCGGCGGGGGTATTTGTGTGTGCTGACAAAATGCAAAGCGAGGTGATTCAATGAGATGAGATGAGGGGCTCTGAGACTTGGTGGGAAGAGACCTACCTGCTTTGACCATAGTGACGGTGTTGGCGGATGGAGGATGAAACGAAGATGTTGGTTAATTGATTTGAGAGAAGTTGGATTGTATCTGGGATTGACACTAGAAGTGAGGAAAATAGGAGGGGAAGAAGAAATAGAAGGCGTAATCACGGACGAGAGACGAAATGATGAAATCCGAGGGTTAGCAGCATCACGGCAACAACGCAGGCAAGGAGCTGGGTACCCAGCTATCCAGCTTCCACGTAAAAAGAACTTACTTAGGTGACCCTTCTAGCTACTTGGAGTACCTGACTGACTACCCACCATTGGCCTTATTCCTAAGCAATGGTCAAAGGTGGTCGCTCTTGCACCCAGAGAAATGGTGGAACACTTCCGCGGGATGAAGTCAGTGAGGGGATCGGAACAAAACACAACCAGTCATTAATCCCTGGCTGCTGCAGAACAGGTGCGGGGCAATGACGCCAAGATTGAAAGACTGAAAGGTGGGAGGTTGCAGGCACTGTCATTTGGCAAGTATGAACAGTTTTCTGTATCATGTTCAATGCTCGCCTGACCTGCGAATCGGCTCCGTGTAACTCCGGATTCCGAAATTCGTTGGAATTGAACCCAGAATGAACCCCCCAATGCTCCTTGTGCCCCCCTCTAACCCCCGATGCCGGACCACAAGGCCCTTTCAATTGATCTTGTATAGTGTACCAGTATCTCACACGACTCTCTATAGAATGAGGTGACTAGGGAGGTCGCACTCGTGCCTCAATGTCAGCAGGGATGATATCTAGGTGTTTTAGGCCCCAAATCCCGAGCTCCCGCTTCATGCCTTGCATTGTAGCTTCATTGCCAAAACCCAGCAGCATACTCCGGTCAGCTCCTCCTTTCTTTGCCCTCCTAGCGCACATACGCCAATGACATCTTTCCAGTAACGCCTGGTATATCTTTCCCAATCATGACAGCTTCACAAAGATCCCAATGAACTTCAAGACGACGTTGACCAACAGGGCGACGGTCGCGAGAACAACGAATATCTGCCCAACTTCGGTCCAGTTATTGAGCGTGATTTCAGTCTCAATGTATCCTTCTGGAGAGACGCCCTTTTTATCATCCGCAGACTCTGCATCGGCGGGGAATCGGCCAGTATTGTACCACAGCTCGAGCAAGTCATCTTTTTCCCGCCATCGTGCCAGAAGCCACTCCTCGAATTCCTTTGCGTCTTCGAGCGGAATCTCTGAAACAGCGAACCGTCGCCAATGCATGTTGACACATTTCGGAGGCCTACCCTGAAGATATGTCGATCGAATGGTAAAGAAATCGGGTGCAAATCCTCCTTTCCTGCTTCTTTGTCAGTAACATTTTTTGAATATATCGCTTCTTGACTCACGGAGTTCCCTCGTATGCCATGGTGCAATCATAAACCCAATCTACCGTGCCTTTGAGCTGCTGCAAACAGAAGAAGAGTCCGGTGCTTCTTGGTAACAAACAGTGCCTAAGATCCTCGATCCCTTGCTTATCAGCCCATCTCTTGCTGGCTTTTTTGGTATTGGCAGACAGGTTGGTGCCTTCGGGGAAGATCAACAGCCACATTGGATCCAGGCCAGCAGAGCCAGACATGGGTCCACTGTGCCTAGTCTTCAACTTCTCCAGTCGATGTTGAAGACGAGGTTTATCTGACGTCCATTTTCTTGCCATGAAGATGAACCCATAGAACATCATTCCAGGCCCTAGAACGGGAACATATTTTAACGATTCTTTCAGGATGATGTAGATGTGCCCATGCATCCGGCTAGTGTATGCTATCCACCACAGATACAGCCATTCGGTGTAGACTTGGTGGTTAGCAACGTAGACCAGACGCTCCGGGAACGCCGTCTCGAGCCTTCCTGATGGTGACTTCCACAATTGTCCCTTCAAATCTTTGTCCCAACTAACTCGTACCGGGGTCGGTGCAAACCAACGCGTGCCCGCCGTTCCACATATTCCAAATGATTGTTTTGTGAGGGCCATATAAGCGTAGTAATAGTCTCTATTGTACCAATAGAGAGGGGAACCGATGACTTGGGTGGTCATGATGGTGACGGCGCATGCGTTCAACCAAGTGGCAAGGAGCAGTCCACGCAGGACTTGAATAGCCGTGCCATGCTTGACTTTTCCCGCTGGGTGACCAGTCCGAGCCAACAGACTGGCACCCGATCCATTCACTTGAACATCTTTTGGGAGGCTTGTAGAGTCAGGTTGGGTCTTTCTGGCCCGGAGGTTCTCGGTTGTCATGATGGAGGAGCGTGCGGGAGGATGAGGTGGGTCATGGAGGCAAAAGGTCTGCACAGGTTACTCTCAATCTTTGAACACTTGGAAGATCCCACAGAGTCTAAGGGATGGAGGGTGTTGGTGATATGAATGTGACTATGTTGGTGGCAGTACCAGGTAGCACTCGTGACCAGACGAGGATGGCCGAGGCAGATCAATACGAAGGACCGTGTTCAGTTCATTAGGGTTTGTGATGGGTCAATAGAAATATACGGAATGCGAAGAGCGAAGAGCAAGAGCCACTCGTCCGCGTATTGCCTGACTTGAAGGAAACGATAACGTTAAATGCACAGGCATCCTTTTTTATCACATGGAGGTCCAGCTACGGTCCAGGCCGACGATGATGATGATAACGGATCCCAAGGCTGCCATGATGATGATGCCCGCTCTTTTAGACGCCAACTCGACTCTGGGGGGATCTAAGAAAGCCTAAACTAGCCGAAGATGGTAAATAAACACCGCCTACGATTTCTTACCTAGGCACTAGTTCTGACAGCGCTGACAAACCTGTGGCGCCTGACCCTCGCTCCCTCTCAGGTCGTTGGATCGTCAATAACCATTCTGGGGCTTAAGCGATGCGGTATCTCCATTGCTGGTTCAAATCTATCTCCGAAGGCTCGGTGGACCAATACAAATTAACAGGCCCTCTGCGTAGCTACGTAGATAGGTGCCTATTGTAGGTATGTAGGCCTACTGTATTTTGCTTAAGGTGCCTACCTAGCTAGGCCTAGGTAGGTGGGAAGGACCTGAGGGCTTAGAGTCCAGGGTCCTCAGGGTCCCTTGGAGGCATGCGGGCTAATAAGGCTCCATGAGCCCCCTCGGCCGGCCCCCGAGGAGCACGAGGCGGCCGAGGGGCCTTGTGCATCACTTATGGACATCACTGTGCTAACCGCGGTTGGATGGGCTTGGTGGAGATTGGTGCACGTGATATCGAGGTTTGAAATCTTGGTACGTCTTTGTTTGCAAGTTATCATCATCGAGAACATCGCCCCACGATCCACGTTCTTTACTTGACCACAACTATCCAACAGTCATCGAATCGCGTCGATACTCCGAGGCAGATTCATGCCTATTCTCATTCTCAACATGCAACATTGTTAATCTGCACAGTTTTCCACTCATAGAGGGCGTCCTTGATGCCACTCGGCAATGTCGAGTATGGCGCATCTCCCTTGGTTGGCACCGACAAATAAATCACCGTGCTGGCGAGCTCTTCATCCTCTTCGAGCGCGCATTGCGCTTTCAAGGACCGGAAATGCCTCTCCATCATACCAACGATCTCCAGTACCTCGTCCAGGCTGCCGCCCTTTTGCATCAACCGCTACTCCCTTCAAATCTCTGTCTTTCAAGGATTTACCAACTCGGAAACAATTTCACCTAAGACAAACTCCGTCTAATGAGCTCCATTGTCTCGAGTGGTCCGATGCTCCTCAGAACCTTCTCTTGATCAAAAAGGACTGCTCTGAAGATACGACCGAAGCCCTCAAGGAGTTCGCAAAGCATGTGACCTCCACGTATCCAAATGTCAATATCCTTCTCGAACCTCACGTCTCAACAGAAGTTGGAACTGACCTACCCGGAGATCATTATTCTTTGACCCAGCAAGACCGCTCCTCACTCAACCACCTTCGTACCATCGACCTCATCGTCACTTTTGGTGGCGATGGAACCATTTTACATGCCGCCTCTCTCTTTGCCATGTCTGAGAAGGTTCCACCAATACTTTCTTTTAGCATGGGAACTTTGGGTTTTCTGGGCGAGTGGAAATTCAGCGAGTATAAACGAGCTTTTCGTGAAGTATACATGTCCGGTTTTGCTTCCGAGCGTCACGCCGTCATTGAAAATGCTCCCTCGCAGAGCACGGAATCCAAGGCTCAACTCACAGGCTGGTCTTCCATAAAAGGTAAAACAATGGGTCCAGCGAGAGGCGCCAGAATACTGGTGCGACAACGACTCAGAGTCGGTATCTTTGATGCCCAGGGACAGCGTCTGAGCAGTAATGGCAATGTCTTGCACGATATTCATGCCATGAATGAGGTCATTCTTCACCGAGGTCGTGATCCCCATCTTGCGATCGTGGATGTCTATGTTGGTGGAAGATTTCTGACCGAGGCCGTGGCCGACGGCATGATCATCTCCACCCCGACTGGAAGCACAGCCTACAGTCTGAGCAGCGGGGGTTCCATCATCCATCCTCTCGTGTCATCTCTTCTCTTGACGCCTATTTGTCCTCGCAGTCTGAGTTTTCGTCCTTTGGTTCTTCCTGCGACAACTCCTATCACCCTCAAATTGAGTGAGAAGAATAGAGGGCGCGAAGTCGAAGTCAGCATCGACGGCGTTAGACGCCAAGATAGTATCGGTGTTGGGACAGAGCTTCGCGTTTCCGGCGAAGACGTGAGGCGCGAGGACGGTGGCCTCGTGGGCGGTATTCCATGCATCATGCGAAGAGGTCGTGCTGATGCAGACTCTGATGACGGTTGGGTAGGCGGGTTGAACGGCTTATTGAAGTTTAATTATCCGTTTGGCGAGGAAAGCTAGAAAGGTTTCCAAGAACCTGATTTCTTCCAGTCTTTTGGAAGCTTCTCCCCACAGCACCACACCAGTGAAAATGGCAATTCCTTCCCCATTTTGCTCTCCCGAACGCTGTCCGTCGACCCTCCAATACGGGGGTCCGAGGATCATCAAATGTTGGCGGTAGCGACAGCCTGTCCTACACGCAGAGTTCAACCGAGCGTTTCACACCCAACCTCGAGATATCTCTTACGTTGCTACGAGGCACCTCCATGATTATGGATCTCGAGCGCAACAGACTACCGAAACCCTCTGAGGTGGTCGATAGCGCTTTTCGTCATGTGGAAAGTGGCCTCCCAATCGACTACTTTCTCAAAAGGTTCGCCAATGTCCGAAACATACCAATCCCAGCAAACCATCATTTCCTCCAGTTAAAGGTCCATCAAAGGCTGCAAACCCTGGCAAAGGTTCTTGGTTTGCCATCTCAACCCTTCAACTACCACTTATTACCAATTCAGTTCTGACCCTTGTGGTGGAGGTTTCAGTCCGGGACGGTGCCATCTCGGGAAATGGCTGAGATCGACAGCTTGACGCACGAGCAGTTTGTCTATCAGTCTGCGCAGATGATATCAAGTGGTCAAGTTGATCAGCTCGTCAAAGTGTCCTGGGACACAGAATTGACCTTGAAGTAGGAAAGAATCCTTCAATAGATGATATATGGTAGTAAACGTTGCCACGAAATTGCTCATAGATTCATATACAGCCTATAATCCAATACATCGATGCCAGAGGTGTGATATCTGCTTCAGTCCACTGCCGATAGTATCGAAGTCTTCGAGCAACGATAAATTTTCTCTCACTATAGTCTCGGCATGTGTAGCTATGCATACAATGGACACGCTGCTCTTGGAGTTCTTCATAAAATTCAAGACACGGGAAGTCCAGACGTCTGACACTTATCTTTTCGGTCTGTAGATAAGCGTGAGTCGGGTACATACATCATATGGCATGAGAATTACCAAGAAGTCTGGGTGAGTGGGGGGTAAACCGAAAATACAAAGATAGAGCCCATGAAGTCTGACAGGAGAGTCATCGACATGACCTTCTGACACAGCAGTCAAGGATTACCTGTTGTAGACAGTGTAGATACTCGTCATGTTTGTGCCTTGTTTGCTGTTTGACTGTAAGGTCCACAACCTGTGTGCACTGTAATGTTCTAGGCCACGCTACATGAGAGTGAATGTGAAGGAGTACTTCTTGTTCATAGATAGTAGGCATCTACATCTCTACAGACCCAAAGTGTCAAGGTGCTGAGATATATGCTTCTGTATAAAAATGGAAATATATATATATATATATGTACGTATGTTAACCGCTGCCTTCCTTTCCTTGGGTACTGTGTGGATGCGGAATAACCTCCTGCCAAGATCCAGCCTTATCACGTGCAACATCCCCCTTTTTTCACTTGGTCTCCATCAACAGACGAACGACAATCCATCTGGGATCTCGTCCTTAGACAGCCAACATGGTGAAAGAATTCAACCGTTAGCCGATGATATCTCGAAACAAAGACGAGCCTTGTGAATGACAAGGCTGACTAATAAGGAGGTTATTTCGACAATGGGCAGATATCTTTCCTTGTCCTCGATGATAAGGTCTTCGTCGACGGTCCTTGAGAAGACTTCTTTTATGATGGGTCTTGTTGGATGGCCTTTACCGTTCGTACTTGGTGATTTTTCCCTTGGTCAGCTGATTGTTCCCCCTGGTTGGGACTTTGTCGTGAGAGTCCGCAAGGCTGGGTCTATTAACGTACCCAGGATTCAAATCGTAACTTGCGTGAATGAATTCACAACATGGGGCTTTTTGTCACCAGCCCAGTCATTCATGATGACTGACTGTCACTGTTCAGTTAATTATTCTTTGCGAGGCGTTTGTCTGGCTGTCATGACTCCTGACTATTTCAGACGCTGCTGAACTTCTGAGTTTCTCCCACTCACAACCACAGTCCTGAACACACTTGCTGAGAATCATCAATCACAAAGATCTTTGCTCAACAACACCTTTTTGAGAACAGCTATCTACATCAGAGAACAACAGAAACCTTTCGCTTGTGGCTAGAATCTCCTGTTCGCTGTTGCTGACGCTCTGATCGTCGCTGTTGCTGATATCCACACCCCCTCTCAGAACACTCTCTTCCTCCCAAGATGTCTGACCATTATCAGGACTCCTCTTTACCTGAAGACTCCCTCATCGACTTCGATGCTTTTCAGGAACTTTCGGCTTTTATAGCAAGCAACAATGACACCGCGAATGTGACTGCGGCTCCCGAAGCAGCACCGCAGTCATACTACAATGAGACCGACGATCTGTACGGAGTTGATGACGGTGGTGATCAGTGGGCGGCTGATCTAGCACCGCCACACGACAACTTCAACGAGCTCCCTGGCATTACTGATGCCACTGACGACTTGCCTGATTTAGCTGGACAGTCAGTTCTACAGGCAGACGACGATGTCAATGGCAGTGTCCCTCTGGCAGATGCAGCAGGGGCACCACTCCCCCGTAATGACTTCGACGAACAATTTGATATGCTCGAAGCGGCTGTCATGATGCCTGATGCAGACGACCAGTCACATATACAGTCAGACATCAATGTTAGTGGCAGTGTTCTCACCGCGGAAGCAGCAGCAGCTCTTCCATCACTCCCTTCAAATGACATCGACCAGTGGACCAACATGATGGATGCCACTGGAAATATGCCTGATCCATTCGGGCTGGAAGATCCCTTCCTCGACTATACACAGGAGGAGGACCTTTCACAATTTTTACAGGTTGATAGTGCTGTGAACTTGGCCGAACAAGCCCAAGCGGTGCCTACTTTCACCAATGTTTTGACAGATACACAACCTGGTGCTACTATCCCAGCGTCCACCGAGATTGCAAGCACACAAATTCAATCGAATTACCCACCGCGAACTTACGGTGGAAATACTCAACCTCCTCCTGTCACTCCGCCGCGATTTCAGCCTGCAAATGCGCAAGCTCGCCCCGTCGCCCCGTCGGCTTACTATGTTCCTCCAAGCCAGAATACACGTGTGCAAGATACCGACAGCCAGACCGTGCGAGCCGCGCCAGGCCAACGTCAGCCTAGGGAGCATAACCTCTTCCAGACCCAGCCGGCTCCTGGACATCAGCAGGCTCGCGTCGCAAAGACTGCCCAATCACCCACGGCACATGGGATTACTCGTGTCGATAATGTTCATGTGCCAGTCACGAAAATTGGAATGCTTGATTGGCGTCCTCAGTCTCAGCCTCAGTCGTCACCCGTGAGACCCCAGCGTGAGAATCGCCCTCCTACTAATCCTGCGATTGCCCGAGTGCAATTTCTCGACAGACGAGCCTCGCGACCACCAGTGAAGACCGCTCCCGCCGCTCCTCTCAATCTTAAGGAGACTTTGAAGAATTTCAGCTGGTACAATCCCGCCTTCTTCGCCTGGGCAAAGGCAACTTGGTACATGCTGCCTATCAACGTGGAGTGGCAAATTGATCTGGAGACTGGGCAGGAGAAAAAGGAGATGCGCTTGATTGACAGTGAACTGCCATACAATTACTTCTTCTATTTTGGGCCCGACGAGAAGATGCTGACGAAGCTCCTCCGCCACCACAAGCCGGAGGACCAGCATCGATATAGGGTGTCCGTCCCTGTCAATGGCGTGCTTGCTGATCGAGATCGGGTTGCTCTCGCGTATATCAACCATGTGCATCTTGCTGCTCAAGCTCGGCGGCAAGCCGCTTCCAACACTACCACTTTGGGGCGTGCGAAGGCCACTGCGGCTAACACTCGGGGTAAAGGTACGGCTAGTCGTCAATCCTCTGCCACTGTGAGACAGAACCCTGTTGCACGTGACAATACCACTGTGAGCAACGACCAGCTGACACAAGTGAGCTTTGCTGGACGTGAGGCGCTTCCTCAAGTGCCAAGCTCTTCAGAGGCACGCCAGCGTCAGCTCAAGCGTATGCGGGACGAGCTGGAGGATCCATCTGAGAGCACTGCACGCCGCTGGCAAAAGCGGTAGGTTCTAGACTGGACTGTCTTCTGGATGGCAGGAGTTGTGAGATGACAGAGCTACGATGGGGCTTGAAAAGGGTCAGTTGGTGAACAATAATGGCATGGAGTTTGGGAGTTACGGATTTATGGCGTTCTGAATTGGAAAAGGAGGATCTTGGTGTTATCCTTGGGGATATGCATGATATGCCCACTCTAGACTGGTCAAAGAATCAAAAGATAGACTTGAAATTGTGAAGAAGGAACAGGACACACTAGCCAGGGTTCCAAACTAGAAAGGAGTGTGAGAAGTGAGCGCGCAATCGCCTGCTTGGCTATAGACAATAAAGACATTCACAGTAGGACTGAAAAGTTTCCCTTTTCCTCTTTTTGAACTTTATCTCATTCACGCTGTCAGTTTTAATCAAAACAGCAAACTGGATCACCAGAAGGATGGATCAAAGTGCTGAAAAGAACACGATGGCTCACAAGACCGATAAGTCGAATTCTATCCTTGACAATGACAATGGTAAGTCCTCCAGATCCTTGTTTACAGATCTAACGATCTAAATATATGACTATACAGATGTCCGCAACAATTCCTCGATCATTAAGGAGGCAGACATGTCTTCTGGCGCCATGGCACGTCTAGATTCCCACGAGTTTCTCTCCACTCACACCGACACAACATTTGGCAACAAATTGGACGGTGAGACAATCAAGAAGACCAACGCTGGCAGAATCATGACGAACCCCAATGGATCTGGTCGAGCGTCCACACCAGCAAATCGTGCTTTCTCACACCCCGAGGAAGAACCGTTGTCAGATCTAGTGCGACAGATTATCTTTGGAAGCGGAATGACACCCGGTCTCGAAGCTATGCGGAAGACACCACAATGGTTAGCGGCGATGGCGGAGCGCAGAAACTCGGAAACGGACAAGGAAAATCTGGAGCAAGAGATGAGAGACCGAGGAGCACAATACATTCATCATGCGAATCTTCCAATTCGCGAGTCTGGAAAGAGATGGGCAAGCGACAGTGGAAATCAGTCTAAAGAACACTGAATCCAGAAAGATGGCGTTCGCAATCGGACGATTGAGTTGTGATTCCTGCATTGGAATGATAACTAGAGCCATGAAATTCGCAAGGTCGAAATGTGCATGCCTTTGAATGTATCTAGTTCCACTTAGGACCTCCAGGAAGGTCGTGCTCAATGCCAAACTCTCCTCATCGACAGCAACACCTTCAAAGCCGGTGTTATTGGTTGTCGGTATCGATTCCTTATGCGTCGAGGAGGGTAGCTCAACCACTTCCCAGCTTGGTTTCGACGTCAACTCCTTTCAATGTCTGTAGAACAACGCAGTAGCGTTCACTCAAAGACACTAATTTGTCCAGCTTTGGTTTATCGTCATCGTCTGCCTCGAGTTGAACCAGAAGGCGAATCTTTTTGAAACCCACTGGCACAGAATTGCCGTCTGGGTCCTTGACACCCATCGTTCCGCGAAAGTCCAGGTCGCCCTCTACAGTGACAGTGCCACCGTTAAGTTTGATGCCCATACTAGTCGCCACAGCGCGTACAGTGACCCCATAACATGCCACCAATGATTCCAGCAGCATATCCCCTGAGCATAGCTCTCCAGAGGCGTCAAAGCCTTCACCTCCAGCAGCTCGATGGAGGCCAGCAACCTTCTTTGCTGCAGAGGCGGTCGAAAGTGAACATGTGAGGCTTGTCGATGTAGGGTCAAGAGATCCTGACGAGGACAGCGTGACAAGCGCTGCCGAAGGATTTGTTCTGTATGAATCCTTAAGAGGCTTCTGCTTAGCCCTCAAAGCTTCGGCTGCAGCGTTGACAGTGTCTGACATGTTTATATGATTTTCGTACTCAAACAACGATGAAAATTACAAATTCAGTCATGAGTGTTGGATGAAGACATGTTCATCCGTTGGAAAGCGTCCATCCCATCTTATCTCTTTCTACCCCTCATCTGAGGTGGAGGAGAAGCTGCGTTGTTCCATCAGACCGCAGGGCAACCGGAAGACAAGGTCAAGCTTTTGGAGTGTCGCGACAAAACACTGAGAATAAGCGTGTCACGTGAAGATGTAATTTTCTATCTAATTTCTGTTCCTAGATGTCAATATGAGGCTCTAACAAAAAGTCAGAATAGACATTAGACTAGAACTGGTGGAATTCCTATACTTCGTATCCTCTCATTCGTTTGTTGTTCGATTGCGTCAATTTGAGGAATCCTTGGCAATCTCAGTCGGATGTCAAAATCAGGTGATCTCACGTGATGCACGGGGTTTCAAAGCCCGATCGTGGTTTCCCTAACTGCTTGCTGGTCCTCGCGCCTGCCGCCTTTGACAACTGCGCAAAGACTGAAGATGAAAGATTTCAGATCCTCTCCATCTCAACCAACATCTAGACTGTTCAATTGCTATATCCATTTGCCAACAAGTTTCAGGGTCCTGCCGTCATCGTTGTCTTCTCCATGCCCTTCCCGTCGAACCCAGGTTGTCGATCCTGCAACGCTTCGGGCTCTCATTAACGCGAGATGCGAGTATTGAGATGAAGTGAGGTGACCAAACCAGCATCAGGCGTGACAGCCCAGATCATTGCCAGATTCCCCACCACAAAATGCAGATCGACCTCACCTTGTTACTCTTTCTGGCCCTCACTGTGTCTGTATAATTTCTCCTCACCTCCTCCAGACATATCAGGCTTCTGAAGTTCCTTGGCGTCCGCGGTGCAACGATTCAATGACGTCTGGACGCACCAATGGCTTCACAGGATTGCACTTATCGGCTGCTTGTGGAAGCTAATCCGCCGCTGAGCCACTCAAAATGTTAAGTGCCGCTGACGTCGATTGGTAGTATCCACCGATTCACAGCATTGATTATTGATCCCAGATGAATGTTCAAAGCTCAACTCGATGAACCTTGGGATCTTCGTGCGCTAGATTATCCCCGTTGAAGCTTTCCCCGCCTCTCCCAGGAGCAACCCAAGACACCCTGCATGCGCCATCAGGATTATTGTGCTAGCTTTCTCCCGGACCCGTGGACATCTCCATACATGGCTGGTCGCAACGGTCGGCGACGGACCCATTTGTGGCGTGCAAAAGCCGTCTTCGGCACGAGGTGGGTGGAGCAATACGACATAGAGAGCTTCAAAGTCCACTTCGCACAAAAGAATCCTTGCGACTCGAATCCCTGTCGCCTGATATGACGGATATCCATACGGAATGCGGTTGCGCATCGTGCTCTACCCGACTTTGTGGACACTTCATAGTTCAGGCCTGATCCTCATGTTCTGTCTTCCTTTGTTGCTTACACCCATCACTGTCTGGCTGTATACTGATGCTAGCCTTGAGTGATTTTGACCATAGCACATAACAGTTTGTCATCCACCAAGATGCATACTCCCACAAGGCACAATGACCCTCCACTCAATATGCCAGCCAATCTCCGAGAGCAAAATTCCTCGTCATCATCACAACCCTCTTCTGACGAGGTCACATTCGCACACCGTGAGCAAGGTGCCTCACCCTCTCGTGAAAAAAAAGAGCAACAGCTGGGAACCTCGACCTTTTACCCTTACCATGCCGAACACGGCCCTCCCATCGACAATGCATTAAAATACGACGAAGCCGAGGATGACTACCGACATCACAGTGATCTTTGGTGGTCTCGAGTACGACATCAACTACGTGACCCGTTTGCCGAGTTCCTAGGTACTTTTATCATGATCCTGTTTGGTGATGGTAGTGTTGCCCAGGTCGTCCTGAGTGCAAACCCCAACCTTCCTGAATCAAGCCAAAACAAAGGTGATTATCAGAGTATCTCATGGGGGTGAGTTGTCTAATTTTGGATGCTGCACCATCAGACATTGGCTAACCTCTTTTGAATTCAGCTGGGGAATAGGCGTCATGTTGGGTGTCTATGTTGCTGGCTGCGCAGGCGGACATCTCAATCCTGCCATCACCTTCGTAAGCAACCCGGCCTTCTTATGAGTCTCCCTCAACACTAAACTCATACTCGCAGGTCAATTGTCTATATCGCAAATTCCCCTGGTGGAAATTTCCCGTGTACGCTTGTGCCCAAGTCACAGGCTGCTTTTGTGGTGCTGCCGTCATTTACGGCAACTATAAATCTGCCATTGATCAATTTGAGGGCTATGGCATCCGAACGGTTCCAGGCTACTCAGACACCGCCACCGCTGGTGTCTTCAATACCTATCCACAACCCTTCCTGACCAAAACAGGTCAGGTCTTTTCCGAAATCATCGCCAGTGCGGTCTTAGTCCTGGTCATCTTCGCACTCAAGGATGATGCCAACCTCGGGGCCGGAAATCTGGTTCCTATCGCACTTTTCTTCTTGATTTTTGGCATCGGTGCGACCCTAGGCTGGCAGACAGGATATGCGATCAACTTGGCCAGGGACTTTGGTCCTAGGCTTTTTACCTACTTTGTTGGTTATGGCCGTGAAGTCTGGACGGCAGTATGTCTTTCCATTCCCCCGGTCCGAGATGAGCATAAAGCTGACTTGAGCTTCTAGGGAGATTATTATTTCTGGGTCCCAATGATTTGCCCATTCATTGGATGCACTTTCGGCGGCTTCTTATATGATGCCTTGATCTACACAGGGGACTCGCCCATCAACACCCCCTGGATGGGCTGGAAAAGGGTCTTCAAGCCCACGAGAAAGGGTGTCCATGAAGCCATTTGGGGCCCCCCGGATCTCGAGAAACAGGCCTAGGAACATTTCTGTCCGTTGTTGGCGACACAGCTAACCGTGTCCTTTAATCCCTCCATCTGTGCTGAGACTGTTTGGTGTTGTTGGCGACCTGTCTGGGCATGATGAGAGATTTGTGTAAAAGTATCGTCTTGACTGCAAAACTAGCGTTCCATTGACGGTGTGGGTTCAAGTTGTCGTTCTCAAGCGTTCGGCTTTGATTGTCTTTGGTTGTGATGCCACTGGTCAGGTCCACAAGTCTGGACGTGTTGGCCATATGTATTAGTATAGCAGGCTATGCATCATAGCAAGAGAAACTGTAATAGTGCAGACGAAAATGATTGGCATCACATCCTCTGTTTCTTCTTTGCGGGCGCACTAGATTCATCGTCGCTTGCATCTGCATAGATTGTTTTAGGTTGTGTCTTTTTCCAGGCATTTGTAAACATGGGATCCTTCTCAGCCTTGTCAGCGTACTTCAGAAGCGCCTCACGTGGGTCTTCCTCCCGCATCGAGCTGAGAGGAATCCGCTCTTTGATGTGTTTTTCATCTGGCTGGTTCTTTGAAAAGGGAGTCACGGCCGGCATGTGCGGGCGGCGAGGATCTCGCGATTTGCCTGACGCAGTAAGCCCGATGGTCGGATGACGCGACGAGAATGTGCTGCCTTGGATGGCTTCGCTGCGTGTTCCGGGGTTGACGATAGCGTCACCTGAGATGCCCTGAGACATGTCGGTGGTGAAGCTGGGGTCGTCGTCCAGATGACGCCGTTTCGGTTGCTTGGACATGACCATGACGGCTCCCTTGGTGGAGGTCTTGGGGTTGAATAAAACATGTGTCTCGGCATTAGCGCTGCCTGTCATGATCTGGTTGAGCTTATCATGCCAGAGAACGCTGATTAATGGGGACCCAGGGGTCACTGGTGTGACTACCTCAGGTTTCAAGGTTGCTGGATTGAGGATGTATAAGTCGCCGGTTTCAGATCCTGTGAGGATCGAGGATGAGTTGGGCGAGAAAATGATGTTAGAAGTTGGATATTGGCTCGACGTCGACACGTGGGACACGGTGTTGACGGGCTGCTTGAATTTCCTGGTATCCCATAACTTGACCGTGTCGTCGCCACCTCTCGTCACCACCAGTCGGCCATCGGAGCTGATGTCCAGGCCACTCGTCCAGGTATTTCCCATATGAGCATCTCGAATTTCGGCGCTGGGTCGGTGGTAAGGACCATCGCCACCCCACATGACGAGAGACCCGTCGAGGGCCGCCGCAACCAAAAGGCTGCTACCACCTTCGATCTGACTTCCCCAGGCAACTGCCGTCATCCTAGTTCGTCCGGCAGAGCCGGCAAGTCGGGATTTGTGCACAATGACTTCTTTCTGCTTATTTCGTACGTTGACATCCCATATACGCAGTGTGCTGTCAGTGCCAGCGGTAACGCACAGTTCCCGGTTGGTGGGATGCCAGGTGCCGGAAGTGATTTCAGATATGTGGCCTTTAGTCATGTTCATGTCGCGAAGATACATGTCTCCCTTTGCGAATTCGACCTGAGTTTCGCCATCTCGAGACAAGATCCTGGCTTGTGGGGTTGCGGATATCACGAGTACTTGACTGGGTGAGTTGGGGTTGAATTTGGCCAGATGGACTGGATGGGTTTCGGAATTGGTGGCGGGCTTGGTCGCAGAAGGATCGACGGACTTGAAGGCTCGGATCGTGGTGGGTGTCATGGTCGCAAAGTCATGTATCTTGATGGTGCAATCCATCGAGCCAGTGATCATCCTGGATCCGGCTGGATCTGCGGTAATAGTAGTTACTGGTCGGTCATGAGTCTTGAAGACCACTTCATGGGATATGGGGTATTCATCCTCGTCGTCGTCATCCTCGTCGTCATCAGAGTCGTCGTCTGAGTCGCTACCACTTTTGGACGTAGCAGATTTGGCTTGTTTTGGTTGCCCAGCTCCAGGTACTATCCGTCTGGCCGTCTCCATCTGTGCTGCTGGATCAAAGTCATTGCTACCACCCCCGAAGGAGACGGGGAGATAGTCTCGTAATGCATCCTCGTCCATTGTTTCCAAGGCGCTAAACCCGGTTGAAAAGATGGAGAAAACAAGGCTCTAGGGCAGAATTCGAGCAGAGGACAAAAATGGCATTGTAGCAGCGTCTAAAGGTTTGAGGAATTGATGTGAGAAATATCAAAATGTAGTATGCTGGTCGTCGAAAAGTCGTGAAATCTCGAAGCACGTGAGAGACTCGCGCCTGCCTTTGGAAAGTTCTCACAGCAGCCTAAAATATCTTGGCTTGTTTGACTTGTTTGCTCCACTCACCACCAAACATTCACGATGACAATTCTTCTCAACTGCACAACATCACCAACTCATTCCTGGCTGACCCAGAGACTTTGAGAGCATCTTACAGACATGCAAATACTAACAATGTGGTCTTTTTGCTCTTATCTACCGTCCTCAGCGAGCATTCTGTCTTGGCGGAGAGTGAACCCATACGAGTCCATCACAAGGCTGGCCGAGGCCCGACAGAGACGTCCCTAATCTTTATCGCCAATCACCTATCGGGTGGACCAATGGATGTGGGGGATATGGGCAACGGAATTTGAAGAGACGAGAGTCAACACTGGCACACTGGTCAGGTACCCGAAGAAACTACCCACGGCCCCCGGCAATAGTGGCAACAGACTCATTCCCCCGCATGAGAGATCCCATGTCAACATAATGTGCATATAGTACATCTGAAAGTCCCACGAGTCCACAGTCCCAATTCCGAGGCCTATAGCTGCATAAGTATCTCTACGCCTATCTATCTTAGGACCCTCCTCCCCTTGTCGGCAATCTTCTCAACCAGCTCGTGCGATAGACGACATACAATCGATTCCTCAGATCTTCCTCTCTCCTTCTCAATTCTTCAGTCACGATGTCGCAGTCCAATGAAAGCCATATCACGGTGGAAGCGGCCAAATTCGGCCCCAAAGCCATCCCCAAGGAAACCACTGATTTTAATGAATCATTGATGAAACTCATGGACGGTTCGCCGAAATGGTTCGAGGTTCGTGATTCTTTCATAGTCAAAGTCAACAACCATAATTCCAGCCCACTTAACACTGTTCAATGATCTAGGTTGGCGCAAAGAGATACCGAGAAATGCGCGCAGCAGGAGAAACACCTCTACCCAAGTCAACACTTCTCGACAGTGCCGAGCAGTCGTCAATTCCATCCCGCGACTCTGGACGAAGCATTCCGTGCCGCATCCTACGGCCTCAAAATGGGAAACCCGTCAAGTCCGTCTTTCTGCACATCCATGGTGGAGGATGGGTTCTTGGAGATGAAAAGTCTCAAGATCCTGCCCTCCAGGATATTGCAAACACGACTGGAATGTTGGCTGTGACTATTGGATATCGACTCGCGCCCGAACATCCCTTTCCCGCCGGACCAAACGATTGCTACGACGCTGTGGAATGGTTAGTCGACAACGCGGAGCGCGAATACGGCCAACCGTTGGGATTTATTGGAGGAGAATCTGCCGGCGCCCATTTGAGTATGCTGGTCGCCATCCATTTACTTCAACACAGTAACGCCAAATACTCGAGTTTCAAACTCAAAGGTCTACTCTTACATTTTGGCTGTTACTCCATGCTCTGGACACCTTCGGTCTACACATTCAAGAAGCCCGTGACTTTGGTTCTTGATAAAGAGCTCATGGATAACTTCGCCGATGCGTTTTTGCCAGGCATGTCTGATGCGGATAAGCGAAATCCTTTGGTCAGTCCGATTTACGCTGATTTAGAAGCTCTGAGAGGCCGATTGCCCCCAGCTTTGTATACCTGTGGCACGGAGGATTGCTTATTAGATGATACGCTCTTCATGAGTACGAAATGGTTGGCCGCTGGTGGAGAGGCAGTGGTTAAGATTATTCCTGGCGCTCCTCATGGCTATATTATGTTCCCTAGAAGTCTCAAGGCCAGTGCAGCGGACCAAGGATTGAAAGCTGTGGAGGACTTTGTGATGCCTAGATTTTAAATGCTCTAACCAAAACAAGACACCAACGAGACAGACAATCATTGACATGACATAACAAGTCCAAACTCGTCTTGCGGGGTCGACTTGAACCAAATTCGCTGTGTTCTAGAGCTCATCGAGATGGATGCACATTCTTTTCTGTGATGGGCGGAGTTGGCCAACCTTGACGTGTCATGAAGATTTTTGGTTACAGTCATTTTCCGAGCCTGCCTACTCTTCAACTCATTGTATGCATGCATCGATGGCCCTCGATGCAGCCGGTGACTGATGATCGCTCACTCAATCATATCGATATCATCTGCCGCTGGCGGAGCAGCAGTCGGAGCAGCTGGTGCGTCTGTTCCATTCTGAGCTCCACCAGGCGCAGCACCTCCCCAATAATCATCCATTTCGGCATCGAGTTCCTCGGCCGTTTTCCGTGGTCTGCCGTTGACGACTTTATGGCCCTCGCCGTCACGACGCTCTCGTCTTTCTCCAGGTCGGCGTCCACCTCGTCGACTTGAGTCACGACCACCTCCACGCTGGCCGGGGACATAGCGATCAATGTTGTCCGGCGGCAATCGCGTTGTGTCAGTTCTTCGGTCTGTGGCTCCGCCTCGTCGTGGGCCCCGTCTAGCAGATCGGTCCTCGTCAACTTCCTCCATTGGACTCTGGCTTCTCCTCCTCGTTGGTCGGCTTGGCGCTTCAATTCGATCGAAGAGAGTTCTCGGGTTTTCCACTCGATCGAAGGGGTTGTCGCGACGTGGCAATGGCAAGAGTGTAAGACGAATCGGTTGTCCCTTGGCGTTTGCGCCGTCAAACTCGCGAATGGCGCTCCGAGCATCGGCAACATTGGCATAAGTGACGAATGCTACGCCATCAGAGCGTCCGGCACGGTCGTAATGGAGTTTGGCACTCTCAACGGGGGCAATTCTGGTGAACAAGTCCTGAAAAGGTAAGCCGGGTGTTATGTGGTTCAAGATACAGCAATACGAACATAGATGTCATCTTGTGTGAGGTCGTAATGTAAGTTTTCGACTCGGATTTTAGCCGGAGGTACTTCTCTACAAGGAATTAGTCGACAGAACTGGTGTTGCTCATTGGAGACGTCACCTGTCAGATTCGGGGGGGTGGTCATCGCGTCGGCGGTCTCTTCGTTCTCGGAATCGGTCCGGCGCACGACGGTCGGCTGAAAGTGGTCAACACGAGATACTAATCGAGGTAGGGATGCATACAATCAGGGTCGTCATCATATCGGTCGTGAACCCAATCACTAGTTCGACATTAGCAAATGACGCGTGCTAGCCTGTAAAAGTCGATTGCTCACTTGTCTAGATTTGTTCGTTCGTCTCTTGCAGGCTGTTATTAGGGGATACGATGTTAGCTGGGGTTCGGAGGAACAAGGCTGGCCTGGTTCGGGTCGAATGTCGAAGCAACAAATCGGACGAGGACTTGAGATGGACCGGCATTCAAGCAATCCGAGGTAACAGGCGGAGGTCAAGGAGGATGAGGGCGGGATATTCGGACCTGGTACATGAGGGTCAGAATGATTGCGGATTTGTGGAATGCTCGTGGAGGATATCAAACCTTTCTGACACCATCGCGAGGGTAATTGTCCCTGCTACTGTTGTAGTCTCTTCGACGTGACGGTGGAGGACCTCTACGGCCACGATATGAGGACTTCTTTCGCCTGATCAGTGAACAAGTTCTGTGGCAACAGGGAGAGTAGGACACACCTGCCGTTCGGCAATAGTCTCGTCGAGACTACGATCCATTGTGCCTGTCGTTCACTCGAGGAGAGATCTGCCAGGCGAATTCTCTCAAACGCGTCGAAGGGACGTGACGAGCGGAATCAAAAGCCCCGGAGCGGTGAGAGGATGTTAGATGACAAAGGAGAGTGAACTAGTTTCGGGTCGAGGATGTTCAAACTGATGTACAAACAAACTGCGTGATGGCGGCACAAGTAGTAGAAAACCTGATGGCAACTCAAAAGTCACGTGCGGGTAGGGCATGCCGCTTTTACAAGAACTCCATTAGTGTCGTTGATAAAGTCACTTGTGTTTATATCTTGACCAGAATCCCATACAAACTGAAATCTACACTCAAGTTGAATTTCAATATCAGGTATACAACAGCAAACCTTGACCTACCCAAAAGCCATTTTCATTTCTGGTGTTGAACACCTTGCCGCTCTTCATGAGCTCTAAGTCAACCATTCTGGGTATGGCATCGCCATCCCGACCTGTGGCGGTCCCAGCCTGATCACCGCTAAGCGCCCATTTACTTACCCTGGCAAATGCACTGCCTTCGCAGTGCCCAACCGCTTCCAAATGGCAGAAGCGAGCGGTAGGTAGCGACAACACATGGGTAATCCCCCGCATGTCTTCTGCTTTCGAATCCTTCTCTTCTTTTTCAGCCTGTTTGCGATCCACCACATCGTGCTCACTCACAACATGAGCGGTCATCAAAAAAGTTGTCCAACCTGCTTCACAATATGCCCCCCGTAAAATTCACGGATAGAGTCAAGCAAAAGCTGAAGAGCCGCGGCTCCAGTTCCAAGAAGGTCATAGTTCCGAATGATACCAACCTGTCCCAAGCGGGCCAAATCACCAGCGCAGCTACCCATACATCTAACAGATCATTGGGCCCAAAGTCTTCTCCTGCTGGAAACCAACCCGTGCCAGTTCTGCCCGGCAAATTATGCAATGTGCCACCTGTGGGCCAGCCCATTCGAGAACTTTGGCATGTCGCATACGAGGAACTACGGAATGCTGAAAAGGAGTTGGTACAAAAGTTTGAGGAGAAAGTATCCGCTAGTCTTCCCACGGGGTTGGCATCGACTGCTGGTTTCAATGACCAAAAGAGAGAACAGATGAACACTATAGTCAGGCGTAAAATCGAAGAGGTGGACAGGGAAGCTTGGAGAATCAAGTTCGGGTCTAGCGACGTTCTCGTCAAAGACCTATTAGCTTCATGCGTGGGCATCGTGACCTTTCTCAAAAAGTCCCTCGACCCTGTCCTTGACGCAAACCCCTATACCTCAATCGCTTGGATGGGTGTCGGGTTGTTGTTACCGGTAAGTGAGTCTGTTGCGTTGTTCATCAAGTTGTCTAATTATGGGGTATTAGCTACTCTTGAACCCTTCAGAGCAGGCCACGTCTCTCGGCAAAGGACTGGAGTACATTGCAACTCTCGTCGCACAGAGCCGAATGAGAGAGGATCTTTATCTCCGGCGCTACGAGTCGAAGACCAATGATGGTAAATTATCCCAGCTATCACATGACGAGTACAAGAATGCCCTGAAGATGCTATACCGAAGCATTCTCAAGTTTCAGATGGAGATCTACTGCTATTTTGTCAGCAATTCAGCATCTCGTCTGGGAAAGGACACTGTCAAATGGAACGACTGGGAGAGTTTGCTTAACGAAATTCACAGGCAAGAAGAGACGTTCGAACATATCAATAAACTGTGGAAGGATGCAATGTACGACGAAGAATGCGCGAAGGCGGAAGAGCGTCATCAAGAAAACAAAGGCCGATGGGACATCATTGGGGAGGACGTCTCTGGGCTGCGCAGAGCCATTGAGCTTGCTCAGGAAGAAAAGAAGCGCGATGAGCTCCTAAAATGGCTATCCGACGTTGATAATTCGGAAGGTTACAATGTGAGTCGGAAAATGCATGAAGCTGGTACGAGCGAATGGCTGGTAAGCGATTCCATAGAGTTTACGCATTGGGAGGAAACTCCTCGCTCGTTTCTCTGGCTTCATGGAAAAGGTGAGCTGCAACATCACCCTCAATTCGGACTGTCCTGACAAACAATAGCCGGCTCGGGAAAATCGGTTCTTAGCTCATCCGTCATCAGTCACTTTAAAGAACGATATAACGACGACCCGAATGGGGCTGTGGCCTACTTCTTCTTCAGCTTCAACGACAAAAGGAAGCAGAATGTGGACGAGATGCTAGCATCTCTTATCAGACAGCTCTGCACTCGACGACCAAACACCCCTAAAGCTGTGGAACGTTGCCGCGAGTACATGGAAAAAGGCGAACGCCCAGACACCACAACTCTTCAAGCCGCACTACTGAGTGCGATACAAGGCTTCTCGGCAACATACTTTATCATCGACGCCCTAGACGAGTGTCCGACTGTCAGTGGGGGGCGGAGAAACCTTCTCGACTCCCTCCACTATCTTATCAGGTCGGCGCCTGACGACCTTCATATTTTCTGCACCAGCAGGAAGGAGGCGGACATTGCAACATCTTTAAGAACCCTCGTGTCCTCGCCAGTAGGAGCTCAAATCGACTTGGTAATTCAACGAAAGGCCGTTGACGTGGACATTGGTCTGTATATTGACTCAATGTTCGCACGGTCCGAATTCGAGTCGTGGAACCTGTTCCCCGAGGAGAAGGGCAAGGCCAGAGAGAAGCTGGTTGAAAAGGCAGATGGAATGTAAGTTATTCAGGAAGAGACTGGAGCCACAGTGTGACTTTTGCTGACATACCTTAATCGCTTCCCCTAGGTTTCTCTACGTTCACTACCAGGTCGAGAAACTCGCCAAGTGTGTCTCGGTCGCCCAAGTTACAAAAGTCCTCGATAATCTCCCACCTGGCCTCGACGGCATCTTCAATAGAATCCTGGAAGGCATTGACCCAGACATGCAACCGCAGGTGCACAGTGCCTTGATGTGGCTCGCCTTTTCCACCAGACCTTTACTCCTGGAGGAACTCGCCGAAATATTCGTCATTCGCACGGAACGCGCTGTACCGGAACTCGAAGTTGACGCGCGTCCCTTTCACCCCAGAGATGCTCTCAAATGCTTCTCCAGCCTCATACTGGAAGAAATGATTTATGATCCGCGGCGCGGAGAAGTTGGATTTACATATCACGGTGTCAATGTCGTCCGCCTCTTCCACTTCTCCATCAAGGAATATTTGACTTCAGACCGCATCAATAATGGGCCAGCTGCGCGTTTCGGCTTCTCCGAGGTCAAAGCACAAAAACATATTGCTCACTCATGCCTTGCTTACCATCTCTATTGCGTCGAGGAGGCGACTGTCCTTTCTAATACTCAAACGGAGGACGCCTTCTGGTTGAAAGGATATGCAGGGCGGCACTGGATAACTCATCTTGAGATGGTCCCAAAGACACACTGGCCGTGCGCGGTTCCTCTTGCAGCAACCCGTGCACTAACTCCACGCAGCAGAAGCCTGCTAATCATGCTCCAAATGTCTAACAATGCCATTTCAGACCAATCTTGGGGGCCCATTCCGGTATCTATGCTGCACCGGCCGTGGTGTTTTACCGCTCGGCTAGGCCACCTACAGCTCACCCAGATGCTACTCGATACAGCAAGAAACGAGTATTTGACACAGGAAGACCTGGATGCGGCTCTGCATGAATCTGCATATGGTGGACACACTGATATTGTAAAGTTTATGCTGAAAATGGGCGCCAGTGCCAACTCCGAGGCAGCGTGGTTTGGAACTGCGCTTCATGCAGCGGCAGCAAGAGGACATCCAAGGGTTATAGATGCACTCCTACAAGACGGGGCATCCATTGACGCGTACGGGAAGAATGGGGTGTCTGCCCTGCAGCTAGCAGTCGAACACAAGCAATACGCTGCCGTCAAGCGCCTTGTCGCTCGTGGGGCGAACATCAACCTTCCCGCCGCAGAAGGGCAGCCCTGCATCCTGACACAGGCCGACAGCTTTCTACTGCCATACTTGCTCGACCATGGCGCCAACATTGATATGCAAGATAACAGATATGGGACACCATTACACCGCTTAGTCGAAAGTGAATATTATGATCGAATGATGATCGAGATGTTGTTGAAAAGAGGTGCCAACGTCAACGCAAAAGGAGGCGCTTACGGATATGCCCTTCAAGCTGCATGCTCCACAGGAAACAATGTCGCCATCGTAAGGCTCCTACTTGACGCAGGAGCTGATATCAATGCGGTGGGAGGAAACTTTGGCACAGCTCTGCAGAGGGCCTGCTTCACTGAAACGAAAAGTGACATTGTTGACCTGCTGTTGAATCGAGGGGCAGATGTCAATATATCTGGAGGCACATATGGCAGTCCCTTGATTGCAGCTTGCATCTGCGGACATTGGGTTGAAAACTTCCGACGGGTCCGTCGATCCCCCAAACGCGAGACTCCAAGAAACAACATTGAAACGATACGCAAGCTGATTAGCCTTGGGGCTGACGTGAATTACCAGGGAGGCTTCCATGGGAACGCACTTCAGGCAGCCGCTGCCAATTGCAGAGCTGATGTGGTTCGTTTTCTGCTTTTAGAGGGTGCTGATGTGAATATTGTCGGCGGGGAATATGGGACAGCGCTTCAAGCCGCCGCGGCAAGCGACTCCAAAGAGATCGTTTCGATGCTGCTGATGCACAGTGCAGACGTTCATCTCATAGGCGGCAAGTTTGGGACTGCGCTTCGGGCTGGCGCTTCTCGTTCATCCAAAGACATAGTCTCTCTTCTACTCATCCATGGCGCTAAGGTCAATACCACAGGCGGAAACCATGGAACCGCACTCCATCTGGCCGCTACCACCCCGGGATCACAGAAGGACCCCTCAGCCGACATTGCACGCATGTTACTCGATCGTGGCGCCGATGTGAGTGCCCAAGACTCCTTTCTCGGAACCCCCCTTCATGTAGCCGCCTCCACTAAATACAAGGCCATGGTGTCACTTTTGCTCGAGCGCGGCGGCGATGTCAACGCCAAAGGTGGCAGATTCTGGACTACGCTCCAAGCTGCTGTTCAACACGAGGCTACAGATCCCGCAGATAGGGCTGATATCGTGCATATGCTGCTTGATCATGGTGTTGAGATCAACGCTAGAGGCGGAGAATATGACACAGCACTTCAAGCGTCCTGCACGACACAGAACGTTGACATCCCGCGTCTCCTGATTCAGCACGGCGCTGATGTTCACGTTAGTGGGGGGAAGTACGGCAGTGCCTGGCACGCCGCTACACATTCACATTCACAGTCTATAGATACTGTTCAGCTACTAATTGAGCATGGTGCTAACGTGAACGACGCTGGGGGCGAACCCTACGCTACCGCCCTCTACGCGGTACTTGCGAGCGACCCAGGGCGTGTGACTGAAATATACAGTTTTCTTCTCAAGAACCGCGTTAACGTCAACACGAAGGCTGGTCCACATGGGTCCGCGCTTCATTTCGCTTTGTGCGAATGGGCTGACGGTAGATGGGCGAGAAGACTGCTTGAGGACTTTCCTGACATCAATGTCAATGCACAAGGCGGGCGGTTTGGGAATGCTCTGCAGGCAGCGGCCTACAAGGGATTGAGAGATGTGGTAGAGCTTCTCCTAGACCGCGGTGCCGACGCAAAACTCCGAGGTGGTAAATATTACAGTGCTCTTAATGCTGCCGTCGTCAAGGGTTTTTGGGATATTGTCGAGATTCTACTCGACCACGGGGCTGAACCAGACAACATCTTCCAGCAGGACCCTGACGAAGCGTGGCTTCGTGTTGTACTCGACGATGATGGTCGCGGCGCGGTCGAACGTTACAGGGGATTTTGGGAGAGGGAGGATGCAGGAAAGCGGCCGGAAAAGAGAATAAGCCGTGAGAAATACTGTGGCGATTTGGAGGAATCAACATGGAGGTTGGATGAACCAGACTTGGGTTCTGACTGGGGTTCTGACTGGTTTTCTGACTGACCTTCTGACTAGTAGGTTTTGTCCTATTTGTTTGTGAAACCATTCCCTAGGGAGGGAAATGAGCAACTGCAGTTATGATATACAAGACACTTGGTTCGCTACTAACTGAGGGATGTAAAAAGATAGCTAGCGAGCGGTTATAGACTTTATCAACTACGAGTATAGGGCGGCATCATTCTCGCCCTGAAGCGGGGTTGAATGGGCTGCAGATTGATTCTCAGACGTGCAGACTTGTGCACCAACAAAAGCCATCTCATGTCATATTTATTCACATTCAAGGGCATGTAGAATTGGAATACATCCTCAGCCAGTGTGCGACACCTTCAATTATGTCCCAGACCCTCAATTTCAATTGAACTCTCCTTGATCCAAGTCCGCATAACCTCCTCTCTCCCCTCCTACCGACATCATGGCCCGCAGCCATCTCACCCGTAGACTATGGTTACCCACCCACACCTCAACACGACCAACATGCCTCTTGCAAAGATCAAGAACGTTCCACACCAGTCCCTATCGCCGAACAGATGGCGTGTACAAAGAGCTGACGGAAATGCGGATCCGGACGCCATGGATAGAGGCATTGCGAGACGCCCAAAACAACAAATCCTCCCCAACAGCAACAGCCCCGCCACCGGCCAAAGTTGACCTCACACCCAAAAAGATGTCGGATAGCTATGTCAGCTTGGTGCTACCACTTGCGGTCAGCCATATCCCAATCCTATACATGACCCTCCTTGTAGCATACTGACCTAGTCGAACCTTCTCCAGCAAGACAAATGGCTCCTCGATACCTATGCCAACTATACCGGCCAAATCCGCACTGGCACGCTGCTCATGGACCTCGACGCACTCGCCGGCGTGGTCGCATACAAACATACCGGCGAAGGTGTCAGCACCGTTACAGCAGCCGTCGACCGCATCACCCTCCAGAATCCCATCAAAGAAATCTGCGACCTCGAACTCTCCGGACAAGTCACCTATGCCACAGGACGAAGTAGCATGGAAGTAACCCTTCAAATCGCCAAAGCGCCCACCGCCGGCCACGCCAGTAAACCAGAAGAAGTCTTCATGACCTGCGCCTTCACCATGGTCGCATTAGACCCTCAAACCAAACGACCCGTCAACATCGCACCTCTCGTGGTATCCACCGCCGCCGAAAAGGCCATCTTTGAAAAAGGCGCGCAAAACTACAAGAGCAAAAAAGCCCTGAAATCCGCCCACATCCTCCAAAAAGCCCCTGACGCGGAAGAATCAGCCGAGATTCACAAAATGTGGACAGAATCACTGGCATATGCAGACCTCAAAAACCCCAAACACCAGCCTCGCAACGTCATGACCATGTCCAAGACCTCGATCCACAGCACGCAGATCATGCAACCTCAATATCGCAACCGTCACAACTTCATGATCTTTGGCGGATATTTACTCAAACAAACCTTTGAATTGGCCTTTACCTGCGCCGCCGCGTTTTCACACACTCGACCACGGTTCCTGAATTTAGATCCCAGCACATTCGAAGAACCCGTCCCTGTTGGTTCCGTGCTCTATGTCTCCGCTGGTGTGTCGTATACGGAACCTGATCCAACGAGTGGAGGGACGAGAATTCAAGTCATGGTGCGCACACACGTTCGACCGGTGGATAATCAGGATCAAGACCGCAAATCGACCGGGACTTTCTTCTACACGTTTTTGTCACATGATTCAGTCAGTGTGCTTCCTCAGAGTTATGGCGAATTCATGCGTTGGGTGGCTGGAAAGCGCAGAGCGGAACAGCTGGCTACAACGTTGCAGACCCATATGGGCACGAGTACTGGACTGGCCAGTCTGCATGCGGAGAACTTGACGGAATGAGAATACTTGAGTGAGTTACAAAACTATACTGAATGATCTGGTCAAATAAAAGACGAGAGGGGGAATCAGTTCCCAAATCAAAGAGCAAAAGGCAACAGGCGAGAAATCTGGGCCCTCCAAAAAGGGCAAATTTCTTTCTCCCGGAGTCGTTCCGTCATCACACCACAATCGTATAGTTGGTTGAACGAAGGGATAATACGACGGTCGAAGGGAACGGCGAATGGTATGAATGATATGGTATGATCATAAGAATGAGGCCATGGAATTACAGTACACAGTGCCAATGACAATCAGATGACTTATTACACAACCATGCACGGCCGGGCGGAAAGGTCCAGGACGATATGACTGACAGTGCATCAAGTGCTAATCAAGCCTGGTCCCTCGTGATGACCCAGAGGCAATGGATACGTGAGATTCTCAAAACAATGAGATACGATATCCTGCTTCAGATTCTTCCCTACTTCGACCATATCTCTGATTGGCACATATCTATCATCACCAAGGAACTTGATTTGACTTGATTTGACTACCTAAGACAACAAGGCTTCAACTCCAGGAATTACAACGCCAATGCATGATATCCACACCGTCGCTTTGATGCCAATTCTCGCTATTGCTCTCGTTGTCGCTGTCGCTGTCGCTCTCGCCTCAGAAAGTCCTCAATTCTGCATGCTTCGCTAATCATTCGGCCCTGCACCTTATTGCTCGTCATACCTCTTACTTCTTCTTCGTTCTGCCTTGTCTCGATCACGATCGCGGTGACTTCGCCGGTGTCTGCGCTCGCGGTCTTCCTCTGATTCCGGAAGGCCATCAGGGTTCAATCGCCCACCCCCACCACTCCAACGTGGATCTTGACTTGGAGCTCGTCCATTTCGATTCATGCCAGCGCCGTCATATCCGCCGACACCTCCCCCATTGGCGTCGGTTCTACGACTCCGTCGTCTTTCCTTGTCTCCTCTAGATCCATGACTGGGTGGTCGGATGTCCATGACAAAGTCATACACCCTCGGACTCTGCTTAAGAAGCACAATCTCAGTATCGCTTAGTCTGGCTTCTGGCAATTTCCCCTGCCGGCCACTGCTGCTATCCGTCTTCCCCGAATGATCGATCCAAACCACGATCGGTCTTCCGGGGCCATTAGGTCCACCGGGGCCCAGTTCGGTCGAAAAGGTCCAGTCTCGTAAACTCTGTGGCTCGTACCTTCCGCGGTCTTGTGGTCCGGGCCCCTGCAAGCCGATTCTTGACCTGACGCTCGCGTGTATATATTCGTTTGTCGACCGTAATCTTTTAGAAGTTGGTCGGCCGGTTTTGGGATCTGTTCGATGGTAGGCACCCGGGGTACGGGTTTTGGACCCTGTGAAGGAGTAGGCGCCTTTGAGACTGTTGTATAATTCTCCGAACCCCCACCATCGCGGCTTCTGTCCAGTGAGCTTATAATAGGCCCTATTATCCTCATAAAATGACATGAGAATATTGGGGCGAAAGTCGAGGTATGGTTCGAGCCTGGAGATCATCCACGCCAAAGTCAGGTTAGCCAGGTCCTGGTCATCGTACCCCCCTCCTACATTGGAGTGCACGCCTGGAAACCAGCACTGTTCGAGATATGTCGTGTCATTATCGCGCTTCTCCCAAAGGGCGGGGGCAAATGGGGCGCGGCGTTCATCCAAAGCAAGAGCTTGGAAAGCGTTCTCGATACACGGGTGTAAGCGCGTATCGTAGAATTCGTAGTCGTGCTTCCCTCGACTAGACAGGCCGAGTGATTCGAAAAGACCGACTCTTGGAATACCCAGACTACCGACGGTGTCCCAGCAGCAAATTGCCTTGATAGGGACATGACGTGTAGTGAGGCCGCGCCGAGCAAGTTCTTCAACATATTGTTCGTCAAAGGGTCCTTTGCTGGGAAATGGGTTGTCGGGGTAGTTTGAGACGTAGTTTTCGTCAAAGCGATGCTCCCAGTCTTCAAAGATCTCATTGAAATTGGGTAGACCAGCACGGGTCAAAAGGCCCAAAGAGCCAATCATGCCTCCAACAGAACGGGCAGTGAAGGCGCCTCTGGAGAATCCCATGAGGAAGATCTCATCACCCGGTTTCCAATTGATGGCCAGATATGTGTATGCTTCGCGCATGTTCTCTTTGAGGCCAAGACCTGTTACACCTCCGGCAATGCGGGAAGCTCTTCCCCCCATGGTCCCCACGCCAGCTTGATAGTTGACGACTTGTGGAATGCCATCACGTGAGGTATCTTTAATAGCCCATCCAATGCGACTGACGTTGCTTGGAGGTTGTTTCTGGCCATTGGTGAGACCATTGTCCGAGTCCAGCCAGGTGCCATCACAGGTGACGATGAGACGCTTGCGAGGGCCTTGGATGGGCCGTTCCAAGGTGCCAGGCATAGGACCCATCGTCGAGCTAAGAGGCGGCGGTTCGAGGCGAGATGGTGGACGAGAGGCTGCGACACTGAGTGGAGGTGGTGGAGCGGCGACACTGAGAGGAGGTGGTGGAGCAAACATGCCGGATCCTCCACCATGCATACTCGCAGGATACCCAAGGGCGCCTGGAGGAGCGAGTCCGCTGACCGTAGAGGCGCGGGGGACCGGCGTCCGAGACATGAGAGCGGGTCGTTAATATGAGAGCGCTGTCCGTGCAGGTGGGAAGTGACTGAAGGTGAGGGTGACAGCGGCAAGGCTCTGTCAGCTTGGACGATGAGGGCGGAGATTTCGGTAAATGTGGGATAGCAGAACTGATATTGATAAGTCCATCGACTCGGGCTTAATGATGAGAGAGACTGTAAGAGGAGAAGAATGGTAAAGCAAGTAGGGTGTTGAGAGTGAGAGATGGTCTGGGACTTGAGAATGGTTCTGAGAGACGAAGACGAGAGCGCATGACGAATGTTCTACAGGTAAGTACTAGGTACCTAGAAAGGAAGGAGCGACTTGCGCTGGACAAGGCGACAGGGGAATAGACGAAGGCGAAAGCGACGACAGCAAGAAGGAGGAAGGATGTGTTGTTGTCACAGATATGAAAACCAACTGCGACCATGGATTGATTACCTTAGGCTCTTGTCGCAACAATCCAAGGCGCCTCTTCACCCATGATGAGGCGACATCTGATCGGTGGATGGTGGGTGGATGGGCGCGTGGGCTGGTCCGCTGTTGACATGGACTGCGGCGTCCTCGGCCTGCCCCTCGGCGCCTTAGGCTCCACTGATGCTTAGCGTCCCAGCCTTCTCTGTTGAACCCTTGCATTGTCACAAGGCTATAGGTACCCATAAGCATTAACCGTTAATTTGTTACTCCCCGTAGTTAGTCGACCCGCCCCCAACAGGCTAGTTTTTAACTGGAGGTTGACCTAACGATGTCATTTTTAGGCTCGGGTCTATCCACTTGTTCGCCGCCAGCCCTGCAGTTCATGCATTCCTCCAGCCCTGTGAGTGTGAGATGGGTTGCCGTCATAATGCAGAGGCTGGTGTCGGTTAATTGACATACAGCACTGAATAACCACTGAAACAAGCCTCGGACCTATGGAAGCACACATAAGATTCAGATTCGGAGGTATTCTGATGACATCCACCGCCACCGTGTCTTGGGCGTATAAGTAGTCAATAGAGGCGACACCACAACCAACAGATAATCGCCGAGAGGTCATATCAATCATGTCAATAATATCAGGTTGAGGACTTCCTCATAGAATGAATCTCTAAATCCTCCCTATCATGAAGAAACCACATTGAATCATACGCTAGTGCATTGCAAGCCACCCAAGCCTTCAAGCAACCCTTTGTGCGAGGCCTTCCCAAGGACTGTGGTCCAACGCCTAGATGCATAACTCGACCATCGACAACTCCGCCCTCATTAGCTTCTATTCATGTTAGACTTAGTCCTGGAAGTCTCCCAAATTATGGATGCTGATATCCATCCTGTCTCTGACGGCATGGTTCTCATGATCATGTGATTCCTTAGAAGAGTGATCATGCTTGCCGTTAGACGCAAAAGAAGATCTTGCTGCGGTGCCGTTTGTCAAAGGAACCACCTTGCCCGCTGCATCCACAACAGCACCACTGGTTGCCAATTGAATCTGGTCCTGCCCAGCAACCCCCTGAGAGATGGCCTTTCTGGCTTCGTCCATCACTTTCAGCTTTCGTGTCTGCCCTCGAATGCGCTCGAGATGGTCAAAGTAACCTTCATCCACTGGGGTAATATAGGAGCCGCAGAACACACCGACCTCGAAGTTCCGAGGGGCATCCTGGTTGTTTCCTTCTCTTCCCGCATCTACACAGGCCGCTTTGAGATCATCCAGAGTCTGGTAGATAACGCTATCCGCTCCAATGTGTTTGCTGATCGCATCAGCACCAGTGTGGTTGTGCGCCACCAGCTCAAAGGGAGAGGCCAAATCGATGCCATAAATATGCGCGTGTGTGATGGGTGGAGCACAGCTGGCAAAATGTACCTTTTTCGCTCCTGCTTCTCGAGCCATGGTGACAATCTCCCTGCTGGTCGTGCCTCGAACGATACTGTCATCCACAAGAAGCACGTTGCGATCTTTGAACTCCATCGCCATCGCGTTAAGCTTGCGTCTCACGCCTTTCTGTCGAGCTTTCTGCTCAGGCATGATAAAGGTCCGGAAAACGTATCTGTTCTTAACGAATCCTTGACAATATTCCTTTTCCAGGGCCTGGGCCACTACTGATGCCGAGGTGACAGAGGTCTCTGGAATGGGGATCACCACGTCAATCTCGGCGAGCTCTTCAGGGCTCAACACCTTCTTGATACGCTCTGCGAGCTTGACGCCCATATGCTGTCGACTCCGGTGGACGCTGATTCCGTCCATGACCGAGTCAGGCCGAGCAAAGTAAACGTATTCGAAAATGTCGGGTGCATACTCGATCCGTTTTTGGACTTGTCGGAAAACTGGTTCGGTTCCCTTTTGGATGATGACCGCCTCGCCTGGCAGGATGTCCCGTTCCACCTTAAAACCGAGTTGTTCCAGCGCGACTGATTCTGAGGCCATCATATAGTCTTTTCCAACTGCATCGAATGAATCCCGAGAGCCCAAGATCAATGGGCGAATGCCGAAGGAATCACGGAAGCCAATCAATCCATAGCCAGCAATCATGGCCGTACATGCCCAACCACCTTGACAGCGGTCGTACATGCGACCGAGACTGGCAAAGACATCGTCATTGTTGATACGGGCCTTGCCAGTTTCGTTGAGTTCGTTGGCAAAGATATTGAGCATCAATTCACTGTCACTTTCGGTGTTGATGTGTCGGTGAGCGGTCTGGTCCAAGTAGCGTTTCAGCTGTGGAGCGTTGATGAGGTTGCCGTTATGCGCCAGGCAGATGCCGTATGGGCTGTTGACATAAAATGGTTGTGCTTCAGCATTGGCGCTGCTCCCAGCGGTGGGGTATCTCAAATGGCCCAGACCCATGAAGCCTGGTAGGTCCATGATTCTTGAACCATCATGGAAGACTTTTGCCGCCATACCATTACCCTTACATTGGTATATCCTTCCGCCAGTGGCGCAGGTCGCAATCCCGCAGGCATCTTGGCCACGATGTTGGAGGAGGTAGAGGGCTTCGTGGAGATCAACGGCAGCCGAGGTGGAGGAGGTATTGGCGAGGATAAGAGCCAAAATTCCGCACATGATGGAGACGGAGTGGCAGAATCTAGAAGTTTCAAGTTGTGTTAGCAGGAAATTTGGTAGGCGAGTTATTTGAAAATTTGGCGAAAGAGAAGTTGGTCCGATCAGACCCGAAAGTTCTCAGCAAGAATGATATGAAGTCTAACATCTTAAAAAACAAGGTGGTTCATCCTGTGGAAATCTGGTGCCGTGACAGAGGCAGGGGACAAGGTGACTGACCTTTTCAAACCCTTGGATGGCGGGGAATCTCAGTGAGTGGGTGACTGACTCGGTGGGTGAAGATTGGTATGAGGGGGGTCGGAGGGGTGAGGTGATCAAGGAGGGAGTTGATCGGAGGCAGTGAGGGTAGTGACAAAGGTCGTTGAGGGAATTGCGAATACCAAGTCGTTTGAAGTCGACATGGTACTATCACTTAGAAAGAGAAGAGAGAAAGCCGCCGATGAGGGAAAGTCAGAGAATGATTTAATGTTTGGGTCAGTCCGCACCAACAACGGGATGTCGACCAGGGATCCATATTTTTTTTTACGACTGGGTTTGGTCAAGGTAATGAGAAGAGGCGAAGGATGATGGACAGGAGTCTGGAGCTCAGAGTCTGGAGGTGGTTGGTTGGAAAACCTCGCGTGCCTGTTGGTGCAAATTCTTGCCACTAATAATTGACTTCAAATGTCATGCGGCGAAAAGAGGAAAAATTCTCGATGCCGGTTGGTGGAAGGGAGAAGTGCACGCGGCAACAGGGCCGATGGGGGGGAGGGTAGAAGGGCTTCAGGGCCTACGGAGTACCCATAACGTCCGATTAGGGGCCTGAGGGGTATCTCTGGGCTTTGGCGTTTGGGCGGGGCGGCGTGGTGATGAGGGGCACATTTGAGCCTGCGTGCCATGTGACCCATCCTCATAGACTGTCCGCCAGTCCCTGGGCAGCCCCACTAAGTACGTTTGACCAAGCGTGCAGCGTGCCCTGTTCGGAAATCCAGCCTGTCTTGCCGCATTAATTTTGCTTATCTTGACTCTTATGAGAGCTCCCGCGTTTCGCCTAAGAAAAACATACGAGTAGGGTAAGTCACCGCGTTTCCCTTTGTCTTGCCTAGTCACTGACAACTTTAGTCACCACACTTGGAAAATGCCCAACGACCATCTCGTCCAGGTGTTGGCTTTTCGTCTAGCTATGCTGCTCAATCAACCTCCCCTTTACTCAAAACATGTACATCAAAATGGATTTCAGATGTACTAAGGTGGTGGGATATGGGGTGTGTGCCAAGGCCAATTTCTGGAACATCATTCAGCCGTGCCCCTGATCTTGACAGCCTTGCCTGCAATCTCTACAGTCTAATTGTACACCAACAATGGCTCTATACAAGATGAACCATATGCCTTTGTTCCAAAGGCAACATACAAAATATTGTCCCACCTCTTTGGTTTTCTGTCTGTTGTGCACTACAAGCCACTGAGTCCACACGAGACAAAGCAACAAAACCTGCTCTTCATTTCTGCAGACTCTCCGCCGCTCCATCATGTCTCCTATGTGGCGCCCACCATCCGAGAAGGTAGGGTAGTCTCTACATCGCTGATGTCAAGCTTGATCAATGGAGATTGACAAACTTCCTCAAACTGACATTGTCCTTGTTCACACACGTGCGTCAAATGGGCCAGCTGGAGAATATGCAATCTCTCTCTCACGTCCATGCCTTTCTTTGCAGACATGTGGTCATGATCCGCCTGGTTCTCAATTCTCCTCTGCATTGCCTCATGTCTTGCCCAAGTCTTTCAATCTTCAGTCCTTTCCTCAACTGTTTGGATAATTCACTGCATCGCATTTCTATGATTCTGTTGCGTTTATCCGATCTTGTTGTCCTTCTCTTTCAACCTCCCGTTCTCTCACTCTCACACCTCCCTTAACTCACCAGACACTCATGAAGCCATTAGCAATGGCAGCAACGTGGCAATATCGCCCCATTCAGGGCCACGAGCTCTCCCTCGACTCGACAGACTGGGCTACTGGTCAGTTCATCGCAGATCGATTTGACACAGCAACATCCCCAGCAGGCTCACCTCTCATCAATTCTCAAGCCTTTCCAATACGCCGTGGAGACATCTTACCTTCGCAAAATGACACCATCGTCATTCCAGATGATGAAGATGACGTCTCCGTTATCTCAATCGATAGCCAAGATGATCATTCCATACAGATTCTTCATAATTTCGACTATGTTGTCGCCCTCCGAGACACCTCCCCAAAGCTCGATCTTAAAAAAGGCGATAGCGTACAACTCTTGGATCGATCTTACCTTCGAATCCAAAATGTCACAAAAGACTGTCGCACACAAGAAGTTCTTTCAGTTTCTGGCTACCGATTAGTGAAACCGGACCGAAAACTCCACCTCATGCAAGCCAGAGAAAGAGAGCTTATTCTGCTCTTTCATGAGGCATTAGACAAGGGACCAGACGGAATCGACACCCCATTAGAGTCATTCAACATCTCTCATGTCTCGAAGAAATGTAATATCATCTTCACCAATCAAAACTACCAAGATCTGAACGCACAAAACGATATCGAACTCCAGGATGAGATCTCAGCTCGAAAGGACAAAACGTACTTTTGTCGTTGGAAACGCATCCTCCCACCACATTCAAAGTGTTTCGATGCGAAGGGTGATACAACCCATCATACTGGTGCGGTCATCAGACTGCCGGAAGAGAATTGCGACGACAGCGAACGCCTAGTCATTCAAGGCAATAATCTCAAAATGGTCCCAACTAAGATCTCTGCTAGGGACCTCCGTAACAATTGGCGAAGTCACCATCATCACCACCCACTTGGGAGCAAGGTCTCATGGACTTCGGGGCGTAGAAAGCAACAGTATACATTCTCTGACTTCTTCTGCGGCGCGGGTGGAGCTTCCTGTGGCGCCTACGATGCTGGCTTCGCCATCAAGACTGGGGTTGATCACAACAAAGAGGCCATTGCAACCTATCGAGAGAATTTCAGGCTTGGGAGGGACGTCGGTATACTATCCAGCATCGGAGATTTTATCGCCGGTGCGCTGGAAAGGGTTGGTCACTTTCGGTGTGATATCTGCCATTTCAGTCCTCCTTGTACATTTGCATCATCCGCAAATACACGACCAAACGAGGAACTAGACGCCGAAGCTCACACCGCTTTTCTCGCCATCGGTGACCTTCTCAACATTACTCGACCACGGATCGCCACACTTGAAGAGGCTCCGGCACTAGTATGGCCCTGTAATAGGCGTCGGCCTTTCTTTACCGAATTGATCGACCTCTTTCTCAGCCATGGATATAGCGTGCGCTGGAAGGTGCAGAACCTGGCAGACTGGGGTGTCCCACAAAAGAGAATCAGACTTATTATGATTGCAGCGTGTCCCGGTGAACCAATGCCATCCTGGCCAGAGGCAACCCACGGTGAGGGAGCGCTACTGCCCCATGCCACACTCCGCAATACCGTGGGTGCGATTCCCAGCGATGCTCTTGACCATAACCCCCACGAGGTCCGCAGATTCTCAATCCCCAAGTCGCCTCTAGACTGGGACTCCCTCAGCCATACCATCAAGTGCAGTGGCGACGCAGAAAAGGTCCACCACCCCAGTGGCACGAGGGGCTACACCATCGCAGAGTTCAAAGCAATCCAGACCTTTCCACTTGGGTTTTGGTTTTCAGGTAAACCTGGAGACAAAAAGCGACAAATCGGTAACGCCTTTCCGCCTCGAGCTGCGGAGGTGTTGTTCTCGCATCTCAGGAAATGGATGACACGGCAAGACAAAAGAAAAGAACGCGCAAGGGTTTGACCCACTGAGAAAATTCATGGGAGATTGGTCCCTGAGCCTTAGACGTCAGGTTCAGATTGCATGTGAGCGAGCATCGCATTGACTTGAATGGACATGGCTGAGCTCTGGTGGAACTCTTCTGGATACAGTTGACGGGGCGGTTCACGGGATTCGAACGATGAAGGAGGTTGGACGCGAATGGCTTCTAGAATCAAGCGAGATAGTACAGATTGGGAAACCTTGCTGTTTAATTAGGCTCTGTCTCAGTCCCAAGCTTCAACCTCAAAGGAGAGAGCTACACGATACCATTGTCTAAAAGAGCCTAGTTCAGGTACTTGCTAGAATGACATGCTCCTCCAGCCTTCAATCCTCCCAACTTCCGTGCTTCGACACGAAGGACCGTGACTCGACTTTGATACGAGAGAAATGCCAACCCCTTTCCGACCCAAACTGTTGGCACGAGCACAACACCACTCGATTGACTTGAGCAAGTTCCGAACTGACATCTCTTGGAAGACCCTATGGTTCATGCTGGGCAATTGGCTGAGGTAGAGCCTTTACCATCAGGAGCGACCGTAAAAATGTCTGTGCTGGGTGATGTCAGAGTTTAATTGTGGCCTCATCCGTACAAGGTAGTCGGATTTGTTCTTACTCGAAATTCTTCTGAAGAACACTGTTGTTTCCAGTAGAGAGAGCACTAAAGTAAGCTCAACACCGGTGAACTGCACGCGCTCCTAAGGTAGGACCCAGACTGCCGAATCACGATGGAGGCCCTCGAGACATCTGGCTTGATATCTAGCTTACCATAAACCAAGGATTGCGCAAGCACTGGCCAGGAAGCTCGAAAAATCTACCTGTTGGCCAGTAGGCCACGTACTTAGCTAACGGCTGGTGGAGGTGACAAGATGCCACTAAAGGGAGGACACCTTTCATCACCAACTTAGTACTTAGTACCCTGGACAGATAATTACATAATTTATAACATCTTAGAACCTAGTTCTATAGGTTATGAGCGCCTGTTAGCGATTAGACGAAACTGCGAAGTCCCTATATATCATAACACGAGTTGAACGTTTTCACATCATTAATACGAATGTCCTCGAGCGCCCGTCGTATCTCAACGAATGTGTACTGGGGCGGATCAGCCTCTCGTGTCGGCCCGTCGCCGAGTGTTTCCACCTGGGCAAATCCTGAACTACGGAATGTACGAACAGTCGATATCTGAACTTATACAAAGCAGCGGCAAAGTCGTGGTCCAAAATGATATGCGGGCTGGAAAAAGGGAACTAAAAGTCAGACATCACCCAATTCGCCGATCATGCACATTGAATGGCATCGAATCACCTGACTCCAACCACCCTTCCTAATCGGGATTAGCAACTCCCAGTCCCTCGTGGAAAGTAACTTCACAGCGCCGCGCCCCTTTTTGATTACTTCTACCAAACCTAGCTTCGATCGTCGTGACTGAAGTCGGGTCGACTTTTCGAAACCTTGCCTCCCACGTGCCTTGGCAAGTCTGTCTGTGCATCGAAGGTCAAGCACCTCTCTGATGGGCCCACGATCGGACCGCCGACGGGAGATGGGACCAGTTCCCAGCCCGCTGAGGCACGGATCGAGAAGATACGCTATGATGCAAATGCCCCTGTGAAGGGAAAGGGAGATCTTTGAGTCCGTCATCCCTGTTCAAATGCTTCGATTTTTCGGGTGGCGCGGAATTATACGCAACCGCCTTCTTCAAGTCGCGTCGCGTCCAAATCTCCTTTAACGACGTTGGCGACACGATCATGGCCCGTGCAGCTGCGAAAACAAAGCCCAAACCCCCAACCACGCATAGCGAAGCATTTGGCTGAAGTGCTTCTCTCATGCTCGGCAACGTGGACTAAAGACAGGCGTTCCAGACCTTTTCCGAGATGAAAGATGCTCGTGCACTGCAGGTGACATCTTCTTCAGCTCTTTTTACGGTACAGCTTACCAGCCTGAGAAGTCGAAGATCTGTCCATCGTATACAGAAAAAAGTGTCAAGGGGTGCAAATTGCTATAAAACCTCCCACCGTCCGCCGATTGACGATGCATTCCTCCTCAACTCAAGATACCATTTCAGAGAGCCTTGTCAGCCTCCGTCACCATGGCCATAACCGCCAACCTGAAAATGAGGACTTTGCTCCTTGTAGGCCTCGTATCCCTTCCTTTGCAAGTCGCTGCCGCCGGATGCTCATCACTATACGGACAATGTGGAGGCATAGGTTGGACCGGCTCGAAGTGTTGTGCCACTGGGTCAAGCTGCCAGGTACAAAACGATTATTATTCCCAATGCCTGCCATACACGGGCAATGCTGCATGCGCTGCAACATACGGCCAATGTGGTGGAATTGGGTGGACAGGTCCAACGTGTTGTCAGTCAGACTGGGCTTGCCAGTACAACAACGACTATTACTATCAGTGTTTGCCTCCACCTGACGTTGCAACCCCGAGCTCTAGCTCTACACCCACAACGGCACCAAGTTCTTGCGCAACTCAATGGGGCCAATGTGGAGGGACAGGTTGGACAGGCGCACGTTGCTGTCAAGATGACTGGCCTTGTGTCTATGGCAATGAATACTACTGGCAGTGTATATCTCCATCGAGTGGTATGTGATATCGTACTCTGGCTTATACACTCGGACACTAACACAGCATCAGCGAGTGCGCTGTCTGCTCAATCTGCCAGCAAAACCTCCCCAGCTGCATCCACCCTCTCCACTGCTACAAGTCCATCTGCGACAACAGTATCTGTTCCCAATGCTTCTTCAAGTGTCACTTCTAGCGCCACTTCCCCAGCTACATCCACCCTCTCCACCGCTACGAGCCCATCTGCGACAACAGTGTCTGTCCCCAATGCTTCTTCAAGTGTCACTTCTAGCACCACTTCCCCAGCCTCATCCTCGGCATCAAGCACTGCGTCACGTACCAGCTCGGCGAGCTCTGTTCCAACTGGAGGCCGATTGCAATACGGCGGGGTAAATATTGCAGGATTCGAATTTGGAACCTACGATACTTGTGGCGTCCACACGAACCCACCCTATGTGAATCCCACAAACTGGGTGGCACAGATCAGTCATTTTGTGAACGATGACAAGCTCAACGCTTTTAGACTCCCGGTCGCCTGGCAGTATCTGATCAATCAATACGATGGAGGCGACATTGCATCCAACACCATCAACACGGGCAATTTCGCGCAGTACGATCAATTGGTCTCAGGCTGTCTCAACTCCGGGGCCGCGCTCTGTCTCATTGACTTGCACAACTACGCCCGGTTCAATGGCAAGATCATTGGGCAGGACGGCCCAACTGCTGCACAATTTGCCAATCTCTGGGGCCAGATTGCTACGAAATATGCGGGTCAAAGCCGCGTGGCATTCAATCTGATGAATGAGCCACATGACGAGAGCTGCAACTCTCCCAACGGAGGCGTGATTGATATCCAGACATGGGCTGCAACTCTTCAACTGGCGGTCAATGCCATTCGTGCAGCAGGAGCAACGTCACAATTGATCATTCTACCCGGGAAAGGCTGGACTCATGCAGCTACATATCTTCCGTCAAGCAGCGATGGTTCTGGCCCAGCTTTGATGGGTATCACCGACCCTGTAGGCGGCACTTCAAAGCTGATTTTCGAGGTTCACGAGTACTTGGACTCCAACGATTCGGGATGCAATTGTGACTGTGTCACGAACAATATTGGCACGGCATACGGGCGAGGCGGCTTTTCTGCTCTTGCGGACTATCTACGATCCAATGGCCGGTTTGCCTTGTTGACTGAAACTGGCGGGTTGAACAACAACAACTGCGCAACCTATTTGTGCCAGGAATTGAGCTTCCTCGCAAACAACACCGATGTTTTCTTGGGCTATACCACCTGGTCGGCCGGTGGGTTCGATTCCAGTTATGAATTGACGGAAACACCGACGCAGAATGGAAATACTTGGACTGATACATCGCTCGTCACGAGCTGTGTTGTTAAGTGCTTTCAAGGACAGTGTTAAATGCATCCAATTGCGGGAGTGGGAGGCAAAGGTCTATGGATGAGAGAGAGAGAATAAATCATATAGAACTGGGATGAAGAGCAGATGACGAGGACATTTAGACATGTATTTTCAACCATAATGATGAATGATTAAATTTATATCTTTTCAGGGGTTTGGTGTTTAGTTCAGATGCTCCTCCGTACTTGGCATGTGCCGTTCGCGTGCATCGCCATAGTTTTCTGGGCCATAAATCTCCGTAAATCTGGACGGAAAATATATTTACCAGTTTTGATTTCTTGCTCAAGGACTACATTCATCCACCTTCAACCTCCCTAGCCACTGCCACCTTGATTTGATGAAATGATGATAGATACCATTGTGTAATATCAGTTATTTTGTTATGTTTTCACCACGAGAAAGCTGGTTCGCATGCCGCTGGCTGCTCATGTGGACTAAATGAGCTGAGGCTTCTGCGGGAATGCTGAGGAATGATGTTTCCAATTTCCTTCATCAGTGAGGAGGAGGAGTACTCCATTCAACTAACAGTACCTCGTCTTTATCGAGGCGCTGGAAAGTTAGGTGACCTTCACTGGTTCACTCGGAATGGTAGAGAAACTTTGCAAAAAATCGATTCTGTATCTGCTGTGCTGGACCTTTGGTTTGAAAGCTCGGTTCGTTTTGTAATCGAACAATATCTGAGAATTAGGGTAGGACAATGACTATTCTAGACATTGATTCAGTGTTGAGCTGTACATTTTGGGGGTAGATCCAAAATAATATTGCCTGATGGTTATGCTGGTAGGCTGGTAGCCGTGTCAGTCGCAGCTGCTTCGTGACTAGGTATCTACTTAGATTCAGATCTCAAGTTGTTAACTGCATTTTCGCCAAACAACAACACTCATGAATGTCACATCTACATCATCAGCCATTTTCATGGTCACCAATTCCACATTGAGGCGATATCTTGTCGTTTATTCCGCTGAGGCGGCTTCTAGCCACTATGGGTGTGCACGCATCTCCAGCAAGATTGCATCGAGAATTAGCTGCGGGTAGGTGAGGCCATTAAGCCACCAAAATCTGGGAATTTTTCTCCGGCGGAGCAAACTTGCAACACACGCCTCAGTGCATCTTTACGTGACGCGTTTGCCGCCGAATTAGCGCGTGCCATGTTGGCCATGTTGGCCCCTCTCTTCTTTGGAGACGAAACGTCTGGCGATGATCACGGTCGTGGGAAATGCTTCTCCAGCAATGATAGACCGTCCTTCACTTACTGTTCTTGCTTCTTGGTTCTGACAACATCTGTTATTTGCATCTAACATGTCTCGATAGTTGCGCCTATGCCTTCTCCTCATAAGAAGCGACCGATATCCGAATTCTTTCGTCCGTACAACACCAGCAATGTTCCAGCGAAACGCCCTTCTCCCTCTATCGATCTGCCACCCGGCAAGAAGAGCCCTAGCAAGCCTCGATCCCCCACGAGGACACCAAAGTCAGTGAAGAAACATGGAGATGACCTTACGACCACCCCACGGGCTTCGTTTTTCTCCCCGGCCGCTGCCCCCGGCTCCACCGCTTCGCTTCCATACAGAAGTCCTGTCCCAAAGTCGTCCCTGAAGCCTCCGTCAATATACAAGAGTGGCTCCCTGTTTGGTGCTTCCCCGCAGGCAGACCATGCCCAGAACAGACAAAATCATTCGTTCCATTTCCAGGACCTGCCTGGCCCCTCCAAGTCAGTGGCACAGCGACAAGAGCCCATTGTTATCCCAGATTCGGACGAGGACACCGATTCCCTACTCTCGTTGGCAGACATATTCGGCAAACCACAAGACCAGACGTCGCGCTCTTCGTCACCGAAAGTCGATGAAGACAAAAACGAACTTGAACGAAAGCAGCTCTTGTCCTTGTTCACACGCGGCCGGTCAGACCCTCTGGTGGGAAGGGACAAACTTCGAGAATTGCATCGTAAGCAACAAGCTTACAAGTTTGACTTGCAGGGGATTCTAGACGATCATTTTGGCGACGAAGACAACGACAAGACTCTAAAGAAAGCCCAAGACCACTACCACGAATCCACCAGGCCAAAAGACCACCGATATGCAGCGGAAATGGACCGGGAACTACTGGCAACGGTGGCTCACAATGGCGACGATGATGACCATGTCAGGAGACTGATGGACGCTGTGCAAAGAACAGAAGCACTAAATGCCGAAAGAGTCTTCTCCTTTTTCGGTAACTCTGGTCTGAGTGATTGGAGAGATAAAGTCCCGGATCGCATGGACTTCCCCTACCATGCCATTTCCAATGGCCTCCGGTCGAAAGATGAAGAAGACACTCTGTCGACATCATTCATTTCGGGTTACTTGTCAGAGCTGGCTTCAACAGGGAAATTGGCCCATGATGTTTTGATTTGGACTTTCTACGCCGTTGCGACAGAACCGCGAGATGATTTGCGGTACGGATATATTAGCTGTCTCTCGAATGGAAGTTCGTCCTGGACACGGAACAATTTGAAAACCTCGGATGTATATGGTATTTTCAAGACACTAGGCGCAGATTCAACCAGCCTGGACGATTCGGACGCAATCGTCTCAAGACATCGACATCTTAAAGAACCCGCAAGACGCGATCCCAAGTACTTGCTTGCAGTCTTAGACATGTTTCGAGGGATTTGTCAAGACATGGACTTCATGGTCTTGAGCCATCTCACCTCCATTATTTGTCGGCTTGGCTTGGATCAAGAAATGATGAGTGATATGCGGATCTCTACTGGGGTTGAAGGTCTGCTTGAACATCTCCTAAGTCTACCAGATCCTGATATGAGGTCACATGTCATGGAAAGAGTGCTGGACGATATTGGCCAGCATTTGAAATCACCGTTGCTTCAGGCCCGACTTCTCGATCATATCCTACCTACATCGAGCAGCACCATTAAGATCCGAATCCTCCTAGCTCGAACCTTCCTCCTCGGGCCATTAGCCATCACCCTGTCGGAACTCAGCCCAACCGATCTGTCTCTCGATCCTCTCACCGAACATATCACCACATCTGAATCATTCGAGACCTCACGTTCCAAGACCAGCGATCCTGTAGACTACACTGCACTCAAGGCTCTGACACATATCCTCGACATTGCCATATCTGTCGGAGGACGCCCTTCCACTTTTGAAACACGCGCAGATGAAGTTTCCTTTAATCGTTCTGTGGATCGCCTCGCAGATGCAGTCCGAACAAAATACATATCAATCGTCGACACTGGAGCTAGTCATATGAGTCGGACTGAAGCCAAAGATCTATTGCGCAGCTTACACTGGAGATTGCTGTACAGCGTGCGAACTCAAATCCGACTCAAAAAGGGTGTCTTTGATGGAAATGCAGGCAAGAATGGAGGATTTAGAGACGGCGACGAGGTCAGAAGCGAGGAGAGGAGTCGCGGGTTCATGAAGGGGTTCCTAGAGAAAGTCAAGGCCAAGGGAACCACGAATCAAGGAGACGATAAAGTCAAGATTGAGGAGCTAGACACAGAAACAGAATCGGAGCCAGAAGCCGAGCCAGAAGGAAACACAGAAGACCAAACAGAATCAGATGCGGATAGTGACGATCCACTACATGCAGAAGAAGAAGACGACGTCGTTAACAACCAGAGCGTCATCTCCACTGCCACAACCACCACCCTAACTAGTGGGAGCACAACTACCACACCATCTGAAACAGAGATGGAGATACGACGACAGTTGGGCTTGACGTGAGGTATGAGTCATGCGTGAGAAATGTATGATGTGGAGTGTGCGTTTGATTGTTAGGCAGAAGTTCGACGAAGGGACGAATCAATGCATATAAAGATGCAAGAGAGTTAGAGTCGTGTTGTGGATGCACCAATGTGCCATGCAATGCAACATGTCGGAGTATTTGGTCCTTGAGCATGGTGTTCAGGGGAAGCGAGTTGTGTTACGGTCTAGCAACTGGGACTAGCAATGTTAGAAATCATCGATATCATTCGAGATTGGTGTTCTTATGAGTATGAGGGATTCACAGGCACCTGTAGCTGATGAGATAATATCGAACTCGACCACGGGCACATCTGACGAGTCCAGAAATCTATCATTGTGGCCGAGGCTACAGCGGCTGATTGACACTTATTTCCTAGTTACACCACGCCCGAATGCCATTTCTAGCACTCCCCCCAAAAGCCCCCTCGAGAGAGCGAATACGGCAAACTCCACAGAAAACCAAACTCAGACAGACATGATTGATCGCACGGGACAAAGATTCAACATTCTTGCCCATTGTCTTTTAGTCCTTGAACCTGCGATTTGTGTTCTCTCCGAAGAGTGTGGCCCTGATGCTGGGAAGAGCATCGGTCTCCAGTAGTCGTAGTCGTTCTTCGAACGTGTTGTTGAGTTCGATCTTTCCAGCGCTGCCTAGAATGAAGACTCCTCCGGCCCTAGAGATCCCACATGTTAGTGTTTTTGCTTGCAAGTAAACGAGAATGAAAGCTTACGATGCCTCGGGTAACCAGTCTTTCTCGTCGAGCTTAACCTCAACCTCCTGCCCAAAGTTCTTTTTATATTCCTCAGCAGCCTTCTTGCTGGCAGATAGCACTTTGTCCTTATCGGCTTTGCGTGCTTTCAGTTCCACCTTCTTCTCCGCAAGGATGTATAGACCTTCTAGGATCAGACCCTGCAAGATCTCTTCATAGTTCTTGCTCTTTGTGGACGCATCCTTGAGCTTCTTCCTGGCGTCCTCGAACAATTTGTCCAACAATTCCTGGCGAGCGGAGAGGACCTTGATACGTGTCTTGTTGGCGGTGGTGGAGCGGGTGATCTGTTGAGACATGGAAGCTTGCTTGAACTTCTTCTCATACTGGGTGTCAATGGCGGCGATCTCTTCACGGACCAGTTTCGATTTCTCAATGGCGAACTCTTCGTCGGCCTTGAGATGAATCTCGCGGGCCTTCTCCAATGCCTCTTGCCGGATGAACGCGGTCATCTTCTTCAATTCGGCCGCGACCTATATCATAGAGACATGGGATGTTAGCTAGCTGATACGAAGCATGGTATCGGTGATGTGAGGGGCTGTCATTGCATACCTGGTCGTCGGACAGAGCGTGGGACGACATGATTGCGGATTGAGTGTAGAGGATGTGAGTGAGTCTGAATTGATGGGTGATCTAGAGTCAAGGGATGGGTATGTGGTGGTAGGTTGGTGGCTCGCTTGCTTGCAACCTGAAGTCTGGTTATCGGTGGGAGTTGTTGAGGAAGGTGCAGGCAGATCGCAGACTGGCAGATAGGATGGAAGGTGCGATAAAGGTTCCTGATGAATCTGAACAGACTCTACTAGAGTGTCGTCCGGCCTCGGATCTTCAGAGTAGATCTCTATGTGAGCAACGAGCGAAGGTCGATTGTATAAAAGCTCGGTTGAAATGCTTCGTCTCTCGCTATCTTTTGAACGGGCAATAAGGAACTCCAGGAACCAAACGTTCACCCGTAGAGCTACCGCAGCCAGGGTGACCTTAGGCAAGGCTGAGCTGACTTCATCGTGCTCGTTTGATTGGACGGCCCCTCTTGATCGACCCTAAACCATTTACGGACACATAATGATGTAAAGGCCCGAGTCCAGATCGCTTGTCCATCTTCTCGTGCCTCTCCTCTCCTCACTCTGCCCTGACTGACGTCCTCTCTCCGCGGCAAACCGCCACGCCGCGTCAAGTAAACACCAACTCCTGTCAGAGCATGCATCCTGTCAACTCCCTATCCGACATCCTCACCGACACATAACCGACTCTGAATGCTTCGCTACTCAAAATGAGCGGCTCCTTGAAGCTGTCAACACTGCCACCAACTCGGATGGACAATCCCACCCTAAGCCCTATCCGTAAACAAACATTGTTACACTCGATCCTCGACCATGGGACAACTCGGTGACATATCGCCACAAGGGAGCATCGCTGTAAGTGCTATTTATATGTGCAGGCCCCAAATGGACACTAAACATTATTCCAGATTGGAATCATTGTCGGCCTCCTCTCGACTTCCATCCAATCCCTAGGCTTAACCCTCCAACGCAAATCCCACCTCATCGAAGATGCAAAAGACATCCCAGAGACACGGCGGCCAGCCTACAAGAGACGGAAATGGCAAATCGGCATGCTCATGTTTGTTCTCTCCAACATAATCGGTAGCACCATCCAGATCACCACACTTCCCCTACCAGTTCTATCCACGCTCCAAGCATCCGGTCTCGTCTTCAATACCGCCTTCGCCACCTTATTGCTCGGTGAGCCGTTCACCCGGTTCTCAGTCATTGGTACTGTCTTGACTTGCTCCGGTGCCGCTTTGATAGCCACCTTCGGTGCCATTGGGGAGCCAGCCCACAATCTCACGCAATTGCTCGAACTTTTGTACCAGCGAGACTTTATCATATGGATGGTTGGGACCATATTCGTCGTGGTGTCCACAATCCTTTTCGCACACCTGCTAAAGATATGGTCATCCCACAAACACATCTCTCAAGGCTTGCCCAAGGCTGAAAGGCCCCGATCGGCTTCTGCAATGTCTGCCGGAGGAGGTTCCAGAAGACCATCTCTCCCTCTCACACGCTCCTTCACCGCGCAACTACCCCAACCATTGAAAATCCGTCTCGGCCGACTCCGACTCATTCGCGGCCTCAGCTACGCCCTCATCTCCGGAATCCTCTCTGCCCATTCACTGCTTGTCGCAAAATCCGCGGTGGAACTCCTTGTCCGAACGATCGTCGACCACAACAACCAGTTCAACCGTTTCCAATCATGGCTCATCCTGATCGCCTTGTTATTTTTCGCCTTGACTCAACTCTACTACCTTCACTTGGGCCTTCTCTTCTGCAGTACTTCTGTATTATACCCATTTGTCTTCTGCGTCTACAACATCATCGCCATTTTGGACGGTCTCATCTATTTCCAGCAAGCATCTCGCCTGAGCGTGTTACATGCATGTCTCGTCGCTTTAGGCACCGTGATATTGCTTTCCGGAGTCCTGGCGCTGTCATGGCGTCTTGACGACACTACTCCAGCCGAAGCCGCGCATCAAGCCCTCCCGCCAAAGACACCCCTCACCCCTGGGATGGGCCTGGTGCAATCACCCTCAGACGAACGAGATCCTTTGCTCCCAGCAAGTGCAAAGCGAAGCTCGACATCACTTTCTCGTCGTTCCGCGGACGAAGACACTCCTCTTCTTGGTGGACGAAAGAGGCAATCGATCTTCTCATCCCATACCCCGATGGAGTCCACCGAGACTGCTGGTATCTGGGCTGAACTTGATGACGATACCTCTCAACAAGATTATCTCGCCTCTCTTCCGCAAGCACCCTCGCCATATTTGACAAACAATTTCAGGGCAGGAAGAAGAAGAGGAGATTCTGCCTCGTCAGTTGCTGTCAGCACCGGAAGTAGACGGAGTTCGTTTGGCAGTAAACCCAGACACGCGAGCCAAGGTTCGCTACGATTCTCAGAGCCCGGTCACACAGCATCATCCGAGAGCGTTGGCCAAGCTGTCCACCGAAGACGGAGTAGTGCTCCGCATCAGCCGGTGGACATTGGTGAACCTGGCCCAGAAGTGGCTAATCCAAAAACACGCCATAGAAGTACCTCAGTGCGATTTGCCAATACAGGCAGTAATAATCAAGGTGAAGATCGTGGTCAGGACCAGCAAAATCGACCAAGGTCAAGACAAAAGCAACCTCACTTATCGCAGGCGAGTCGATATGATTCCAGCATCCCCTCAAACTCGAACGTGCCTGATGATCCTGTGCCACCTGCGACGGAACCAGAGTCAACTGGTAGAAGATGGACGTCTTGGTTTCCGTCTTTTCAAGAAAGAAAGTCGCCATAGACATTCGATGGTTAAAAGCGAGAGGTTTGTGTATCACAGTATCCATAGGCTATATAATGTCAAAGCATTAATGCTTTTAAAATCATACGTCCCTGTCGAATAGGGATATTTACGATTTCTAGCCAGCTATACCTGCGCACCTCTCGCCTTGCTTGAGTATACAGCATACTGACCCATGACTGGCATATGCAATGACAAAAGCAAATGTTCGTGTCTCCCGGGTCTCGGCAGATGATTCAAGACCATGAGCCTGGCCGGCAAAAAAGTCCTTTCGGCGTTATCATTTCTCATGACTTCTTTGGTTTCCTTCGCTTGCTCGGGGGCTGCCATCTCTCACGGTACTGGTCGAACTACTCGGTGATGGCGACTCGTTTTGGTCGTCGTCCAAAGACGCTGGCTCTTGGACGGGATTTTCCTCAGGGCCAATCATTGCAGTGTCCCTCGGTTCGACGGATGTGTTGATAACCGGTAGGTTGGGTTCACCTCCGTAGGACACTAATCGAAACAAAGCTTCAGGACGGCCTTGCCTCCACCAAGACTTGGAGGTGTTTAGCTTGGTGGATGATTGCGGACTTCTTGGCTTATGCGAAGGTCTAATCGATGTCTTGACAATTGATTGCGTGCGTGAAGGCCATTTCAATCTTTCCACCCATGGAGTCTTGTCATGAGGCTTCGGTTTAAAACGAGTGTTGAGAAATTGTCTGACGCCAAAGTTTAGTACAACACTCTGGCAGGACTATTTGAGCGTCAGCTCGTGTACAAAATCCTAAAATCGGTCGACGCCGAGGAAACTCACCCTGTTCAGAAAATGAAATGTGCTAGTACCTAGATGCAATAGTTTGTATTTTTGCTGCTGAGCCGCACGAAACTTCATTTCTGCCTTCCTCACTCTTCTCATGTGAGCCCATCGCTTCTGATGTTGCCGCAAAGCCTCAGCGAGATACTCCTCCTGTTCGCCAGAGTGGCGCGCATGGGTTCCCATGGCTCCAAGTATCACCAAGGAAGCCAGGATCGTGATAGCCAAGATGAATAGGATCGCGAGGAATGCACAGGTCAGCACTTCGGGGAGGTGCTCGATTCTCTGTGCCGCCATAAGCACTCGAATGATCATGGTTGCTGATGGAGGATGGGAGGATTCAAGGTTTGGGCTGAAAGTCGGCGGCTAGAGAGATCGCAGTGCTCAGAATAAATCGCCACAGGTGCTCGGTGTGGAGGCTGGGTTGATGAGAAAACGCTGATCAATGCCAGTCCCGGTTTCATAAAGAAGAAAAGACCCTTCACGGATGCGCCTGCAGTATCGTTTGTCTCAAGGCCATCCCCGGTTGCACCTGAAAATATTAGATGATTCGTCCATGTCCCGCATTAGGGAACTGATTATCCTGCTGTTTCTCCATATATCTTGAAGACTGGACTTCCCTCTTAGATAGCGAAGGAGGCACAAAACGCCAAATGATCAGCGATCTTTCTTCACGCTCATGGGGCTATCAGTGACCCCGGTGTGATCTGTAACAGAGCCACTCTCGCTGCTTACGATATCCTCATCGCTAGATTCATCCCAGATCTCTCGGGATTCTCGTTCGACGCGGCGCATGGCTCCGGCAACCTCGTCCAACTTGCTCACCACATCAAGCACCCCGTAATTGATCTTTTGAAAATAACGATCATTTGCTTGTCTTCGTTTCCGGGCTAATTCAATGTCCCGCTCTGTCTCTTCCTCCAGGGTCTTGTTCGAGTCGAATGCGTTGACATTGCCTTCGGCCACCGCCTTTTTCACCTTTCCAGGAGTTGACTTAGTGTCAAGCGCACCGACGGTATCAGTATCTGGCTCATGCTCATGTAATTCGTCCGCTTCACTTTTGGCCCAAGCCTGCGCGAGCGAAAGCTGGGCGGTCCGCAAGTCCGACAAAGCTTTTGCATGAGCGGCTCCAAACACGTGTGAAGTATTCATCGCTGACGCTTCAACATCGGCAAGAGTCTTCTGCATCTCAGCCCATAGGCTCTCTGCTCGGTGATCATCGGCTTCGGCCGCAGGTTGCCGGAGCGCAGGACCAGAGAACGATGATGCTGGTGGGACTCGAGATGGTCGTGGGAGTCGATGCTGAGCATCTTGCTCTGCGCCTGGACCGCCAGAATTTCGGTCTGAGGGAAGAGCAAGGGAGATATGAGACGCATTCTTGGATGTTGGCCCTTGGAATAGAGCAGGAGGTGGTAGACGATGGGCGGTGGTTCTCGTTGTATTAAGTTTAGGACGGTCTGTCGGCGTTGGTGTCTCTAATTGAGGGGTCTTACGTGAAGAGGAGGCCATGATATCAGGCAGGGAGCAGTCGCTCCGCCGTCATGAGCCTATGGCTTTATATAATGGACAACATATGATATTGGTCTGCGGAACGTTCAACCCCAGAAAGGCGGACAGATCCATGTCACGATGAGGCTGACCATGAGTGAAGACATGCTCCACCGTATGGTGATTTACTTCTGGCTTGTTTATACTCCACCCAATTATGCCATTTCTCACCGCCTGGAACACATTGGACCCGCCGAGCGCAGTCTTGGCTTCCCACAGAGACTTTGATTTTCTTGGTCTCGCAACATCTGAATTTATCGACAACGACCACCACGCCGCCAATCTCTAAATCCAACAACTTCTGCTTGTCACAGTCGCCAGTACGTATTTCGACGCGAACCCACCTCCATCACTAGCTGTCAGCTCTTCCAATCTGATACAGTGCACTTTCGTGTGTGCAGCACCAAATTGAAGACGCCACAGCTTTCCCACAACCACCCCCGGATCTTGTAGCTACACATTCCCAAGCTCATTGTCACTAACTCCTTTCGCTTTAGAAATGACAAACAGAGGAAAACCCCGTGGTTTGAACGCGGCCCGCAAGCTGGTTGCCGCCCGCAAAGAAGGACGATGGGCCGATCTGCACTACAAGAAGCGACTTCTCGGAACAGCCTACAAGTCATCTCCATTCGGTGGATCTTCGCACGCCAAAGGAATTGTCCTTGAAAAGGTCGGCGTCGAAGCCAAACAGCCCAACTCGGCCATTCGAAAGTGTGTCAGAGTTCAGTTGATCAAGAACGGAAAGAAGGTCACCGCTTTCGGTAGGTTTTCTCCTCGATTTTTCTCAACTTCGAATGTTTTGTGTGTGGGATGAGGGTTTGAAAAATTCGATAAAAGCTGGAGAGAGAAGGAAACGGAGTTGAGGACAATTTTTCGAGGAGAGAACCACATTGTTATCTACGAGGAAAACGCCGAAAAAAGAAAAAGGAAGAAAACTTGACTAACATGAATTCTCCCATCTAGTCCCCAACGATGGTTGCCTCAACTTCGTTGACGAGAACGACGAAGTCCTCATCGCCGGTTTCGGTCGAAAGGGCAAAGCCAAGGGTGATATTCCCGGTGTCCGATTCAAGGTAGTCAAGGTCTCTGGTGTTGGTTTGAGCGCTTTGTGGAAGGAGAAGAAGGAAAAGCCCCGATCGTAGGTGGTTGATCAACAAGCAGGGTTTGAGCGGTGGAGCTTTCTGGGCGGTGTATGCTTGCGTCGAGAGACACATGATCATGGAGACAAATCTATGATTGTGCAGCATGTCTGTTGTTAAGTCATTACGACGACGACAACGACAACAGCATAATAGCACTCGCACCAGCAGCAATCTACTAGCATGCATTGCTCCTGGATGGGACTGGATGGTTTTGCTAGATCGATATCCCATACAAACAAAAATCCGGGGGAGACCCCAAATCCAACGTTTTCGAAGAAGTATGCTTAACGATAAGTCAAGGATCGGTCGTGCGAGTGAGAAATGTTGTCAGCAATTCCCTCCACCTTTGATGATACCTCTCGATTATAACCACAAGAGAACGATAGATCTCTTTGACGATCAAAATGACCTTCTAGCTCGTAGTACCCACAGCCACTGTATGGCTATAGTTGCGTGACAAGTCTTCAGTATACTGAAGTGGTGTTTGTAGCCTGCCAACGTGCATATCAATGGTCTAAAATAAAGTAATAATAGTAATTCGAGTTCTTTCTAGCATAGAACGTTTGACGAAACACAACGACTTTTAAGTATCCAGCCCAAAGGATTGCTTTTCTTTAATCCCCCATCTTGGTGCGCCTTCGCTCTCCTCCTGCGCCTTCCAAGGGTGTATACTCAGTTGATCAATTACACTTGCTCAATTGCCTGCTTGCATGTTTTTATAAAAACCAGGAATTTTTCATGTTGTGGTAAAACAACACTGGGAAAGGAATCCATAGAGATAGTAGTTTGTTCGAACTTGGTTGAGTTCGAAGAGGGCAAGACAGTTCAGCGCTCTCCTTTTGCTAGGAAAGAGGTCGATGGCGGGTCCAGAAAATTTGAGAGATTAATGCAGAACATCGAGAGTCTCTCGTTCGGGATCACGTAGCCCGTCACTGGATTTTCCCTTCCTTCCACGTGTGGGAGGGGTCTTGAGGTTGAAGGATTCTCCGTCATTGCTGAGAGGACTTCTAGCCTCGTCGTCTTCACTTGCCTCTGGGCTGGGTGCTTGGCTGTCTCGGAGTGAACGCCTCCTACGCATCATCTATCATGAAAAATAAGTGTTAGCTTGCTTGCCGAGAGTTCTTGCCTGAATGGTTAAACAGAGAAAGAAAGGGTCATGACCTACCCATGATTTCACCCCTCCTATCAAACCAAGGCTATACCCAGCAGCAAAGTCTTCGCTTCGACTCAGTCTACCAGGAGAATCGCTTCGCCGATCGCCATTTCCAGGAACCTCGAGATGTCGGAGATGGTCGACAGCACTGACAGCGCCACCGCCAGGACTTCGCAATCCGTCACCAAGTTGCCGATTAAACGGAGCCGGGCTTGCAGGTCTACTGCTCTGCCAGAATTGTCGGAGATCACGACCGATCTCGCCACCGGCGGTGGTCCAATTGTTCTTGATACTGTCTCGCAACTCTGCTACGTGACGTTTAATGTCGAGTTCATTCTTCTTCAACCAACTGACATTCAATTCCTGTCGGCTGGTTCCTCGCTTAAATTGTCGAGCGATGTACTTTTCATAGTCTCGCACGATCTTGGTGATGATGCCTGTGGTGGAGACACCTTCGGTACGTTGGGTGACGAGAAACTTGCCCTCTCTTTTGATGGGAGCGTAGATATCATCGCCTTCGTCAGCACCGTAGGGTTCATCATCGTGAGCAACGTAGTCGATGTTGTGCTTGGCAAGGAACTCGGGAGTGACGATCCATGGGCAGCTGGGGATAACTTCGTCGACCCATTTGCAGTGGCGGACGGTTTCGGCTCTTTCTGCACCGGTCAGGACAGTGAGTCCTTTTCTCTTGTGTGTTTCCGCATCTCCTGTCACGCCAACGATCAAATAAGTGTCAGGAAAGGCAGTTTTGGCTTGCTGCAACTGGCGCATGTGTCTATAGGGAATCAAGTCAGTCATCGAGATTCAGGAGTCTTGCTAGCAGGGATTGTGGTGTTCCTTACCCAAGATGAAATAGATCAAATACGCCGTCCGCATACACACGCACAGGTCTTCCCTGCGGAGGAGGGTTGGTCTTGTAACCACCGACAGGATCTCTGAGCCCAGCTTTTGGAGGAGCCTCTATCTCCTTGTCACCTTCTGCGACATGTTCATTGGCTGGGTCATTTTTGTCCTCTATGCCGTCACTATCATCCGTAGAACTCAGAAGCTCAGCGGAATCGTCAATGGAGACGTCTGTGGTTGAGTTTCCATTGGGTTCAGTGGGCTTAGCACCCGATCGTGTTCGAGCTCGTTTGCTAGGAGGCACCGCACTGTCGTGGGACAAGCTGGAACCGTGCTTGCGGGTTCGAGGATTGTGTGTGGGAGATTCGGCTAGCTCTTCCCCTGACGCATCTCGCGAAGATGGCTGCTGAAGTTCCACAGTGGATGACTTCAGCCGGTCAGAGACGGTTGACCGTTTCCGTTTGGCGGAACCTGTGGAGGATGGGGATGACATTGTTTGAGGTGAAGGACAATGAGACTACCGCGTACGTAGGAGGGAAGGACGAGTCTGATCAGGGTAGAGAGGCTGACTCGACTGGGTGCGACGATAACGGGTTGAGGCTCGCCAAGGAGTGAGGACAAGGAGGGAGATTGATTGTTCGCAAGGAAAAAAATAAAGTTATTAGGGAGTCGAGCTACAAAGATGTTGGGTTTGGGTGAGTTATAATTTGATGAATTTTAGGCGAGGGTGGTGAGATCCCCCCGACTACGTATGAAGAGGCACAGGCACTTTTCTAGAGGATAAGCTTGAAATGCCATGTTGAAACCTGTTTGCCAGTGGGCGATCTACAGTAGTAGAGTTCCGAAGCAGTGTGTCAAGAGTTTCCACTCTATGAGCTGCCAGGCTGCTCAACTCCTGTCAAGTGGCTCCAAGCACCAAAACGTCATCTTGGTCCGTCGATGAGTCTATGCCCAATCAAGTTGCGAACGTGCTTGTCGTGCAGCGCGTTCGTCTCCGTCAGCGGGAGTGCACTGTGGCTGTTCTCTTGTCCCATGCTGACTGAGATCATGATGCATAGAAGTCCTTTGGCGAATAATGCTAATGTACATTTGCAACAATGGTCTGCTTTCTGGTGAATTCTGAAGTCGTGCGTAGGAAATAAGAAACTACTCCGTACGCGTGTTATTTCGCCTACTACTTCCGTTGCATGTGTTATAAGAATTGTACGGGTATCGGAGATCCGCAGCACGCCAACCACCAAGCCATTATCTACTGGGACAAGCATTTGCGGTCGAGTTGGGCTTTAGGTATAGCCGAATGGGTACCCAAGTTGGACAAGAAATATCAAGTCTCCGATGTCGACTCTCACCTTCCACAACGCACTTTTGTACCGCCACCTGCCCTATTCTACTCTGGCCTGATAGTTCGAGGGTTCTCTGCCTAGCGATGGTGTAGTCACCATTGAGTTCTAAGTGATGACGATGGACTTGCTTCGTGAGTCATTGCAATCAACATCCAAAATGGTAGCACATCGTAGTCTAAAGGAGCAGGAAGGGCAAAGAAGGAGAACAGGGGCAGTCAGACTCCTCGGTCATTGATTCTTTCTACCCAGGGATTGAATGTCAACCGTGTGTCTTGTCGTCTTTGGCTGATTCACCTTTCTTTCAAAGCCCCCGTCTGTGTATCTTTGGTGCTGGTCGACATGCGTAAACAAAAAATAGAGTCCTGTAATCACTACACAATAGTTGGATGGGGATGTTGGTCTCCTTTGTCATTCGGCCGGTGTTCTGTCCTCGACACGCACTCCCATGTTCAAGAACAACGACGACGAATAACACGAAAGGAACCGAGGGCCAATGACGACAGGGGAGTAATATCAAGAGATGGATCATCTTCTCGGTTCGAGGTCCCCGTAGAGGATGACCGGGGTCTCAAAGGGTATCTCATCTCGATTGGTGGAGGGTTAAAGGGGGACTTCTGCCTTCGTCTGTCAAAAAATCAACTTATAAAGTCAGACATAATCGCATCATATCAGGTTGCCTTGTTGCCCGGCTCATCTGCCACCGCTTTGATCTGTGTGCCAGGACCTGAAGATGCGTCTCGGTGACTCGACTTGCTTGACTCCTGTTCGTCGGCGGACTGGGGGCCTGGGGTACCTTCTCGCTCGCTACGGTTCGTGTCCATGTCTGAGGTGTCGGGCGTATCTTTTTTCACCTGATTTGTGGCGTCTTTCTCCTCCTCTGACTGATCAAACATTTCGGTATCATCTGAATCGGTCAGAACTTCAGTGCCATCCCCGAGGAGGATGATCCTGCCGTTGCGACCACCATAACCTCTGGCCCGGTGGTCCAGGTCTAGTTCGTATTCATCTGGGCTGTCGTGATCGAACTGATGTCGCACTCCGGGGCCACGGAACTCAGCTATCTGAAAAGTTAGAACGAACAGGGTCCTTTGGATTGAGGAAGGACTTGCCGTACTCTGGTGGTGCGCATGGCCCATCACCGTCTGCCACACGTTTCGCAACTAAGTCATACCACTCTTCTTTGGTTTTACCGTTCAACAATGCAATCACAATCATGGTCATGTTGTCACATCCCACTCCTCCAGTTTCGCTGTTGGACGCAAGGCAATTGTCCATCATGTTCTCACAAATAGAATGTAGCTCCTGCTTCGCGGCAACACCTCTTCGTACAAACTCTATGACCGCCTGGGACGATTGACAATCCCAAATTCCTAGGGAGATCAGCACCAAGCACGCTTAGGAGGCCAGATCATCTTACCGTCACAAGCAATGACAAGGAATTCATCATCGCTCGAGATCTCATGGGTGATGACATCCGGGAACGCTGTGACAATTTGTTGTTCAGGAGAAAGGTCAGGACTCTTTTTGAATTCGAAATCTCCAATGGCACGTGACAAGGCCAGGTTTCCATTGACACGTCCGAAATCGACGAATCCACCGGCGGCGCTGATTCGAGCCTTTTCGCCTATTCGAAGGTTAGATGGGAGCTTCGCTGATTCTCACACATTATTCTCACCTTCATTTTGAGGTTTGTGGTCGAATGAGAGCGGCTTTGCCCGGCCTTTCACACCGAGGACGGTTCGAGAGTCTCCTGCGTTGGCCTGAAAAAGTGAGCAAGGAGACGGCAAGAGGTTAGGGTTTACCAGGCCAGACTCACAACCCAGATCTTGTCTTTGGAGACGATGCCCACCGACGCGGTACATCCCGACACTTCATCTTCATACCGTGCATCTGCTGAGTTTAGCGGTGTACCTCCGTGACGGCCGATTAGAGAGAGAATGTACCATTCAGAATTGCACGATCTGTTGCAAGAAATCCATCCTTTAAGGCCTGTTCCATGTCACCCTTGGCAAATGCCTCTTGTTTCGCCACTATCTTGTGTATATTGTCGCCAGCAAATTGAGCCACCTTTTCACCTCCGTGACCATCATAGACTCCAAAATAGGCTAATCGTTTGTCGGGCGGTGCGGGTTTCTGCGTTTTGCCAGATTGTTCGGGCTGTAGGTCGAGTACTGCGGCATGCGCATCTTCCATGCTTATGCGCCACCCCTGCATGGCCGACAGGCCGTAGAGGAGACAATCATCTGCGCCACTGTCCGATAGCTGTTGAGACGGGTGGTTAGTGATAGTGTTCTCGAGACAAAGTCATCCCACTGTCATGGAGCAAATTCTTTCGCAGTGATTCTCGTAATTAAAACTTGTTCAGGACTTTTGCAGCTCTGAACGACCAACTGGGGCGCAGGCAAACTCGGACAATAGGGGATAGTGGTGACGGCACCTTTTCAACCACGGGTTCGGACAGAGTCTGACCCATGCTGGCTAACACTTGAGAGTATGATGGAGATGGTATGTGGGTGTAATCATATACTTGGAGGGGTCGATGTCATAAGCTTTGTTAACGGTGGGAGATGGTCAGGTTGCAGAACTTGATGAGGGAGGTGGCGCGAATGAATTGATGGCGTCCGGAGAGGTGGAGAGGACACAGGTAATCAAAGGATGACTTAACAAGCGATAAAAGATAGAAAAAGGGAGAGGACTCTGAGATGGATGGCAAGAGAAGAAGGTCGTGTGCAACGTTGAAAATTAGAGGGATGGTGTCAATGACTGGAGAGGCCGCAGAGGAGTGGAAAATCAGGTTGCAAGACGAAACTGACAGTCCCAGGAGTGAGCGAGAGGGCAGAGGGGAGAGGGCAGAGAGGGTGGAGGCCAGTGTTTGTGGCGGGAGCGTCTGAGCCTGCGGGAGTTGATGGCTCTCTGACTTCTGGCATATCAGCCCGTGTGCAGTGCAGATGTGCAGACACGCAATGAGGGCCGCCGCCTGCCACGGCTGGTGCCAAAAGCCTAACACCGGGCATGGAATAGCGGCTTGAGGCGCTGCCTTGCCCGAGCCAGGCTCTAACAATATGACTGATTGCGCCTAGCGACCACCGCAGTGCGCCCACTAAGTACCGGTGTCGTCTACACCCTAAGGTAAGTTAGACACTCGAACTTCAGAGATCTGTCGAGTCTGGACCCCCCACCTATCACTACTAAGTAGAACTAGGGGTTCACCCATTGCAGAAGTACTCAAAGTATCTGCATCAGTTTCCCGTCCCATTATCGGATTACCTGAGTGATCGAAGCTTGTGTAATCACATGGCTCCGAACCCCTATCGGACAGAATGTCACAGAATCGACTTTCTTCCTCAGTTGCTCAAGGCCGTCCAGCCATCACTTCCGGCTAATTGCCAAGGTCCGAGGGGCCTTTACCAAAATCTTTCTCATGCACAGGCATGGTAAACTCCCCATAGCCCACGATTAGGCATCCTAGGTAGTTAATAGGTAATAATAATAATGCACCATAGCACCGCCTACGGAGTAGATTTGGTTGCTAGTCCCCCCTCCCCCTCCAACAAGATTGAGAGATGCTCCCCACTTGGACAAACGAGGAGGCACCCAGGTCCCATTTCCCCACGAAACTGTATTTATGTGTTGCCAATACAGCCATTTTGGCTTCTTTGGCTTCTGTGCAAACCACCCTCCTGGATGTTGACATGATTTCTTCGATCAAACAATTGAAACTGTCCATCGCTTGACAGAGGCATTGCTCTGCTGGCGGGATTTTGCAAATATCGCATAGACCCTCGTGATACACGCTCCCATTCCCTGTCTTTTGACAAGTCACCATCGCCCGCTTGAGTACCATATGAGAAACCGGGCTCGAACGGTCCTCCTCCAGCAGCACTGCGTGGCCGGACTATAGTATCCAAGCTCGGCGAAAATGTAGCATCACAAGTGCTCCGGCCAATATCTGACCAGTCTGACGAGGAGCGTGGTCTTGATCGTGGATATTCTGCTGGTGCAGTGTTGTTGACTGTTTTTAGCGGTGGTCGATTTATATATGACAGAAACCCGACCTTGTTACTTGTGGCTGTGGCAGCTTGTTGCAAAGATCCTCGATTTGATAAAGCTGTCCTCCCCGCTTGCCTTTGATGGGTATGGTGGTTGTAGCATCGTGGTAGTTGTGCTGTACCATGTAAAGGAATCTCCATTCCTTTAGACCTTGCATATCTAGCAGTCATGAATTTAGACCCATCTCTGTCTGTTAGACTCGAAGGCTTTGGATGGGTTCGATCGCCAGATGCTAGCTCACGCGTCATGCTACTCTTAGGCATGGTGTTGCGTGCAAGGCGTTTGCGTCTTGTGCGAGAACAATAAATCAAGTATAGCATGATGGTTAAGACAGCCATGCAAGAGAGCCCAATTCCAAGAGCCAATCGCAGAATCTCCTCTCTTGTTGCATGCGCTGCACACCCCGTCGTTGAAAGCGTAGAGGCTGCAGGTATTGAATGTGTGCTCGATGGAACTATGAATTCTCGAGTTGATGCTGTTATAGGGGAGGTATTATCTTAATCAGCTGTCAATTCAATCAGGATTGCTGAGGTAGCTTCCGTAGTCGTGTTGGTCAGTATTACTGATATACTGAATTTTGCAGGTCTGGCATTCTTGGGAACATTACCGTACAGAGACCTTGTTGAAGGGTTGAAATGCATCCATTCTGGTGTTGATTGAATCTCAACAAAGTCCCATTTATTGCCAACCATCAGAGATTCCTCAAAATAGGTGCCAACTGTTATGCTGATCTCGGCAAGAACCTCCCAAGAAATACTTTTAGACCTCACGAATTCCAATCTCCAGGTAATATTGGTGGTATCCCCATAGACATCGCTGACCATCGCAGTAATGGAAGTGTTGAGATGTATTGGAGACATTCCACTCAATGCTATGAGGGACTCGTCGAGATGTGTCCACGGGGGCGCGTCTAGCAGAATGACACTGGCAATTTGCGAATCAGATATCGGCAATCCATCAAGAAGGAGCATATCTCGAAGTGGCGTCGTTTGAAAGAATACTCCTACTTCGGCGACTAGCGTATTGCTGGGGTTCCGGCATGACAGGACGCGCAGAGAGATTGTGATCTGAAACGCGACTGCCACCTCTGCAAAGCCAGGAACGTTGGATGCGATGAGCAAAATTCCAAAATTGTGAGGCGGAGCCCGCACCGAAGCCATGGATGGAGTCGTGCCAGTATATGCGACTTCGTCGGCGTTGAATTGAATCCACGAAGGCAAATGAGATCGATCGGCAGATGTCGCATAATAGTTTGTATTCGAATTCGTACCATGGAATACATGCTTTTTAAATGTCAGAACGAATTGTTCTAGTGGCTGGAATAGGAAGGTATATGGAGGAGAGACAGGTCCAAACTCCATGAGGGTTGACAAGATAGAATCTTCACGTGACAATTCCGTAACCTCAAGCACCACGAGTGTGACCAGACTCATGGAACGGCCACTGGCATCTTCCGCCGTGAGCTCCATGGTCGTTGAGCCAACATCTTGTTGAGATGGGGTACCTGAAAAAGTCCTGGTCGAGCTGTTGAATTGAAGCCAGTCTGGACTTCTTGAAATCGAGTATGAAATCTGTGGGGCATTTGAGACGAACGTGACTTGGGAAAAGGTGAAGTGGTATAGGTGTGAGACATATGCCACTGGTGGTACCTGTGAGTTGATTGGAAAGAAAAGCTCTGGAGCACATTGGCTTTTGTATACAAGTAATGCCAATATCAAAGCCGGCCAAGGCGTCCTAGCTTCATTGAGCGGCATCCATATGGCATGGGCGAGAGTGAAAGAGAACGAAGATTTTCTGACAGTAGAATCGATGAGGAAAGACATAGAGAAGGAAAACGTGCTTCCATATTACGTCCCACCACAGTGTATGTCCTGTATGATGACTTCGAGAGGCTGGTCACGGCAAGGGATAGCCTTGTCTGGTGGCTGAAAAGAATGCGCCTTGCAGCGTGCCACTCATAATTCACTCACGGTTGGACGAGATAGGACATTTTGACCCCATCATTTCCATGAGAATAGTAGTTTGTAACGGTCTGCAAGATCTGGAATCCATTTCCTGAGTATAACCGTCGAGCATGGTGATTATCAGCGTGCGCCCAGAGATCGATGGTGCGGCAGGCAGTTTTGTGAGCGCGCTCGATGACCAATTTCAACAATCTGGTTCCAAGGCCACTCGACCGATATGCTGCAGAGACACAAATCTTATGTAACAACAGTCGATGTTGGCAGCGGACGGCGATAGCATACGCAATCAGACATTCATTACCATCCGACTGAGACAGTACGACAAGAATTTCAGTATTTGGCTTCTTGGAGATTTTGTCGTCAAGAGGTGTAAGCTCATTCTCGGGGAATATCTTCCGCTCCATCTGTTGAATCTGCGTTAGAACTTTCAGGACTTGAGTCTTTGGCAAGCGACGCAAGTCCGTGAAGTAGAACTGATCCATATTCTAAAGACTGGCCGGTGAACGGGAATGCTGGCAGTAAAGCGATATGAGAATCGTCCACGGTATGTCTCCTTCAGGCATTGGTGAGGTGGCGTTGCTCACTCTTCCATGGAGGCAATTGTGCCTCCCAGAGTCGGGACATTGAGCAGCCTACAAGGCTATTGAAGCATTCGAGTCAACAAAAAGATGGTTCTGTTGAGGCAGAAGAGAGTCTTGGAGGTGAAGGCCAATCTAGCCAAATTGGGACTTAGCGTCATTTGACGCGTCTCCGTAATCAAAGGTAGGAAGGAACTCTGGGGAGGAGTTGACTCCCCTCTTTATCAATTTCGAGAATCAGAGTTGGGACCTATAAAAGCAAGAAGTCATCCGCTCTACCAATTACGATTACTACAACATTGTTCAAAGTTGACTTAATTCAGCATGGCGCCTACAGACTCGAAGCGTGAAAAGGCTAGAGAGGTGGTGGATATCCTGGAAGAAATCGCGGCGCTGTTGGTGAGTTACGTCTAGAGCGATAACGTGGCAAAAGCATCTCACTCATCGAGCGCCTAGAACACACAACTAGACCGAACTCAATTGTCTCTGTGTGTGTCGCTTATTGAGAATGGCGTCAATCCAGAAGCTCTAGCTGTGAGTAGCATGGGGGGTTCAAGACGAGTATCAGACCAACTCTTACACATTGTTAGACCGCTATCAAAGAACTGAGACGAGAGACCCGAGACCTCCAACAAGACACAAGTACATCGGAGTGATTTTGAAACCCTTTCGAAGAAAATCACATGCGGAAGGACGGCTGCACATATTGACCAAGGAGACCACGAGACACTGGATGCCACTGAATTCGTTCAGCAGCGCCACCTCTTGTGCATCTGCTATATCAGAGGGATCAAATTGTCAGGATGGTCATTGTCGAGGTACCGAAGCCTCTTGAATTATGGAGCCGGGCTCCTTGACAATGCCTTCCTTACTGTCCTTGAATCGAAACGCGAGCCAGGGAGCGGTTTTCCGTTGGTCCAGCCTCAAGTTCCTCGGCTCTTCATCCGTTTGCAACTATCAACTTCCAGGGGAATTGGACCTAGAATGAATTGATCACCGACAAAGCTCCATAGCGCACAAGGGTCTACAGAGTGGAATCAACTCTGAGAGGATTACAGAAGGATTTCCTGGGTGCGTGGTGACAGCGTTTGTCACCAGGTCTCATGCAACATACTGGACCAAGGTACAAAGAACGCCACGTGAGCACTTCGGTAGAATGTCTCTCTGCATGCAAGGTGGAATGGAGGACCAGTGTTTGATGTGTCTCAAACGGGCATTCAGAAGCAGGTGACCCGGTGACGCGTAAACCACGATCTTTAGGTTTTTGGGCAGCGGCTCCCATGCGAGAAGCCATCAGCCGCGTTTAGTTGATCGTCAGATGGGTCCGCATTCTCTTCCTTCCGCAGCCCATATCGCATGACTTCCTAGAGCCTAGAACCAGCAGACATTGGTGAATTAGAACCGGATGTTGGTTGTTTGAATACTTGAAAATCAGGGCAGGGCAACACCAAACACGCAGACAAGAATGAGAGATGACGTATGCTAGGAATGCTTGGACTGGTTGATCGTAGCGCCAGTGTGGCTGAGATACCAGCAAACGAACCAGAAGTGCCAGTCAAGTTGGTAGGCAAGCCCGTAGGCATGTCGCTACTGCAGAGGGTACTCCGTACGTGAAACTTGGCAGAATTAGGCAATGATGGGTTGGGTTTGGCGGGTAGCGAGTGGCTCCCCAGACCTAAACCACGCTGCGCTAAGCCCTGGAAGTGCCCGGAAAAAGGCTGGGCAGTTTCCAGGAACAAAGGGCGTCAAAACATCGGTGCTCGTCATCCAACCAGCCATGTCGGCGGCGAATGATGGTCAAACACTTGTTTTTCCTTCAGCTGGAGGCCCGTTCTCAACCCTCGAAGATCGTCCACCCCATACAATACCGAAAAGCATTATTGTCACTGCTGGGCAAGCTGGGGTGATTCTAGCTCGAAATATGTCACGGCGGTCTGGGTGATTGGGCCTAGTATGTCAATCCTGGTTTGTACCGCCATAAGTTGGTCTGATTCCTTTGTTTGTCTGGCTTCTTGCTTCCGTCTTCTATATCAAAGTCTTGCTCCTCTTGCATTGCTTCCTCTTTATCCTATCTCCTTTCTGCGGTGTGCACGACTGTTGAACCCTCCACAGCTCGTGCCCACGAGACTCTAATTTCACATCTAATAGTGTATTCCACACTCACTTGATCTATTCTTCCCGCCTGCCACAATGAGGCTAACCGCAGTTGTCACGCTGCTATGTGCGCTTGTGGCATTCATACTCTCTATCCTGTGTCTGTTTGCCGGTTCAAATAGGACGTTCCTCCAAGATGCCGACATGCTTACGGTAAGAATACCAACGTGTCTTCCGTCGCATCGCTGATGACATGTAGCTAAACATATCACGAATCGGACACACAACGCTGTTCAATACCACTGATGGCGATGGTGGGTTCTTCGATACCCTGATCAACGACATTCAGGAAGACATCAACGATCTTGTCAACGATGTGACATCTGATATTGCCGACGCATTGAACCTACCCGACTTCTATCGAGTCCATGTGATGGATTTTTGCCAAGGCGTATATTACCCCAATGCCTCCATAGACGACCCAGAAGCGAGGACGACCAGATGTTCAAATCGAACTACCTTCTTTCACTTTGAGCCTTCGAAAACCATTGAGGAGGCTCTCCCCTCGGGTATCACTCTGGAGGATCTCCACTGGCCTAGCGACATTACAAACGCGGAGCGGACGATCAAGGTGGCGACAAACGCCATGTTTGTCTGCTACGTTATTGGAATTGCTTTTGCCGGCGTGGGAATATTTACGGCTATTTGGGCAATCCTAACTGGCGGTCGGCTGTCCGCTCTGATAAATTTGGTTGTTGATTTGGTGAGTGAGAATTGCACAAAGCAAGGAAGTCAGCTAATGGTGGTGTCTTTGAATAGATTGCATTCCTCGGCCTTGGAATTGCTTCGGCCATAGCGACTGCCGTGATCGTCAAAGGAGCAAACACCATCAACAAGTATGGTGAGAGCATTGGAATTGCGGCGTACAAGGGCAGCAAGTTCCTGGGGATGACTTGGGCAGCCACGGCGCTCATTTTCGTGGCGGCAATCATCTCAGTGGTTCAAGCCATTGGAGGCAGGAAGCGGGACAAACATCTCGGCGAAAAGGACAGACCTTGACAGAACAGAAGAGAAGGTGGAAGCGATACTTTTTGTTTGTTGGGACATTTGCATTTGCCAAGCGCAGCAAGCAACCTTGAAGCAATGTCAATTATGAGTTGAAATAATAAGATGTAATTATTTTGACTACCAATGAGCGTCTTCTTGCAGATATTGATCACTATACATTGTGTGTGTTCATGTTCTTCCAAGGTCAGAAAGATACCTCCTCCTCACCTCGTACATTAAATAAGCGTACGGAGTACACACTGGAGACCAAGGTTGGCAGCCTTGACAATGACGTAACAAGCGAAGCTCCACAAGTCTCCAATGTTTTATCGATATCGTGGCCATGTCGATCTGATCCCTGTTTCCACTGTGACAGAGACCATACTTCATGCAGGAATTTTGTGGATTGTTCTACCGCAAAGAGGTATGGTATGGCAGCACCAGATCTTCTTTTCTAGAGAATGGGAATGTCACCGTTATGGATGATGATAAAAGACAATCCTGCCATCCGACCATCAAAAGGAATTTCACATGGCACCTGCCACACAGGTTCCCGGGGCTTGCCCTTCACTAGTTAGGCTAGTCTGAGTCTTACTGGTGCCTGACATGCCCGCTGCCGTTGCTGGCGAATGCCTCAATCGCTACTCGCCGAACAAGTTGGGACCAGGATCCCGCCCCGTGCTACAGTACGATTAGTCGCTCCGTGTGCCGTAGGTGACCCGCAAGGTGGCTTGCAGGCTTGCTGCAACTTGCACCGATGATACTGACGCACGCGGGGTACTTTTTCACTCTTTTGCTTTCACCGTTCAACCGTCACGCAGTAACCCCAAACACTGGCACACGCCTGCTTTCTTCACTTTAACTACCTAACCTGACATTCACCATCAGTTCCTGCTGCATATTCACTTCACCATCCCACTCTGACTCTGATCTGCTTCACCTGACCGCACTTTTTTCCTATAAATATTTCTCTCCTGCCCAACTTTCTCTCCAAAACTTCTCCCGATCTCAGCTTGCATCTCTCATTGTCTGTTTCGAAACTCTGCTTAAACGCTGTGAAAGAGTAAGCTTCAACAACTCCTCACCCTCCGCACTGCTGTGAGAACGACGTCACTAACACCGCGCAGGATTCAACAACTCTATCTAAACCCTCACCTATTTCAACTTTGTCACCATGGGTCTCTCTGCTGTTCACTTCGGTGGAGGCAATATTGGCCGTGGTTTCATTGCTGAGCTCCTCCACGAATCTGGCTTTGCCATCACCTTCGTTGATGTGGTCGATGATCTCATCAATCGAATCAATGCCTCCAAGTCCTACAAGATCACTGAAGTTGGTGAGGAGGGAGAAAAGACTAAGATCATCACAAATTACCGCGCTATCAACTCCAAGTACAACTTGGATGAGGTTGTCAAGACTATCTCTGAGGCAGACATTGTCACCTGCGCTGTGGGCCCAAATGTGCTCAAGTTCATCGCCAAACCCATTGCTGATGGCATCTCTGCACGCACTGTCACCAAGCCACTTGCTGTGATTGCCTGTGAGAACATGATCAATGCCACCGACGCTCTGAAGGCACTCATCACCGATCCCAAGAACATGAAGCCAGAGGTCCTTAAAGACCTTGCTTCCAAGGCCGAGTTTGGTAATTCTGCTATTGATAGAATTGTCCCAACTCAACCTACCGATGCCAACCTCGACGTTGTCATTGAGTCTTTCTATGAGTGGTGCGTTGAAACTAATGGTTTCAAGTCTGGTCACCCCGAAGTCAAGGGCATTCACTGGGTTAGCGACCTGGAGCCATACATCGAGCGCAAGCTCTTCACCGTCAACACTAGTCACGCCACCGCCGCCTACTTTGCCTACCAGAAAGGCATCAAAACTATCCATGAGGCTCTCGCTGACAAGGAGATCCGCGACGAGGTTCATGCTGCTCTCGAAGAGACTGCCCACTTGATCACTGGCAAGCATGGAATCACCGACGAAGAACAACAACAATATGTTGAAACCATCATCTCTCGCATCTCCAACCCACATCTTGAAGATGTCCCTGTCCGTGTCGGCCGTGCTCCTCTCCGAAAGTTGGGTCGCAAGGAGCGATTCATCGGACCTGCAGCCCAGCTCGCCGAGCGGGGTTACGATGTCACTGCCCTGGTCCGTGGTGTGGAGTATGCTCTGCGCTTCCAGAATGTCGAAGGTGATGATGAGAGCAAGGAGCTGGCCGAGATCTTGAGCTCTTTGTCTGCCGAGGATGCCACGACCAAGCTCACTGGCCTTACCCCAGATCATCCCCTGTTCGAAAAGGTCTTGGAGAAGGTCAAGCTTGTCCAGAGCGAAAAGAAGTGAGGCCAAGGCATGGCACTTGATCCGGTTTGCGTCTGGCAGACACATGAGATACACGACTAGTATGCACTTTTTCGATCTTTGAGCCGGGTTTGCTCCTTAGCTACCGGCTTTTCCCAACCAGAGTCTTGCGAGATAGACATTGGGATTAGGTAGCTTTCATGGTGGGGTCTTTTAGCCCAGGATGTCGGCTGAGGACAATCAAAAGTCTTAATGACACATGACTCTTACTTCCAAGTTTCTGTTCTTGCCCTTGTGATCGTCGAGTGAAGCATAGGATATCAGGTGTTATACACTTTTCCAAGTGATTTGATTCGTGCAGCTCTACTCTGTACTCTACGATTATCTCCGACTTAAGTAAGGTCTCCTTCTCTGTGGATCTATCCACCAGAGCTTACCTTGGAGTTTGACCTCGGCAATTTCAATCCGTGTCCCATTCCGTGTCCGGTAAAGAGGTAATTCGAAGTCATACAATTCCGACATCATTTCTAGGGTATAACTAATCAATATCTTGTATATAAAGTAAAACTCTCCAAGTGTCTTTAGCTCACCGAGAGTGTCTTGATTCACGAATTCACTAATACACACCTACGCCTTCCACTCCACATTCTCTGAAGATCAGCAGACCATCTTCCACTTTGGTACTGTCGACATCTCTTTCTTATTTACTAAGCAAGTCTCGATTCTCAACGACGAGACGTGGGGGCCTGTGAGAATTCTTGTGGACCAAGACCTAACGCCTTCACCGCAAATACTGACCGTCTCGTTTCTCACTTTTGAGACCGACATTCGAGACATCCCACGCTGCACTAGACATCGAGCCGCAAGCTTAAAGCAGACTGAATCGAGTTTTCGAGCGAAGGAACGCCAGCTCCCCCCCCCCCCCCCACGACAAGTCAGCAAGCCAACCCTCACCGCCCAGCCTGAAACTCAAGTACCTTGCATACAAGACCAGAAGCAGTAACTTAGTCCTATACCGAGAAACACAAACACAAACACAAGCGGAATTGGAATTGGAATCGGAACCCACCTCCATACACACCCACAATGAGCCCCAACTTTCAAACCCCCCCTCCGACGACCTCGCCAACCATCAAACTAAGCTACCCATCCCCCAGCACCCTCCTCATCACGCTCAACAACCCCAAATCCCTCAACTGTCTCTCCACCGCCCTGCACTGGGAACTCGACGGTGTATTCAACTGGTACGACGATGAACCATCTCTACGATGTGCCGTCATCACCGGCATGGGCCGAGCATTCTGCGCCGGGGCTGACCTGAAAGAATGGAATAAATCCAACGAACGCGCCGCCGCAGGCGGATCTGGTCAGCGTGTCATGCCATCCAGTGGATTTGGAGCTGTGAGTCGCCGAACCGGTAAGAAACCATTGATTGGTGCGATTAACGGGATTGCCTTTGGTGGTGGAATGGAGATGGTGGCAAATATGGATATGGTGGTGGCCGCGAAGGCCGCGGTGTTTGCTTTGCCGGAGGTGAAGAGGGGAGTGGTGGCGATTGCGGGTGCGTTGCCGCGGATTGTACGTACGTTGGGAAGGCCTAGGGCGATGGAGTTGGCTTTGACGGGGAGGACCGTCCCAGCGGACGAGTTGATGAGTTGGGGAATGGTTAATGCCGTTACGGACGATGCGCCGGTTGATGTGGATGTGCTGGAGAGGCCCGTCGTGAAGAAGGCGTTGGAGTATGCTGACATGATTGCCGGTGTCTCTCCAGATAGTGTCATTGTCAGTCGGGCTGGTGTCATTGCGGGTTGGGAGGATGGGTCGGCCGAACATGGTACTCAGAGTATTGTTGAGGTTTGGCAGAGACGTCTCAACCAGGGTGAGAACATCCACGAGGGTGTTCGTGCTTTTGTCGAGAAGAGAGCCCCTAGATGGGTTGGCAGCAAACTCTAAGTGCTTCTAAGGACTCGAGCTCACTTTGCATAGTCACAAGTTGTAGAACGAGGAACAAAAAGTGTGGAAAAAGGGATTGGTTGCGGCCATTGTAGCTAGCTAATTACTGGATCATATGTGCGAGGCCCCATAGGAATATCAAGGCTGCTTGCCTACGTCCCTCGTGTATAGACCCCACCTAGACCAGTAGAAGCACTTGCAACACAATGTCCATAACTTCATTCTCAGCCTTTGAACATTCGCATATTGACGCACTGTTTATTGACTCATACAAGACATACTCAATGATGTACTAGACAACCCTGGATGCGCAGGTCCATGCTCTCGTTCTCCTCGAGGCATCAGACAAGGTCTTCTCTCCAGCTAGAGTTTCAAGGACCCATTTGTCGGAGAGGAGAGATGCACTGTGCCATAGATAGTTGAACCTAGACCGGGCTTGGCCACAGGCTGACAGGGTCCATCGACTGTCGGCATTGTTGCGCACAAACGGGGGACAGAACCGTGAATTTTGGGTATCGATTAAGGAGAGAGTCATGTGGATCATGCACGTTGGTGTTGAGGCATTTGCGGCATTCCCGCATATTGACCACCTTGGTTCTGCTGTTGCAATTGCTGGTAATACAGAGCCTGCTGTTGTTGTTCTTGAGTCATGTAGCCACCATGAGCGGCGGGTCTTGGCATGCCTGCGGCTGCGGGTGGGAGAGAAGGAACATCATCGGGGGACGCGACATCATCGCCGGTATCGACACCATTCTCTGCTCCCGAGGGCTCAGGTGCGTTGAGGCAGGCCTGCATATGGTTAGCTAGTGCATCGAATGGATCATGTTCAAGCACATACTTGAATGAGATTCTTGCCCTCGGCCTTGGTGACTAGAGGCTGGAGCTTAGGAGTGGTGAAAGTATAAACCAGGCCAGTCTCTGAGACGACCAGGAGGAGGACTTGAGTGCCGGTGAGGACTGAAAGCTCGTAGGCCTAGAAGGGACGTTAGATCGAACAGGGCGCATGAGGGACAGCCACGAGGTGAACCTACCTTCTTCATGATGCCAGCTTTTCTCTTGGAGAAAGTGATGTGTCGGCGCGATTTGTCTTGAATAAATTTGATTTCGATCTTTCTGCGCTCTCTTCCTCCCTTTTCGTCGTCATCGTCGTCGTCATCGCCTGCTAGGGACGTCCTAGGGCGCTTTGTTCCCCGAGAGTCAACGCCGTTGCCAGCAAGGTCGTCACCGGGAGAGGGGTGGTCGAGACCAGTGGAGGGATCAGTGATGTCGGCCATTGTGGTTGTAATGAAGCTTTCGAGGTATGCCGATGTCTACCCAAAGAAGAAAAGTGTCAATAGACTAAAGCGGAAAGGTTGTGGATGGAAGTCGAACCTAATGAGGCAATCCCCAAATTGATGGAGAGATGAAAAGTCGAAACGCCAAGGTGGAGTTGTTTCTATAAAGGTAATGACAGTTAGTTAAGAGTAGCAGGATATGAGTCAACGGAGCAGAAGCGCGACGGTGACGCGTTGATGGTGAAGAGCGGTGGTGAGGTATGCATGGCGGGTGTGGCACTTCGACGACGTACACAGGCTGGTGCAGGGTGCAATCGCAGGCACAGGCAAAATCTCAATGAGGAAACGGGGGAACGACAGGCAGATGTCGAGCAATCAAGCTTTGTGGATTGAGGGATGTGCAACAATCAAACTGCAACTGGAATAAGGAAGTGGATTTTTGAAGAGGCAGCGAGTAACCACTTGCTGTATTGGTGCTGAAGAACAGAAAAGGGTTTGGTATGGCAGGATAAGTAAGAAGAGAGGGTGCGGGTGTATTGAACGGGAGTCTCGGCAGAATGGGAACGACCAAGTGAGTGAGGAAGATTTGAGGGGCAAGGTAGAGTAGAGAGCGTTAGGGAGCCATGGAGTGCAGTCAGGGTTCCTCGGTGGGCAGGAAGCAGGCGCTGGGAGTAGTGGGGACTCGGGGAGCGAGGGAGTGCAGAAGACTCTGGTGCCAGGCGTCAGGTGGTGTTAGGTGGTAGTGTTCAGCGGGCGGATGGTGGAATTGCCTTGCAACGGGGAAGACCAGGGTAAATGCAGCCTGGGACCAGTGGTGTAGTGTGGTGGAGCCTGGACTAAAGAAGGGTTGCATGATGGTCGAACGTCGGGGGCCGGAGTATGCTGCTTGATGGCTGTGCTTGATAGCTTTGCTTGATTATGGTACGGCGCCTGGGTTGGTGGACTCGGTAGGCCGGGAGGGGATATCTTCGGAGGGGGCTGGAACTGGAGCTTGGCAACTGAGACCCGTGCATTGATTCCCGACCTTTGCTAATAAACCTTGAAGTTGGAGGGACGGGGAGGTTCTTTGTCTGGTTGGGAGAAACCTGTGACGGTGTCCAGGAGGCCTGCAGGTGAACCAGGGCCCAATCGAAGAATTGTTGTTGGCGTTTGATGGATGTCGACATTGTTGTGCACAGTCATGTGGGTCGAGCACCAGTGTCGTTGAGCCTTTCGACGGTGAAGGGCAGAAAGAGCAAGAGAAGGTAAAAGGAAGTGTGGAGTTGATGGGCTGGGTATTCTTTCACAAAGGATGTTCTCTCGATCAGGTAAGGTCAAAGGTCGATCCTGTTGGTGGCACGCGCAAGGCAATTGGGAATGGGCGAGGTATGATGGGGCTCAACAAGTCAAAATACCTACGTACCGGACAGAGAAAGTTTGTGCTTTCCCAACGATGAATTGTGACAATTCCAGGGTGTTGGAATTGACAAGATAGGGCCAATCTGTAACAGAAAAGGCCAAATGGAGAAGGGGATGGTGGACAACTGGATGACTGTTGCACGGATGGTGTTGAACAGAAATTGGGTATGGCAGAGAGAGGAAAGATGTGGACAGTGGACGAGAGAGGAAAGAAGGATTCAGAAAGGGCATAGTGGCTCTCCCTACCTTTTGTAGACTGGAAGGGTTCTTTGCGTCTGGACCTTCCTCTGGCACGCTCTGGCACGATTGGTTCTTTTAGCCTGCGGATCACCCATTCCCCGACTCAAAGACACCGCTGATTAGCTACGCGGGCGCAAAAGTGACTGGAGACCCAATCCCTGGTCAGCGATGGTGATCCACCGCACTAAACAGCCGCTAGCTCGACTAGTGCGCAGCGGCGTGTTAGCCCTACCACCCTGCGCTCAATAATAATGCAACTTGGAATTTTGTATGCCTGCGTTTGTTCCCAACTCTACTACTGAACTCTACTTTCAATCGATTTTCCACCGTCTTTTTGCTATCGTGACTACTCGTATCCCAGCACACCATGGTTGTTCCACCCTGCATTCACTCCGTGTCCATATCTATCTCATCATCGAATGGAATCACGAATGCTCTCAAGGATAAGACCATGCGGCAATCATCTGGACCGAATTTGAGTACCCACCTACCTTTGCCACTACCTTAGGCAACTGAACACGCCAGAGTCCCTCTGGTCTAGAGGCGCAGTAACTATAGTAAGGGGATACCTACAAGTAGTTACTAGATAAGTCTGGATGAATGGTATAATCAGGCCATAATGACATGAAGGACATGGAGTAAGAACATGGCCCGGCTGGTCTGGGGGGCTGAATCATCACAACGTGCATGCAGGACAGTACAGAAGTAATGTGGCCACAGAAGGCTTGAAGAATAATGTTCTCCAGGCAGAACCTCTGCTAACGAATCCCCGCCTGGAGCACGGTCGCAACCACTTGGATTCCGTCGCAATATCGCATAAGAACACAGTAAGCTTACCATTTCTTTCGTCTGGTAGGTAGCAAGGCTTTGATTTGATTCGACCGACCGACCTGTTCTTTAATACTATTATTTACATCATGACCAAGAGCAAGACAATCGACTTTGGCTGCGGCAATCGTGGCGAAAAGTTGCGGCGTCAGGTCGCAGCCTCACCGGGGCCGCGATTGACCCCAGGTGTCCGGAGTGCTCGGCTGATGACTTGACGGCACTCAAGCCTTTCGGCAGCTATGACCATTCAAAAGTCGTTGAGCAAAATACTCTGGATCACCATTCTAATAAATGCTGGGATGTTGCTGACATCACCTCGTGCTCAGCCTTACCATCGTGCAAGCAAAGACCACTGTGACTAAGACGATAAGTCAGTACTCATCATCCATTGCTTCATGCCCCTCATGGAGGCACTTCCTTTCCTGCCCAGTCCCAACACCTCCCTCTTCCATCTTGATTTATGCCGCAGATGACCTCCAGCAACCTTTCTGCACTGTATTCTGGACTGAACAGCTTCTCCTTTGGGGTGCTCTGCCAGAATTGCTCACTCAGGTCTGTTCTCACCGTGCCAGGGTGAAGCCCAATACACATGGTATTCTCAGCACTCTGCAGTCTGAGATAGATATCCGTCGATTTGACCAGTTGGTTGACTCCGGCCTTGGATGCACGGTAGCTATACCATCCTCCTAGTCGATTGTCTCCAATTGAACCCACTCTCGCACTCATCAGTGCTATTACAGAGGAAGGAGGCAGACCTTGGATGGACTGCAGCTCGACGGATTTGCGCGGAACAAATCCAGATAAATGTTTAACCAGCATCATGGGAGCCAGTAGATTGAGCTTCAAGGTGGACAGTGCTGTGTGGTACTCAATCTTGTCAGGTGCCTTTTCAGGTTGTAACATACCTGGCAGGAACAACCCCAACCTCATGTGAGCTGCCTTGTTCTTTCCTTTGTCATTGTACCGTTCTTTGCAATATCCCGCCAAGTCTGAGATGGATGGTTCCTCGAGAACATCACATTCCTGCACATCTAGCCGTGATGCACGAGACTCATCCAAGTCAAGACCCGACAAGATCCTCTCTTTCACTCCGTCCAGATCCGATCTCGCCGTTGCCACAACCGGCACACTGGCCGGGGTCGTCTTGAGGAGATGTCTGGTAAGAGCGAGACCAATACCCCTCGACGAAGGCGTGACTAAAGCCCACGCCATAATCTCTGCCCTCTTTTCCTCGTTCCCTGCTTCCAGCCTCTTGAATATCCAAGAGAAGTTCGGCTACAGAAGTTGTTGCATCAATTGGAGGACGTCAACCGATTGACAGGTTCAGTGACGTTTGGTGCCAGAGAAGCCCCGCTCTTTGGCGTCAATGTACAATGTACTGTACTCGAGCCACCTCCACAGGCAGATGCAACCACTTCAACACCCAGACCTCGCCGCACCCAATGCAACGACGACACTGACGGTATCTAACTGCAAAGAGATGGACTGTGAACAAGCCACCGAACCGCCCCAAATGACACTCCAAAACCACCCGAGTCCGGCACTGGTGTTTGGGGGGGGGCCGCCGCAACGCTTGGACGGAAAGTAGAAGACCGCCCGGAACGGTTGCGTGGCCTGCGGCAGAAAGGCTCGAAGCAGATGAGTTCTTCGGCAGATATACGACGTATGCCTAGGCGTAGTTGTAACAAGGAAAAAAGCACCGCCGATGGAATCACCTCGTCCGTGTGGTGGTCCAGGCCTAGTTAGTTGGCTTGGGTGTGATGATGTCGGTGGACTTTCGGGCACTTTGGACCTCTAGAACCGTGCACACTTAAGGAAGAGGTCTCCTGAGAAAAGTGACCCTCAATCAACGTTTGATGGATACCTCGGTGGTGTGAAAATGCCGATTAAATGTTGGTTCAGGCCGAAGGGTATATAGAAATTTAAATAATTTATGTTCATGGTAAGCAAGCACCTGTACAGTACAATACATATGCAAGCTTTCAAAACGATGATCCTTCTCTTTACATATATACCCCTTACATACATACTGTAACTCAAAATCAATCAAGACTCCAAAACGCCATGTGGCCAGGCATGATGATGTCGACGATCTTTGTCGATCGATCGGGGCATACAATCTATAGGTAGAACCGTTGGTGGCTTTTCGGCTTGATTAGGCATGGTCCAAGCAGCCTGAGGTTGTCCTTGGCCGCCTGCACGGGCAGCGTAACAAAGTACCCGTGGTCCCCAATTTTATGACCTTGACCTTGACCCTGAACACCGTGCCCTTTGGAACAAGGACCACGCGTTTGGAGCCTATGTACTTGGGATACAACACGAGTTCTATCATCCACATGCATGCACTTTGGCGAGGTAGATACGCTGAAGGCAAAGCATTTTGGAACGTGATGATGATGATGATGATCAAGTCAAAGGACACCGGTCGTTGAAGTATGTAGGTACTCGTATACATGCATAAGGTAGGCTTTGCGTCTTTGACGTCACGTCATGAGTTATTCCTCAGAGTAACGCGTCCGCTGCATATCACATCTACCCTTATCTCAACTAAGCTCCAGGACATCCTCAAAGTCACTTAAAGTCTCAAGACACGTGTATCGTCGTCTTGATATTCCTAATCTGTCTTTATCTGTCTTAAGATTTGTGCCACCGTGTAGAAATACAAAAAATGGCTGAAAACGTTCCCAAAATATCGCGAGATACGAAACGCCAGGATTTCCCCCCACACCCATCCCCGATGGGGGTGGCATTCGTAGAACGCCGGGCAAAAAGCTCGACAGAGTTCGTAGGTAGGTAGGTAGGTAGTGTAGAATGTTCTTGTTTGGTTGTTTGGTTCGGAGCGAGCGAAAGTTGGGTGGGAAAGAGACAATTGTGCCTGCCGATTTTTTCTACCGTGTCGTGTTGGAGGGATCCATCCAAGGGCCATCAAAAGGGAGGCAGGCCCATTAAATACAGCATCCCACGGTTCCATGTCAGGTCCAGGTCCAACGTATTGACCCAAAAACCTCCTCTCTGCATGTTCATCCTTCATGTAATTCGATCCACCACTTCCCTCCCCTCAAATCCCTCCAAACCCCCTCTTCTCATCGATCAAACGATATCGCTGTCTCTCCTTTCGATCCTTGATCAAACAACACGCGGCCAACAATGTCAAGAAATCCACTGCGACGAAACCAAAGAAACTGGTGAAGACGATATCCAGGAATCGATTGGCGAATGAAGCGAACGGAATCATGCATCCACCCAACCTGGCTGCGGTAGCTGCAGTTGTGCATGTATCATCACGGACGAACAATGCCGGATTGTCGTATCCGCAGCACTTGAAGCGTGCTTGAAGCATGGAAATGGTTTCCGCACTCTGGGCCTCCCACATGGGCTTGAGGTTCTTGTGGGTTTCGAGGGTTGAGAACCAGATTGTCAGGCCAATGACCAGTGTAAAGGTCGCAGAAAAAACAATACCCCAGCAGTGGGCGACGAGGTAGGTGCGATTGGTTTTGATGAACAGGGCGGGGAGAGACACGGCGAAGGTGATGTACATGAAAATCGCGTTCACGATCGTGGCTGGAGTTGGGGAAAGGGTTAGTCTTGTTCGTCTACCGAAGTATGGGAGGAATGAGGCTGCTCTTGCTCTTACCCGTCAAAGGAGTGTTATCCAGCAGGAGATGGTTGGCAATGTTGTCGACCGTGTTGTTATTGGCGAAGCTGGAGCGTGTATAGAGTGGCAGGACAAGAAGTAGTGTTGCGCAGAGGAAGAAGGCGACATCGAAGCCGATAAAGACGAGAAGGATTTTGTTCACCATGGTTGATCGTTGCGGCTTGATGTCGTTGCCCTTGAGGCGGTCCAAAGATGGGTCTCCTCAAGGCAGGAAGAGGTATTCGTTTGTAGTGAGAGTACAGTGTCTTTCGTCTTGTCCGCCTTGTACAATTTGGAATCAGACGAGGGTTAGACGTCGTGGTTACGACGGTAGTGAACGGCAACGAGACCTGCTCGATGAGATGACAAAGAAGGGCCAGTCTTTAAGCAAGCACAGCTGCATCCAAGACGGGCAAAAGCGAAGGTGTAAGTGAAAAGAACGAGTTGGAACGAAACGCACAGATCAACTGGACAAGAGGTAACGGGAGAGAGGACGATTAGGAAGCTAGGAAGCGCACAGAGCCAGCAGTCGCTTTCCTAAGGGATGTCAAGGAGTGCACGGTTGGTTGATGGTGCACGAACCAGACCAGACCTGTGACAAGGGGGCGCTTCAAGAAGGGTTTTGCAAGGTGTTTCAGAATCTGCCAGGTCGGGGAGTTTGTCTTCTGTGCTTCTCCACTGTGACCCATTCCTCAACCAGCTGTCTCGAATAAAAGTGCAAAGTTCCAGTCTCTCACCTGATGTTTGGTCGACCGAGCCATCCAGGATTCTGCGGTCATCGATATCCACCTTGTCTCGTTGTTCAAAGGACATGTATCGAGGATGAGGTTGAGGACTATGGAGTGAAGGTCAGGAGACGAAAACTTGCCGAAGTCGGTCTGCCGCGCTGTCATCCACAGTGGGCACAGACGACTGCGCCTGAGGAGATGAGGCACGTGCTGGGTTCGGCGTGAGGAAGGCGGTCAGCCACGGCGTCACCGCCTGGAGCTTCTGGCTACGGGGACCCTCTCGGGCTCTTTGGCCTCCTGGGCTCCCTGGGTCACCCCTTGATCACAGGCCGAGGGGCCTCGACGACCCGAAGATAGAGGAGATTCCCCTTGATGAGCCCCAACAACGTCACGTGTGTACTATCGGAGCACCTTCAAAATGGGGACTTCAGCAGCCCCTCAGGCCTAGACTCTGCCCCATGACTAGGTATCTACCTACAGTACCTAACTTAGTAGGGCCGAGCGGCCACGTCTCCTGGTTTGCCGCTGAGTGAGTTCACCATTTTGGATCCCCGTGCGTAGAACAAAAACTACAGGTCCCAGCCCTCCCAATCGTCTCTTCATCATGACGCGGATGGGTCAGGTGTCTTTTCAGGTGTGGTGCATATGACCAGTGTGTTCTTTTGAATGAATGTCGACATCATCGTTCAAGCCACAATAACGCCCATTGCCGGATGGTTCAGGTATGTCGCTTCGGTGGCCACCGACAGACCTATTTTTACAGCATGACATCCCAGCCTCATATTGAATGATGCAATGTGGCTTCCGTAGAGGCTCTGGACTGTTCCTTGATAATTCTTGATATCATTACAACTGGAGACCCCGCTGGAAACACAATCGCGTCAGGTGTTCCACAAGGGAATCTCGCAAAATGCCTATAGTACATCTTGAGCAGTCGGGAGCGCAAGAGTTGGGTGCCAATCCAAGTCATGCGTTCTATCGCCGAGCTCTCAAAAATCATCACATCATCCCACAGAGACGGTCGTAAGGCCGATCTCCCCAATCGTGATGCCGCCGTGAGACACGCCAGACAAACGCCAGAAGTCATAGTATGCAGGTTTAGGTACTGACCAAGGCAAACACATCACATGGGTTTTCCACTTTTGATCATCGCATGTGGCCACTGCAAGTGTTTGAGCCATTCACCCGAAACCGTCTCCTTGATGGTTTCCAGCATGTAGTTGGCCCACCCATCGATAAACCAGGTTGCCTGTCCGTTTTGTTCTTCCGACCAGTAAATGAGCACACAATAGTGTGCGAGAATGATGATAGCCTCAGGTTGCTTCTCGCCTAAAAGTTCCAGGAATTTAGGCGAGAGACCCAAAGGCCAGACAAAGGATGCGAGAACTGTGCCCTGACCTCGCTCCCTCAGTAGGGACACCTGAATAAATGCGCTGAGAAGGGCGTGGATTGCCAGGTCATATGCCTGTGCTGATTCTTTGTCGTGATCGGTCGAGTTGCATATCCGAAATAATTTGGTGAACTCTTCGGTATAAGGATACTTGTGAGCTTCTGTGTTCTCGAGGTGGGCGAGTTCGTCTAACAGCGGTTTGAGGAAACTGCATCGAATGGTTTCCCCATGCATATTAAGCACAATATGGGCGCCTCTGAGCAAATAAAACCAAGACAGCACATCTGTGTTGAGATCTCGAGCTTTGTCTTTGGAGCTGGACGCGAAAGCCAAAACGATGATCAGGCATGAAAAGGCGAAGAGAGCGTGGCAGTTGCTTTCGCTAACGTGACCCAGAGTGGTTTGAAACTCCTCCAGTGCGATGCTTTGATGCGCAGACCCAATCAACACATACTCGGCCCTTCTCTCAGGGTATAGATACCCAAGATGAAAAGCTGACGCGGCCAAAATGCCTCGGAGGAGGAAGTGGTGCTTGAAGCCCAGCTTGACAGCATGAACCTGCCACAATGCTATCGCTTCGGGCGTGTCTCCGCTGGCCAGGTCAAGAGCAACCACGCTGGTGAAATGATGGATCAAGCGTAAATCGGTGACATCGAGGTCGGTAGACGTCTTTCTACTCACCAGATCCGGACTTGCGAACGGGTCTACAAGTTTCTGGGTCGGGGATTTATTGGAATCTCGATCGGAACCCACGCAGAATAGAGGCGGTTTCGATTCAGCGCCAGTGCTTGGTGATGCATCAGGTCCGGGAGTGGTTGAGAAGTCGCAAAAGATTTGTCGACGTTCGCAATTGTTGCACAGAGGGTGTACTTCATTGCACTGCCATCGCCGTCCCGTCAGCATTGACACAAGCTAGGCGCTCATGTACCATGAACTTCAGCGTACCTTTATCCGTCGGACTTTACACTGGCTACATCCATTCTTGGACTTCGTGTGGGATCTTCGCTGATTTTTAGGCGGCATCAGATGCATCTAGTGTCCAGGTCGTAATGATGAAGAAGAAAAGATAGCTCCGGTGGGGCTCATGACCAGGTGCAGAAAAAATGCGTCGGATCCGGGGAATGGCAAATGTCTAGAGTGCGAGCAGCGCGAGCAATTCAGCATTGTACAGTGCCGTTCAAATTGTTCCTGAGGCGCTGGATGCGAGACCGTCGAGAACAGAGATGGATACAAAACGGTAACGCGCTCGACGTTTGGCGGAGACAAAAGACACAACTACTTAGGCCACCGAGTATTTTGGGGCCCTAAAGCCCCGGATGTGGCTAACCAGGCGTGCTCAGGCACCAGTTTTAGTCACCCAGTGCCCTTGGCTGAGTCACCAAACCGTGTCGATATGTCGCTTGCAACTAGAGGTTGCTGATTGGGCGCCGCTGGCTTCGAATGCCCAGGCGTGCCAGGTAAACTTTTGCACTGCGCAATTAAAACGGTGGACGTGCTCTGAGATTGGACACGTCGTTCAGGTTGGAACCGAGGAACCCTGGACTGCCGGGCGTGTCCTGCAGACAATTCGCGGCTGCCTGCTTGGCTTTGTTGGGGAACCTCAGGTAGGCACTGACTCACTACCACTCCAAGGGGCAGGAGCCAACCAAGTGTTGAGGCTTCGCACGTGATATCAAAATACTTTCATCAACATTGATGTCGACGTCGTGTATGATTCAAACTAAAGCTTGGGACCACGGAATAAGAGTCATTTTAGCTTATCCCAAAGCTAGGGCTTATTCGAAAGTATATGCACACGCAATTCATTCAAAGTGCCCACTGTTGAATGGAGATGTTTTGGGTGTAGCCAGACAGAGATCGATGAATATATAATCATCGCGCAGAAATTCCGAAACTTGCCGCCTATCTGTTGGTCAGTGGTATGAAACAGCATCAGCTGTATTTGAAAAGTCAGAATAGACTTGTATACCTATGCTGAGTATCTCTTGATCCGTCATGTCAGTTGTTCCATAATTTCTCTTGACATCAGTTATGAGTTCAATTCTTGCATTGCCCCATTGTCTAGAGACGAAGGCAACATCATCGGATCGAGGCAATTGATGCAGATCAAAGTAGTTTGACCCTACCTTGATAGCCCAGTGTAAACTTGGGCGGAGCCGAATGCCTGTGAAGTCTTTGATTCTTTGAATGGATAGCGGTACCAACTCTACCTTTGTATGTAGCAAATTTATAGACAAGATCAACAGATCGGTACTCTCTTCCCGCTTCGCGCCTGCTTGCAGCTGCTTTCTTGATTCGCTCCATGGCAAGGTCCGAGGCGCTGAAGTCGAGGATGTCAAAAGAAGAACCGTGACAGAAGCTAGGGTGTGAGAACTCCATGGAGGTGCCTTAGGAAAGATGCCAAGGTGGTGCAGACAAGGAGACTATAAGATGTACACAATAAGAGAAGGACAAAAGGGAGGCAGAGACCAGACCTCCTGGTCTGATTGAATATGAATGATCAGTCGTGGGGGCTGGATTCTAGACCGTCATCGAGCTGAAGGCGACGAGGCGTCGAAAGCCACTAGCTTGATATTACGTCCCGTTTCCCTACAGGTTTCCGGTCATCGAATCTGCATTCCTTTTTTCTTGCATCGAGTGCAGCATGAGCTCCCCTCCAATGAGGACCAAGGCACAGTTGACGAATACGCGGCGTCACACACGCTGGGACAATTTCTTGACGTATTGTGGACTGGGTATACTCTTCGACGCCTGGTCAACGTCGTCCAGCATCGTAGAGAAGATCAATAATGCCTCTGAGGACGAGGCAGATGCGTGGACACGCAGATGGCTCAGCCAAAAAAAACTCTGGAAACACGATTTCCATCGCTTTCCAACCGCTGATCTTTTGTAGAGCGCACTCGCTGCCACCGTCGCAGCTGCCTTAGCATGGAAAAATATCGAGGACACCGAATCAGTGCCTACGCTCTGCTGCTGGTACTCTGCTCTTTTGATGTCAGTCATAGCCATCACATCTGCGGTGCAACAGAGCAACACTCTCCGAAAGATGATGTGTGACCCTCAGGGACCACAGATGTTGCGCAAGATCATGCGGTCTGTGAGTAAGAATGCTGCAGGCAGATACACGGAAGATCACCTACAACATTGGATATGGCAAACGCCCATTATGCTGCTCAATGTCGGCATATTCCTGTTTGTACTTGGACTGATGATAACCGTGTTTGGTACTTCGCTTCTTACCGGGAGGCGAGATTTGAAGGTATGTTTTAAAGTTTGTCAACGCCTGAAATATTCAATCCGAGGCTCAATATTCAAACCCCCAGATTCGCATCGTCTTCGCGTTCGCCACAGCATATTCCATTGGAGCTTATTTGATATCATGGTTTGGAATGTATGCGAAAGTTCGCCAAGTGAGTCAGCAGCTCTAGAATAACAAATGCTCCAGGACCCTGGACACATTTATGAGGTGTGGCGTCCCTACTGTCGATTGAGGGTGACCTGTTTTGCAACCAAGGATAATCACTTCGAAGTGGCCATACCTCACTCTCGTCAGTATATATTGTATGTGTAGACAAGCTTCGAAAGCTGCCAAGAGGCATTTTGGTCCACTTTATGTAAGTTCCATAAAGGCCTACAAGTACGAAGACTTTCACCCTGGCAAGTAAAGTTTGAGACAGGCATCCATTTGGAAGTCTCGCAACTACCAATTCTTGGGCCTCCTAGCTTTGTTGTCTCGCTGTCTCTTCTCCTTGAGTACCGCCCTCCGCCTTTGCTTCCATGCTCGATTGTTATCCCCTCTGTTCTCCCAGAACTTCTTCTCAAAGTCGCTCTGAGGTCGAGATGGGGTGTCAGGCATTGATTTGTTGGAACGTAGTTGCGGACCGTTTTTCTCAATGCGAGTATTGTGGGGAGAATCTTCGAGGTCGCTTCCATCTTCAAGATCTTCATCTCCTGGTAGACCTGTACTTCCATAACTGTTGAACCGGCTTGGATACGCCGTATCTGGCGTGGGTGCGGCACTCCTAATACCACGATTCTTGAAGTCCTGTGAAGTGAATGGGGTCAAAGGGACCATAGGTTCGTCTGCATTGTCGTCATCCGTGCCAGCGCCGAAAAAGGAAAAGCCAGTAGAGAGCTCCAAGGAGGGTTTTGCAACATCCTGGGATGCTGGTGTTTTTGGCTTTTTGAAGAGCTTTTCTAGAGGATGCGCGTCCTGCGTGTCACTCGCCTTGTCTTCCTGGGAAGCACTTGATGACTTGCTGTCATCGGAAGCTTCAGTAGCATTGGAACTAGTGTCCGACGACCCTGAGCTGCTGGTTTCATCGACTTGGTTGGCAAAGGTGTCTGCACCTTGTAACTCTTCCTCCTCCTGGCTATCGTTGTCACTGCCAGATGAAGAAGAAGAGACAGATGGTGAGGCCTTTCTGCTCTTGACCATTGACGATTCCGAAGTTCCCGCTGCGTGGGTGGCCTGTCGCTGCCTGAGAACTCTTTGAGACTCTGGTTCAACCACCTGTCCGTTTTCATCTAGCCATCCCTTGCCCTCAACATAGTCTAGATTTCCATGAATGCCCAGTCCAATGTCCTGGCGAAGAAATGATGGCTGCTTAGTACTTTTTTCGAACTCATGGACGACGTGATCGCCCTTGTCGCCCTTGGCTTTGGCCTTGACTTTCTTGGATCCTGCAAGATCTTGCTTATTAGGCGGTAGTTTTGTGCGAAACAACATTTCGTTGTTATCTGTATATTTGGAAGCAGGCTGCGATGCTTCGTGCGATTTTCTCTTGCTTGATTTAGGACGGCCAGCCTCGGTCCACCCACGTTTGATTTTGCGACCCGCATCAAGCTCATGACCCGAAATGATATCTTTGTCTTTCCTATCTGTTCTCTTGTGCCTAGTCGAAGGCGCCTTTGATGCCGCAGTGTTTGGCCCTTCGGCCCCATCGTCACCTTCCTCTAAGCGCCTGCGTTTCTGTGGTCTGGCCTCTTCCACTTTGATCCTCTTGCCTTTTAGAATGGCACCGTTGACTTTCTTCTTGACCTTCTCGGCATCCATGGTGGGCAAGCTGATAAACCCAAAGCTGTTTTCGGGAAATGTTTCGATAGTGTGGTAGGATATATCAGTGACGGAATGCAGCAGGTTTGGTCCGACGGTGGCAGCAAGGAGTTCAGGATTGAAGGGTGTAATGTGCAGGCGCATCAAGGACTCGGTCATGGCCACGGCAGAGCTATGTCATAATGACCCTTTATTTAGGTCAATCGTCAAATAGCAATATGAAGGATGATACTTCCTGCAACCTCCAGACGGTGGATGATTACAGGGAGACGAGACGAACCGTCAGAAAGTTTTTAAGGTTTGGTGGTGGATTGTCTTTAGGCGCTGGAAGTGGAGCGCTGTTCTAAGCCGAAGACACCCCGGGAGCCCCTCCCGAGGACCTGTCCATTGGAGAAGACAGCCGGCTCGATTTTGGAGATAGCAGGGGTGGTTTGAGGCCCGAGGGCCCCAATATGCCTGGGTAAGTACCTACCTACTACTGTACCTACCTATCTGACGTATCTGGTGCGGGGCTTTACGGGTGACAGTGTATGCGGATGGGTTGAATATGGGAGGGGTCTGAGTCACACGCAACATGGCAATCAGCAGCCTGGGTGGGGGAAGTCTGTGAGCCCGAGGGTCCTTCGGGCTTTATTATTCTAGGCTCTTGGATTTGACAAACATGGCCTGTGTCCATTCAATAATATCATTTTGGATGACCTAGTATTGGTCTGTTCCTGTGGTCACGCGTCAGGTTTCTGCTGCGCTAGACAGTCATTGACTCTTTCACCAACTGTGTCTGCAGAGGGAGAGCAACCGACAATTATCATTCTCCTGACTTCCTGGCAATCATCGTAGGGATCTAGGCTTCATGTGTAATCAGATAGCTTACGCGAGATACCAGGGGGGGTTCCTGGGGGCTTCGACCGCTGGGTTGTTCATTCCCATGGGGTGCCCTTTCCCCCTTGCTTTGTTCAGCGTCCCCGTCATCTTCTCTAAGTTGTTTGTTCGTGACCTGATTCGAAAAGGTCCGATTAAGTTTCTACTTAGGTTTGCGTGTCCCCTAAACTTGGCACGGGCGGCGTCCTGCGGGTTACGCTTGTCCTCCACCACCTCGTGCCTTCTGCACTCATCTTCTGGTTCAGATTATTATCCAAAAAGACCTCTTGTTAGCAACCTCCATCCAACGTACCGCCACATGGCTGCTTAACACTTCATCCCCTGTTTACATCAATTATTCAACTTCTTCTTACTTGTGTGTTGTTTGCTCTTTGTTTCAGACCTTCCTGACAGACCACTCGTCACTCCATCACATCCACCAACTCTCGTTGCCGTTGTTATTTGCGTCGTCAATTTAGGCAAGCCGAATCACATTTCATCCTCCAAACTACGGATACACGACCTTGATATCCTCGGTCGTTATTGCAAGCGAAGACGGCTTTACTTCAAAATGCATCGATAATCATCACCCTCCGGTGTGACAAAAGTTCCCTAGGAAGAAGGCTTCGTCGATTCTCATAACACGAGACACCACCATGGGCAATTCTCAGACCAAAGAGGCGCGTGCACATGGCTCTTCAGCCTCTCGAGCATCTGGGAGTGCCAGTCCTGCCACCAGATCTGATAATCAACTCAATGGAACCTCCTCCGATGCGCCCGCCCGCCCTGAGACCTCCGCTCGACAACAAAGGCGGGGCAGTCGACCCGACTTTTCCTTCCTCGGAATAGGCGGAAGCAGTGATCAAGACACGTCGTCTCTCGAAACCCGACGGGAGAATAAACAGGAGAGAGAAGCAAGAAAACTTGAGAAAGAAAGAGCTGCCAGACTTAAGGAGCGGGAGCGTAGCATGAAGGAGGAACATGTCGATGGTGGATATCTAGTTACCCAAGGTGTTTATGTGGGCGTTGAGGATTTCAGCAAACCGACGGTTCGACAATTGATGGTGAGTTTCTACAGATAATTGTTGCTCTATTCATCCTCTAAGTCAGCAAAACAGATCGAGCGTCGCCTGGCACCCTTCTTTAGAGGGCTGAATGATTTTTCGGAAAGCTGGGCGGAGCATCAGCTCATGGCAGCTGCTCGGGGAATGGAAATACCGCCAGCTGATCAGGTTCCTCCTGAACTCGAATATCGACTCACCAAAAGGACCTCTTCCGACAAGAATAAGGATAAATCCACCCAGAGCCTCACTATCCCTATCGGACCACGATCCCAGTCTTTCCAGTCTGACAGTTCGGCACCCATCTCTCCTCTGCCTAATTCGCTGCCTCTCCCATCCCCATCGATTCCACCACCAACTAATTCCTCAAGCACCAACATCTTCAGGACTCGTGCCAAAACTCTGGCTTCTCTAACCACCTCTTCTCGGACAAACTCCCAACAAGATATGACCCCGAGAGAGTTCCAACTGCCACCAGATCCATTTGTCAACGGTCAGCCCATTGAGGTCTACCTTTACAAGGATGCGACCGAATGTCCCATTTGCTTCCTGTACTATCCACCATACTTGAACACAACAAGATGCTGTGAGCAATCGATTTGCTCCGAGTGTTTTGTGCAAATCAAACGGCCTGATCCCCATCCTCCCGAGCACGAACAGCCTGATCCAAACGCCCCACCTCCTTCTGAGGCCGAGAGGGAGGCCCAGGCAGATGGCCTTCTCGTTTCCGAGGTTGCAACCTGTCCCTACTGCAAAACTCCAGAGTTTGGCATCACTTACACCCCTCCCCCTTTCCGCCGCGGCTTGACCTATGGTACTGGCTCTCAACCGTATCAAGTCATGTCAGCACGGTCTTCTCAAACCTCGATTTCGTCTGGCAATTTGTCACCAGGGCCAGGTCGCAGGCGTGGCACCTCATTGTCCGCCGCTGCCCCCGAAGTAATCACAACAGACAAGATTCGGCCGGATTGGGCCACCAAGCTTGCGACGGCTCGAGCTCATGCTGCCAGAAGAGCGGCTGCAGCGACCGCGCTCCACACAGCGGCATACTTGATGAACGGGCAAACGTCGGAACAGGCGCGAGCGTTCTCAACGTTCGGGCGACGAAACATGCTGCGCAGGTCAACTCTTGAATCATCCGAGACCACTCCTAGCGCTAGCCTGAGCGCCCTGGCTCTGCTTGCAGAGCGGCATGCAAGCAGACAGCAGGAACCCGCTCAACCTGATGCTCGACACTCATTCCTCCCTCCACCACGGGGTAGCAGCGCGAGAAGGAGCCGTATGGATGACTTGGAAGAGATGATGATGATGGAAGCCATTCGACTCAGCCTCGCAGCTGAAGAGGACAGACGCCGCAAAGAAGAGAAAGAAGCCAGGAAAGAGGCTAAACGAAAAGGCAAAGAAGGCAAGAAGGCGGAAAAGGCTGCGAGAAAAAGTAGTCTTTTCACGCTCAATTCCAATGCAAGCGCCGGTGAAGGAGCTGGGAGCCCAATGGAGCGGTCAAGGAGCAATCTGTCTCTTGGGATGGATGACGACGCTGCATCTGCTTCTGGTAAAGGGAAACGTGTCGAACGAGAAAATAGCCCTCCTATTGAGGGACTGCGTTCGGATGACGATGTCTCCCGAGGACCCTATCTGCCAAGCTTATCGCTGTCTGGTACCAGTCAAGAATCGCTTGCGTCGTCGATCCCTGTCCCCGGGGCATCAGCAGAGCCATTTCGACGTTCACATCTGCGTCAGATGTCCAATGCATCATCTGCGTCATCCTCGTTTGTCGAGTCTGGGCCTGCTGCCGGAATTTCTGGCACCAATACACCCCCTCCAGGCAGTCTCGAGCCTATGTTTAACTTTCGGAGTCTGGCAGCGATGATTGGAGATGATGAAAAAGGGGAGGTCAGCGCACACGTGGAACTTGCCGGAGGCGAGGGACAATCGTTGGCCGCTTCGCCCGGTTCTGGTTCGAAAAGCAAGCCAGTTGAACAGACAGCCGGGACAAATGTAGACAGCGCCAGTTCTGACTCATCGTCAGAACCAGATCTGAGAGACGCTCGAAGCAATGGCACTGAAGACAAGCAAGGAGAAACCTTGATTGAAACTACACCAACGACAACGAATGTCTGAGACCATTGTCGTGATTATGGGGCTGGAAAGGCATGAGTACGATATTGATGGTGGCTGCAAGGGCTATAACGACGGCACCCTGGTTCCCCATCCAAGACTGTGGATGGCAACTAGACTAGTGAAACGTCACGCATCCGGCTTACTATTGCCACATTGAGGTCTTTAGATTGTGAAAGAGCGAACAAGCTGTACAAGACAGTTCTGGTACGCCCAGAAAGACGATGGGCACGATCAAACCAACATGAGAGAGTGGAGTTTATGGGTACAGGAGACAAGCCTGATGCAGATATAGACATTTGAACAGTTCCAAGCGCATTGACTACCACACTCCTAGGCTTGTTCGATTTGTAGTGATTGTTTGAGCCAATTGGTTGGGTTTGAGGAAAAGGTGGTCAAATCATAGACTCTTCTCTTACAGGCTCTACGATTCATCAGATGATTGATGATTGATGGTGAGGATGTGTGATGCATACCTCTGACATTTGATTGGTCGATTACGACGCGACACTTCCAATTTCATGCGTCAAGAGGCAGGACCGCCTCCCCGTCACCGAGTTTGAAGAAACCAGCCAGTCAAGACTCCCTCTCTAGAGGACCAGTGACTGCCCTCATGCGTTGGATAAAGGGTGGCGAAACCTTCTCATTGCTTTGCATCTTGACTCCTGACTTGCCTCTCTGTTGATCATGTCGGATAGCTGAGTCTACATCTGGAAATACATCAGCACACCGAAATATGGCTCCAGATCTCAACACCATGCCTACTACCTCTCCTCCCACCGATTCTCAACCTCCCGCACCATCAGCACAATTGCCTCCATCGTCAACACAGTCTGCTTCTCGAAGGACATCGACTCAGATGCTACCTCCTCCCTTGCCATTGCCCCAAGCGAGTAGCCTCCCTAGCTCACCACGACCGCAGGGTTCTACAGGAGACAATACCGGGGTTGGAATTGGCCCTGGTAAGTTGAACATGACTCTTCTTGCCCTGACCAGAACTAAATAAAGTGCTTCTTTAGGGCCTATTCGCCACCCTCGCCCATTGACTGCTGCCGAAATCCATTTAGAGCTAGAAAAAGAGCAGGAAAGCATTGTAAGGCACTTGTCCTTTAAGGAGTGGTCGCTCCATTTCATTTGAGAAAACTATTTGACTCACAAACCATTTACTCAGGTCAACCGCCTTACACGTGAGCTTTCAGCTCTTCGTGCTCAAACAGCTTCCGTTGCTTCAACGACATCCTCAACTTCGGACCATTTCTTCTCCTCCACGACTGACCCATACCCATACACATCTTCCATCACGACGGGCACAGCTGCAAACATCATCCCAACGTCTGCTCGACGACACCGTTCCTCGTCCAACTTATCCGCTCGCTCCTCACGTTCGATCCGCGACAGTCTGGCCAACGCAGCTTCGACTTCTGTTTCCGGTGTGGCTGCCCCAAGGGACCAGTCCGTTCAAGCCAGCGCCCGCCCAAGCATGGAAATCATTAGGCCCGACATGAGCAGACAAAACTCTTTGTCCGCCTCTGGTTTTAGATCTTCAAGCATTACCTCCAGTCCACATCTTACCCAAGCTGGACTGTCCTACGGTCCATATCTACACCGCAGTTCCGTCTCGTCAAACACGAATGGAAGCATCAATACCAATGCACCTACGAGCGGGAATCATGGCGTACTAAGCACGGAGTCTGCACCCACATCTGCATACCCACGAAGTCCCAGTTCCAATGCCGCAGTTGCCGCGGCCAGATATGAAGAGGCTACACTGCAGCGCGCAGAGCTTGAAAGTGTTAAGAGAGAGAATGAAATGCTCAGGGCCAAGGTGAGAGATCTGGAGAGGAGCCTCCAAAGAGCAACAGAATCACAACCCAGTCCGAGCGACCGTGGCAGGCCCTGATATCTCCAAGTTGTAATGATTAGAGGTCAAACCTCTGCACCCCGCAGCATGACGGTATGGAGAGCGTCAGCGATCGAGATATTGGCGGGAGAGGTCGATGGTTTCGAGGAACTTAATGACCTTGTTGTTAATGATGTGGATTATGATGAGAAAATCAAGGAAGAATTGCAAGCGAAAGAAAAACGAAGTAACGAAATTGATGGACGGACACCATTGACAATGGATGGACACACTCACGACCGATCAGCATGATCTACATTACCTCCCTTTCATGGGCTTGTTGGCATGAGATAGGAAGACAAGGGAGAACTCAAGAGGGAGTTTATGGGAGTTTGAAAAGATAGCAAATCAAGAGACATGACGTTAGCGCAAATCCATCTAGTTTGATATATCATTATTCATCTCGCCCCACTAGTCTTGGTACATCTACCTAACAGCACTGTGAAGTTCTAAGTTCTACCCGATACCTTGTTATTATGCATATTCTCTGGACCATGCAATTTTGACATGGCCGCGCGTTCGAGAAGGGAGGGGGTCATGGATCCGATTCATTGCCCCAACTTCGTCATGACCAACTTCGTCATGTTCTCACAAGATCAAGCCTTGCATGTGGCTCACAGTGACGGTGTGCCTCGGGAAAACCACGCTTCAATGCTGCGGAGACGCACATCAAAGTCCTGAAGACAAGCATGTTCTTGATGATCAATGACGATTGGCGGGACAGAGCTTGATTCGTGGGCTTTGCGTGTTTGTCGAAGTCGTACACTGTGACGTGGTGGTGGACGTCTGGACGGCGACATCGGATGGACGATTAGTGGCTTGTTGTTCGTGGACGGCCCATGGTCTCTGGATTCCCTTTGGATGTGTTCGCTTGACTCTCGACCAGCCGTGTGGACAGTTGACATTGCCACGAAAGCCTTTCGAGCGGGAGAGACAAGCTACACATCCAGGCGCGCAGCGGCTGCAACGGCCCTAGGGACGATACAATCTTCTGGTCCAGATGTAAGGGTTCTGACGTTCAGAAGGTCGTGATTTCAGTTGATTTCCAACAATCTCTTCGGCCGCCCAGCTTCCTTGGCTTTTCCAGAAGCATCGTCCACCACACTCGATAACTTATCCTCGCCACTCTTGACTCCGTCGCGGACCTTCTGCTCAAGGTCCTTTGCTTTGTCCTTGACATCTTTTTGAATCTCCTTGACATTCCCCTCAACTTGTTTGCCGAAATCACTTTCTCGAATCGAGTTCCACGCGGTAGCCAATTTATCCTCATAAAGCTGGCGCTTCGCAGACCAGTCCGTCTCTTGGACGTTTTTGACAAGTTTCTCAACTTCGCGGTTCCAGCGATCTTTGAGTTCTTCTGCGAGACCGGCTTTGCGGACTTCGTACGCGGGTGGATCGGGCAGAGGAGTGGGTGGCTCGACGATGGTGTTGATGACGTAGGTTTGTTGAGATAGGAGTGTTTTTTGAACGTTGCGGTTTGCTCGGTGCATGTACAGACCGAGGTATAAGACGGAGTATGTGAGGGTCATGCCTCCGAGCTGTCTCATGAGTCAGAATTGACTGTGTTGATATGGGGGAAGGAAGAAAATGGGCACTGGGAGGGGAACGTACGAAGCCGGTTGTGAATCCCATTTTGATCTGTGAATGACGGCTGAAATAAATTCGGTCGACTCGCTCTCTTGGTGAAAGTAGAGTATAGTTTGTACGTGGTGGGAAATAGGAAGGAGCTCGATTCGCGGACCTCGGAGCTTTGGGTAAATCTTTATATCAAACTTCGCTGGGATGAACTCAAGCTCCCTTCCTGCGGTCTAGGGGAGCGACTGGAGGTGACGAGGTATATGTGTCACGGAGACGTGGGAATTCAAGGATGAAGGACCATAGGAGAGAGTGGCCAGGCGTTAGGTTGTTTCCTTCAGTCCGAACATAGACATTTGTAGATCGACGTTGGACCGCGAAGCTCGAAATCTTGGGTGCATCGGATCATAGTACACGCCTGCGCAATTGCCAGATAAGGACTGCTGAATACGGCGAACCATTTGCACAACAGGAGACGAGGCTATGGCCAGGGATGCCCATCGCCCTCAGATTCTCGACTTAACATCTTTGATTTATTCGTATTTCATTCTTTTCAGGCTATATAAACCGAGTCTTTAGGGAAAGACTTACGCACCCAAAGTCAACCTGCCGCTTCCCTGAATTCATAGGAGAATTGTCGTTGGCTTCGTGGCTTTCATTGCTCCTATCCACATACAAAAGGGTTCATGGCCATCTGTCCCTTGTTGGCATTAAAAGTTCCTGTTGGTCTGATTGATGTCCGACATCCGCCGTCATCACTGTTCGGATGTTGCGGAGTGATGAATTCTATCAGACATCATAATCTTCCTGATCCTACTTGTCACCTAGACGTCCCGGAGAGGAATGTCTCGGTTAGAAGACTCGGATGCAGAACCTCGAGCAGCATCCTGCCACTTGACGCCACGGACATTGTTTTGCTGTTCGCGGAGACGTTTATTTTGCTGGTTGCGGCTCCATGCGAAGACAAGCAGTCCAACAAAGGCTCCTACACCAACAACGACGCCGACGACGATACCGGCGATAGCGCCCCCGGAAAGACCGCCACCAGATGAAGAGGCGGTGACACTGCCTGATGTGGCGGAAGCTCCAGAGCCTGTTCCAGTGGAAGTAGAGTTATCTGCGCCATCTGAGATGGTGAAATCATCAACAGTGGCGTTGAAACAGGGAACTTGAGTGGTGAACTGGCTTGTCGCAACGTAAGTGATATCTGAGCATGCGTAAAAGGTCTCATTGAGATCTGTGCCAAAGTCCGAAGTATATTTGATTTGCAGTGTGGCATTGGTTCCAGGTTCAACATCAGGCCCTGGGTTGGGGACTGGATAACACTCGTGCCCCGAGTTCAATGAAGGGATTCTGTGTGCTTCGATGATCTCCTCGAAATCATCGTTGGATGAAGGATCTATCACTCTAGGTCAGCCATCAACAGGAATTTGAAGGATGGCTGAACATACGCTCAGCGTATGAGATTGCCACCGCAATCTGCCACGACTCGTCTTGTGCGACTAACGATACCACACCATTGACTGCGACAAATGTCAGCCGATTGATAGAGCGACTCGTGGTTGCTAGGGATACATACGCAGAGGGAATTCTGTTCGGTTTCCAACACCTTCTGCAGAGCCGCAGGGAGCGTGGTTATCGAAGTCAGCACCCCATAGACGGTCCGGTGGCCACATGATAGCGACGGGACCCATTTCTTGGGAGGCTTCCTCACCATGACTCTGGGACATGGCGAGCCTGGCAATGAAGCCGAGGGATAGAAGAGTGGGTTTGAGGGTAAGCATTGTCACAACGACGGTGTCGTGCTTACTTGCGGCTTATAGATGCAGTACTGGATGAACAACGATAGCATGAGTTACGGAGCTGCAGTACGAGCGACATGCGGGCAAATATAGCATAGGAATACCAAGAGATCGATGGAGAGTCACGAGAGGTTGGAGGTTCTGCTATCATTATTAGCGTGGATGGATACACTCAATGCCGACAACGGCGCTGTCCAACCAAGAGCGCGATAGTGGGTGACCACGGAAGAAAAGCACCAAGGCCAAGTGGACAAAGTTTTTTCAGGATGTTCTGGGTGGGAGGGGAGCAGGAGCATTGCTACTACATTTGTGCAGTGACACGGTACACCCTCCGTCGCTTAGGCCAGTGTCGGCACAACCAAGAGGTCTGGACGAACGGTGGGATTGCGTGAGATGGAGTGTGAGCGAAATAGTGGCATCTTGAGCCAATCGTTGTGAATGCCAACTCCTTGGACGAGAGAAAAATCTTATCAGATTAGATGACTATTGGCTTCTAGGTGGGCCGAGGGACGTTGTGATTCCGCTCCTGCCGGGAGAGGCTTTTGTGTCAGTCGGACAATTTGTAGCACAACGAGTGCCTAACTTTGCTAAATTTTACATCTCCAGTCTCATAAGAAGTTCTGTCAGACACCCTTCATTGTATAGTCTTTTTACCCTGACTTGGCAAGTGGACCGAGTGTCTGACCCATTCTTGGTCGCACCTGCCTTCTTTCCAATCTGATAAGATCAATTCTGCGCCAAGACATGCAGCCTCCTCTTGTGCTTGATCGTGATTGGTGCGGTTTTCACCACCAAGCCGCCAACGTCGAGGTGTAGCTTTCATCGTTGCCCTTGACGGTCGGCATCACACAACCAGCTCCCGAAGTCGTACTGGAGATATGCATTTCCCTGAGAGTCGTTGACTCGGCAAATACTAAGGGCTCAGTGGCTTAGCCCTCGTCAGGTTTGTGGGCAGGGCCACATGGAAGTAAGATGGGGGATGTTGCTCCATAAGTGGATGTTATTGCCGCGCATTGCCATGCATCGACGATGATTGCCTTCGGGGCACGACCGTTCACGCCCGTCTACAGGGTCAGGGTCATGTCTTCCTTGATCCGTTTTACGGAGAGTTCCTGTTTGCGACAAGTCAATAAATCCTGACACCACCCGGCCCTCGAGAGCGATTCCTACCATCCTCAGATTTCCATTGCAAAGACTCTCCATACCAGCCTGCGCTCGTTCTTCTGACTTGACCTGTACTCGTACATATCCTCCTCATTCGTTACCTCGATATTCAACATGCGTTCTACACTTTTCGTCGTCGCGGCCACAGTCGCATCTGCAACTGCTAGCTTTGTTTACCCTGAGTTTGTTCCTCTTCATAAACGACAAGCACCAGGCACACCGCAATATGATTGCCACGCGGACTGCGGTAAGATGAGTTAGCCCATAACTACCAGCCACCTACTGACCATGTGTCATTTAGGTGGTGTGATTAGCATTAGCCGTACCGAGAACTATTGCGAGAGCGCAAATTTCACATCTGGCCTGGAGGCCTGCTTGGAATGTGCCCTGGAGTTCGATATCTGGCGCTACTACGGTGACAGTGTTTCCACTGCCGCCGAAGGTTGTGGCCTCGAGGCCGTCCCTGTCGCTGCCAATGGAACAGATGTCAGTTCTACTGATGCAGCGGCCACGACCTCTGCTGCTGCCGAAACTACTACTGGATCTGCCGAAACCACCGCCGCTACCACCGCCGAGACCACCGCCGCTACTGAGAGTACGGCGACACCTACTTCTGAGTCTTCTGCTGCCGCCTCTGAGGTTCGTAGCCACCACATCCTATATTAATCAAAGACGCAAACTAATAGGGTATAGACTGCATCTGGCACAGGAGCACCTGCCCAGAGCACCAACGGAGCATTCAAGAACATCGTTTCTGGAGGTCTCGCCATGGTTCCCATTGGAGCACTGTTGGCTGGATGGGCCTACTAAGATGCCAGCGGAGGCTAGCCCATGACCTTCGATCGTGCCAACTTGAGTCACAGAGGTTGGTCGCGAGACATCATTGGTATGGGATCTAGGACTCAGATGTTTGACAATACCAGTATATATATCTTGCTTTAAAGAGAGTGGGATGGTATATACTACCCATGTATATAATGCAACAAGACCGATTGATCTATTCGGCCTGTCCTACACGTAGATGTCACGTGCTTTCAGCTTTATCACCCAAAACAACTCAATCCAAGAGACGCCAGAGTTCCCTGGGCCTCCACAATTAAGTATCCTCAATGTAGTATATGATAAGTCAGACGTGTTAACGTGTAAGCCAAATCATCCAAAATCTCAGCCTGATGCAAATCTCGTGTCTGCCTCTGGTTTGGAGCAAGCAAAACTGGTACAATCTTCCCATGTTGCTTGAGACCCCCAAATAGGTAAGACCGCAGGCAGGCACCATGCCCGAGGCCCCAGGGCCCCTGGCTAGACTGCTGCTTATCACTTCGACCATCATACCACGCTACATGGCTGTGGAATGTTCTGAAAAAAAGTGAGAAACGCTGGAGACTTTGGCAACCTCCAGATTTATTGCCTTGACGCAAAAGTGAGATACTTATCGATCATAGTGGGTATCTCGACAATAACGCATTGTTTTTTGGTGCATTGTTGGCATTGGCCCCTCGGCCCCTAACCGTTAACTAAATGGCCATTCAACTACAGCGCCATACTGGCACCGCCTGACAATTCTCATGCCTCTCAAGCGCGTGTGCCAATGATCTCCCAGGCTTCCATCGGGTTCTGCCAGCCCCTGCCGTTTAAGCGGCTTCGCTAGAGCTCTAGGGCTTTAACCACTTGAGTTAAGTATTTAATAAGCGGTTTGAACATGCTTTCTGACCCAGACAGTTGGTGCGCCTGACTTAAACCCTACAACTTCGTAGGGCATCATCATGCCTACGACTACGCCTGCACTTGCACCTCACCATCTGACCAACCATCTTTGAGTTGTTCACCACTAAGCCAGTTGCCAGTTGCTACAGAATCCTTACTGTGACTTGACGGGATAACCATTTTCTACAGTATGGACAATGCCCGATGTCGACGCCGGCATGTCAGGCATTCCAGGCACTCGCGTCTGGACATCTACGCCTACTTAACAAGTACGCATCCATTATGATATGCCAAAACCGAATAGGTAAACTGCTCCGGATAAGAGCGACCCATGGCAAGGGGTTTTGAGCTTCAAGCTTCGTCAATCACGAGCATCTTGGTGCAATAATGGGCCCGCTTGGTGCTGACCTACCGAGCCGCACTTGCCGCCCATGGGCTACTGCAATCGCGGAGAGTTTCCACCCGCAAGCCTTGATACCACGAATCCCACTTTTTGGCTGCGACCAACCCATTGAGGCGGTTGAACCGCACCCAAGGAAAATTGTCTCTCCATTCGTGCTGAAGGCCATGGGTGGTTTTCGGGGGTTCCCTGGCAGGTGACATTTCTTCTTCAGGGCCACTGCATCGTCCGCGACTACACCACATGAATCGATGATTCCTCCTATCTGTCTTCGAGACATCTGCCTTCCACTACTGTTGCGTCTCATACCTTGCGATTCTGTGCAAAGTCTACGATCCAACACAATGATAGCAGATTCCCCTTATGCTCGACCTCGGAGCCTGTCGCTGTCGTAGGGCATTCGCCACGTTCGACCCCAACACACCAATCGACGTCATAACTGCCCGTGGTCTCTCGGCGCCAGCGAGGCCTCGAACGCCATGGTTTCCTTCGCGGTAGAGTCGTACATCTGGTATGGCTTTACTGTGGCATTGGTACTGGCGAGAATGTGAGCAGCGTAACCCATCGAACGGTGCGCATTGACGTCGTGGCTGATCTATCCAGGCTGGCTCGACTCCTCCACTTCAAGTCAATATGGCGACTTCAAGTGGAAGACTGGTTGATGGCATTTCTCACCGTATGTCTTCCCGCCCCTTCGTCCGCTTCTAAGCCTAACTCAAGCAGGCACTGTACACCATCTTGATCGTTTTCCTCAACGTGGTACTCAGAACCTCAACCAATCTCATCGATCCTGCCCATCCCGTCGAACTCACACCCCACGAGATCTCCGACCGCATCTTTGGCTCAAAAGTTATTCTCCTGGTCGAGCAATGCATGTGCGCCGTTCAGTGGGGGACCAAGGCTTGTCTCTTGTTATTATACTGGCGATTGACTCAGAATTTGCGACAATCTCTCATTGTCAAAGGCGCCGCCCTTTACGTCCTCATCACCTTTATCGTAATGGAGATCCTCTACTTCGGAGTCTGGTGCCGACCATTTTCCGACTACTGGGCCGTCCCTACGGAGAACATGCAATGTCCCACGGCTATGAACCACTTGATCACCAACTTATCTTTCAACCTCTCAAGCGATGTGTTGATATTGTCAATACCACTTCCTCTCTTACTCCGCGCCCATCTTGAATTCAAAAGGAAACTTCTCCTGGTCTTCCCTTTCAGCCTGGGCTTGTTTACGATGCTTTGTGCCATTCTCAGCAAACAGTACAGCTTTAATTCACCTTACAGCTCAACCTGGGTATATTGGTACTGTCGAGAAGCCAGCACTGCAATGATTGTATCCAATATGCCATATAGCTGGGCGCTTATTCGTCGGGTTTTCAACCTGAAGTCCTTCTTTGGAGACACGTCGGCTGATCGGATGCAAACCGGACAGCCAATGGCCATCACTGGCTACGCTGAAGGTAGCATGCCCTTGAGCAATCCATTCGGATCACTCTCTCCCAGTCTACCTCACAATTCGTCCCGGAAGTTCTCGTGGCCACGGTCTAAACGGGATCGAAGTGGAAGTAATATCGACCAGCCCCCAGGCAAACCGAGAACACAGGGTCAGGATCAGGATGCCCAACCAGCCGATAAGGAAACCTACCTGGAAGCACATCCGGCCTCGAGCACCAATAGTAGTGCTGGTTCCGTGAGAAGACCCCCCCAAGCAGCCCCGACAGATTGGACTATTGATCGCCTGTACCCATTGGATGATATTGAGAACGAGGCGAGCGATGCGACTCAACGAAGATACCAAGGGCCTTGAAAGTTGCTATCATGCTTTTTGCGCAGCATACAAACTTGCATTCTCGACATTGCCAGTCCCATCGCTGAAAAACGGCGGGCGCTGGAAATGGCCTAGCGCGAGTCACGTGTCACACGGGAAAATGACGCAGTCACAGACGCATCCAGAATCTCTGTGTTCTCGCTTTGTCACAATTGTTCTCGAGCAATCAATCCACATTCATTGTGATCTTGACTCATCGGGTGGGTGTCGACAAGTCCAACTCATTGTCATTCTTTACGGGAGCCAGTATGTATTCTCTTCGCCTTTTTCACGCACGATCCCTTGCTTCCTACACATCGCATGCCCATCATTTGAATCATGGCTAACCAAAGCTCTGCAAAAGGTCACCAACGCCGACAAAATTCAGTCCCTCGCAAAGCTCTAGACTCATTCTATTCACAGCCACGCGACGACAGCTCCAACGACCAGACCACCGAATTCCACGACCACCCGCGTCGACCTGCTCCTCGGGACACAACCCTTCCCTTCTCCGACCTATCATCCTTTACCCCTCGCCCGACCATTACAAGTCTACAAAATACCGAATCTACCGACTTATCTTCGATCATACCATCCCCACTGAGGATCCGAAAATTTAAAAGTGCCTCACCCACACAGTCGCCGGCTCGCATGAAAACAGTACGTCTGTTGATCGCCTCTTTGGGCAATCCTGCACCGTACCACTCCACACGACATTCCGCAGGTCATATCATATTGAAAGGACTTGCCGCATCCCTACACCTTCCCCAACCGTCGAAAAGCAAGGAATTTGGAAATGGTCTGGTCAGTCATGGCACAGACCTTGGACGACCGGAATATACTTTGTGGCAAAGCACCAGTATGATGAACGTGTCGGGGCTAGGACTTTTAAAGGCCTGGAAGGCATTTGACGGCAGACAGGCTGACAACGACGTTGTCACTGCGCTGTTGGTATTACACGACGAGTTGGAATCAAGTCCTGGGACAGTGAAGCTTCGTCGAGGCGAATCGAGTCCTAAGGGACATAACGGTATCAAATCCGTACAGTCGACGTTCAAATCGGCAGCGGTCCTCAATGCACTTGGCGATCGATTCATCAAAATCGGCATCGGCATTGGAAGACCTGTTTCGCGCGAGCGGGACGATGTGAGTGCCTTTGTTCTAGGTCAGGTGACAGCATCTGAGCGACAGAAACTGGACGCCGGTGTGCACAGTGTCGCCGCAGTCATCGAGAGCGAGATTTCTAGGTTGGAAAAGAGTTGATGTGGACAAAGTTCCCTAGGGGTACGTCTGCCATACGACCATTCCGCCTTATGCTTTCCACATCCTTTAGTGGTTAGATGGAAGCCACCTCTACCCCTAAACTCGACACCACCATGAACGGGGCATAATGCTTTTTTTGTTACGATACCCCTTGTGAGGCTTTTGGGAATTTGTACATTTGTCAATACTAAGCAAGCGAGCAATGAAACTTTGGGTTTTGACACGCAAATAGTCAAGCGGAAAATAATTGAACTATCACTGGCTTTAATTCATTGCATTTGTTGAAATACCCAGTCATCTCTATATCTATGCAATATGATGGGTTGGTCAGGGCCAGTCCATGAAGTATGACCTATCTTGGCTTTTCTTCACCGTTCCCGCAAGCATTAAACACATGGGTATGAACAGGACGGCTAGGAGAATGTTCTTGTCCAGTCTTAAGTCGATTCACCTAACCAAGAGCCAAGATGCACACACTAATATCGGATGTATTTGGTGCAGCATACGACTCGATAGCCTGTGCGGACCTGGTGAAGGGCACTATCGGTCGTCGAAGCCCAACCGGCCAAACCAGCCACCAGGACAAGTCACACAAGCTGGGTTGCCAACTCACAAGCCATTATTAAGAGGTGTAGTTCTATAGCGTTGAGGGAAACGTGGTTCCAGAGCACTTTGTGCAGAATTGCCGCCCAGGATTTCGGGATCTTACCTACGGATAAGTGGTAGATCTCGGTGGAGACATCTTTCACCGACACATTGCTGTGAGTATCAAAACGAGACTTTTTATGATATGGCCAGATTGTGGACTGCATCATTGTCAATGCAGCTTCGGGCTCACCTTCTAGTCCTAGGCTCCATGCCGAGTATCGTTATTTTCCAAGCCCACTCGTGTCGATAAAATGTCGAGATCCGGGAGAACCATGGGTCAGACGTCAAGATAGCTGAGATAACCTTTACAAGCCTCGGCAGCACCCGCGTCTTGCCCATTGATTGCTGGTCGCTTCCCAGTTCAGTAAACACCACCGTGAACTACTACTGGATAGACAGGACAAGTCGCGTCCACGTAGAGATGTTTCCACGCTAGTCGCATTGTTTGGTCGGCCTGATGTACGGAGTACAAAGATGATTGTCCACGGCAGCCCTGGAAGCTTGTTGCTATTATGCGAAGATCAGTGGGTCGACTTGCAAGCCCCATCAGCCGCCGCGAAGGATTGATCTCTTTAGCAACTAGATGGGCTCGACTGTACCAATTATTGGACTCGAAAGGAACGGTCAATTGATAATTCTGCAAGTTGGTTGTGTCTGCAATTTCACATGCTTCGACAGAGAATTGATATACATATCGGACGGGTCGGACTTCGGAAGTACAGGGCTTGACGTAGCGTCGTGCAACCAGCACACACCAGGAACCGACACAGAGCACGCAGGGGGACGTCATGCATTATGCGCCATGCACTGATTGACGATCACGGCATTTATGTGCGGTGTGCTCTGCCGACACTCGACTGAATTGTCTCGTGGGAGAATGATTGGCTAACCGACAAGAATTCGACTAGAGAGGAAAGATTGTGTTGAGCGAGGTGCAGGTAGCGATCTTCCGGGGGTAGGACAGCGCATCAAGGTATCAAGGGAGTGTGCGAGGGAGTGCGTCAACGTCAATGATGAGCTAATGCATCCAAGACGATGAACTTCTCTATTTACGAGTTCCCCTGTCAATGCAAGGCCAGGTCTCAACGCCCACCCAGCTGCATTTGCCGCTGTGAGACGGATTCGCGATGCCTCTTGATCGTATGGTTCGCTGAATGATCGCCACCGGGCCGTGTTTTTGTCCATATGGAAAACGCGGAGACGGCTGACCCGGTAAGTGAAGAATCTAGACAAGCGTTGTGAGGAAGCGTGCTACACGTTCCTGTCCTCGATATCATATCGATTGAAGCTGAAATGGGACAATCAGGGGGGGCAGTTGCGAGAACTGATAATACGTGGTCAAGCATATGAAAAAGCTTAGTTCCACAAGGGGAGAGAGGACCGCTGATATTAATTCTCCACGATGAAGAGTGGATAACATGGACTATTTTGACACGGTGCAGGCTCATGCGAGAGAAGGGGAAGGCTAGTAGACTGAGAGGCGAACCTCTTGTGTCGTAGAATTGATAAGTGGCAAGCAAGAGAGGGCTAATGGAGGGCAAACGACCAAGGACAAGAGGGTGAAGACTTGGCTATGATGGTGCGGATGAAGAAATTCACGAGTGTCGAGTCGAGGCGAGTCGAGCGGTGTGGATGTGGATGTGGATGTGGATGTGGAAACAGCGTGCCGAAGGTGGATTGATTGATGGTGGACTCGGGCAGGAACGACGCAAGAGTGATGACAGGCAGGTGGGGCACAGATCTCTCGCACATTTTACGAATTCCGTGTCAATTGTCACTTCCATGTTGATCGTGTGGAATGGAATGGACCGTGGAGCATAACGGATTCAGACTCGCAATTCACGACTTCTCATCCTAGGACATGATGACAGGCCTGCCATCGTGATCGCGAACGCCGACTTTGGTTCCTCAATTCGGTGTCTGTTCATCCACTTGCAGGTGCTGCACCACATGCCGGATCTGAAAACTACGACAAACTGCTACCTCTCCTCGTAAAGACCAACCGTCCCATGCTCATGCTTGGCAATCTTACTCCAGCCAGGGACCACACTTAAACTGCATGGTCCCTCGTGTTTATAAAGAGTGTAGCATGACCGTAAAAAATGTGGTGATGGTTTCAGCATCTCCTATCGAGAGATTGAACGTAATTAGTCACCCTCTGCACCGTGTCCAGTGGCCCGTCCACCCCGTCCTCTTTCCTTGCAAAGTCCAGCCCGGTAACATGCCGAAGACCTGATTCTGCGACGGTGGCACGCGCCCTCATCATACGACTTGGCCATGCCAGGCTAACCATGGGCTTCTCAGGCTCGAGACCGTTCCCCAGTACTTAGTGCACGAGGAAACCCATTCCAATCAACACCTGAGATGTCGGCTTTGTGAGGCCAGCCACCCGTAGATGTGACAGTGCATCTGCACCATTACCAAAGACAGAGACAAAGTTCCAACACCCTGGCAGGGCAGGCAATTTTTTTAGGCTTTGTTCAAAGTTCGACCTCCGAACACCGTTCTCTGCTCTAGAAGAGCTTTGCCGGACCTTTCACTGCACGGCTTTGCGGCGTCACACACACACACACACGCTCTATCTACATTAACCAATATAATCGACCACGTCACCCTAGGGGGAAGTTTGAGCCAGACCCGGCGTGCTCCATCTGGACCTCTTTTTACTTTTACAAATCCTTCCAGTCGGCCGACAGTAAAAGATCCCACGCACCAACTTGATAATTTTTCTCGTCACACATCCAAATTATTGCCTCGCATCAAAAACAGGTCTGCTCTTCCTTCTGGAGCCTCTCAGCAGACAGAAAGTGGACAAATTCTCAACCCATCCCAGGACAGTCCACCAGTTCCCTGGACGCACGCCATCTGCCAAGCGAGACACGAACAGCCAGGACGCGTTGGTCAGCGAGCTTGATCTGCACACAGTCGCCAGTGGCTCCCCAAGTGATTCCCTCCTAGGTCTCCTCCTAGCCACCTATAACCGCCCGCGTTTTTGGCCAGAGACCCCGCATCTGACTTCTCACTCCGAGATTTTGGCTTCCTCACACAGCCACGCCTTAGAAGGTCCCAGTCCGTTTGCCCAATTATTCATCGGTCTAGGGCACCTGTCCAGTCACCTGTTTGCAACAGACTCCGAAGGCCTGAAGGGCCACACCAAGGGAACTGATCGCAAATCCTGCCCACCTCGTCCTTGCGAATCTACCGACTTCTGCCTCCTTCACCACTAAGCCTCTGGGAGTCAGCCCCTACCACTGCCTGCCTGCGAAGCAATTCCCGGGGGTCGCCACACATTTCTCCCCTAACAAACCTACTGAGCTTTCAGAAAAGACACCTTAAAAAACCCCTCACAAAACATCCCAGCACCCTTGGTCGCGACATCACCAAGTTGGCACACCTTGCATCCCTTTTTCATCATTATCCTGAAAACCGCCACTTAGACTCACACATTCTCTTCATCGTCACTCCCCATCCTTCTCCGTTTTCTCTTTACAAAAACAACAAGAGACCCAAAACAAAGAAATAGACCTGCTCCACATAACAGGGCGCCTTCACGCCTGCAGCGCGCCCACTGCTTCTAACCACATTCCGACCTCGATCCCCTTATCTACCGCCACTAATCATCCAGAGACAGGGCTCCTGCCCGGGCACCCATCCCCCGCCCACTCTTCCGCCATTCACATGAATCTAACATCATCACCACTTGATCTCTCACATCCGACCTCTCCTTCAGTTGCCGGTTCTTCGCTCTCACAGGACGATGCAGTCTCAATAACCAGACTTGCGGAGGACGCGGCGCATCCCTCGGCAAATGGTAGTGCCGTGCCCGCCGCTGGACAACCTGCAACCCTCCAACCTATCGTCGCACTCAAAAAGCCCAAGATGACGCATCGTCTGACTCGCATGTTCTCGCGAACCGACCAAAAGGACGTCGACGCAGCCAGGGCAGACCTCAAAAAGGATTCTTCTCCTGAAGGTCGCCCTGAAAACGGCCAGGTCAACGGCAACAGCCGTCCTAGCACTGGCCGACAGTCTTCGTATGAGGACAAAACAAGTCTCAAGAAGATGAACATTCTCAAGGACAAGTCCAAGGGTGATGTCACCAACGATCACCCTGCCGTCCACAAACGATTCGAGATCAACGACAATGGGTCTCATCAACACTTCCTCAAGTCGGCCAAGAGACAGGAAAGGTTGTCCGATATGCTTCGTGACATTCTAGGCGGCGGCAAGAAGAAAGAAGAAGGATACGGTGGCGAGCAGCAACTGTCGCTCATGTCATCATGGGTCGATCAATTAAGGTCAGAAAAGGACGGCCTTGCTTCTGAGAAGAGAGGTGGCCCCAATGCCACCGCCAATCTGGTCGAAAAATATGGCAAATGTCAGGAGATTGTTGGCCGGGGTGCTTTTGGCATCGTTAGGATTTCACACAAACCTGATCCGACCTCTGCGGCTGGAGAACAACTCTATGCCGTCAAAGAATTCCGCCGGCGTCCCCAGGAAACCAGCAAAAAGTACCAGAAACGCCTGACATCCGAGTTTTGCATCTCATCTTCTCTACGTCACCCCAATATCATCCACACCCTCGACCTCCTTCAAGACGCCAAAGGTGACTACTGCGAAGTCATGGAATACTGTGCAGGTGGCGATCTTTACACACTAATCCTCTCTGCGGGCACCCTTCAAGTGGCCGAAGCCGACTGTTTCTTCAAACAACTCATGCGTGGCGTCGAGTACATGCACGAGATGGGTGTTGCCCACCGGGACTTGAAACCCGAGAATCTTCTTTTGACGACTCATGGAGCCTTGAAAATTACCGATTTTGGCAATGGAGAGTGTTTCCGTATGGCGTGGGAAAAGGAGGCCCACTTGACGGCCGGCCTCTGTGGCAGCGCGCCCTACATCGCCCCCGAAGAGTATGTTGGAGGCGAGTTTGACCCGCGCGCCGTTGATGTCTGGGCCTGTGGTGTCATCTACATGGCCATGCGAACTGGTAGGCATCTTTGGAGAGTGGCTCGCAAGGATGAAGACGAGTTCTACGAGAGATACTTGGAAGGACGCCGAGACGAAGATGGGTATGCTCCCATCGAAACATTGCATCGGGTGAGTCCCCAACCTTGTTCATTGAAACCGACCCTTCTAACCAGATTTTTTGAAGTCACGCTGCCGGAACGTCGTCTACAGCATCCTCGATCCCAATCCCTCCCGTCGAATCACTGCATCCCAAGTTCTGAAATCCGAGTGGGGACGCGAGATGAAAGTGTGCAAAGCAGGTGAAGAGGGTTACTAGCCACCAGCCCTTGCCTCGTCGGCTACCCCTGCGTTCACACAGTTGTCAATAAAGCCAGCCGCGACGACCGAAGGATTCACATCCGCTCGTCTCTTGATGAGAATGACATGACGATGCGACGACCAATTTCCTCACTTCAAGGAGCAATGTTGGCCGGTATTTCTTACATGCCTAGTTACATTTTCGACTTATGGTCGATCACTAAAGACCTCATGTCCAAAAAGAACCCATGGGAGGACAGAGAATTTTTTATGCCATTCATGAAATGGAGCACAGCATAGCGAAGTTTGGACACTAGTCATTCGTTGAACTTGCCTTGATGGAGGGACCACAAAGACCTTTGAACGAAAAGATAACAGGTTTTATGTTCAAGTGTAAACAGTGTGAAAGGGTTGATAAGTGGGAATTATGATTATTTGACCGAGTGATGCCTTGCCGTAGCACTTCACCTCGTCCTTCACGTCCTTGTATCCATGGATCATGCTGTGAATGGCGTGCACGTGGCTCTGTAAATCAATTAAATCAATATTACTCTGCAGGTTCCAGCAGTGCTCAATACCTTATTCCCTAGTCATGCAAGACTCGTCATTAAAGTTCAGTTAATGCGAATCAGTATACGTCATCTCCCAGTTCACGTGGTTTGGCCGCAATCCCGGACCTCCGTAGAGGCAGGCGCCAAGGTTCAAACCAAGCTGGGGCTGTTGGGCTCTTGACTGTATTCCGCTTTCAGGCGGTGGAGCGAGCGCTGGCTGGCACCTGCTCCAGGCAAATACGTACGGAGTACTGGCATGTTCACAGCCCACCTCAGCCACCTGCACCTGCACCTGCACCTGAACCTGCACCCATCTTCACATACAACATCTCACAACACCATTGTCCTCGACTCGACTGAACAACTCCTCACTCTTCGGCTACCCCGCGAACACCGAACCTACCGATTGCCTCTACATTCTGCTTCCTTTGTGCTTGAGGTAGCAAGTATCTAGGTTCCAATTACTGGCGCCATGTCGTGGGCAGGGTTCAAGAAAAATGTCAACCGGGCAACCACCCAGGTAATGATGAAAACGGGTATGACTCTCCATCTGGCACTGCGGATAGTGAAGCAATAATTAACATGTGAATCCAGGGCATGTTGAGAGAACAAACGATCGTGATTATGAAGTAGAAGAGAGGTAATGTCCGCTTCCTTAGATTCTTATAGGCGCCGTGCTTACTCGTGTTGCTACAGGAGATACAGGACGATGGAATCTGCAGCAAATCGCCTACAGAAAGAAGCAAAGGGCTACCTGGACAGTCTCAGAGGTTTGAAGCATGTCCAGATTCGGCTTATGAACATAGCCAACTGATTTCCTTGGGTGAACAGCCATGACCGCCTCCCAGATGCGGATAGCAGAAACCATCGACGCCTTCTACGGGGATGCCGGTACAAGAGATGGCGTGTCAAGATCTTATAAACAGGCCGTGGAAGACTTGGATGCTGAAACGATAAAAGCCCTCGACGGTCCATACCGGTGAGCAGGAACCCAGTGCAGCGCAAGTGGACAAGCGACACTGACACTCTTTTCTTACCTTGACAGAACCACTGTTTTGGAGCCAATCTCTCGTTTCTGCGCTTATTTCCCTGATATCAATGAGTGTATCAAGAAACGCAACAATAAACTACTCGACTACGATTCGATGCGATCAAAAGTGAAAAGATTGGTTGAAAAGCCCGACAAGGATGTGACCAAACTGCCACGCGCCGAGAAGGAGGCCGAGCTGGCCAAGCAAGCATACGAACAACTCAACGAACAGCTATTCACCGAACTACCTCAATTAATCGACCTCCGAGTTCCTTACCTAGATCCCTCATTCGAAGCGCTGGTGAAAATCCAGTTACGATTCTGTGCAGAAGCATACAGTCGCATGGCGCAGGTACAACAGTATCTGGATGCAGATACCAGAGACCAATATGCTCGTGGTGATCTGGATAACAGGGTCGAACAAGTCTTGGCTGAGATTCGCGATCTGACCATTGCGGGTACTGTCTAAGCGTGATGACCGTTCTTGGCCTACCAAACGATGGCTTGGACGAGGTTACCCCCCTGTGAAACAATCATTCATGCTTGTATGCGCCACTGGCATGGACCAACTTGTTGGCCTTGGATCGATTGAAGCGCAAATGAATGCGGGCGTCGATGAAGCCTATGCACTGTTGCCATTCACAAAACATTGGAACCGGCTCTTACTGCACGTCGACGTGATAGAACACTGAGCTGGGGGTGGGGATGAAAAGGTCCAGGCGGCGCTGTCATGTTGTTGGGGTTTTCATAGATCGGCATGCGTGGCATATCAAGGCGACAGGTAGTTGGTGTTCGGCAGGGTTGTTGACGAACAACCATGACTTTGGAAACAGCCAATGGTCTACAGAGCTGTTTTCAGCTGCACACAGCAACTTTAATGAATCCTGTAAATGCTGGTAGCTCAAGCGTCCAGAAATGGATTTTCATGTTTGTATGACTTATGCATGATGCACGAGGCTGCTCGCGACCCAGCTGTCAAACAGACGCTGATATCAGGGACCTTTTTCCTCGACAATCAAGAGATCTTGTCCTCATAATGGTGGTGTCATCTTTTATGTACCCAAACATTTTTATATAATTATCCCAGTGACAGCAGCCTCCACGACAGGCAAGAAACCGCGTTCATGTTTGACATCAGACTTGGAGTCAGAGACTCGCTTTGTCAGTAGCTTAGATAGCGCCGAGTTCCTTCAATTTGCCAATGAGGCCATCAACATCCTCGACCTTACCACCACCTTGTCTAACGGGAGGCTCCTCCACCTTGACGGTCTTCAAGCGGGGAGTAGCATCGACGCCATAATCAGCCAGAGACTTCTTGTCGACCTTCTTCTTCTTCGCCTTCATGATATTAGGCAAACTAGCATATCTCGGCTCATTGAGCCGCAAGTCCGTGGTGATGATCAACGGGAGCTTGGCCTTGATCGTCTCCGTACCACCATCAACTTCCCTCTCCACCGTGACCTGATCATTGTCGATGGTGACTTTGCTTGCTTGCGTAGCCTGCGGCCAGTTCAGCAGTCCCGCCAACATCTGCCCGGTCTGGCCCGCGTCATCGTCAATAGCTTGTTTTCCTAGGATCACAACGTTGCTCTTTTCCTGGTCGGCAATGGCTTTCAATAGCTTGGCCACGCCGAGGGGCTCTAGAGGCTTGTCTTCTGGCACTTCGACGTGTATCGATCGATCCGCACCCATGGCCATGGCTGTTCGTAGCGTTTCGACTGCTTTGGCGGGGCCGGCGGTCACGGCCACAATCTCTTCGACGGGTTGTTTGCGCTCTCGTAGTCGTACGGCTTCTTCGATCGATAGTTCGTCGAAGGGGTTGAGGGAGTGTTTGACGCCGGAGGTCTCGACGCCAGTCCGGTCGGACTTCACTCGGGGTTTGACCTAGACGGTGAGAGGTGGTTAGGTGGTGAACTTGACGGTTGAGGCGAGGATGTGAAAGTGAGGCGAGGGGAAAGGAGATGTCCAGCTTCGAGCTGGTCCAAAAGGGTAGCATGTTATGTATATGTTGTGTTGAGGTGAATATGAGCATCGTGGGAAGCATTCATTTACTTACAGCATAATCGATGACCCGTTTAATGGGCACGAGAATTCGAAGCTTGGTCGACATCTTGTTATGGTGACGTTCGAGACAAGATCAATGCAGCCACTGTCCTACCACAATATAGTGCAGGAAAATCGAAGAGTCAAGTGGAGTGGTAAAGAATGACCTCCTGTGCTCAAAGTGTAGAGAGAGGAAAATCACCGCTGGAACATAAGAACTATGTTTTTGGAGTGTACGAGTTGAACTACTACTACTACTGCTATGATCTTGTCATCGCATGCAAGTCAAAGGCTTCGCGCCGGGGTCGGAGTCTGGCTAGCCGGGGCAAACCGCCTGTGAGCGGATTGTCAGGGCGTAAATGCGTGACTGGGAGGCTGATGCACCATAACCTCGGCCACGGCTTTCCCATCTTTTTGGCTTTTGATCCAGTAAAATTCGTGAGGGCCCGGCTTCCTGAGCGGGCCTTTCCCGGCGTTTTCGCCTGAGGGATGGAGGGTAGTAAGTGGGCACGTGACTAGGCTTGACACGTGACAGGCATACAAAGCGCACAGACAGAAGCTTGGCGTTACGGTGAGCCTTTCAGTTGTTGTCGGGAAATCCGCCCTCGGTTTAGGCGGTCCTCCCGCTTCAGGTATAGTTGAGGTCTAGGCGCGTCGCTGCTTTTGACGTCTCCACTTTCCAGTTCAGAATTAGTGGACAAGATACTCCGTACAGAGATTACAGGGGCTAGTTCTGAGGGCGATCTATATGTTGATGCAGGTGACCATAGTATGAGCAGCCTTGATCCTAGTCTGGTGGTATCTTCGTATTTTGTTCTCGATCATCGAACGTATGGGTAGCATTTCAGTGTGGTTAAAAATAATATTCCTGGTTAGTGTCCGTGGTGATATGTACTGGCGGTCACTTGAGCGGTTGGCAGTGGGAACCTTTTACTCTTGGGACATCTTAAGTAAATCGCTTTCTCGTAGATACAGGTAAATAAAACAACTAGAAATGACACGATTGACAGGTTTTGGTGTGTTTTTTAATTTAGGAGCGGCATGTTAAGGAACGAGGAATGCAATTGTGACAAAAGGACAAAACCATCAAGTGCTCATTCCACCAAAAGCCGCCGCAAATCCAAATGCACCTCAGCTCATCCTCCCATCCGCAGGTGAAATCCCGACAACGATCGCTGGATCGATGTCTGCTGGACCGACGTCTCTCAAGGAGAGATCATTTGAGTTGGCGAATACAAGAGGAAATGCCACGAGCAGGACCATCTAAAGGGAATGTAAATTAATGCGTCAAGAGCCTAGCTACCTCAAGATGATGGCTAGTTGACTGATTACTGTCAAAACATCGAGTAAGGGTAGCTTCGTAATCACCAAGGAGCATCCTTGTGCCCCATTGAGGGATGATCGTCTAACGGTTGCCAAGTAATCGACAAGCAGATGCAGAATCATGTATCGTCCTCGTTTTGTTTTCCTGAGCCCAGTTCGGATTGCCAATGAAGCGTGTCCAGGATGAGTTAATTTCTGCCGTTCTGAAGGGAGGGAGTGACAATAGCGTACAGCATACCGCGTCTTTGTTATGCACCAATGCGCGACCACTGGCGTTAATCCACATGCAAACACCGATTACCAGGAACTAAAGCCCGATGCTGAATTCCTTGCCCCTTTGACTATGAAGTTAAAAATACCCCGTAGATTTTCCGCCCTGAGATATACATTCTACTATTACGCCTTAAACTATTACTTTAGTACCGGAGACTAGAGGACCGGTGTCAGGATTGGGTATCTGGTAAGCATATAACTAATAGGTCCGAGGTATCCATGCACTTCGTGCGAGATTCTAGTCTTTTTGAGCGATCCTTAAGGGCTTACGGACCTATCCCTGACAACCGGATAGAAGCGCGATTAGGATAGCACCATATCGAACCTAGTGTCGAAGATACGTATCATCTCGGGACAATGCTCGGAGCTTAATCTATCGCCCTAGACCACGAAATTACTAGTTTAGCGGTGGGAAAGAAGGCGGACATTGTTATATTTGACAGCTGGACTGATTCATGCGTGTGCATAGACATGGAATGCACCATTCTCGAGCGAAATCTTAACCCGACCTTCCATCTTTCGTTTACGCAAAATAATTGGCGCTGATATCTTCAAGCAGCGTCGGGTGACGAGAGAGACTTGCATCCCACCCGAGCTCTCCCTGGGTCTTCTCGCTGGATGTAGTATTATCGACACCGATCGTCCGGGCGAGAAATCCGACAATCTCAAACGCTTCTGGCACAGATTTGCTTTCCACCGGCACCTGAAGCCTCTTCCCGATCAATGCCATGATGTCTTTCATCGGCACGCCTTCCTCGGAGACGGCATGGTAAGTTGCCCCAGGCGTACCCTTCTCGAGCGCCAGCCGAAAGACCAACGCGGCATCAAGCCTGTGTACGGCGGGCCAACGGGTAGCGCCAGAGCCAATGTAGGGCGCAACAGCTGCTTTCTGGGCCGCGTCAATGAGCATGGGCACAAATCCTCGGTCTCCCTGGCCGTGAACGGTCGGAGGAAGTCGAATCACATTGCCTCGAAAGCCTTGCGCTTTGGACTGTGACAAGACCATGTCCGCAGCGGCGAACCTTGCGGACATGGGTTGGCTTCGATCAGGCACACTGTCCTCGTATACGACCTTCCCAGTCGACGCTCCCATGGTCCCAGACGCACACAACAGGGGTTTCCCAGTCCCCGCCAATGCCTCTCCCATGGCTTGGATGGCGGCCCGATCGATAGCATTGGCGCGCTCAAAGTCGGTGAAGATAATGTCGTGCGCAAATGCCAGGTGAATAACGGCATCGGTCGACTTTGCGCCACTCATAAGGCTGTTGAGGTCATTCAGATCCCCACGGTGAGGTTCGGCGCCAAGGCGGGCGATGATTTCGGCAGATGCATCGCTGCGAACGAGACCTAAGACCTGGTGACCGTGGTTCAGCAGTTCTTGGACTGTGGCTTGTCCGATGAAACCTGCTGCTCCAGTGACAAAGACACGCATGATGAATCGAGAGAGTGGATGAGAAGCCGACGGAATGATAAGACTGGATGCATGAAGCCAGACTGTTGTACAACAGAAGCAACAAGCCCATACTTAGCATGGGGAGAGCGCTGCTGTCAATACTAGCGGGGCCGATGGAGGTTTCGTGCCTTGAGTAATCGATCGTCGGATCACGGCTAGTATATCGGAATACAATTCACGTGATCTAAAATAATGGGTGAAATACTGAACCTTATTGGCAAAATACTTACTGGCCCCTATTCCCTCGACGGATTTATCGTGGAGATGCCCGGTCGCGAGGCTTGCTGTTCGCGGAGAACCTGCAACGCCTCCAGCTTCCCGGAGTTGATGACCGATGCAGAAATCATGGATGCTTGGATTAAAATTCATGGCAGACCAACCAGTTCAATCGTGTCCGTCTGCAGTGTTCGTTGTGCGCATGTTATATTCCAGGATTAGCAACATCATATCTCAATCGCCGTCGCCAAAGCTATGGGTTCAATTCAAGACATCGGGCGAGCTAAAATCACCGGGGACTTCACAGTCCATATCCCTAAGCTGTGTAAGTCGAATACTGTGAATTTTAGGCGTATTGAGACCCATGTTAACAGTAAATTATTTGTTTCAGACCCAGAGAAGGGAGTCTATGTCGAGCCGCTCCACGAAATATGGTTTGGCTCGCTATTCAATGGTTCGGTTGCGCGATACAACCTTACAACCAAAGAGTATGAATACATCAGCATTCCCGATGTGACGGGCAAAGATGGATAGTACGACCAAATCACTCCCAAGGACTACTGCTCTCGTTACTGACTACAAAGCTGCGTTTGTGGTGTTACCTTCGATGCAAAGTATTCCAAAGTTTGGGTCATGGTGGCGTTGTATACCGTGTGGGACACACCAGGACAGTCCGTCTCCATTCCTAACCACCTGTTTGGTACAAATTCGTCTTGGTTCTGATTGTGCGTCTAGAAACTTGGTAAGCCCGGGCCGACTGATAAGTCTTGATTTCCAAGGTAAGGTCATCGATGATGTCGACCTCACTCCACTAGAGAGTGTCGCATTCGAGATGAACGGCGGCCACAAAGTCTCGGGATGGGGAGATCAAGTCTGTGATGCCGACGGAAATGTCTTTGCAGTCGGTAAGTCAACTGCTCCTTAGACATCGTTTGGAAACATACTCAACCAAACACAGCGGTGTGGGGCAATGTGATTGGCCGGTGGGATGCTATCACCAAAAAGGCCTCGGTGTACTATGCTGAACCGAACCCACTCATCGTTCCGTTCAGCGCGTACACAGGCATCGAGAACTACAGGGACCAACTCCTCATACTCTACAACGTAGAGTACGGTCGAATTGAGGTCTGCCGTTCACTCATTTCCTCACGGGTCCTTAGTCGGGAAGACGACGCTGACTTTCTGCCATACAGACATTTGATCTCAAGGCTCCCTCGGGAACTCCACGGATCCCGGCCATCTCGAACTGGGATCGACGAGCAGGAATGAAGATTGGAGGTGATGCGCTGCTCCTCCCACAGAAATACGACGGCAAGGTACTCCTTATGGGCGACAATGGAGAAGGCGCAGGAGCCCCTCCCCAGGGTGTCCGCGTCTTTCTTTCCAAAGATGATTGGGCGACGGTCAAATATCTAGGCTTTGTTGACACCACCAGAGAAGATGGAGGTTTCCCAACCTGGGGCTATGAGATCCAAGGATCCATCTATGTCTCGATGATGGTGAGACTTCCAGCATTTGGCTTCGAGAAGCGTTGGTCGACTGACTATATTCCAGTATTTTGCGGAAGGTGCACCGCCAGGGCCAGTCTTCATGAGACCTGGAAACCGCGAGGCATTTCCACAGTTAGACATCACACAAAAAGTCCACGAACTTGTTGCAAAGGAGCTTTAACAAAGCAGATAGTGATGAGTTTAGGCTAGCACATGCCTTGCACTCGAACTTTTGGGTAAGGTTCTGAGTCAAAGCTGGGCAATTTGATTTCTTTTGATTGGTGTTTTCAAATTATTCACAGTGCATGGTTTGCGCATTATTGATAGGGCGGGCAAGCATGTAGGCCGATGGGCCTGAGCAAGGTCGGACTCTCTGTACGTGGAACACGGTTGTACTTTCGTTCCGCCGTGAACTGAACTGTGGCGTAGCAACCGTGGAGTTCTGCCAACACAGGTTCCGGGTTAAGGACATGCGCTCGTTTTGCTTCTAGAGAGTACAGAAATCCCGTACCAATCACGGAGAGCGGACGAATTCCTTCCATCGTTCGTATCCCCCTTCCCACCCCTCTGGGTGGCCGTCTTGGTCTGCTTCACCCATGCATTCAAAACTTGGGAAGGACCGCAAACTCTGGGAGAGCCTGACCCTAGCAAACAGCCCAGCGTTATTCTAATTGATTGGGATTACGTGACTATTGCTGTTGGAGATCCGACAATATAGGTCACCTAGCTATTAATAGCGAGACTTTCGCCCATGCAAACATATCTTTGTGGAATCGGGAGTAGCCAAACCAATAGGAGATAGCTATCTACCGGAGACGTACTTACGGGGAGGCCGTCTCTCTGCGTCCATTACACGCCGAATAAGACATGAAACTGATGAAAAGCAGCGTCGTCAAGATTCGAGTAATTTGGAATCCTGACAACGCTAGTGAGAAGTCGCATCGTCAACGGTATCAGGACCTGTAGTGTCGCGGAAAACGTTTTCTAAAAGAACCAGGCTCTGAGGAGGAACCCCGAATGCTTCGGGTTGCTTACCAGACTTGGGTTCATCACGTTGGCTTGAGAGCTAGACGCGCGGCAGCGCGGAGTGGTGCTCGGACTATAGTGGAGAATGTCCGTTTCTATAGATATTATAACAGAACAATGCGTTGTCAGCAAGCTACCCGCACCTTGCTATGCACACAGACAGCCTGAACAGCATTTGGACTGACCAACATGACGGATTCATCTGTTGAAGAGAAGCACGAGACTGCTCCTGAGGCGATGCACCAGGAAGCCTTAGCGCCTGCTGTTCCCGATGACTCCAACAATGCTCCTGTTCCAGAGCAGAGGATGACCATACAGAACTTTTTTGCGTTTCTGGTAAGGGTATCCTTCTTGAGGCTCCGAGCTGGATTCTTTCTCAAACTTTAAGGTCTTGGAAGACCAAGTGCGTCAGATGGCTAACCACCGTCTGGTATCTAGTCTTTGGCAATGACACCGTCTCCTCCAGTGATAGTCCTCGTGCTTATCGCAACCATCTTGGTACAAGTCGCTTCAGATGTTGGATACCACATAAATTATTCCTGGATCGCCAGCGCCTGGTCCATCGGGGCATCCATGGCATTTACTATTGCAGGGAATATTAGCGACATCTTCGGTCGTCGATACACCATCTTATTTGGACAATCAATTGCCTTTGTGGGCCTGGTAAGTTTATGCTGTCGCCGATAATCCTGATCATTGGCTCATTCTGCTGCCACAGATCATTGGGGCAGCTGCAAATTCAACCGAGCTTATTGTGGTGGCAAATGCAATCCTTGGATTCTCCACTGGGATCGCTTCCGTTTCCTATGCTGGTCTATCTGAGGTGCTGCCGAATCGATGGAGGTAAGGGCACTCACCTCAGTGGTTACTGTGTTGCGTGACTGACCGGACTGACAGAGGTGCGGGAGTTGCTGTGACCGAACTCATCATCATCGTTCCCTGGGTGGGAGCAAGCTGTCTCATTGCAATTAAGCTGTTCTCCAGTACAGCTCTCTCCTGGCGCTGGATCTACATCATCGGTCTCATCTACCAAGTGCTGGGCATCGTGGGTATTTTTGCCTTTTACTTTCCCCCGAAGCCGGTACGACACCTCGAGGAGAGGAGCCGCTTCCGAAAACTGGCGGAAATCGACTTCATCGGCTGTATCCTCTACATCGGAGGTCTCTGCTGCGTGCTCATTGCTTTCTCATGGGCTGGTTCTGAATATGCCTGGGATAGCGCAGCCGTGCTTGCCCCGCTTCTCATCGGTCTTGCCACATTAGTCCTCTTCGGGGTATTTGAGTACAAGTTCGCCAGCCATCCGTTACTTCCTCCAATTCTAATACGACAAGGTCGCGGTTTTGTCCTTCTTGCGGTCGTGGCCACAGTCTTGGGTACAGTGTATTATGGAATGTCAACCATGTACCCACAAGCGGCACTTTACCTCTTCTCCACCGACCCTGTTGAGATTGGGTTGATCCAGCTTCCAGGCGGCATGGGGCAGATATTCTTTGGTGTTATTGCGCCAACTCTTACCTCCAAGGTCGGGCATCTTAAGATTCAACTAGTTGTTTCGACCGGCATCCAAACTCTGTTCTACGGGCTCTCGGCATTATCCGTGCCTGGCCATAAAGCCATGTTCATGACATTTCAAGTATTCTCCTTGGGCATGTTTCCCATCATCTTGACTTTGGTATACATCATTGCAGGCTTCACCGTTCCTATCTCACATCTCGGTCTCGCGCTTGGCCTTATTGGGACTCTCAGATCTGGCGGCGGCAGCCTTGGCATCTCTGTCCTCAGCACCGTCTTACAGAGCTATACTTCGGCCAACCTCGGACCTGCTATCTCCGAAGCTGCTCTCAAGCTTGGATACGCGCCTGAGAATCTCGGCCAACTGATTGAGGCTACTATTGAAGATGGAGTCGGTGTGCCATTCGCTTTCGAAAGCGTCCCCGGCATTACCCCCGCTATCGAAAGTGCCTGTCAGGAGGTATTTAAGCAGGTCTATGCTGTTGGCTTTCAACACTTATTCTACGTAGCCGCAGGCATCTCTTTCGTCGGCTTTGTGGCCGCCGTTTTCACCACGGATGCGTCTCATCATCTTACGGCTCATACCGCTGTGATGTTGGAGCACGCAAATATTTTCCAAAAGTCGCCGGCACAAGACGTGAAGGAAGAGTTACGATAAGTGGATAAGTGGAGCACACGGAATCTGGGAAGCTAAGGAGAAATAAGTAGACTTTATACGCTTGGCCATTATAGCAGCTTAATGTCGGCTTCCGCTATCCCAAGTATAAGAGACTACTGGTGTACCGGTGGACTAACCCACGGTTGCCGTTAACTCCGATTCCCGAATATATGGGGCCTCTTCATAGCGCCCGTCTTAGTAAGTCGTTGGCGACCTCGTCGATAATGTTCGGCTGAATATTGAGCTGCTGGCCTCTGGCTGAGAGGCGTTACAGCCATACCGTCTCTGGCAAGATATTCTTTCCCCAACTTCTTCCCCTCCCTAAGAGTAGATGATCCGAAGTCGTCACTGACAAGTAGGATAGGAATATAAGGGGAGGATCTTCGTCATGGGAAGTAAAATAATAAGAAACTCGGGTTTAGACGTCAACCTGGATGTAGCTACCGGAATGCATGAGAAGAGATGGGAAATGGGTAGGACAACGCCCTCTCTTTCTGTAGGGAATTTAAGGAAATCCAGGGGACCGCCTCTAGACCCTTGAGACGCCATGATCAGGATAGTGCAGTGAAAGCCGCCTATCGTTCTCCTTTTCTCTTTCTTAAAGTGGACTGTTTCGTGGTGCAAGCAGAGGGCAAGTTTAATTCTCGCGACGACCGATGGAAGGTCAACTGACGAAGGTCTAGCCTGACGTACTCCGTACGAACTGACCAGGGGTGCTATCTTGGCATCGAAGGAAGAAACCCTCCAAAAGCGGCGGCACTTCTCCGAAATTTCCCTGCAACCCACGTTGAACAGTAAAAGGGGTTCTTTGTGTATAAGCGGCAACACATTCTATCTCTGATAATCAATACTGGCTTCTTCTATCTTGATGATACCGTATAGAACTATCCTGTGATAATGATATGAATGACAACACTCAGGCGATGAGGATTCTCAAACAGACTCGCTGGAGGTTCCTGGGTCAGAATCTTTTCAAACTAATGCATTTCAGGAGAATGTCTGCGCATAATGGACAAGGCCTTTCAGAAATTTCGACCACAGAGAACTCCTATTCAGTCTCTATGCAGGATCATCACTGCATTCATTCAGTCAAGGTCTTGACAGGACCCTCGAGTGCGGCCGGCAGCAAAATGGGACTGATCTTGGGATGACTAACAGAAGAGTATAGGGGTCTGGGGGTATCTTCCGCTATCTAATCAATACCCATGGAGCTGAAAAAATATCTGATGCTTTCGAAGACCACAAAGAGAGTGTTGTCTAGTGAAAGAAGAAGGTCATGCTGTCCTCTAGCCTCCATTGGGATGCTACTCATCACCTCACATGCTGCTTGTTGGCGAAGGCTTTCAAAGGCACAAGACCACCTTACCTACATCTGTGCTCTTCTCTGCTATGCCACGCTACAGGTACCAAGATCCACCTCAATCCAGTTGTATTTATTGTTCAGAGCATTGAGGTCCATGAACTACAGGTCGTCTTTCAGCACATTCTCTCCAGGTTGGCTCAAATTGTCATGCACGGCTGTGATGACAGTATATCTATTAAACCACTCAAGTCTACTCGTGAATAGTCACGAGATTCTAGTCTTTTTGTGGCGATCCCACAGGGATCAGAGTGGTTTCCTGACACAAATCAACGAGTGAGAGTGTGGTAGACCGTCATTATCTGCGGCCACTCAAGCCAGCCCATAATACAGGGCTTCTTGCAGTTCAACTCACTGGGTTAACCAGATCGACTCAACGCAAGAGACTTCATCTGTAAAGCAAGGGGAGAACTCACCCACCGATCAAGGACGTCTTCTACTCCTTTTTTCACATACGGCTGAACAGCAGTTGAGAGATCTTCATCGGTGCAATCTTTACGTCAACCAGAGCTCGGTCCAAATGCTGTGGCATGCATGTCATATCATCGGATAAATTCTTTATTCGGTAGTCAACCGGCCTTGTCTGTTCATAAGAGATTGGCTAGATGCGTCCCGAGCATTACCGGGTGGATCTTTTGCTATGCGAAGAACCAGAGCTACAATTTGCAGGGATCAGAGAGGCATCTGATGGTTCGAGTGAACCTCTGAGCGGCTGAGATCACTGTTGGCATCATCATCGCCGAGACAGTTCGCTATTCCAACGACTTCATATACACCTCATGGCAACAGTTCAAAGGACAAGTTACATACGGTTCCAACTACAGAGAGGGATCACAAATCTGGCTTAATATCCGTCTCTACTAGCTCTAGAAGCGTCATGAGGAGGCCGGGAAAGAATAAGGTTGCGTAGGTCATATATCAGTTTAGATTTGTGGATCTCTCCTATATCCTTCCGGAACCAATGATAAATAGCCCGACCTCAACCCGATGTTTGAACGCCCCCTCCTCATAAAATAGATGCCACGAAAGTACACGTCCCCATGGGGATGCTGGGAGCTAGGCAAAGCCATGTCGCCTATGCTAATTCGATATTCCAAATACAATGTGACTATCAATTCATGGGGGTCATTCCGAATTCAAGCACTCCATACTCGGACTTCTCCAGCTTGACTGAAAACCCGGGGGTTCCCATAAAAGAAGGAGTCCAGCCCAGTGCTGGTCATTCATCGACACACGCCTTCAAGATCACTCTGCTGAGAACAAGTTCGGCATCAGGAACACTTCGTGCTCAATATGTTGTCCAATTTACGTGGAAATGCCTTGCTATGGGGCATCAATCTTTCTGCTGGGTCTTGCTTCTTGCTGTTCGGCTATGATCAAGTAAGAGACTTTGAAAAGGATATGAAGTTGCTGGCATTGTTCTGACTCCAGCCATCAGGGTGTTTTAGGTGGCCTGGTAGGCCAACAGAGCTTCCTTGACGCTATCGGCAACCCAAACGCCACGTATCTGGGCACAATTGTGAGTCTCAAAGATATCTATGAACTCCTGCCACGATCCCCTTGGCCTATGGAGTTGAGAATACACCAGATACTAACAGATTGGAAGGTCGCTTTGTACAATGTTGGCTGCCTCGTAGGCTGCGTCATGGCCGCAATCTGGGGAGACCGCTTTGGTCGGAAGTCCACCATCATGATCGGTAATGGAATCATGATCGTCGGAGCAATCATTCAGACAGCAACATATGGGGCTCCTCAATTGATAGTTGGGAGACTTATCTCTGGGATTGGGAATGGTAAGACTGGCTCCTATTGGATCACTTTAGGGTCTCTATAACATCCCTCAAATGACTTAAAATGCTTACCCCTTTCAGGCCTGAATACCTCTACTATCCCAATCTACGTCAGTGAAACTTCCAAAAGCCATCGTCGTGGTCGTATGGTTGCCATTCAGCTTTCAATTGTCATATTTGGCATCGTCGTTGCCTACTGGCTCGATTACGGATGTATTCGTACTCTTGAGGGAGAGGTGAGTTCGAACTGACGAATGACTAGGGGCTAGCAGCTAATGTTAGCATCCAGGTCGTGTGGCGATTTCCAATCGCTTTTCAAAATGTGTTTGCCATCTTCACCATGTGCACGCTCCCATTTCTCCCTGAAACGCCTCGATGGCTATATTCCCACGGCCGCAAGGCGGAGGGAATCACGGTTCTTGCGCGTCTCCTGGACAACACAGAACATAGTGAAGAGGTTCAATTCATCAAGAATGAGATGGAAGAGGCACTAGAGTTGGAAAGACATCAGGCTAAGATCACGCTGAGAGGTCTTCTCAACGACAAATCAGACCTCAAGCCCGTTCGCCGTTTATTATTGTGTTTCTTCATTCAATTCTTCCAGCAATTCACTGGCGTGAATGCCATTGTTTTCTATGTTACCATAATTCTGGAGCGAAATGTCGGTCTATCAAGTGAAACCAGCAGTTTGGCAGCTGGGTTCATCCAGATGGGCCTTTGGCTTGGTACCTGTGCCTCGATCTTGTATGTTGTATCAAACCTCTTGTACGACGAGAAAACAATGCTAACATCAAGTCCAGTTATGTTGACAGCTGGGGACGCCGCCCAATCCTGCTGACTGGTTCAGTGACTCTAACAATCTGCCTCATTCTGTTCACCGTTGGTATTGCTGTCGACACCACACCATCAAACAACTTGGCCGTCGCCATGCTGGTCCTCTTCCAATTGATCCTCGGCGCAACTTGGTGCGCTGTACCATGGATCTACCCTCCTGAGATCACACCTCTCAACCTTCGTCACATTGGCTCAGCCATTGGTCCATTCTCTGAATGGATGTGCACCTTCATCATCGTGTTGATCACTCCCACTGCGGTTGAGAACACGGGTTGGAAGATCTATCTGCTCTTCATCTTCATGACCACGATCGGAGGATTCTGGGTGTATTTCTGCGTTCCTGAGGTAATTCTGAATCTTGCTACTCGACACTAGACCCTGCCAAACTGACAAACGCTACAGACTGCCAGGAAAACACTCGAAGAGCTTGACTATGTTTTCGTAAAGGGTGAGGCTCGTGATCGTCTCCACGATCGTATGCATGACGCTGCACGCCGAAACTCGACGAGTTCCAAGATCGTGGAGACTGAAGAACTCGAGATGAATAATAATGGGTTGTCAAACCCGACGGGTCCATCCAAGGTTTAGTTTGGGGCGCGAGTCATAACGATGTGCATGTTTGCCATGAGCTCTCGTTCCAGGACAGATATCAGACATGGTCATTATGCAAAGTGTATTGTTGAGGCCAGCCTGCAGGATAAGGTATCTTGTCACTTGCTTTTAAGTCGAGACAAGGGAGGCCGTTGGCGGCGGTCAATGATCGCGGGTACTTTTCAAGGATCTGAAACTTGTCGGGAATATATATTCGTGGCTGATCCTAAAATTGGGCTTGAGAAGGAATATATTGATCCTGTTTAGTACTCACCATATGGTTTCTATGCCAAACGTCGTGAGCGGTAATGTGTCCCAAGAACCTCAAGGAAATACACATGTAGCAGCGACTACCTTAGTCTGGACAATTCGGCTTAACTTCATGAACGTCGAAAGGAGTTGCAATAACATGAGGCGTAGGCGGATCAAAAGCGGCAAGAAAGATACACCTGTTTTCCTGGACCAATCACGTGATATACAGGGACTCCGGCGAAACAGTCGACCAAAGTGGCAAGTGTGTCTCCGGCGCAGTATTGTTTTAACGATGCGCAGTCTGGCATTCTGCCTGCCTTTGGGAAGGTCAACTGTAAACTTTTCGAATAGCCAGAGCAGCAATCAACAACGCCTCACAAGCCACCAACGCAGACTTCCTTTTCGGCTTTCCTGTCTAGCAGATCGGTATCTAAGAAAATACACGCTACACTCGTTTCAAACCCTTGCTCTTTTCCCGACCTTCGAACTCTTCTTCAGCCACCATGGACGACGAGCTCAATATCAGCGCGGAGGACGTCCAGCGTCTCTCGCCCAATGAACAGCGCGAACTGCAGATGTTTATTCAGAGCGAGACGCAGAAGTCACAAATCTCAAAGAGTGAGTCTCCGACCCGGCGATGAATAGCTGGAGGAAGAGGAGTAGTGATAATGGTGATGGCTGCTAACCGGATATCTTCTTTTCTTATGACAGACATCCATTCCTTGACCGAAACATGCTTCAAGAAATGTATCACCAGTTCGATATCGAACGGAAAATTGGCCGGTAAAGAGGAGACATGTATGTCGAACTGTGTCAATCGTTGGTATGATTCCAATTTGGCGGTTCTGAAGCACTTGGAAACTCTGAGGGCCAGCCAGTGATGGTGATGCTTGGATAAGCTTAGTATTTATTCAACTTGGGAAGAGAAGGTCGATTTGGGTCCGGTGATATGAATCTATTATATCTCACTGGGGATCGACGGAAGAGCTACTCCTTCGACGAAAAACGGGTTGCATACAGATACTTTTTTCAAAAAGACTTGGGTAATGGCTCCGTGAATGCCACTTATGTACACTAGGTACTCAGCCATCGGAATGTATCAATACTTTATAGCACTCGACACAATACATCATGCTAATCACATTACTAATTGGGACAGCATACATCGCTGTGCCACAGCCTGGATTCGATAAGGCAAGTTTGTGGGTATCCACGCGAACGATCTTGTAACGGTGCGAGCTGCATGAAACGGATGGCAAGAGGACAAGTTGAGTAATATCTGTTTTTGCTTCATTGAAGGCATTGTCTTGACTCCGTGCTCTGCCCTGATAAACTTCTATCGACGAGACGGGACATTCGCGACGACGCATCGAGCCCCTCCACACATTGCATCAGGGATTTGACTTTGACGGAAGACAGCATTTTTGTTGCCATAATCGTCAAAGCTCAGCGATATTCATCGTCCAAATTCGAAAGCCCATGCGAAGCATAGCGTCCGCAACCACAACCACGCTCGCAAGATCTCCGCCGTCAAATCCCACCAATCGACAACCCTTTACACGATCGACAACTTGGTAGCAGCAATGTCCAAAGCATCCACATCCGTCGTTAATCTAGCAAAGGCCTTCTTGGTTCCGTCCGGTCGGATCAGGGTGTTGATTTTGACGGTCTCAACGTCGTACAGCTTCTTCAAAGCATCCTTGATCTGTCGCTTGTTGGCCTTGGTGTCGACGATGAATACCAGGGTGTTGTTCTCCTCAATCTTCTTCATTGCCGACTCGGTGTTCAAGGGGTGGATGATGACTTTGTGGGCATCGAGTCTGGTCTCATGAGGGATGGATTTGCGTGGGTATTTGGGAGCGCGGGACAGAACGAGCGTCTTGGGCCGGTGGAAGGTGGTGGATTTGCGGATCTTGCGGGCCTTCTGGCTTTGAACCTGTAGAACACAATGCGTATGAGTGACTGTTCTTTCTGTATGAGAATTTAGACTCCCGGGAGGAACATACGCCTTTGAGAGTGGCTTTGGCGGCCTGGTTGGCTTTGGAGCTGGGCTTCTTTGAGCCGGCTGAGAGAGAAAATGTCAGTCAAAACGTCCAGCAAACAATCTTGTCCCATTGTAGAAGAATGCGGCCAGTGAATCATTTTCTTCCCACTCATCGCGGTGTAATCCCAAAGTCTCGATAGATTTCCAACGCTCCTCCTCTTTGGATTCTTCGTGATAATTCGATGTGGAGGATTGGGTAACGTACCTTTCGGCTTTTGTGTGGGAGGCGCCATTGCTGATGTGTTTGCGCCGAAAAGGTGGGTGTTGAAGAAATCGTCACAAAGAAAGCTGCTCCAATCTCAAAAGTTCGAAGTCGACTGCGGTCTGGTCAGGATTGTGTGCATTGCCAAGTTTGCGTCTTGGCATAATTACGGTGGAGTGTTGGGGATATTGAAGTGGTGGCAAGGCTGGATCGGCTGGCTGGGCATTATTGCCAGACTGACCAATTTGTACTTGCTTGGTTGGACCAGGTTACCTAAAGACAACTCTAATTGATGTCAACAATTGCACAACGAGTGATCTGAAACTGGGGTGGTGATTGATTAGGACTGGATAAGCAATGTCGCACATGCATCGCTGAAATTTTTGTTCATTAAACCATTCCAGACGAAAGTTCTGGACATGTCCCAACTGGCGACCACTGATCCAATAGCGACGGTCAAGGAAGATGCCGACGATGATGTGGATGCAGTTTTGGCCGAACTTGAGAATGAAGACGACTCAGGATATCGTGCCCAACGTCTTGAGGAATTACAAGGGGATGTGGCAGGGTCCGGGATCAATCCTACAGCAACCTTAGAATCAACGAAATCAGCATATACTACGCTCAAGAGCGACGACGAAACATTGGGTTTTACGACAGAACACGAAAGAGCACTGGTTCACTTCTTCCATCCTGATTTCACGCGATGCAATATCATGGACTCGCACTGCCAGCAAATTGCTGGAAAACATGCAGAACTACAAGATGCCGACGTGGCGTTTGCCCGAGTTGACGTCAAAGACGCTCCATTTGTGGTTGAAAAGCTGGGCGTACGGGTCCTTCCTTGTGTGATTGGTTTCGTCAAAGGAGTGGTCAAAGGGCGGATCACGGGCTTTGAAGGATTGTGCTGGGATGGCAGAGAAAACAGTCCCGCTGTTACCAGGAATTTGGAAGAAGCGATTGTGGGATGGACGGTTCTGTCGAAGAGATTCTTGTTGAATCATGAAGACGAGGATGCCAGTGGCGAAGACGGTGATGAGGATAGCAGGCGGGATCGACGCAATAATCGTGTTCGACGAGGGATCCAGGGACGAAAACAAGTCATCGAAGACGAAGGGGATGATTGGGATTAATCCTCCGGCGTGTCATGATTCCCTCCGGATGACAGTTAAGAGATTCGTGAAGCTTAGCTGCATATAACCTAAGCTGCGTGGTCATGAAACAGAGTTGACATAAAAAAGTTAAACAAGATGACGCTGTATTGAGGCGGGGTTTGGGAGCCTCTTCTTGCGGAAGTTGATGAGTGGTCTAGGCCCTCTCGAGGATGACTGTGCTGACCGAGAAGGACCACTCTGTAGAAAGATGCTTTTTTGAAGACAGTTCTTTCTGCTGTGCAGGCAACCGCAGCTCAGGACATGACGTGTTGACGCTGGGGAAGGGATCTGGCGCATAGCATCAGTTCCGTCCCTTTGGCAGGTTGATTCATGAAAGTTGTTATTGTTTAGCTAGATACACCACGCCGCCGCCTCGGCTCGCTAGATAATCTGGGTCGGACATGAGAGCAACTGTTCAAAGGTTGCCAGATTGAGAGAGGGAGAGGGCTGAAAGAGGTGCAAATTGCACGACATTTTACCCCTTGTGGCCAGAAAGGCACCGGGGAAGCAGTGAGACGTGCGGCTAAGTCTGCCCGGCATTGCCTTTGAATATGGATTCTATGTATCGGTGTGGAGTGTATCTTGATATTGAAATTCTTGACTTTGGCAAGTCGCGGTACTAAGCGATAAAATGCTTGATGGAAATTACACATGCATGGGTGGATGATTGGAGGGCTGATAGCAAGCGACTTGGACAGGGCCACTGGAGGCTGACTTGAGCCTGAAAAGATGGGCACTGGTGCCAATCAAGAAGGGGGGAATAATTGAGGTGCCCCTAGCATGTCCCTGAAGCTGCACAGGGTGGTAGATCTCAGCTCTCTAATCGAGCTGAAGCATGTCAGCCACCCATGGCCATTTTAAAAGTCGACTAAGAAGCCACGGACTGCACCAATCGCCGTCCGTGCCAATTGACACTCAACGGGGGATCCAGACGCTGGGTCCATCGCTGGCGTACTCTAGCTACGTAAACCAGATCAAGTTTTCGGCCAATGCTTATTAGGTATTTACTTACATAAGCTCTTCGTGGGTACTCTCTTAAGAGCTCCCTAGGCGTTCGAGGCACTCCCAAAGGTACTGCTAGAGGCATTGCTTCAGGGACATTCCTTAGGGCACCCTCCACAGGGCACTTCTTTAGGGCATTCTCTCCGAGGAATGGTCGACATACACGAGTTCCTGGTGTATTCGGCAGCGTGGAGTTTATACCCCGCCTGCTCTCCATCGGTAAGCTTGCGCATGGCTTGGGTAGCTTTCAGTGCAGGAATACTGTCCTTTATTGAAAAGCCATCAATCTGTGAGAGTTAGGAAGGACCGCTGTATTATATAGGCCTGCATTAACTGCTGCAAACTCCTTTGCCGAAGCAGTCATGGGACTTGAGAATTGCTGATGCCACGGTCAGATTAATGCACAGTCAGACTGCCTAGGTATGAGAGTGACAGTAAGAGAGAGCTCTAAGTAAGCCCGAGGCCTGTAGGAGTACTAATGGGCTGCCTGCTGAGGGGTTCTATAGGCACCGCCTATAGAAGTGTGTGCCTATAGAAGTGCCTAAAACACCGCCTAAGCCGATCCTTATAGGGGGTAAATATCACGTGAGTGCAGATCTCCTGAACCACTCTTAGGGGATATTCTCGCCCCGTCCAACATTGATTATCTTGCGTTCGTGGCGTCCTACGCGTCCCAACTTTAAAATACAGTGACCACCTTTTCTATCTGTCCCCCTTTTCCCTCTCAACGCCCGCGACAGTCCCACCTTTCCATCTTTTGTTCAACTCGGACACCCTTACATCTATCTTGACAGCTCCCTCATCTTTCTTAATCCCTTTTCTTCGTCTCTCCTTCACCTTGACCCTCTTCACGTAATCTGTCTTGTCGAAACCCGCAGACTTCCCATTCATCCCCTCCAACCTCGAAACCGAACAATTGACCCGTTCCTCCCACCTCGCGCTCGCTATCCAATCCGCTCACAATGGCCGAAGAAGAGAAGAAAAGATTCCTCGAAGGTAACGACATGGAACTCGGCGAGAAACAGGGCAGATCCTTCAGCCCTCCACAACATTCGAGTCCACGATACTCCCCTCCCTCGAGCAACTGGCAGAATAATCCCATTCTGCCTGTTATCAGTTATTGCGCCTCCTCGATTCTCATGACCGTTGCCAACAAGTACATTCTCTCATTCCCCGAGTACAACCTCAACTTTCTCCTCTTGGCCGTGCAGGTACGTGTAGTAGCCTCCCTACATTCCCAGTATAGTTTATTGATGTCAGACCGCAGTCAATCGTGTGTGTGGTTGCAATTCAATCTTGCAAGAGCGCTGGCATCATCACCTACCGAGACTTCAAGACCGATGAAGCCAGAAAATGTATGACAGACTCCTTCTGATGTGATTGCTCTGTCTTGCCGCTAACATGCGCTCCAGGGTTTCCCATCTCCCTACTACTGATTGGCATGATCTACACCGGCACCAAATCATTGAAATATCTCTCTATCCCCGTCTACACCATCTTCAAAAACTTGACCATTATCTTGATTGCATACGGTGAAGTCTTGTGGTTCGGAGGAGCCGTCTCTTCAATCACTCTTTTCTCCTTTGGCTTGATGGTTCTCAGTTCCATCATCGCTGCCTGGGCCGACATCAAGCACGCCCTCGAAGCGCATGGCTCACAAAGCTCCATTGCGGCTACCGAACAACTTGCAACATTGAACGCCGGCTACATTTGGATGCTCATCAACTGTTTCTGCACATCCGCTTATGTCCTGGGAATGCGAAAGCGAATCAAGCTCACCAACTTCAAGGATTTTGATAGTGAGTTCTCTTCAACACGACATGTCATCACCGTACTGACTATTTCTTCTCAGCCATGTTCTACAACAATCTCCTGACTATCCCCGTCCTCCTTGCCGGCTCATTCATCGTGGAAGACTGGTCTGCCCTCAACTTGACCCGCAACTTCCCCCTCGAGTCCAGAAACGCCATCTTTGGTGCCATGATCTTTACCGGCCTGTCCTCCATCTTCATTTCATACACATCCGCCTGGTGCGTTCGTGCCACTTCTTCAACCACCTACTCCATGGTTGGCGCACTCAACAAATTGCCTATCGCCGTTTCTGGCCTGATCTTCTTCGACGCCCCCGTCACCATCCCCAGTGTGTCAGCCATTTTCCTTGGCTTTGTCAGTGGCATCGTCTATGCTTTGGCCAAGGTCCGAGACAGCTCCAAGCCCAAGACCGGCATCCTCCCTACCTCGAACACCATGAGTGCGAGCAGCCAGAGCAACCGAGACAGCCTGAAGGGATAAGGTGGCAGCCGCAGCAGTTACAACATCCACCCTGGTCGAGGAATCTGACTTGCAGATAGATTCTGGGTGAAGCAAGAGCCAACCCCTTGGGCACAACCACAAACACACGCTCTGCGTCCACGGTCCATACCGAGTCGCACCCATCCAATCGACAACTGCATTGCGAGGCGTTCGAGGCTGGGAAAGAGGAAATTTTGATATTCCACTTTCCCCACGAGGAGAGGATAAGGAGGAACATGCCCCCCACATGATCGGTTTCACAATCAAGAGTAATGAATGTGGGATTTGATTGCCTGGTTGGCTGGCAAACTCCGGTCATGGCTTACGGATCACTAACTACTACTATTATACGGAATTGAAGGTTTCAAAGATACGGAGTTATCACCCACATTCGATAGACTGACTAGATGGACGGACGGATGGACGGGAGGGGGATCCTTCTTTTCCTCATTCTCGGCGCTTTTTAAATGGCTTGTATTCTTAAAGAGTTCTTCAAACTACGAAAATGCCAATCATACTTTTTCTATGTACGAAAATCAAAATTGGCGCAAATGGAGAGTTCAAACTAGTTGAGTAGGATTGACTTATTTTCCCAGAAACGTGATGATGGATGGTATTATCATTTCATGAAACCATGTGGGATATCTAAGGTTGTTTAAAAATTGTTGATGGTAACGAGTACAGAAAGCCTGCTCATAAATGAGACTCCGTTGATTTCAAAACCTGTTACTCCTGAGGATCCTGGATAGATTCCTTTTCGTCAACCCTTTGTGTCCTTCACCAAGGCCACCTCTGTCCTATGCTTCGCTGCAGAGCATTTCGGCGTGCAGCGATCAATTCTCCTCGATACAACTTTCCGTCGATCGCCAACCCCTGATCACACTGACAGTGTTCTTTCAAGTTTTCACCATTGAGGTACTGTATGGTTGAGGCTGTGCCGCAAGTTGAGACGACTTTAATGTCGGGTGGTTGAACTCGTGTCATTTGGACCTCAACCACAACACATCTGAAAGGTAGACCGAGTAGCTTTGTGGTTACTGTCATCTGTCGTAAACTCGGCAATACTGCGAGTCACTTTTCAGACGGCTGTGGTGTAAGTGTCGTACGTGAAGTCAGAACAGGGAATCCGTGGACCCCATCGAGATGGTGCTTTCGGTGCTGCAAGACCAGCACGAATTCACATGTGAACAGTGATCCATGGTCACTGTATACATAGGTAGAGAGTTGTAAATTTCGAGGCATACTGTTGCTCGTCATCGCCAGAAAGACATGCGTGGCCGTTTATCGTTTATAGGATTTCCTTGAGCTTCGTCTTTTGTGCCGCAGTCAACGACTTGGGGAAATTGACTTTGACCTGGACGATGAAATCACCCCTCTCGCTTGGTTTCTTTGGTAGCACCATCCCAAGGCCGGGGAATCTTTCTTCATAACCTGGCTGTGTCGGGCCAGCGCCTGAAACGTTCAGCTGCTTGCCGTCAATGGTGGTGACTGTTCTTTTCCAGCCAGTTAATGCTTCTTTCAGGTCAATTTCGATTGTGGTCCGAATGTCATCTCCGTCGCGGGTTAAAGTTGGGTGTGGTTTCTCAGCCACAATAAAGTGGAGGTCCTGTGTACCTCCTTCTTCTTGATCGCCAACGCCGCTGAATTTGAATTTGGACCCGGCTTTGAGACCGGGCTTGATGTCCATTTCTAGAATCTTATCCTCGGATACTCGTTGACCTTGAGGGCTGAACGTCTTGCGCTTGATTTTCATCTTCTTATGCGCCCCCTTGAAGATATCTTCCAAGGATACGGGTAGACTGCGTTCAACAACGGTGACTTCGGGTGTTTGGGGTCTCGCTTGTCGTGGTGCAAAGTTTCCAGTACTCCTGCGACTACCACCACCTCCTGGGCGGGCTCCTCCACCAAATTGTTGTCCAAAAATATCGAAAAAATCTGTATCATCTCCGCCACCGCCTCCTCCAGATTTGGCAAAGGTAGAGAAAATGTCATTTGGATCCGAGAAGGAGAAACCATTTGCACCATTGGTGCTGAAGTGGAATGACCGCGTGCCGCCGCCGCCAGGCATACCTGCGAAATTGAAGCCGCCAGGCATTCCTCCAAAGCCGCCGCCACCAGGCATACCTTCGGACCCAGGAGGGGGAGCCTGTCCTCCCTTGAGTAAAAATTCGAGGCCATATTGATCATAAACCTTTCTCTTCTCAGGGTCGGACAGGACTTCGTACGCCTGGGAAACCTCTTTGAATTTTTCAGCAGCATTGGGGCTATCCTTGTTCTTGTCTGGGTGCCATTTTAATGCGGCCTTACGATAGGCTTTTTTGATTTCATCTTGTGTCGCTGTGGGTGAGACACTGAGAGCGTCGTATAACTTTGTCTCTGCTACCATGGCGGGCAGGAACAAGTGTTGACGTGGGTTGGGGGAGAAATAGTGTCGTACTGTGGATGGAGGTATATAATATCAAAGTGAAAACGTCTATTCGATCGAAAAGACAAGGTGAAGGAAAGGGAAGAAGAGGGAATTAACTTGGTGAGTGAGGCTGGCTAAAGCAGGATAGTGGGCGGAGTGACGGGCTGAGGGTGAGAGGATTTAGCCGCGACGAGGTAAATGGAAGGCTCGAGTAAACTCCCAAGGGCTTGGACAGCATGTGAGAAAACTGGGGCTTTAATTAAGGGCCTCTGGTAGCATGATGAGCATTTCAAGTAGTAGGCTTTTCTGGTAAGAAAGACGGTAGATCGTTGTAGTGGGAAGACATTGTCAGAGTGGCAGGACATTGGTGGTCAGAGACAATGACGCATTGGGCTTCGAGGCAGTTGCGGCCCACCGAAGCTGCTAGATGCTTCTTTAGCCGCCAATGGGGTACCAAGCCAAATTAGCCGCGGCAGGAGCTACCCGCGCGTCTGCCAACAATGCCTGACAATTTGAGAAAGGTAACCACGCCTAACAACTTCAGTCGTTCTTTCGTTGTTGTCATAAACACGTGAGGCTTGCAAATATAGATAGTTTGCCCCCTTATATGTGAAAAGGAGACGACTTTATTGTGTTTGGATGCAAACCCGGTCAGTCACTTCTGGCAACGGGGTTCTAATTACATCTGGTTCATTTTCTCTATGTGCGCGGGTATCTTCAAACTCAACTGATCCCTAGCTTTTGCCCTCTTCAAAAACTTTCCCGTGGGCGAGAGAGATAGATCGGATGAGCACATCATGATCATCTCCATCTTCCCTCAACTGTCTTCTTCTTGACCAGCGGTCTCACCGCAAACACACCAGCCGCGAGCGACACCACGGTCAATATCAGGGAGACCTTGTTGAAGCCCTTTCCAAGCACATCAAACGTCTGACTGGGTGCAACCTGTGTGCCGAAAACATCATGTCCAAATGCAAAGACCACGCTGGTGCTCTCCAATAGACTTGGTGTGGTAATGACCTTCTTGATCCCGATCACTTCTCGTGCGTGGTTCAAGAAGTGCCGAGGCTCAAACTCCAAGTTTGGCGTATATCTCATCAGTCCTTCTTCACGCTCGGTACTGTTTGCGTCACGATCGACTGGCCGTCTGGCGTCCAGAATCTCCCTCGGGATGCCCACAATCGACTTGGATTGTGATAGAACAGCAAGAAGTTGGCGCGAAGTGATGCCTTGGGCTGTTTGCGTGACAGCAAGGGACGAGATTGGTTCTGCAACAGTGTATGCCTGAGAGATAACGTGAGGCAATGCGCCGGCATCGGCGGAAAAAGACGAAAAGTTGGATTTGGCTCCCAGCGGGCCGCGGTCATTCGATGAGGCTGATTCGTACAGCTCCGAGATCACGATTTGTGTGGAAAGAGCCTTTGTGATCGGATCTTGGCTGGTGAATGAGTAAGCCGCCCAGTTTTCCGAAACAAGCGCGGCGATTTCGGTTCCAGGCAGGATGCCCTGATGTATCGATGTATGTAGAACAGTTCCTGTCACACCGTTGACAATGTATGCCGCGATCGCAGAAGGCGACGATGCCACCAACAGTGCAATATTTGGCGAAATGTGCTTGTATAGTACCGCACGATTGCCCAAGACCTTCCCAACTGAGGCAATCGGGTCATGTTGTGGACGCGAGAACGCGCTGATAAATTTGAAACCGGGCTTGGGGGTCAGGGTCCATGTCTTTTCGACAGACTGGCCAACGGTCCAGCCCACAGCACTTCCATCAGCAGTCAATGTCACGACAACATTGCCCTCTTCTGGGTTCGAAGGTGCGAAATCATCAGCTAGGCGAGGGGTTCCATCCGCGCCGATCTTGACCACAGCTGGTGCAGGATGGCCAGGGAGGTGAATCAGGCGTGACACCGGGATCGAGCCAGCCAGGTACTCGATGACTTTTCCGGTGGCCGTGTCAACAACAACGAGAGACCCATCAGAAAGATAGACCGTCGTATGGCCGTTATCGACGACCAGAGACTTGATGACAGTGTCGCCTGTTATGTAGAGAGACAAGTCTGTCTGCCAGTAAAGAGTGCCGGAATTTGTGGCGTCTAGAGCAATCAATTCCTTCCGAGACGTACCGAGGACGACCATTTTGGACCCGACTAGGCTTTGACGTGTGGATGCGACGGCATTGGGGTCTGACTTGAATATAGTATGAGGCAGATCTTGCAGATATGCCGGCAGGTTTGTCAAATCTGAAGCATGTCGTTTCAATCGGTGGGCGTAGGCAGTAAGCGGATTGACTGATGCCTCCACCTCCAGTTCTTCTGCCAGGGCATCTGGTCGGGGATTTTCTGACCAAGCTGCAATTTCCGCATATGCCAAATACTCTGGACGGCTCCATTGTAGCTCTCCGTTTCGGATCAAAGACCAATCGCCACTGCTTGAAGCCTCTGCGATACGAACGGCAAATAGATCTTTTCCTCGACTGACGACCTCTGTCGCACCATGAGATGGAAACTGTCCCGAAAAAGTGCTTCGAGGTCCTGTTCGCTGCCAGCGTGCCAACTCACCATGAGAGCTTGTCGAATAAAGCTTAAGCTCAGACTCTGTGCTGCGTGTCAGATACAGCGTCAATTCACTTGCACTCACAGAAAGTATGCTGTTCTCTTCGGTCGCTGGAAGGGAGTAGGCCTTTTTCACGCTTCCAGTTTTCGAGTCGATATGGTAAACATCTGCCCACTGACGAGTTGTCCCTTTGATGTGCAAGACAAAGTGCGAAATATCTGTGGTACTCGAAGGGCAAATGACGCTAACGGACTCAATATCTTCTCCTTTTGATTCGATTGCTAGAGTTTCGATCTTGGATGTTTTGAGCGGGCTGACTTTCACCGTCTTATAAGGCTTTTCGGTGGAAACGAGGAATGGATATGCCGACTTTGATCCAGCAGTGTACTGTCCATTTTCGCCCAATGGTTCAACATCAACAGCAATGGTTGTCGATCCGACCTCTTTACCAGTTCCAACATCAAATGTCACCACCTTTGCCTTTCCTCCAGTGACAAGACCATCTGATTTTGTGACCAGATAGACATGCTGAGGAGAAATAGCGAGAGAAGCGGCGGAGGGTGACGCGGTCTTATCGAGATGCTCCCATTTTAGCCCAGAGCCATTGCCTGCAACACGAGCAACACGAGTCTGACCGTCTTCGCTCTGAGGCACAGCGAGCACGATTACATCCTCCACAGCGGAGCTGGTAGAGTCTGTCTTGACCACGGATTGAAGATCTTGTATCGAGGTCCCCTCGGGCAGTATATAAGTCCAAACAAGTCGCCCATCCAGAGCATCCCAACTTGCCACGGTCCGGTCGTGACCGGTAATGATCTGACCGTCTCTTTCTCTGGCTACGAGAAATGAACTCGAAGTGTTGTAGAGAGGTTCGCCAGCGAGTGACTGTCGCCACAGAACGTTTCCATCCTTGGGATTGATGGCGCCTAAAACGGCTTTGTCTGAGATTGTATAGAGGAGAGAGGCGTTGGAGGAAGCTTGAGATTTGTGGAAGAGGGTGGTATGGGATTGCGGGACGCCGAGCAGTGCATGGTGGAAATCTATGTGGTAAGCATCATCGATGAAGATGGCATTTGCCGGGAGCCAGCAAGCGGCGAGCGCTGAGAGGATGCCATACCACCTCATACTGCTCTCAGGACGATGATGCTGGGACCCGCAAGGCGACGTTGCTTCTGAGTCTTGAACTGCGTATCTCGATCAATGCAGGGAGTATAGGGACGCAGGCAACGCAACTGTCGGACTACTTTCCTTAGATTGCTAGTCACGTGAAGGCTGATAAATTACGGGGGATCACTACGGTGGAGCGGACACTCAACTCCTTGTGTCGATGATGAGGTATTCAAAGTCTGGTATTCCTCCAACCAGTTTAATCATTCCCACGTCTCCCCATACTTTTCAAACTTAAAGCTCGCACCTGGATGAGAAGGTCTGACCTTTCCATCTCCTGGGGTGGCATATAGATTTTCCCTCGCCGTGCCTCCTGGGGCTGGATAGTCCTGCAACCAGCCTCGCTTCTCAAGCTCGGGGATCAGGAGGTCAACAACATCTTCCCAAGCGCCAGGGACAACAACGTGACCAATGTTGAAGCCATCAACATCTCCATCAAAGACCCATCTCTCCATTTCATCCGCAACTGTGGTTGGGCTTCCTGCCAAGAATGTGCCGCTGCCGCCAATGGCTTGAAAGTTGCCTAGATCCCGAGGTGACCAAGTCATAAATCCATCAGGCTTGCTTGTCAATGCTTCGATATGTCTTGGGCTCAACCCCTCGTATAGTGGGTGCTTGGGGTCTGTCGGGAAATCCTCGTCGAAAGGAAATTTGCTGACGTCGATCTTTGAAATGCCACAGAACAGCGCAAGTCCGCCTTCTGGGATCGCGTATTTGCGATACTCTTCCAGTTTGGCTCTTGCCTCTTCGTCGGTCGGAGCGAGGATTGGAGTGAACTGAACAAAGAACTTTATATCTTTCGGGTTTCTTCCTTGACTCTCCGCTAAGTTCCTTGTTTCCGCAATCTTTTTTCCCACAAATGCAGGGTTTCGTCCGCCAATAAAGATGCATTCCGCATGTTTGGCTCCAAATGCAGCACCGGCCCTGGGAGGTGATTAGTATAAAGACATAACAGGTGTTCTGGACTCATCACATACGCTGACATGCCAGCCTGGAACAGCACCGGCGTTCTCTGTGGTGACGGATCCACCAAGTGGGCACTGACACATTTGAAGAAGCGTCCGCGATGCTCGATCTTTCGGACCTTGGATGGATCGGTGTATGTTGCCCTTTGACTGTCTTGAACAACTGCGCCCTCACCCCAAGATCCTTCCCAGAGTCTGTCTTCGTCAGCCAGATGCATCGATTGACAAGCATTCGCTATCGTCTCGCAATGTGGAGAAATCGTCAGCATAAACTGGGGATACTCACTTGTACATCAGGTTCAAATACTCCTCTGCCATATCATATCGCAAATCATGTTCTGGCAGCTCTTCTAAACCTACGGCTCGCGCAGCATTGTCTGACCAAGAGGTGACGATGTTCTAGCCTGTCTGTTAGCGCTTGCTAGCATTGTCGGGGATTAACAACTTCACCCAAGCGATTCTTCCCTGTGTAACGTGATCGAGTGTCGAGAAACGTTTGGCCAGCAGGAATGGCGGTTCAAAGGTTGTGCACGAAGTGACTCCAAAAGCCACGCTCTTCGTCACTGCAGCCATCGCTGAGATAATGACAAATGGATCGTACATCGGCCATTGAGTTCCTGCTCGGATCGCGGGCGCATGGCTACCTTCGTAAACATCATGGGATCCGAAGTTGTCGGCGAGGAAGAGCGCATTGAATTTGCCACGGTCCAGCAGTTTCGCCAGGTTGATCCAATAGTCAAGCCTGTTCTTTGTTTTGGACTTGTCAACTGGATTCTGCCATTGTCCCGGGCTTATGTGGCCGATGCCATTCATGTCAAAGGCATTCAGCAGGAGCCTCTTCGAAGGCCTTCTGTCGGTACGAATTGGAATTCCATTATTCGCCTCGCCTTTACTCTTGTCCTCGGTTCCTAGATCGCCCATTCTCAATGAGGGTTGTCTATTGCAATACTATCGTGCAGGTTGGTGTTGTAGTCCAAAGTGCCTGGTCACGGTAAATGTCGCCACATACAATCAACCAAGGAGTCTCTTTTGCGAACAAAAAATTTTCGTAATCTAACAATTAGAGTCAACAAACTTGAGCATTCAAGCTGGGCATCCCACGCCGACATCGCGCCTCAGTCAACGACGCGGGTGGGAATTCTCCAAAGCGGTCGCGACTTCACCCATGCCAACATGCCATGTTCGCCCAACCAAGTGGGGTGAGATGAAGAACACGGCACGTTTTTGGAAAATGCATCAGGCGTTGGAACACTGACACGGGATCGAAGCGACATGTGATGTGGTAGAGCTGGAGAATTAGCCCTTAATTAGGCCCCACATGAATAGTCTGGAGACGCAGCCTTATCAACATGACTCGCGCAGTTGCGACCCACAAACCAATTAGAGGCCTCGCTTTTGGCAGCACGCAATTTCAGTTTCAACGACGCAATACACTAACAATCATCACAACGCAACTCTTCCAGACGTTTAGTAACTAGAACTGTGTCTCTGAGTGCATTGACATGACCGTCCATTACCCAACCGGTCGAAAACGCCACTGTTACGACTAGTTCGGCCAGGAATCCGGGAAATAGGCGAACCAACGACATGGTACAGACCTATCATCATTCAAATCACAGTTTTCTACCCGACTAATGCTTATAGTTTCTTCTTCAGAGCCGAGACAATGGATCAGTTTCGGTGGCTTGCCATGGATCCTCGTGTAGGGTCCTCAAGTTGACTTTTCCAATCTCTGCCAAGTGATAGGTGACCGCGTCCAAGTTGTTTTCATCATCGAGGACAGACCGACCACGTCCCCATATCCGGGTAAAGCGATTTGGCGATGGACCAGATCCCTCGGTGGACGGACTGCCGACTTCTGCCGAGATCACAGTCCCATCATCGCCTTCGAAGATGAAGTCTTCCCATCGTGGTTCCGCAAGTATTTCGACCCGTTGCCGAGTTGTACCAGGATATCCTATGACGTTCTTCGATTTGCCTGGCTTGTCTTCAAGTTTGAAGTACGATCTGCATTTGTCGTTGACTACAGACTTTTCAAAGTACTTGTCAACGACGACAGTAAAGTCCCGTGTTGCAGCTTCTGTCGGATATAAGGCGCGATATCCATCCCTTTGCAGTTTTCGGAGAAGTCGAGCGATGTAAGTTGCCGAGATTTCCGTCTGATACGGAACCGACCCACCAAAGGCGTTTCCCTGCGCTTGGAGAACGAAGAAATAATTTGGGGCATGTGGCGCCGCGATTCCGAGGTAATTTTCCGGAAATCCGATTTTCTGACCAGGCTGCCAGACTTGGGACAAATCGTCGCCGTTCTTGATGATGGTAGGGAAACGAGGATAGAAGCCATCTCTGAACCCAGTTGCCAAGATAATCACATCGACATCTCTGGCCGTTCCATCTGCCGTCACCAGTCCCGTGGCCGTGGCTTGAACAATAGGAATGTCCACGAACTCAACCTTTGGGCCGATGATGGCTTCAAGATACCCGGGTGCAGGGGTTAATCTCTTGCAACCAGGACCATAATCTGGAGTCAGACGAGCAAGCCACTCTGTATCACCGTTCAGGCGCTCAAGCATGGTTTTCAACAAACTTTCTCTCAGTTTGAAATTGTCTTCACTGCCTAGCTCAGCAAAGCGGTTATTGACGGCGCCATAATGCAATTTGTCGAGGTTCTTTCGATAGGAGAGTAGGGCGGCAGGATTCTCATTGAATTCGCGGATTTCGTCTGCGGAGTAGATATGTCCACCGGGGATGTCCACAGAAGCCTGCAACAGTCCTTGACGGAAGGTTGGGCTGACATAGGTTTTGCCGCGAACATAGTGGTCGATATGCGCCACTTGGGGGAGTATGGTTGGAAGAATCTGTTGACCAGAGGCGCCATTCCCAATGACCGCGACACGCTTGTTCTCGAGTTGAATGGAATGGTCCCATTTCGAAGTGTGAACAATGTCTCCTTTAAACTTGTCAAGACCAGGAATATCAGGATATTTTGCCTGATTCACCCGTCCAGGTGCTGCAATCAATGCGTCCGCCCTGTCTATGAAAACAGTGTTGGTCGAGAGGTCCTTGACTTGGAGCTCCCATTGAAACTCATCAGAAAGCCACCTTGCGGAGAGGACTTCGTGCGAAAGCTTGATGTGAGGCTTTGCACCGTACTTTTCAACGACATTATCGTAGTACTGTTGGATTTCGCTGCCTTTGGAGTAATACTCGCTCCAATTTGGGTTCGGCTCAAACGTCAATTGATAGACATGGGATGGCACGTCGCATCGAACACCCGGATACGTGTTTTCAGCCCAGGTGCCGCCAACCCTGTCATTGCGATCATACAGCGTATAAGACAGGTTTCTCACTTTACGGGGCAGAAGCACCGCGGCAGAGATTCCAGAGATACCACCGCCAACGATGATTACTTTGATCGGTCTGTCAGTGAATGGTTGTTTGTCGGTAGGTGGTTCACGAGCGAGTGGTACTCGTACTTCCGTGGTTCCAATTGCATGGTCGTTGATCTCTGGCACCCCAGCCATGATGACAGTCAGAACTAACAAGTTTAGGTGGTGATGTAAGTCGTCAGTTCCGCAGCGATGGAAATACAATTAGTGAGGGCTCCGATATGTACCAAGCCTCACAGTCAAGACGGGAGCGGCTCAACAATACCGAGGCTGCACCGAACCCACCTTATACCCTGCATAATCGGACTCGACCGTTTGGGTCAAACCTTTACGGAGTATTCCCATTCATGGGTCTCGCGTGCTTTTGGCGTACAAATGCGATGGCGTGCTTGAGAAATAGACCTGCCCGACATTCGGAGACCGTGAAGGCGGGAATGGTATGTCTTGGCAACGCCCACCGGTCAGTTGAGATACCAACACGCTAGGTCTGTATCTAGGATAATTCGTGCATGTGTCAAACTCTTTCTGAGCAAATGACTCGTAAGTACGAGGGAGATCATAGTATAGTCAAGCGTGGTCATGTCGTGATCCGCCCTTTGTATGTCGTGACACTTTGGAAAAATGAAAAGATGTGGGTTATCAAGTATATCGCACGTGGTATATAACCACATGAGGAGGTCAGTCCACTCCCAGACTCGTGGGTAATTCGTTAGACGAACATTGTCGGGTCAGCCAACATGTCGAAAGTACTGGGCGAGCCAGCTGTGCAAATAGCACCGGCGGAGGAAGCCTCGATTGAAGCGAAAGACGATGCTCCTCTTCAAACAACTTACGGTTCAAACCCAAACCCGTCCAAAGATCGTCCACTGTTGTCCTGGTTTGACAAAAACGATGGACCTGAAGAACGAAAGCTCATTTTGAAGCTTGATTTTCTTCTTCTCTCATACGCCTGTATGGGTTTCTGGGTATGTTGAAGCGATCTCTCGAATAGGGCGCTGCTGATTGGTGCCATAGGTCATGTATATCGATCGAGGTATCCTTGGAAACGCCTATGTGAGCGGAATGCGGGAAGGTTTGTCAATCCATTTACCTTTTTAACAGCCGTCTGATGGTGTGCTATAGATTTAAAGTTGTTTGGTAATCAATATGTGCAGTTGGGATCCGTCTTCACTGTCGGCTATGCTACGTAAGTACACTTTCCAGTCAGTCAAGGTGAATCTAGGGGATGCTCACCATTCTCACGCAGGACAATGATCCCTTCCACGCTTCTGGTCACTAAAATCCCGGCTCACATCGTACTTCCATCGGCCACATTTCTGTGGGGTCTGTTTACCATGCTGGCATTCTGGGCCAAAAGCTTCAGCCAACTTGCGGCATATCGTTTCATCATCGGTTTCTGCGAAGGCGGATTTTTCTGCACGATTCATTATTGTCTTGGAAGCTGGTACAGACCCGATGAACTTGTTCGAAGAGCAGGTATCTTTTATATGAGTTCTGGAGTCGGAACGGTGTCAACTGGTGTGCTCGCCGCACGAATCTACCGCAACTTGGACGGGGCGCTGGGCCATGCTGGGTGGAGATGGATGTTCATGATTGGCGCACTTTGCACCTTTCCCATCGCAGCCTGGGGAGCAGTCTTCTTCCCAGGAGCCCTGAGGAAGACCAAGCGATGGACATTCACCGAGAAAGAGCATTTGATTGCCCATGAACGAATGCGTTTGGTTGGACGAAAGGCACCTCAGGGAATGCCATTTGCCTGGTCTTCAGTCAAGCGATTTGTAGGACGGTGGCATTTCTGGGTTCTCATCCCCTGGAATATTGTTTGGATTCTCGGTATGGGTTGGTGGCAGCAGCATATCTTGGTATGTTGGTCTCGTTTGATGATAGTGCGGCATTCTCACTGACCTTTCAAAGTGGCTTCGAGCACAGCCGCAATACTCGACTTTCCAAGTGAACAACTACACAGTAAGAGTGATACAGATGTGAGATTGGTTCAGAAACTGACCCAATGCAGGCGATCAGTCCCAGTTTGGGGGTGGTGTTTATTTTCGTCTTCTCCTGGGTTGTTGATAGGTACGGTGATAAGGCGAAAATCCCTTTGTTCGGGTTTGTGACCTTCATGACCTTTATGGGAAGTCTTGGATTTGTCCTGTATGATTACTCTAGCTTCGCCTGGAAGTGGTATGTACCCTTACCTTTGTCTACTTGATTCGATTGATCAATACTTACTATCCGACAGGTATGGGGTCGCAATCGGATACATGCTTGTGTCGCTCAGTCCAGTCATTTACTCACATGCCAACCTGGTCTGCGCTGGGGACGCTGAGGAGCGAGCATTCATCATCAGCGCCATGCTTGCGACTGGAACTGCTTTCAATGCATGGGTGCCGCTCTTAGTTTGGCCTACTGTGGAAGCGCCCAGACTCTTCAAGGGCTATACCTTTGTGACGGTGCTGCTGCCAATCTACTTTGCGCAGAGCTGCTTCGTCTTCATCTTTTCACGGCGGAGAACGGCGAAGGAGAAAGCCCAAAAAGTGGATTCAGAAGCCTCGTCGGATGTTGGCGTCCAAGTGGAAGAGACCAAAAATTGAAGGTAGACTCTAGGTGAAAAGTTGAGATGGTAGGGAATAGAAGATGGTGAGACACGATGAGCGGACGGAAGAGGTGATGTTGTAATGAGGATAGAACGTCAAAAAGTAGGGATAATTGTGATTGAGGCGAAGAAGGTTAGCCGAGAGTCAATTTATCACTTGGATTCCTTTTCTTCATTCAGATCATGATTGTTGTATTCAACCTCTGCCTTTGATAGCCTGGGTACTCGACTTTCATACACATTTTGAATCCTCCCTGCCATGATCAGCGCCAAAGTGAAAACCCCCATAACACCTCTAATTCCAACAGAAAGTACCATGCCAAGGGTTACCGAGCTCCCTGGCCGCTTCTGTGCAAAAGGCCGAGAAGTCATCTTCATCAATACATGCTGACCATGCATTGCACTAATGTGACCAGTTTTGTCAGCCTCACTGCAACAATATGACTATAGGTACAAGGTAAAAGACCCTCTGACCCAATGGACCAACGACTCACCTGATGCGATCGGTCTCCTGCATAGTAAGGATAGAATTCGCCGCAGCGGCTTTTAGAGTTCGGGAGGAGATGGTCGGCTTGGAAATACTTCAAGCAAGCGGCTTCAGTGATATCGTCCCATTGCACGCTGCCATCTTGACATTTACAGTTCTCGTACATAGCTGCAAGGCTGTTGAGAATGGAATGATGGCAAAGAGTCAGCTTAAGGTCTGGGATAAGGGATATCAAGTTGTTGATGTGGATGATAACATACGTGGTGTGAGCGAACGCTGTGGCCGCTACCATTGCGAAGAGGCTGTTGAGCTGCATTTTAAATTCAAAATTTTCGATCAAGTCGTTTTATTCTCCCGTGCTGCTTCAAGATGGTGGTCTGCTTTCAACTTGTGAAGTTCTGATGTTTCCTACAAATCACCATACTTATGGACTGCATGGGCGTGGTTCGAATACTCTCTAACAGTCTTAAATCTACGCATAGTGACGTCGAAGTTACAATGTCTAGCGTTGCATTTGCTGCGCCAGCGTGGTGTCGCGGGTCTAGACTCGGACACCCGAATATACTCTAAGTAACGTGGTCCGTGTCCGATCTATATATTGGGGGATCGATGTCCCGATGCGAGCCATGCCACACAGTTGCGGCTTTGCCTTGGCAAAAGTCAATCCATTTAGAACCGCTGACCGTCACTTTGCTAGATGACTTGAATACAGGCTGTGTGATATCGAAAGAGTTGGGACGCTGACGTTCTGATGATACATTAATGGTATGAAATGGCTGTGCTAAGCACAGGGCTTAAGAGCCTTGGCAGAGTCGTGCCTCTAGTGATCCCGACATGGGCATTTCGTATGATGTTTCCCTCAATTTCAACCCCCATGGAGTTCCAACTGTCATTGCCTCTGTTTGCTGCCAAACCATCGAGTCACCTAAAGTGTCCAACCCCACACATACTGAGCATTGTCACTCTGTTCATTGAAAAGGCTAGGACTCGAGTTATCCTGCATGAACACCTGACAAAGCCATGGACCATTTGGATCGCTAAATTCTCCGTCGAAGCTCAGAGAGAATTGCTTCGCTGAATATGCACTGGCAACCTTTGCGCATGATTGCTTCGCGGCCGCCACTGAACACACCTGAGATGGATCGGAGAATTTGGCGAAGGAACTAATGCTATAGTACTGAGCATCATTTCGAAGGGAGCCACTTCCGCTGTAGTATAGTTTCCAGCCACCAGAGATGGTGGTACATTGTGCGGCGAGGTCGGCTGCTGAGGCGGAGTCGCTGGATTGTGGTAGACCGGAGATGCTGGTGGCTAGAGCTGAGATGAGGAGCAGAGCAACTGCTGTGTTGAACATGTTGGAATGGTTGCGATGGGTTCAGAGTATTATGTTGGATTTTGCTTCTACTGACTCACGGAAGATGGAAGGATATTGTGGCTTATATGATACAGACACTGGGGATGTTCTCGGGTAGCAGGAGAGGAATTGCCACAGCCACTATTACCCGAGAGCTGGGTTCAATAATTCAATTGGAGCGCCGACTGAACATGTTCCATGGCTTCGGGCGCAGGCCTGGACCTCATCGATGCGCACGGTTTCACGATGGATCGATATTGCGACTCTGGCAGCACAGACCACTGCAGACTTTGGGAAACATGCTTTGGAACCAGAGGATCGCAAAATACTTTTGGACTTTTATGTATTGAATGGTGTATGCCCTCTTCAAATGTTTGGTGGTGATGATGGAATTGTGTATATATGGCCCTCAGTTTGTAGACCATACTCAAGTCTCTTGATTGGTCAGTTGAACTAAGTAATTCCAGGGTTTTGCGCTCACGGCGGCTCTTACACAAGTGGACACAAGAGATCAGAGCCCGTACCTAAGCTTCAAAATCTCGCCTACAAGTATCAAGATGAAAAGCACACAGGGTATGGTTCCGGGGCTTCTCGAAGCGACGATCGTTGCAACTGAGGCCAGAACATACATACATTGGCATAGGTTCCAGTCTGAATGTGCCATTGTTATGTAATACTGCATGCACCAAGCACATGCTTCGACTCCAGCGTGGGCAAAGAGGTAATTGGTAGGTGACAGGCTGTGGCGGTGCCACCCATCCATCATCCCTGTCAAGACCAACGTCACCGTGAAAGCAGCAAAAACAAAGCCTCGAATCTCCAAAATCCTGTTTCGTGTTGGTGAGTTTGCACAACCATTGCATCAATTTGATTTCGTGTCGTTGTTGGTTTTCAACAACCAAACACTGTGGGCATCGACGCGTCGAAAACAAACATTTACACCTCTCCGTCGACGTTGTTGCACTGCATTATTCTCGATAATCATCAAGATGTCAGTCGACTCGGTGACGTCGCTGGCGGGAGGTGGATTATCAGGGAGCGGACTGGGTGCGTTGACTGGGACACTTCAAGGCGGAGTGAACAGCCTCATCAACATGTCGAGCACATGGCTTGATCGATTCTTCCCACCAGAAAAACGTGAGGAGTGGAAGGCATGGCTGTCTAAATTTGCTACGGAGAGGCCATATCTGGCATCATTCCTGTTGTCACAGATTGCGCTGAGTGGGTTGCCGTTGGTGCTGTTTGGCGTCATGAGCGTGACGGTGTTTATCTTTGCATTACTGGCGGGAATTCTAGTCGGCGTCATCGGTGCATTGTTGTTTGTTGTTGCAGCACTGGGGTTCGCCCTCATCATCCTGTTGCCTACACTTTTCTTCACTACTGCCGCTGCCGTCTTCATCTGGCTATGGGGCGTCGGCGCCTACTTTATCGTCAAGTGGTTCAATCAAAAGGATGTCCCGGGCATTCATACTGATCTCGGCAGTGGTATTGCTAAGCAGTCGGGTCTGTCTGACTTGCCTGGCGTTGGTGGGAATCTCTTGAGTGATGACAATCTGGACCTCAATGGTGCTTTGAATGCCGCCAAGGGCGAGAAGAAGCCCGAGAAGCTCGACAAAGCTAACAAGGCTGACAAGGGCAACGAGAAGGAGAAAGAAAGAGGAGCCACGACAACGGGAGTTCAGCATCACGTTGATGGCAAAGAGAATCAGAGCCAGACCACGACTCCGAGGAAGAAGAGACCTGTATCGACTGATCCCACGTCCAAGGTGACGGGCACTGTGGATGGTGTCAGTAAAGGCGCTACTGGAGCCGTGGGAAATGCCACCAAGACGCTGGGGGTATGACTCGAGGCGGCGGGCAAGAATTATATGGGCACAATTCGTGTTGATCATGATTCTGGTCCGCCATGATCAAGAATCCAACTTTCACGAGGACAACAGTGAAGAATCATATGGAAAGGTAGCGAGGAGGAGCGAGAATGAGATGGCCACCAGAGTGTTTGGCACTACCTGTACTTTATTTCGGCTTCTTTGGGTGAATGCAATGCATAGCAGGCAAAAACATGGCTGATGATGAGATCGATCGCTTTCTATTCCACTTGTGCATGTCAGGGTCGTTGTTATCCCTGAATCTCAACGTATGCATTCGCCATTCATGACATCCAAATCAAGCCTGTGACCAGAACACAACATGTTCTCTCCAATTGCCTCTCGCGCATGCTTAGTCCAGCGCATCTCATACAGGCACAACCAAGGGGATTCTTCAACCTCACACACCAGATATTGCTTCACTCAGACACCCATGGTAAAATCATGCTCAATGCCTGGCGTCACACTGGCCATAAACTTCAGGAACACCACCAAGTACTGGTCGACTCGGATGGCCACCTTTTCACTTTCGTCGGCATTTCCGGCGTCTTGTTCATCTAATACTTCCCACTCATCGCCACCTCCGCCACTAGCGGCTTTGACGCCAGCCTCGTGACCGCGTCTCTCTTCGTTCTTGCGATCGCTTAGGGAGAGCTTTGAGGTGTCATCAATCAACCCCTCCATGCCGGAGATGTTAGCAGGACCGGGCGCGCCTGCTGCTTGCTTCTCAAGTCGGATCTTCAGAGCGGCATCGGCGCGATCTAGGAGAATTTTCATTACACTGGCGTGCTTGCAAGGATGAATCGAGGCCATTTTGACCGAGGCGTCAAAGAATGGGAAGTCTTCGAGGGTGACCGTCTTGTCTTTATAATCGCCAACAATGTCTTCCATCATCAACTGAGGCGCGAGGGGTTCCGAGGGAGAGAGATAACCCGAGAGATACATTCGAGGAGTTCGGTAGTAAGGAGTATAAGTGATATAAAGGGTATATGTTCGAAGGGGTCTGAGAGTGTTAGCAGGGTTTTCATGACATGATGATAGTGTACCACTTACGTTGACGTTCCTTCGGTCTTGTCGCGGATGATAGCCTCATTGTCGTCATCTTCGTCCTCCATATCAGGTATCTCTTCCTCTTCTTCCTCTTCACTGGCCTTCTTGCCTAACTGGCCGCTTTCGGACATTGTGCGCACTTCCCCTCGAAGGCCTTCTTGTTCCTTCTCAGTGGTGCCACCAGTCCTCAGCCAGCCATCGTCGTCGCCACCCGTGTCGTCGTCAGGGCCTCCGAGGAAGCCATCTCTGACAAGGTCATCCGCGGCGCCATGACCTCCTGCAAAGTTCTCATCTAGGCGTCGATGACATGGGACGCCTCGAGTGACGAGAAACTGTTTGTTGGCGGGGAGGTAGTTAACTCTTCGGGCGGGGCTTGAGGCGTCGGCCCATGACCAGGAAGGGAATTTGTAGACGAGATAGTCGCCAGCGAGAAGGAACTCTTCGGGTGTGATCTGGCCAGTGGCGCGGAAAGTTGAGGTATGTGAGATTGGCGCATAACGATCACGCACCTTGTCGAGGGCGGAATGGAGGAGATTCATGGTCTGTAGGAGGGCGGGTTGGAGGGATTGTACGGACAATTTGGAGGTTGGAATGAGACGTTCGAGTAGGGTAGATGCTATAAAGTTGTCGAGTGTCGATACACACAAGTGAACATATACAAGCGAGGGTTAGTATCTTGGATGGAACAAGAAGAGGGTTTGGAGGGGCAAGTAAGCGAAGAAGGTGACGCAGTTGCGGTTGGTATGTCAGGTGGAGGGCAGCTGCCTAATCCATCTTGGAATGCACGTGGTTTCGTGTTGGAGATTCCCCTGCTCCTTCCCTTTATGCTGAACAAACACGCGTTTTAAAGCTTTGGACAGTAACACCCCGCGCTGCGCTTGCTCTTGCCTCCGTTTCTCATGTTGGCTGGTCAGCAGGAGGTCAATCGATGCCGACCTCACCAACCACGCGCCTTACCCGGTCGGCGCCGCTTTTAAACACAGCCCACCCTGACTCACCCACCCTCACCTTTGCCTTATGGTTAGAACCGAGTGACTAGCATTTGTCACGTGATGTAAAAACGCACGCCGGATATTTGTGATTCCAGGGCGCCGACCCTTTGTAAAAAAGACCACCGGCCCTAGGCCTTCGAGACCCACCTCGAAGGCTAGAGGACATCTCCGTAGGCCTAGCGCCTGGGAGCCACTAGGCTTCCCAATAGTACATAGTATATACGGAGTATTCCGTAGTGTACTCCGAAGTCAGAGCTTCGAATGGCCAAGTCTCTTATGAATCACATATTGACCGCCACGACGATGGCTACTTCTTACATAGTACTTGAGTTCTACTTGATCCACCCTCGCCAAAGTGTGTGATATTATATCATTAAAAAGACTTTTCTAATGGTTTGCTCTATCAAGGAGTATTACTTATCATCCGCTATTCTTTCAGGCTGGCTCACAGCCAAACTCCCCAAGACTAGCTTGGGAGCAGGTATAGCCTGGCCAGAAAGCGTCCCATGGGCCTTCTGCAGTGTCATAGTTGTACCACATAGGCTCTTCGTTCCACTGAAACAGGTCCTCCATGGCCGAGGCCACTGTTACCAATTTCGCCTCGCCATATTGATGCCCATAAACGCAGAGACCAAAGGGCACCGAGTAGCCGTCCATACCAATAGGGACTTGGGCAACAGGATAACCTGCATATGCTGGAACACTTGCACAGGCGTTGCCTTGGTTGCCATCACGGCCGTTGGGAATGAGGACACCATCGAGAGCGATCACGGTGCCATTCTCAAGCTGGTAAGCGTGTGCATTGTCGATGGCCTGTCGAGCCATGGAGCGACCCCAGCCAAAGGCGGTCCAGAACTCGGATCCCATACTGCCGTTGGTTGCAACGGCGTTGTCGTAAAAGCTTTGTCCGGTCACGTTGTTCCACCACCAAGTGCCATTGCCCAGGGCACCCGTTGTGTCGTTGTTGGCCTTGTTCCATTCCACCATCTCCTCTATCGTGCTCATGCCATAGCGTTCATCACCCTCGGGAAACGTCCAATTTCGAAGCCATTCGGCATAGCCGACTGACATGAGGGTGCTGAATGCGATCAGGTGGTTGAGCTCTGGAGGTGTGCTTGCTGGCATTCCTCCCCCGAACGAGTTTGTGACTTTGGCAAATGGGTTGACATCCTGCAAGAGCGGCATCAGCACAAATTCAACGTGAAACCTCCGAGCCTCAGTTTCCTACCGTGATATTGTAAAGCTCGGCACCTGCTGCTTCCAGGGTGGCGAAAGTCTCTTCAAACTGCTCTCGATTGCCAGGGGAGTTGACGTGCTGTTAAACGCAAAATCAGCACAAAAGCCCTGGTCATTTGTTTTGTTTTCTAACAAGGGGTTTCTTACTCCGTTCGAAGCCCAGTATGCTTCCCATGGGACGCCCAGCTTCATACCACGAAGCGCATCTTTACCCACCACGTGCGAAGTATAACCATCCGTCGGATACTTTCCAGCAGCTTCGAATGTGAGATTATCGCGGCTATCAATACCTTTCATGATGTCGAGTAGGATAGCGGCGTCCTTGATACTTCGAGCCAAGGGCCCAGCTGTGTCGTGATAATAGCTGCCAGTCACAATACCGAAACGCGACATCAACCCTGGGGTCGACTTGATCGTGTAGAGACCTAGTTGGCATGACGGATGCACCAGTGATCTGTAAATGATCCCAGTCAGTCCAAGTCCTTTCCCAGTGCCATTTGTTCATACACACCCGTGGGTTTCTGTTCCAAGAGCAACTGGAACTTGATTACTTCTGATTGCGATGACGGATCCAGAACTGCTGCCTGCCGTCGACTGCGTGAGATTGTAAGGATTCCTTCCTTGTCCGGTTCTACTAGAGTAGCCACTGGCGTATTGGGACAATGCACGATGGTCGGCGGCCTCGGACATGGTGCTATGGCCCAATAGAACACCCCCAGCGTTGCGAACTTTGGTGACCACGGTCGCTTCGGCAACATACCTGCCACCGAGAAGCACCAAAGTACCCTCGCTAGTGTTGTGCTTGTCGTCGGTGTACATATTGTCTTTGACCACAAATGGAATGCCGTGCATTGGCCCGCGAATGCCCTTGGTCGCCCTCTCCTCGTCCAAGGCAGCAGCAATCTCGAGGGCATCTGGATTGACTTCACTGATCGAAGCGAGATATCTACATCGACCACTGTCAGGGCCGAGGACATCATAACGCATATGTGCATTGATTCAGCTCACCCGTTTGTTTGCTCGATTCTTGCTAGATAGCAGGTCACCAGGTCCTGGCTTGTCAACCTGCCCTCAGTCATCCATGTCTGTAAGGAGTCGATTGTCGCATCCTTGATGTCAACACCATTGCAAAGAGGCACTATCATGACCGTAAGCTATGCACTGAGGGCAGTAGAAGCTCACTGGCTAGTGGTTACTCACAGGCAAAAGGATCATCATGTGCGATGGCAAGTCCCAAAAGGGCACAAGCTGCTACAGAGATCTCGAAGGTACGCATGTCGACAGATAATAAAACCCGCACCAAACCTGGAACTCGGGACTGGGGCTCGGTGGCTTCTGGCACAGTAGAAGTTGAACAGTGTGCCCGTCAAGTTTTTTCCACCACAAGCTGTCTCCGGACATCTTTATGTAGCCGTCTTCCTTTGGCCAAGGATTTGGTCAAGTGATGTTATGACCACAATCTATTTGTTTTTTTTCCACGATTCTCCAGCTTCCGGGCTCGGAAGCCATCGTAAGCATACTGGGTAATTCCCAAGGTTTGCATTATTCGTGGAAACCCAATTCGTTGACGATGAGTGTGGATCTATACCAGACTAGATAACAGCTCTTATCTGACGCATAGTTCAAATACTTCTCTCCAGAATGTGTCTATACTCCATAGTAGCTAGCTATCTTTGTCGTGGTCTCTCGCGACCAGAACCGACCTATTGGTGACTAGGTTCTTGGCAAATATCCATTCAGACGGTATCGAAGCTATGCTATGGTCGAAAGAAGGTTGGCTCATAGGATAGATATCTATACGGGGCGATAAGGACAGATAACTGTATTTGGCGATAAGACGGCAAGAAACTTGGATGAGCAAATTTTCCACGTTTATATCTCGGGGATAGCTTAAACATCTCTAGTCCTGCCACGTGGAAGCCAAGGCGGCAGAATAGACGCGGGTTTAGCCGCAAGTATACGGAGCTTGAGACAGAAGGGCTGAATAGTTCTGCATATCCATTGGAGATGAGGGTATAAATGGCTGTACGTCTGTTGGGAGACTCTCATACGACTCGCTGGATGGCCTGGCCCTTTTATCCACGAAGTGTCTAGTTATGTGGACATATTGATGAGAGTCGACTGCGCTACCTACACATCCACCTCTGGAGGAATCGGCTTCTTGGACCGAGCTGGATCCAATATTCTCGGTAAGAATATTTTCCATCGGCAATTCCACGATTGGCCCGGGCAGGTCACATTCCTATTTAGTGCAAAGCGATGTCGACCAAGTCGGTTCCTTGGCGTCTCCCATCTACCTGTGCGGCGCAACAGCTTTTGGCGTCTTTCAAACCTTTTGGTGATGACTGTCTAAGCCATTGAGCCTCTCGGCTGAAAATTCTGGGAGCTTCTCGACTCTCGACGCCCTGTCATCACATTTTACCGTGACCAGTATAAACACTCATCCAGTTGTCGAATTGGCGCGCGTCACGTCATGTCTTCCAGTCAGCACTTCGTTCCCTCCACGTTTTGGGTTCCAATCTTTCAAGCACCTGCAGGGTTCTGGTGGTCGAGAGTACAATATGACAGATTCCTTGGTTCCCAACGCTAAGGCTCAAGATGCTCGTGCGACCCAAGATACCTCTTTATGTAAAAATGATGACGCTGTCGGAGAGTTCGACGTTCAGTCTAAATCAATTACACCGATAGACGAGAGCGACAACTTGATAGAGAGCATCAACGTGCAAGAGGAGGAAGAATCAACACCATCGAGCACGATACTCAATATCCGCGACAACGATCGCTATGGCCACTTCACTTGCTGCAAAGCAACACCACTGCTGCCTCAATTTCCCTGTCCTTTCATATTGATCATCCAAACCAAATACGACATCAAACTCGAACTGACCCACGATGGGAGCAAAGCTTTTGTCATCGCGGCTAACAAGCCAACTGAATCAGCATAAGTCGTATTAATCGGCTAACGCCAACTCTCTTATCCTATATATAGGAACTCTAGTAATGTATTTCTACTATTAGGTTTCCGTGAAAGATTATGCGGTGGCTCGCCTTACGGTATAGTGTTACAGGAGTACCGCTATGTAGCTAGTCAAAATTATACCTTACATTCCCTCCGCTGTTAAGGGCTCAAGTAGATTAGCGGTAAGAAATAATAGGTCCTTCATCCTAAAGGAGAATCTTCGTATAGTTTAGGTTTCAGTTACTATATGTAAGAGGGCCTGGATAGGACTAGGCGTGTAGCACTCAGAGATGGCAGCTGGCCGTCTAGTAGCACAAAGACTTCTAACACCGTTAGCCAGAAGGAAATTCTGCCCCTAGCATGCGGTACGCATATACGCAACAGTGCCTTGGTCTTGGCTTGGGGTGGACTTCTCCTGTGGGTTGCCTCGGTCCCTTGACAGCATCGTCGTTTTGCATTTTCAGAGAACATTACTCATTTCAGGAAGGTATTTCCTTCTTCTTGTTGACATATAGTAGTATATGCCACATCAACCACCTGACTTGATTAACACAATACATATACCAATACTAAAGACCACATTAATGTCTGGTTGATATTACTGGCTAATATCCAATCTCAAGCAATCACCATCCCTCCCAAGACACTTCTATGCAGGATACGCCATCTCATTAGGTTTGGCATATCCGGTCTGGTTGACCTTGTCACTCAGTTCTTTCTCTCGAAGTTCTGCCTCCTTGTCTTGTTGAATGAGCGAGCAGCATCCACAGCAGCATGTGGTGAAGAGATCTGTAACGAAGTCGCCTTGCAAGTTATATTTCTTGCGGATGTCGGCACGTTGGAAGAGCATTGGGATCCAGTGTAGAGCCACGCAAGCAGACCCAGCAAACAACAGGCACTACAACGCTCGTGTTAGCAAGCTGCTCCAGCCCGAAGACACAGTTATGGCAACTCACCGAAGTGTTGAGACAGTTATATCCCTCCATGTTGGCGTTCTTGCGGGTTCGATGATGTGTCTTTCCAAAGGTAATGCATGGCAGACAGCAGGTGATGGCACATGTATCGATAGGCGAGAAACAGCCGAAGAAGGATGTATACCATGGCTGTGCATCGGGTGATGATGATGCAGTGATAACAGTGTGGTCGGCAAGCCCTTCATTGAATCGTCTGACCCAATCATCCACGTCGGCCTGGTCAATTACTGGCTGTGCCTGAGAGGATGTATTCTGCGCCATGGTCAAGGTAGACTCGTCGAGTGTGATGATGTGTGGTAAAAGGAGAGACTTGGGTTAGTCAATGGCAATAAGATGAAAAACACGAAATGAGTGACTGGAATGTAGAGTTGCTGGAAAGACAACACGACATTCCAGCGCCGCGGCTGTCCTACCACATTTTATAAGATTGTCACCGTTCTGCGACCCCTTCTTCGGCCATAACAGCGGGGAGACTGGCATCCACGTTCATCTCAGCGCCTGCACTCATGATTCGACAGGCACTCGTTCATGATCTTGGACCCTCGCTCGTACATGCCATTTTCTGTGTCGACCAATATTTTGTACCTGATGCGGAATGTTAACGGGGGACTAAAATACAAGTGTGATGATGAACAGCAAATGGATCGAGCACGAAAACGCCATTGCCGGACCTGCAATCACCCTTAGTGCAGAACTCTCCCCCTTCGTCCTTGAAGCTTTGCAGTTCTTTCGTGTCTGCATGGCTCAAGCGATTTCGGGCTTTAAGTTTAAATAACCGAAACTCGAGCGTGGCTGCAGGGATCGGCGCTACTAAATCCCAACGATGGGTCCGAGGGGCCCCAGCTATCAATGCTCCAGAGGTGCCAGGGGTCGATGACAAGACCCTATTTTTCCACATCTTTTCTGACAAAGAAAACAATCGACTCATATCATCAAAATGGGAATCGTTTCTCGCTCGGACTATACCATCATTAGAAATGTGTGCATCTCCAGCCATATGCCAGATCAGGAGACTTAAAGCCATAAACACCCACACCGTAATCACCTCACCTAAATTTTGCTTGCAATTAAGTGAATTAATCTGACACACAAACTGTAAGTCGCGTTTCCAAGCCACCAACAAATTTTCGAGCCGTTAGCCGTTCACGTCTCTGTCGATCATGAGCCGACGGGTTCTTTAAGAATGAGGCTAACACACCTCGGAGGATTTGCCAAGGGGAAATGTGGAAAATATCCAACCAGTCAAATGGTCCAAAATTCGAGGCTGAAACACCGGTTGGGGAGCAAACCCTATGCGCACGCTTATTATCTGAACTTTCTAAAGCGCGAAATCCGAATGTCGGCGTGTTAGGGGAAAGAAGTATCCACTACAAGGCGTTTTTTGGCAGTACATTACAGGTAGCGTGTAGGGCGAACGCGTAGAAAAGAAGACGCCATGACTCGTCACTACTTAGAGTCAATTAGGTAGCACGAGTCAGGAGCACATTCGATGGACCACCAGGTCGGCGTCGGCCTAGGATGTCTAGTAGGCGATATTAACATCGTAAGACACAAAGAAGCAACACCTGCCATGTTGACACTCGCCATGTTCAGCCGACTGAAGGAGGTGGCCGATAGGACGCTTGCTTCGACGTCAAAGAAATTCATGTCATATCATCAGTAAGATCGACTAGATAACCCACAAGTGACAACACTCGCCATGATATATTGTCACTATCTGCGACCTCGTCACGCGGAAACCTGAATACTTCCTTAGCATAAAGGAGTCTTCTAGTCGTCATGCCCACCGTAAGGTCCAAATCAGCGCATTACGGTATTGTCTAGTCTCTTCATACTTCTATAACAAAGCTGTCACCCTGATATAAAGTCAACAAGCAAGGGACAAACAAAACCGCAAGTATGGGTGATTGTTTCCCGTAAGGTAGCAGAGATATAACCAAGAACCCCGATATAGCACAAAGAAGACTCCTCGCGTTATCATTGTTCATCGAGGCTGTGAATCTTGCGCAGCGAAGCACAAACTGTTGACTCAAACAATGGCCTTGTGGCTGACTCTATGTTTGAAGCATGGATCTTGTATATGGGTGGCAGTCAGTCGCGCCGTCCAAAGGAGGAGAACCACCCATAGACAGCCTTGAAGGCATCAGATAAGCAAGTAGACACCAAATCCCAAATATCCATGACGAAACCGTGGCCACAGGACTGGCAGAGGACATACCCTTTGCCAGAGGTAGGTGCACCCGCCGGCACACAGCATGCAAATGGAACAATCACTGGCGCAACGCCCGCGGAAGTCATGTTGAATATCATCTCATTTCTAACCCCTGTTCCAGAAAGGGAGAACGATCTTTTCTCGGACCGCGAGCCTGTGGGCGGTTGGCACGCCAGAAATGTTGTCCACGCACATCGCGGTGCATTTCGCATCGCCATGGCAGAAGACTTTACCTCGATGACCACGTTTCTTATTGACAGAAAGGACGAACCCACAAACCCTGGACCTACTATCTTTCTCCATAGTACCCGTAGTTCCGAAGGCTTTGCCCAGTATTTGCGAAACCTGTCTCCTGAAAAAGCTTCGCAGATCCGTCATATCGCTTTGATCGATTACAACACATATATCACTCGACCAACCGAGCCAGAAGATGCACTGAAGATCTTTGAGCGACGGGTTCTACGCCCGTTCATGCACAAAATGGCCCTGGAATCCGTGGGGATCTTCCATTGTATGCGATGCTATCGGATGAACGACCGTTGGTTCGGTCCATTTGCCGTGAACCACTGGCCCAGTCAAACAGAGGTGCACGAACCCAACACCAATCGAAACAGTCAGGGGTCTCACTGGATGGAGTTCGAAATAAGTGTCAAGAGCATGACGGCCGGTCCAGGTAGAACCACCGTGAACGACTTCAATGTTGAACGGACGAGCACAAGAAAGGGTCCGTATCCACAGATCCTGCGATCGTGGCAGGATAAGCGAGTCGATATATTGGCAAACGCCCTCGGTGTGGATTGGGCGCCCCTGCGAAGTGAGTTGGATAACCGCCAAGGTGACAGCGCAGCCCTGTACGAAGCACACAATTTCCCGGATCCCGCGCCAGACGATGGCATTGGCGACCCCAATGACCCAATGAATCCAACCACACGACAGATGGCAGCCTATGTTAGGCATGTGAGACTGATTTTTCGGAGGAAGCGAAAGATCACTCAACGTGACATCAACCGTGTTCAGAGATATTGGAGACGATCGTTTAACCTTCCCAGGCCTGACCTCAGTCAGCCTAGATATAACCTGCGGGCTCGACAGCGACCTCATTCTTATGCCAATCCAGGGACAAGAGCCCAGCAACAGGCAAGCATGATTGTGTGAAAAGGAGAAATGTTGCAGGTGTTGTGTGGCGAGGGAAGAGAGTATCATTTGATGGACCATTTGTAATGACTTTGGCGTGATTCTGGGTATGTCTTTGAAGTTATTTCGGCGATTATTATGCCACTTAGACGATGTTATGGTCTTTGTTCAATGTTAGGATTAGTGAAGAACTGGCAGAATTTGTTTCAATCAAACTGGTACCAGACCAAGAAAGTGTAATGTCTCCGCTAGCCCAGCATCGCCGTTGAACAGGTCAACAAATTCGCCAGAGAAAGATCGCATTCTGTCATCGAGGGGATCTTGTAGTCCGACAAGTCCAGACGTTGGCGAGCCATTGGGAAACACCACCCCATCATCCTCGACTTCGGTCGGTTCATGGCTTTGTGATAAGACGGACCGTAAAGCAGCAAGAGCTCGCTGACTGGAGCCAACGGACACTGATAGCGTCTCGAGCAAATCGCGAACCTTTCTCAAGATTTGTTGCACTTCGCCGGGACCAGTTGGATCCGATAGTCCCGACGGCTTTGAGTGGATGTGGAAGACACATTCGACCAGACAACAAGTGAGGAAGTACCCGAGAGGTCGCCAGCAGACAAACTTCTTCATGTACGACTCGATGGCTGCGACGGTGTCTTTGCATATGATCAAAGAAGAACAGCGCCGCTCTTTGTCTGCCTTGGCTGAAGCAATGCGTCCTTGTCGGATAATCAGACGCAAGGATTGTTGTCGCTATGGTTTGAGGTCAGACGTTAGTGAGCAACTTGAAGGTTGGTGATACGTACCAGGTAGGTCTGTAGCCTAAGTCGCATGGAAGCTTCTGTCACGCCATTATTGAGGTCTTCCTCCACCTTGCTGGTTTCCCATTTCAACGACGATGGTAGTTGATGATAGGCAATCATGATCCTGGCATCGGTGAGCTGGATCTCTGTCCAGTTCCCTACCAACTGGGCATTTGGCGCGAGATAATCCTGCCATATAGATGCCCATAGGCCACTGTAGCTGATCATTGATTCCGTGAGTTCTAATTTGGCACGGTCGATCTCGACATCTCCCTCCTCGACGAGCGAAATGTCCACATTGATTTCGCTTGGACGTAATAGATATGCGACGCCACATCTCCAATGGATTCGCTTCTCTAGAAAATAGAGTACCCACCATAAACATGCCCGTGATACAACCTCATCCGGCTGGGGTTTCCAGCGTGTTTTGTCGTTTAGTCCAATGCACAAAGCTGCGTGCGAAGCTCGAACGACGTGCAAAGACGCTGGGCGTAGTCTCTCGGCCTCCATTAGATAACCCGCCGAGGTCATGTTGTATACCACAATGTCCAATGAATCCTCAAGGGCTTCTTCGAATTCTTGCATCAGCCATTTGCCTTGACGATACCAGTGCTGGCCCGTATTTAAGTCCATGGTGTTTGAATTGTATGAGAAGACTTCCGCGATGGCTAGGATGCTGCACAATATTGCAAACGTTGTACAGTGCTGCAATGTCACGTGGACAGTGGTTTGATGCTCCCCGTAGGATAGAGCATGCAGCGCTGTCGCGATACGCTTTTGGAGGCTTGATCGTCGGAAATACGGTGAATAGTCATCGAATTCGAGTAAGAAGAGGTCCAGCTGTCTTTTTAGTTGTAATGGAGAAGGTAGTGTCAGAGCAAACGTCTTGGTGCTGTGCATGGTGTTTAAAGCTCGCGAGTGATTATTAGTCGTGATATCGCCTCGAATGGCACCAATCTTGTTCGCTAAAGCGATGGGACTATCCCAAGCAAGCGACGGCTCAAAAGTATCGGCCTGGGCACTGCTATCATCCTGCACTCGGTCAGGGTTCTTCCTTGCAAGCTCGAGCTGGGGCGAGTCAATGAAGATGCTGGCAGGAAGAGTATTTGCTTGAGCTGGCATGGAAGAGTCTTGTTCCAGTGTTGCACGCTATCTGTGTTAGAAAGATTCTGTACACTCTGATAGTTGACCTACATAATGTTGGTTCGACAGATAGTCAACGTCCTGTCGAAGTCGTCGCAGCATCTCCATCACTGCCCCAGCTTCCTCTCCGGTAGCAGTATCTAGGCTGGCGGGCTGTATGGAAGTCCGAGGCTGATCAACGGGGTCCACAGGGTCCCTTCAGGCTGTGAGTCTCGAGAATTAGAAGGCAACAGGATTACTCACGTTGTGCGAGACTCTAGTCTGGAGCGTTTTTCCAAGTGCTGACGGCTAGAGTCCGAATCATTGTACCGACAATCGACCTGGCGGGAACGACAACTTTGGCAAGGGTGTTCTTCATTGCACTTTGCACTGTGTTAGCTGAAGATGAAGCCACTACTCAGCTCGTGGAGTCTACCTTGGTTTTGCGCCTCTGACATTCATAACTAGATAGAGCGAAGTCAGCACCGCATATTCACTTGGTATATGTCTTTTCCTTACCACGCTCTTGAAGCATAGGGTCTTCGCTTCGAACCTTGTGATATGGCCATCTGATGCGACATTACAAAATGCCCCTCTTCTGAAATATGGTAAAGTCGAGCGAAGTGGGCGCGAAGTGGGAGTTGGCCGGGAAGTAAACCGAGAAAGAAAGAGTCTGGGGATCCCCATGCCTGGAACTGCGGGGAGCAGCTTGGCAATGGATCTCGGATACAAACCCTTGGAGAAGCAGAAGTTGCCGTAAACAACTGCCACTGGCACCCGCGCCGATACTTATCATCCAGGAGGGGGTGGACTCGGTTACTGTTCGGTTTCTCGTTTCCGCCTAGAAGGCCCGATCGCGAACTGCGGGAAGGTCGCGGGCAACAACGGCGTCATGGTAGAAAGCGAGTTGGCCCTCATTGTGAATTTCCCGCCCACGGTGACTCTGGAGGTGCTAATATTACGACGTATGATGGAACCACAATCTGCGAAAGTCGGAAATCGAGAAAAAGGATCCTGGGCCAAACTAATTGAGGGAGATCGCCTTCTGCTATTTTCGTAGATTCAATGAGAAAACCCGAGGTAGGCTCAATGACGATGCGTAGACTACCACTAAATGCCTCATCGATCTCTTCGATACACTGATTGAAGTATACACGACTTGTTGTATTTTCCGGAAACCGTCAAATCTATTGATCATTATCGACCTTCAAAACACCGTATTGTGGCGCGTGGCCCGCAACTCCTGTTTCCTGGACATACTCATCCCAATGCCTGAGTAATTCCTTTAATTTTTCCGGATATTGAGGACCTAGATCTTCTGTCTCACCAGGGTCTGCCTCGAGATCGTGTAACTGCCAGTGACCAGGGCCATAGGGCGGTGGAATCTGGACTGCCTTCCATTTTCCCTTACGCAGAGCTAAGCGATCGAAGAGTTCCCAGCCTGTGACGGTATCGTCATCGTGAATGACCTTGACAGTACTTGGGTCGCGAAGGTGCGGAACCCATGTGCGTCCGCGAATTGGGACGACCGGACGTGAGCGATAGGTTGAGCCTGGGTGTTTAGTACCAGCCAGCTCTAGCACGGTAGGGGCGATATCCATCACCGTCGCAAACGAGTGGTCGATGGCACCTTTAGGTTGGGATCCGGTCAACGGTGGATAGCGGACGATCAACGGTGCCCGAATGCCCCCTTCGGAGGAGAATGCCTTATAAAGTCGAGATGGCGCTGTTGCAGCGGATGCCCAGCGCGGACCATACCAGACATAACTGTTTCCATTTCCGATGTTGTCAATGCTGTTATCGTAATACTGAGCAATGTGGTCGAAGATATTCCCCACAATTAGGGGCATCGCCTCGAAAAGTAGTCCCTCAGCCCCATTATCAGACATAAATAAGATAAACGTGTTGTTAAACTCGTCCGTTGACTTTAGGTATGACAGAACACGTCCGATATTGGTATCCATATTCTGGACCATCGCTGCATACACTTCCATGGTTCTTGCCGAAACTTTACGCTCTTCCGCAGTGAGCGCCTCCCATTCTTTTACCAATGGTGATGGCTGATCCATTGGTGGTGTCACCACAGGATGAGCCTTTGCTGATTCCGGGACGAGCTGAAGCTTCTTCAGTCGCGCCAGACGTTGTTGTCGGAGAACTGCAGGACCTTTGTCGTATACTCCCCGGTAGTCAAGACGGTCCTTCTCAGGAGCCTGTAGTGGCCAGTGCGGTGCTGAATAAGGCAGATACGCAAAGAACGGCGCATTCTTCTGTTGCTCAGTTCGCTCTTTCAAGAACTGGAGTAGTTTGGTGGTGTAGGTATTTGAAGAGTAGAAGTCTTGCCCGAGCTCGGAAGGTGGGATGACTTTATTATCTTCAACATATGCTACGGGCGTTGAATTCAAAATTCCCGGTAAGGTGTCCCCGGGCTCGAGTTGTGGTTCCCAACCATAGTGATTTGCGGCTCCCTTGAAGTAAATGTGTTAGTGAAAGAATGAAGGAAGAACTTGAACTACCACTGTCCCCAAGATGAAAAATAGAGATTGAAGATACCATCAGCACCATCTCGGTGGGTCCAAAAGAGCGAGATCATCAGAGAAGTCCCAGAGGAGTTCATGAGGATGGTTGAAGAACGACCCTGCCCATGATATCATTGGGTGTACCAGGTGGGAATCATAGCTGAAAGTAGCAAATACCAAGCTAAAACGTACCGGGAGTAATGCGAAGGATTTCTCAAACCCCCGTTGAGAAGGATAACGGTCACGAGTCATACCAAGGTGCCACTTCCCCGACATTATCGTGAAATAGCCCGCGTCTTGCAGTATTTCAGGCAACGCTGCCACACGATCGTTGAGATATCCTTCATAACCTGGCCTGCCCTTCTGGAATTCCCGTATGGTCTCGGCCATGGAGCCCAGTCCAGCAATGTGGTGATCAGTGCCACTTAAGAGCATCGAGCGCGTCGGCGAACAAGCAGAAGCCGTATGGAAGTCGGTAAATCGCAGACCATCCGCCGCGAGACTATCCAAGTTTGGTGTCTTGATCTCTCCACCAAACGCTCCAACATCTGAAAAGCCTAGGTCATCGGCGACGATAACGAGGAAATTAGGTCGTTTTGAACCCATGATAAAACGGCCTATAAGGGCGTTCGTTCTCTCTCAGTCAATGTTCAGGCCTCGACTGTCTCAAGATGTTAAAGAGAAAGACAGCCTGACAATTTTCTCCATGACTTGGCTTTAAAGGATCATCTAGAGCTTTTGTCATAGAACCCTGCGCTCAACGCGAGAAAGCCTGAACGCGGCCAAGAAAATTGCGGGTACTCGATGGCGCAAAATATGGTGCAAATGGCGCGAGTAGTACTACACAACTAGCGAAGCTTTTAGTCAGACCTGTCATTTGTTGAACGCCAACATCTTTCCCAGCCTCCTGTACACTGTAAAGCCTTACCTTTGGATATAGATAGATGGGCTTCCCCCTTAGCATTGAGGAAGCTCAAGCAACTCATTCACCTCAATCTTTCACATCACTCAGGTTCAGAGGTACTTGGTCGCTAGTAGTGCTAATTATCAAAGCGATGCGCATCTGGGAAAAGCATCACTTGCTGGTACTGTTGTCTTATGAGTAGTACTATCAGGTAACCCACCACAGTCTGTTTGTTGACCTCATCAATGTTCTGTTCCTCTTGTTTCAAGACAAGTGAGATCTCCGTAATTCTAACTGTACTACGACACTTCTTGGAATGGCCATTACCTGCATCGACGTCAAGTCAAGCCATGGGAAGCGATCGCCTCCTGATTGAGGACTCTCCCACTCATCTACCCATATCTACCGCCTTTCCATACCCGCGTTCTAGTAGGTTTGTCTATCACAATAAAGGCAACACATAATCCATCTAATAGTGGTACCTTGTGACTTCTGTAAGTTGCCCTCGTTGCAGCAGACGGCGGTTCAAAAGCCTGTACTGCACGTTCGCCAAGGTGGCCATGACAAGCGCCAGCGACAGGAGCGAGACCATTACGGTCCAACCTGTTCGATACAGTGGTCGGTCTTGTTGCTGGAAGATTTGGCTTCCGACAATTCCGGAGCAATTGGCCGCCATAATGAAAACAGCCATGGTGATAGACCTTTCCCCAGAAGTGCGGGCGTTCAGCGACATCCATGAGCCATTAACGGGATCTGTTGATACACACAAAAGTGTCAATAGCCAATCTTCATCAAAAGACCTCAGGATGCCCAGGAAGAGGACTTACGGAATAATGCGCCAAACCCTCCAGCGAGTGTTAGGACAGCGAATCTCGCACGGTTGTTCTTGGAATTTATTATCAGCCGGCACACGAGCTAAAGCACTTAAGTCAGCTGGAGCCGCGTTTTCATGGATATAGGGTATAGATTTGTGACAGTTTCGAGACACGTACGACGGTGAGCCACCACAGGAATGTTCCAAGTAAGACGAATGGGCCACGTTGACCCACTTTATCACTACCGCGCAATACATTCATCAGCATATCGTCCTCATGAAACCAAAAGCAAGGCTTCCTAGTAGCTCCGGCAGAAACTCACGCAGAATACCCCCATAGCAAGTTCATGAAGAGTGCGATCCATTGACCAATGGAAGTCAGCGCGTTGGATTGGAGTCTTTCATAGCCAAAGCTGTTCACCAGTGATGGAGCGTACGACCACAATGTCGAAACCGGTGCCAGTCCACAAGTGGTGAGGAGGACGTGCGGGATCAATCTCCAGTTCGTGAGCTATGATGTTAATCAGGTCAGTAAATCACTCTTCCTGTGACCAAGCCTTTGGGGTGACTTTATGGTAGAGAGTTTAACTCACAACATTCTTGATCTCCGCCCACGTAATGCTGCTGCGGGTTTCGGCTTTTGAGGGATCATCTAGGAGGACTCTCTGTGTAATGATATGCGTTTCGCGCTCGCTGAAATGTCGGAATCCAAGCAGGCAGATTGAGTTGGTCGTGCTTCGTGGGAACACCAGCGTAAAAACAATCCCAACCAGGATAGTGAGCAAACCCTCGAGCTGTGGCGGACAGGTGTCAGCGAGACTGGAAGGGAGACGGTTGATTTTCTGCTTGACATACCAGGAACAACCACTGCCAACCAGCAAGACCGGCGATCCCTCTCATGTGTAATCTTGAAGAGAATCCTCACGTCAGCTCCAGTAAAAGAGAAAGGAAGTGGGATTATAAACGGGATGAAGCCATGCTAGACTTACATTCCGTATGCAATCAAACTGCTTACTGCCTGGGCAACCATGTTTCCGAGGAAGAAGAACGCAAACCGCTTGCTTGTCTCATCTCGCTTATAGTATCTTGTAATGGTGAATAGGCCCGCGGGGATAAATCCAGATTCACACAAACTATACGGCAAAAGTCAGATGCTGTTGGTGTTGTATCTGATCACATTCAATTTATCACTGACCCGAGCAGAAGTCTTGTGGCCAAGAAAGCTCCCAGACCTTTTTGAAATGCTTGGAATGTAGCAACAAAGCCCCTGTAGGGTTGAAGTAGTCAGCGCCCGCTGCTACATAAGCTAAGATGGGTCTGATATTTTGCTTCACTCACCATGCGAGGATTTGACCGCTAATCCAGATAGAGGGACCGATCCGATAAAGAATATAGTTGCTTGGAATCTGTTGACGCATATCCGGGTAAGTCTTCACTGCACCATAATAAAAGCTGATCGAATTTGCCTTCTGGGAAGGTACGTACTTCGAGTAAAACAATACCGACGGACAAGAGCTGCTGGCCAACGTTGAACTGGTTCTGGGTGATGCCCACGTCTTGGAAGAAGAAATCCGTTAGGGCGTTGCCGCTATTCAACCAAGACATCAGTACTTCTCGATCTCCTCATTTTAATCACACCAGACACTTACATATTTCCTCTGTCTAGCTGCAGCACAAAGAAGCCCGCGATGAGCAACGGCATTACAAGGAGATCGAGCCTATTTTATCATCATAATCAGATCCGTTTGCATTGTTTGGCAAGGCTAGTCTTCAGAAGACCACCAAAAATGGGAGGTAGGATTAATGTATCTTGAAAACGAACCTTCGGACCAATCGGTGCTCCTCTTCTTGCGTCCAGTCCGCCAACGGGGTCGAGAGTGACTCTTCGCTAGGAGTAAGGGGAGCATCCTTTTCGACCACATCCGTCTCAGAGAGCTCAGCTGGCTTTGTCTTGAACGCAGCCATCTTAGATGTGCAGCGACAAAGAGTAATTCAACGCAGATAGAACTCCTGGCTCGCGATATTGAAATTCGTAAGGACAATTGTGCTTCGACCCGGCCTCAGTTGGATCGACTTTATAGAAACGTTGGCGGTCCCAATTTGGGCCCTTAGAACCCAAACCCAAGAGCGATAAGGGGAGCCTTTCGCCATTCTTTTCTTCAAATTTGCCTCCGCTATGAGGCTTATATGGAGACGTGAGTTCTACTAGGGTCAATTTCGGGTCCGCGTGTTATATGCGTGAGTCTGGTTGAGGTTGATGCAATAGGTGTGAAGATGGCGCAACTTCTCTGACTAGCAAGTGCGCCAATCATGTTTACGGTAAATGTTTCTGCTTAGTGTTAGTGTCAGCTCCCGTCACGTAGGACTACGGAGTAGATAGTCAAAGCAGGACCAGTCTCTCTGTCTTTGATCTTGGCAGTCTAGAGTATCGCATCTCCCCGATGGCATCATCTTATCTCTTTTCCTCGTCATCTGAAAATTTCACAGCAAGTCGTGGGTCGCCACCAGAGTCAGACTATGTCTAGGACCCTTCAGCGACGGTACAGACCACGCATACGGGACGAAATTATGGACCACGTTAGTCGAAGCGAAAGGCTAGGAACTGGCTAACGCATCTATACCACTAGTGAGTCTAAGATAGCGATCTTCCGCTTTGCCAGGAGACGCGGCATTTTCGAAAAGCTAAAATCCAGACCCGGAGATGGAGACCTCGCGTATGATACACGTGGATATTCTGGCTTGGCCGAATAAAGAGCTCCCTCCGCCTGTCCTCCGCCTGTCCTTAAGGGTGAGCTTTAGTATATCTGAGCCCGGTCCGACCAGAGCATGGTGCGACTTGTGACTTTCTGCCTTCCTTGCACCAGTCCCTTTTTAACTAGTATCTCCATTACAGGGCAGAAAGACATTCCACGATGGCACACCTGGAATCTCGAAAGCATATTTCCCCGGACTCAGGCTTCCCAATTACCATCCACCCAGCGTTTAATCCCAAGATCACCAGTTATGTGACTCCTGATGCTCCAAGAGAACAGATCCACCCAGAGAAAGATCGTGCATCGTTCGCAGACCCGGAGAAAAAGGCTCTATTCTCGGTGACCGACATAAAGCGCGTCAATCTGACTGAGTCGATCGGGACACTCTTGGAGAATGTACAATTGTCCCAACTGAATGAGAAGCAACTTGATGAACTAGCCCTACTCGTCACCGAGAGGGGTGTGGTCTTCTTTCGCGATCAGGACCTCGATACTCAAGGTCAAGTGAAGCTGTTCGAACACTATGGTGTACTGGACAAGCATCCTGCTCAAAAGGTGGGTGACTTTTCGGCGCTTCTGAAAGGGTGCTTCTATACTAACTTCTCTTCTTCACTGATAGGATCAAAAGGTACTGGATAATGAACTGTCGTATACGAAATGAATGTTCTGACATAAACTCAGCATGTTGTTATCAGAGGGAGCACCGAGGACCACCGAGAAATATTGAACTACACACCCTGGGTATGGGGTCTAGATAATGGTCTGGGAGATGTGTACTGACCGTCATTATAGCCTTCTGGTGAATTCCACGCGGACACCTCGTTCGAGATCAACCGTATGCAACTCCCTGTGCTTCGGAAGCTTTCGAAACGAAACACTAACCAGTTCAAAGCTCCGTCATATTCGCTACTCCGCATGGAGGAGCATCCTGAAGTTGGAGGAGACACGGCTTGGGTCAGTATTGGTGGTAACTTTGATTACTCGCGTGTTCAAAGTTCGACCCGAGTAAAGGGCTGACGGGATCATTGTCATGCCGTAGGTATCTCAATATGGTATTTACGATGCCTTGAGTAAAGCGATGAGAAACTTCCTGGAAGGTCTGCATGCGGTGCACACTTCGAGATACCAATGTGGGTGACACTGTACCTTCTCAACCTTGTCACCGCTAGTTGTCTAGCTGAGAGACGACTCTCATCGACAGCATTTTTGCTAACGTCTCATGAACAGACGAAACTATTCTCGACCTCTGGGGAGTCGGACCTAATCGACCGCCGATCGATACGCATCATCCTGCTGTCCGAACGCATCCAGTTACCGGACTGAAGGCCTTGAACGTCAACCAAGGCTTTGTCACAGGCTTCGCCGAACTCAAGAAGAAGGAATCGGACAAACTCCTCGAATTCATCGACTTGCACATCCACTCCGCCGATGACCACTATGTCCGGTGGAAGTGGGCAGTGGGAAGTGTCGCCATGTGGGACAACAGGTAAGAGATTCAATTCTCTTCTCAGACAGAGACGAAAGGAGGGATTAAACCGGCTGACAATGAGACCTCTCATCTAGATGTACTTTGCATCGTGTGATCCCCGGAAACTATGACGCACCGCGCAGGGGTATTCGAACAACAGTTTTTGGCGAAAAGCGTACGCACCCCTCGTGGTTGTCCTGACAGTTTTTCTGACATAGCTGTAGCATACTTCGACCCCGCAAGCGAAAGCCGGGCAGAGCGTGAGGAACGACTGAAGCGAGAAACTGCAGAAAAGCCCCTGCCAAACGGAAACGTGAAGGAAGATTCAGTAGTTAACACCCCCGCGTAATAGCATCACTAGGGTGAACTTGTTGTGAGAGTCAGTAGCGGTACTCTTTTATGAAGAAATGACTTGAGTCAGGAGAACCCGGGTTTTCACGAGTTTCTTGAAGTGAGACATCTATGCCATGTGTGATACATTGGACGCCCAGGGACTACTTTAGAGTGTCTAAGAGAGATTTAACGAGATCTCGACCATGATGAAGAGTGCATGCTTATTGAATGAAATCAGGAGGCCAACTTGAACTGCCAACACGGGATCCTGACTGTATCAGCGTGATCTCTTTGTTAGTATGGAAAGTACTGTCTGTATCCTGTGCTTAGATTCATACCCTAATCAGCGACGTCCGGTTTGGCGCGTGGCGCCTTCAGAAGGTGAGGGACAGCTGCCACGCTCACCGCGCATGGGCGCGCCGAAACCGAAGGCGGATTTCCCTGGACTGACTTTACACAAACTGTATGCCTCAGAGAATTCATCCTGCTTTTCCTTGATGCAGAGTCTACTTTCGTACAGCCTGCTCTTCTCCAGGCAACAGCAGCCTCTTCAGTCCGCCCGTCATGACCCATTTGGATCCTTCATTGCTAAATGCATGTCCATCTCGGTAAAAGATCTCTTCCCCACTGCATTCTGCTACTTGACCAGTAATACTAGGATCATCGATAAACCGCTCGATTGCCTTGACAATTGTTGCAGCTGGTGTGATATATTCCTTGGGAACCCTTTTAGCTAGGTCCGGATTCACCAATCCTGTCACGACCAAAGCAGGACAAATGGCATTGACGGAAATGTTAGTGTCGCCTCTCTGTTGAAGCCTGTAGGCGAGCGACCTTGTCAGCCCGATCACCTGTACACATACATGCAAATTAGCTTCTTCACTCTAGGTGCTGTTGTATACTTACCCCATGCTTCGCTGCGGCATAAACTGAGACACCAGGAGCTGAGTAGATTCCAGCAATGCTACTGGTCATGACCAGCTTTCCTCCTTGAGTGGTGTTTTTGCGGAAGAAGTGAAGGGCCAGATAGCTTGCATAGATCACCCCTAACAGGCAGACATCGACAACAAACGTGTCAGGTCGAGGCGGAGCCCCGTTCTCCAGTTCTTCTGCTGGCTCAATGAGATCAGTCCGGTCCGAGACGCCCTAGGAGCGTCAGCCACATGAAGGTAAGCAAGTCGAACCCTATCTCATACCGCATTTGCATATACTAAACGAATTAATTAGTAAATCTCCAGTAAACTGAGAGTCCCCTGCTTGCCTAAATCAGCTCGCCTCCATTTTGCCCAAATTTTGCTAAATGCATTTGCCTGGTCGTCGTACTTTGTAACATCGACTTCAATAAATATAGTTTGAGCGCCCAGCTCCTTTACTACCTGTTCTCCAGCTACCCGGTCTTTGTCTAGCACGCCGACATTCCAACCTCGCTCAACTAGCGACTTCACAAGCGCAAGGCCCATGCCCGAGGCTACCACTCATCAGTTCTGTATCGCTGCTTATTGAAATGAAGAAGGACATGATCATACCTCCTCCAGTAACAATCGCGACTTGAGGCATCTGCATAGTGACAACGAGTCTAATTCAATGATAGTAGACACAACTTGTTCGCCTTTTTTAGTTTAAGATAATGCTATCCATTAGATTTGGTGGAATAAGAATGTCCTATGAAGGGCATCCTATACTGTTCCAATCACAAATAATGTGTCAAGCCTCTGGGGAAATCGCGTGGCCGCCAAAAAGTCCCCACTGGAGTCCATCCCCTCTGAGATCCCCGATTATGCAACCCCAGGTTTGATCGCAGCATGCTTGGAGTCATGGTGACAAATTAGGGCCTCATCATTGTACCGAGGGTAAATGTGAGCGGAAATCGGAATGGTCGGAATCGCTGGCGGAAGACCCACAGGATATCCGAGACCCCGTACCAGCCAACAAAGCGAGGTTCTTTCGTCAAGGCAAAATCGGTCTGTGCTGGATAGACCCCACTATTCACCTGGTTTGGAAGGAAAGCAGGCAATGATTGAAAACAGAAAGCTATCAGTCTCTAGCGAACACAGATTCATGATAGTAATCAAGGACTTCTCATAACTTCACACAACGTGCTCCTTGGAAGTCAGCCCACCACGAAATCGAATTGTGTTCTTGATATGGCGTCCCAAGTCCAATTCTCTATAACTCCCACAATCACGGCCCTTTGTGCCGTTGGAACTGGTCTAGTATGTTCAGCAGATGTTGAGAAAGGCAAACAGGCTAACATGTAGAAGTTCTGGCATCGGGTGTACAATCGCCGTGAACCATCCATCCGGTGCGCCTTCTCATATTTTGAACCAATAAAAACAAGGAGACTGATCTTAACAGGGCTTTCTGTAACCATTTTGCACTTACTGCAACAGTGTTTGCAGTCGTTGTAACTTTGAATTCATCAGGGATCCGACAGGCCGTCATTGCAGCAGCAATCTTTCCTTTCATTGAGTTGGCGACACTCGGGTATGTTTGATCTCAACCCAGGCTGGCCATTAAATGATGTTCTGACCTCGATGACAGACTTAGCATCACGTTGTATAGACTTTTCTTCCATCCGTTGAGACAGTTCCCTGGACCATGGACTGCAAAACTGACTAAGTGGACCGGGGCGTATTGGGCATCCACAGGGCGGCTCCACGAGATTATCCCTGCTCTACACGAAAAGGTTTGTCAGGACCATATCATCAGATGTTGAATCCTAACAAAGTCGGCAGTATGGAGATATAGTTCGCATCGGACCCAACGAGCTGTCCTTTGGCACTGCTTCTTCCATCAAGCACATTCACGGACCCCTGGGTTCGCGACTTATCAAAGGCCCTTACCATGATGGCTCCGTCTACGGCTCACCAGGGGTAGCGATGCCAAATACTCGCGACTGGCAGGATCATAAAATTCGACGACGGATGTGGGATCACGGTTTCACTAAAGGCCAGCTCATGACTTATGAACCGCGAGTTCTCGCTCTGTTGGATGTGCTCTGTAATCGGTTGGAAGAACTAGACGGTAAGAGCCACAGGCACCCGGAAAGGTGATGACATGACAAGCAAACTAAAATTTTTTTCTAGGCCAGACTACGGATTTCGGTGCGTGGCTCGATTACTTCACTTTTGATGTCATGGGCGACCTGGGCTTTAGCAAGTCTTTCGGACTGCTGTACGATGGTAAGTGCTCCAACCCTGGAAATGGCGATATGTTTTTGACATAACTTTAGACGGTCCTCGATATTACTCGAAAGCCATCAGAAGTGGACTTCGACTGCGAAACATTATCTCGAATGTGCCATGGATGTCCCCGGCAGCATATCTCATCCCTATGGACCCAACTTTCAAATCTCTAGCAGGGAAGTTCAAAGCCCTCTCCAAAGCATCTTTCACGGAGCGAAGAGCTAAGAACACCGAACCTGATGACATTTTTACGCACATTCTGAGTGGCAACAAGGATGGCCAGTAAGGATGAAATAATCCCATCCACAATTAAGTTCTGACAACAGGGCTTTAGGAAGACCAAGGAAGGCGACGTCGAGGCTGATGCTCCTATCCTGATCATTGCAGGAAGTGATACGAGCTCAATTACTTCTACGTACGCAGCCACATTTCCCTTTTGAATCTACATTGACTTGTACAGGATAATGTTTTACTTTATTACCAAGGATAAATCAGTCTATGCGAAGCTGAAAGCCGAGGTTGATAAAGCATTAACTGGAAAGGAGCTATCTTCGCAGAATCTCAGTCAGTCAAACTTTACCGAGAGCTGAATTGTCTCCAATACGAACAAACTAACATCGTGCAGTGCCTGACACATGCCCCATCCTGAATGGAGCAATTTATGAGGCATTGCGAATCTGGCCTCCAGGTCCGAATCATAACCAGCGCCGGGCCCCTAACAGTTCTGGGCATGAAGTGGACGGGATACCTATTCCTCCTGAGACACAGGTATGGAGGATCGTGCCATGATTTGTATTTTACTGACCAAAGTCGTAGTTTGCTACTCATATCCTCACCGTGCAGCGAAGCAGCGAGAATTTCACGAATCCTCTAGATTTTGTTCCTGAACGATGGAGTGACTCCCTTCGTGATCCTACATGGAAGCACGATGCCCGAGCGTGGATACCATTCCAGACCGGTGCCTATGCCTGTGCAGGGAAACAACTGGCCTTGAATGAATTGAGGGTTTTGCTTGCAGGGGTCGTGCGAAAATTTGACATCATAATGCCAGATGATTTCGATCACACTGCGTTCGAGACAAGTATCAAAAGTTTCCAGTCCTTGATTATGGGGCCCCTGCCTCTCGTCATCAAGAAGAGGTCCGATGTGAAGGCGAATGAAATGACAACGGCAGGAGGTCAGTGACGTAGCAAGTAGCTTATGTATACACTTCACCCTTGACTCTTCTGATGGGATATGGATTGAAAAGTCGCGGCAGAACGGCAAGCTACGAATCCAGTTCTATAGCATACTCAATAGGAGCAATCCAATTGGGGCTGTATCGAAAACCCTGTAAGAACTACACGCGATGGCCCGTGCAACTTTGGTGTTCTGTGACTTAGAGTACCCTCACTGCCCCTGGGCCTTCTGGTTTCAGAGACATGTCAGTGTTCAATCTTTTTATCCACATGACTCCAGCCACTTCGCCTCGAGACATCGAGGAAAGTGAGCTCTGACTAACTTAGCAACGTAGGAACCCTGCGTCTGGAGGCCCGGCAATTAGGGCAGATCTCTGCAAAGGAGAGCTTCGGAACAGACATGACATTCCGATAGCCAATGGTTGCCGACAGAGAGGGTGGATGGCACGATCCTTGTCCGTATGAAAGTGCCGTATGAGGGGGATCGTCGAGGGCGTCTTGGACATGCGGAGGCCCGAGGCCACGATGACTTCCAGGGTCCATATCCCAGTATATTCCACCCCTCATGACAGAATCCAAGAAACCGAGGCCTGGTTGAGCTCGATCTATGCGACACACGGGCACGCTTAATTTGATACCATCATATCGCCAATAAGCGTACGAGCAACCAAATTACTGGATCACGAAAGTCGAAACGAGTGTCAGTTGAAGGCATCCGTTCTCAACATGAATGGCTCCATGGTCAACGATATGCCTGGCCCTGGTCACTTAGGTGTAGCACCACGAAATAACGGTACATCGTATGTCGTTTCACAGGATTACATTCACAAAAGGCGTCCGCTACGTATAGTGTGTATAGGCGCAGGCATCGCTGGGATCGCCGCGGCATACAAATATCAGAAGCGTCTAAAAGATGTCGAACTGGCCATATACGAAAAGAACCATGATGTTGGAGGTACCTGGTTAGAAAATCGGTACCCGGGGTGCGCGTGCGATATTCCTGCTCATGGATATACGTATTCCTGGGAGGGAAATCCTGAATGGTCACGATTGTCAGCATGCCCAGTCCTCCTCTTGCCATCACACTGATGACCTTCAGCTACGCCGAAGCCCCAGAGATTCACGCATACTTCAAAGGATGCGCCATCAGATGGGATTGCATGAAGTACATCAAACTGGGCCATCGAGTAGTTCAAGCACAATGGATGGAAGACCTGCACAAATGGAACTTGAAAATTGAGAATGGCGAAACGAATCAGATCATTACAGACCAATGCGACATCCTCTTAAGCGCAACTGGGGTTCTCAAGTAAGTGCAAATTGCCAATTCCGAGCGCATAACAGATAAGGCTTACACGATCCTTCAAGCAATTGGAAGTGGCCATCCATAGAGGGTCTTTCTCTTTTTGAGGGTAAAACGCTTCATTCTGCGAGGTGGGACGACTCGTACGATTTTACAGACAAGGTTATTGCTGTAATTGGTGCAGGATCTTCCGCAATTCAGATTGTTCCCTCATTACTACCGAGTATGCACTAATCGTTCAAGACGTTCTGCTTTACTAACCGGCGTAATCCACAGAGGTCCGCAAAATGATCAACTTCATTCGTTCACCCACCTGGATCACGCCGGAATTCAGCCAAGTGCTGGCATCGGAGGGGCGTGACACCAAGTTCACCCCTGAGCAGATTCAACGGTTCAAAGACGACAAGAAATATTTCCTAGAGTATCGAAAAATGGTACAGAACACAGGCAGCTCAAACTTTGGCACTTTCTACAAAGGATCACCCCGCCAGGAGGCCGCCGTCAAGAACTTTGCTGAAATGATGAAGAAGAGGCTTGGTGGAGCCGACGAGGTGGCTGCTCGCCTGATCCCAAACTTTCCCGTTGGCTGTCGAAGGTATTTGGGAATGGATCCCTGCAAATCTGACCAGTGACTTACAACGGTAGGTACACCCCGGGAACGGGGTATCTCGAAGCCTTGGTATCTAGCAAATCGACGGTGGTTGTCGAAGAGATCGCTCGCGTTGATTCTGAAGGGCTCGTCACAATTGATGGGCAGCATCACCCAGTCGATGCAATTATCTGTGCCACGGGCTTCGACACATCTTTCAAGCCTGCCTTCCCTGTCGTTGGCCGCAATGGGAGAAATCTTGCAGAATACTGGAATGAAGAGCCTCTGCACTACCTTTCAATCGCAGCACCTGGGTTCCCTAATTATTTCAGTAAGAGTCTTACTTTATCATCAACTTGTTCTTTCAACTGACGAGACAGTCATCGGCGGCCCCAACAGTCCCATTGCGAATGGTTCTCTGATATCTGGGCTCGAAGTCGAGATCGATTATGCCTACTCATGTGCTGAGAAGATGCAGACCGAGAACATTGCCTCTATAGATGTCAAAGAGGAGGCTATGAGAGATTTTCTTCAACATCGCGATGAGGCAATGAAAGCCTTTGTATGGAGCGGTAATTGCCGAAGTTGGTACGTTTCTCTCTTCTCCCCACTGCGCTGGTTCAGCATGCTTAGAAAACTGTTGCAATAGGTACAAAAATGGAAAGATTGATGGACCTGTCATTGGTCCCTGGGTAGGATCATCATGGCACTTCAACGAAGCCCTTGAAAGGCCTCGGTTTGAGGATTACGACATCGAGTACTTTCGAAAGAATCGTTTTGCATACCTGGGTTACGGACGCACGTTGAGAGAAGAACTTGGCGAAAGCACAGCGGAGCACTTGACGGAAGAAGATGTTTCATACTAGCATAGGCGACGCAGGCTTCTGAAGTTCGTCTTCTGCATCAATTGGAAGCGCCAGGATGCTGGCACAAATCCGTAGATCTAAGGCTATATTTGTATCTAGGTGGCGTTTGACTGGTGGACTTTAGGATTTGCTTTCCGAACAATATGCATTGTAGTAAGTAGTATGCCGAGGCCGAGGCAAGTGTGGAAGCCAATGAGATCTTCTCGACTCCTGGAGCCTTTAGCTGGGCGGGTACAAAACCCATTCAAGACTCCAAAGACGCAGTTTGACTCTTAGGCACGGGCTGCTGGACTGCTGGCAAATTTGGGCGCAAGTGAATACATTGGAAATGGACTGCCTGAATGGAACAGCCCTGGTCACGGGAGGAGGTCAGCTTTTCCTTCCTAAAGAATCGAGACTGACAGACTAACTCTACAGGATCTGGCATTGGCCAAAGTATAGCGGTTGCTTGCGCGAAATGTGGTTGTACAGCAGTTGCAATTGCTGACATCAATCGTGAATCACTTCAGGAGACTGAGCGTCAACTTCGAGCCACCTCACCTACGGTCCAGGTCCTGTCACTTGTTGTTGATGTGCGCAGTCCAGAATCCGTGAAGGATATGGTAAATGCGACCGTACAGGCTTTTGATAGGCTAGACTATGGTGAGAACTACTTTAACCCTTCCTTTTGGTTCTCGATGAGGCTCTGAGCTAATTTTCCATTCCTAGCCTTCAATTCTGCAGGAGTGAGAAGTCGCCGAAATGAATTGTGAAAGAGACTACTAATCTTTGTTCAAGATATCAGTGACAGCGCGTGTGACAGCCGCTGAATATCCGATGAAAGAATATGATAGTATTCAGGCGATCAATACTCGTGGTCTCCTTCTCTGCACCCAAGCAGAAATTGAAGCTATGCTCAAGCAAGCACCTATGGTATCAATCCAATCGCACAACCCCCTGAGGGCCCAAAGAGGAAGCATCGTGAACATTGCATCGATTTGCGGATCTCAGGTCATTCCGAATATGGTTCCATATACAACATCCAAGCATGCTGTGATTGGCATAACTAAAGCTGCTGCGATAGATCATGCTTCTCAGCGCATTCGGATCAACGCTGTCTGCCCAGGACTAGTGGAAACCCCGATGATCGCAATCCGCCGGAAACAGATACAAGAGCGGGAGAATACAACGGCTTCCAAACCCTCGGACCGGTTCAGCCCTGCAGACGTGTACAACACTCCGCTGGAAAGGTTGGCTTTGGCGGATGAGATCGCAGACTCGGCTGTGTTCCTCGCTAGCACGCTCTCCAGTCACATCACTGCAAGCTGCGTGACAGTGGACGGCGGAAGGTCGGCTTGCTATTGATAGTACACATAACGATAGTTCGATATGCCTATAGCCGATATCCCGAGCTCCTGTGCATATGACTCCTCGTCCTATTGGTAGCCAGATCCATCTCAGGTTGCAACTAGCTCCCTCATTAGTTCGGAAATATGCCAAGATATTCCGATGACCTAATCCTATGTGGTGGGTATGGTGGGGCCGAAAGAGGAACCGATGGGAACAAGTAGCAAATGTCCACCAATCCGATTCCGCCAGTTGCAATTTTGGGAATCTGGAGAACATCCGCTCGCTGCCCCCACCACGCACGAGGAGGAGCACCCCAGAAAATTTCCCCAGATATCTATATTATAAACTTCTATTGTATCCGCTCCCCAGATGGTTCGTAGCTTTTACTCGAAAACAAGACAACTCATCTTCGACTTGAACCCACAGCCAGCATGTCTGAGAAATCAGATAGACGTGAAATTGAGAAGGTAGCTCACATGCATCAGACTCCAGAAACTGCCGACTCCGAGAACAGCATGTTGCAAGAGCCTGATAAAGATAAGTTCGACGACTTGGATCTTAACAATTCCCTCGCGACGCAACCAGATGACTATATCGGCGAGGCACAATGGTCGCTCCGAAAGTTCCTTGCTGCCGTGTCCTTAGCTGGGCTTTTCGTTGGCGGATCCATCCCGACTCTGCTTATCGGAGCTTCAATGCAATACATCGGCGCTGACCTTCAGGTCACTTATTCGTCCTGGTTAATCACGGCAAACACTCTCGCCATTGCGGTATCGAGTCCTTATGTTGGGTACCTTACTGACTTGATTGGTAATATCGTCACTTCCGGCACCTCGTGTTACGTGCTAATAAACCAACAGGCCCACGTTATATCATTCTCTTTGGAGGTTTTGCCCTCATGGTTGGCACGGCCGTTGTCGGGTCTGCGCAAAACTTTGGTGCTGCTGTAGCAGGAATGACAGTGGCTGGTATCGGGTGTGGCATCTGCGAAGTGAACTCCATCTCTGGGTTAGTGAGCATGAATCTTTGACTCGAATCTAGCTGACATCTGTCTCAGCATCGCAGAATTAGCCCCAGTTCGTTTGCGAGGACTTTACCTAGGACTAGTCACGTTTTGCATGATTTTCTTCAATCCCTACACATTCTATACCCAACTCCTCTGCAGAGAGGCCACTTGGAGATGGGTCGCCTGGCTTATTCTGTGAGTAAACGCGTTTGAAGTGCTCCTTGCTTACTATGAGTGCTAATCGAGGCTTCAGAATCTGGGTTGCAATCTCTTGGGTCCTCTGCGTATTCTTCTACTTCCCTGATTCCAGAAAGCACAGAATTAAAGGGCTTAGCAAGATGCAAATCATCCGTCGCATGGACTGGATTGGAGGTGCTACCTCAATTCTGGGCTTGACGCTCATGTAAGTTCATGTACCTTTGATAGGAAATCTGATACTAACTCGCCCAGTCTTGTCGCCTTGCAAGATGGTGGATACCGACATCCATGGGCTAGTGCGGCTGTACTTGCCCCCTTGTTGATTGGTATTGCCGTCTTCGCTGTGTTCGTGGCCTGGGAAGGGTGGTATGCACCTCATCCTATGATTCCACGGGTGCTCCTTCGCGAGAAAGGCGTTCTTATCCCGTTGTCAGTTGCATTTGGTGCCGGTATGACGTCCACTTCCAGCGCAAACATTTCAGCAGCTGAACATTACCCACTTAGGTATTACTTATTATGCACTGCTTGGGTTCAAGCCTCTTTTGTTCCAGAGACTCTATTATACAGAACCTCCTCTCCAGATTGGTGCCTTGAACTATGGTTTCTCTGCTGGTCTGCTTTTCGGATCCGCTGGTGTCAACACATTGCTCAGTTATACTCGAGGCAATGTTCGTGCACCAATCTTGTTCTGCTGTCTCATGATGAGTAAGTCAGATTCCTCCACAATCAAATGCATTCTAGGCAACCATAGCGGCACTTTGCTCAATTCATGCTAACTATTATTGTTCCTCAGCTTCATTCACAGGAGCACTTATGCAAAGCACTCCAGAGAACCCAACGTACACAGCAATTATCGCTGCTTTCTGTGCCTTTGGCATTGGTGGTGTTCTAGTTCCTTCTGCGGTTAGTACAATATCGTGTTTACTTTGGCCCCCTTCTAGACAAAGAACTTCGACGCTGATCACTTGAACAGACCGTCGCTCTGACTTGTTGCCCCGATTCCCTCGTTGGAACTGTATCTGGTCTTGCTATGTCCGTGAGGACTCTCGGTGGCGCGATTGGGACAACGGTCTATTCTGCTGTGTACCAAAATAAGCTGGGTGTCATTCTTCCAGAACAAACGGGAAAATATGCAGTCGAAGCCGGCCTTCCCGCATCATCTTTACCAGCATTCCTTGCAGAGTTCCTCAAACCCGGTCATGGCAATGCCTCTGGCATTTCTGGAGTGACCCCGGAAGTGATGTCAAACGCAGCTCTAGGTCAAGCATGGGGTTACTCTCGTTCATTCAGATATGTCTGGATTACAAGCGTTGCCTTTGGTGTTGTCGCCTGTGTGATGTGCCTGTTCATTCCAAATACTGCCAAGTACATGACCAACCGAATCGCTGTTGTAAGTTCAATCCATGATCACGAGTTTCGACGGTTGCTGACTCTCTACCTATAGGATGTCACCAGTAACAAGCGCCAGGCCGCAGAAGAAGAAGAGACGAAAGGACTCTAGAGGGAATTTCTAGGCAAGGCATTGTCTCACCTGAAATACATGTAGTAATCACTATCGCACAAGGAAGACTTCAGGCTACAGCCAGAAGAAGACCCAGGGGCTGCAGCTATAGTAGCCAATTCGTAGCAATTGCTTAAGAATGGATTCGCACTTTGCATTTTCAAGTCTAATTTGGAGGTCACGAGTCTCCTTTCGTAAAGAAGTCACCTGCTTCAAGCCTAAACTTGCAAAAGCATATTCTTAACTGTGACAAGTTAGTTGAGATGAAGTCACTCTTGGTCAATTGAGTGAACTTGATGGTGACACCGGGGCGACTGAATAAATGTTGATCTTCAGTTGAACTTTCTGGAACTCATCATTGACATCCCTTTATTGAGCATTTGAGTAGTACTGCCTACGGACGAGCTTTAGATCGTACAATCAGGTACTCTGATTTCGCACAGGGTTGTTCATTTGCAACTAGATACCTACACTCTCGCCTTCGTATCAAAACTAGTCAATGTCCCAAGGGACATCACTATTTCTAATGAATGGTGTTAGTTTTTCTACAGTTCCAATAACGTCCGCCTCAGTCAAGCCGTTGCCCAAGAATGCCCATGTGTCGTCTTCATTCTTGTATCTTATCTCGTAATGCTCGAAGCGTGGAGTTCGCAGAGTTTTAAGAAGATGGAGCAAGGAGCCACCCCAAATATAGACGCGGCCATCCTTCTTGTTTTTCTTGTACCAACTGAATTTCACATTAGCTTGAGATTATCCAACGATTAGAGTGGGATTATTTAGGTACCTTCGACAGTCCTCTGCCCAGACGGAGTGCTTCTTATGCCAGGCGTCAAGATGATTGTTAAAGTCCGTAGTAGGCTTTTGCTTGACTTCAAGCGACTTGATTTTCTCCTTTTGCATCTTGTCCACGCACTGAACCACATATTCAATTTGGACCTCATGCTATGTGATATGTTAGGCAGTTCATGGACGTCGGGAGGGACAATCGCGATCTTACCGAAGGGAGAGCACAACCCTGGCCCCAATTTCCACGGGGGCCATTAATCACCCAATAGTTTGGATAGTTCGGTCCTGAAATTGAACAGTAGATGTTTGACTCCTGTGATGTGGTTGTCATCAGCTTCACTAAAGATTCTCCCTCCAAAGCATCGGGCAGGCTTACCTCTTTCCACTCTTCTTGCATGACAACTCCGCCCATACCGACGATTTTGCTATGGCAATGTATTAGTAATTGGAAGCATGAAACCCTGTTAGTCCTATCGAACTCACAAGTGAGGGACGTATGAAGTCTCAAAACCTGTACCGCAGGCGATTATATCGACATTGACCTCTTGTCCGCTGGCAGTCACTAGCCCAGTTGGAGTGATTTTGACAATCTCCTCATGAACAGTCGAAACATCTAGCTAGTCAGTCGGGAGCTGTAGGGAGCGTGCATGTTCACTTACGTGGCTGTGCTAGAGTTTCGAGATAGCCTTCTCCGGGCTAATTCTGTAGTAAGAATCTGATCTGCACCAATTAATATATCCACTTACAGTCATTCTCCGGCAGCCTGGCGACCATGTTGGAATCATTTTCTCCAGAAGTTCTTCATGACCAGGACCTATTTTCTTGGCCATGTCTGCTCGAAAGACCGTTCTTGCCATTTCGTTGTCCGGAGTGCCTCGCATGAAGACAGGAAACTTCTTTCCCATCTTAGACTCGAGTTCTTTTCGATAAGCCAAATGGAAATCTTCACTTTCTCTGAATGCCTTTTTCTCATCCTCTGTGTAATAGTGTCGACCGATTATGGCCTTGCGATCCGATGTTTCAAGTTTTTGCTCGTCGGTCGGTATTTGAGGCGAAATCCAGAATTGATTTCTCATGAAGACGGTCAGATGCTCAGCGCCTGGGAATTTGATTAATATGGTGCCCTAATATCTTGGGATAGCACTCACCTTTAGCTAAATGTGGTACCATCTGGATGGAGCTCGACCCTGTTCCAATAACAGCGACCTTCTTGCCTTCCGTACTGATAGTCTCGTCCCAAGCAGCAGAGTGGGCTAATTTCCCTTGGAAGTCATGGAGACCTTCGATGGCAGGCCCTAACCAGTATCAGTATATCGAATCTGGAACAAGTCTGGGCTTTAGACATGAACTTACATTTCCACCTGTTGACAACGCCAGCTCCGTTGACTAGGACATGGCACCAGTCATGCACAATTTGACCGTCGTGTTCAATTTCCACATTCCCTTGTAGCAAAGATGACATAAGTAAGACATACATGGCGAGATGTGGGGCGAGCAGTGCAGAAAATCCGACTCACAGATACATTGATCATCATCCCAGACAGTACTGAGGACTTTGTGATTGAGGCGTACGAAAGGCTCAAGTTGGTGCTTCTCGTAGAATCTGACGAAATACTCCTGGATTTCGGAATGACCTGAGTAGAATGCTGACCACTCGGTATTTGGCTCGAATGAATACGTGTAGCAATGTGCCGGAATATCACAAGCGCAACCTGTGGCGATTAGTATACCCTTCGCGCTCGACCATTGGGGTGAAGGAAATCTAACCTGGATATCGATTCTCCCACCATGTTCCTCCTATCACCGGATTTCTAAGTTGTCAGCGCTCCTCCTTGATTCATCCGGGTTCGACTCACTTTTCATAAAGTATCAAGTCAAAGTTCTTCAGCATCTTCTTGGCCTTGTAGGCCATTAGCAAACCGGAAGCTCCTGCACCGACATGGATGATTCTGATATGGTCTGGCTTTGAATGCACCTGATCGACAATGTCGATTTTTGGCGCTGGGGGGTCGAGATACGGCATGTTTCCTCACAAAAATGCTCCCAAGTTTCTACAAAGCCAATGCTAATCGAGTAAATGAGGAATTTAATAGTTGGCCTAAAGCTTTATTGTTTGATGGCAAACTATTCAGAACCACCACGGGTGTATCAGATGTAAGCGAGGTATAACTTCGGTCCACCGTAAACTTTTCCCGCAAGCCAGAATGAAAACGACATCAACAATAAGACTGGAATGGTTGCTGACATGCATCGGAACATGGTATCGGAAATCAGATTGTGTCGGAATATAGGAGAGTTTCGGAATTCCTTGGCTCTGGGCCAGATGACTTCTTCGACATCCTTTTGATCCTCTGCTGACCAATGCCCCAAAGGTTGGGCGCCCACATTTCGGCAGAGCGGCAGACTGTGAGAGCGTATGGTACAGCAGGGCATCGGTGCTTTTCCAGTGAACAGTATCATTGTGCAAGAATGGCACTCCATCCACACTCCCTGAGAGCCATAGTGGACTCCGGGTAAACATAGTCCATATATCAAGTCACCTTCGGCTATACTCATCGCTTTAATCGGTAACATTATTGCTAGAGACGAGGTTGTGCCTCCTGCCTGCTAATTCTATCCGCCTTCATAGTCTCTATCAGTCGCTTGAATTGCTCTGGGCTGCCATTCGACGATCCAACGCATTGCGCCGTAGCCTCTAATATTGGCCCTTCAAACTCCGCGCACTCATTCCTGGCTACAAACAAAGCTTGTCCGTGATATGTCGTGTCTGTCGCCAATTTACCTACAGCCAGTGCAATTGCTGAAGCTGGCTGTATTATCAAGCCCACAGCTTTGAAAGTACTCAGTGCACTGGCAGTTATTGCCGACTCTGTGAAGCCAGGTGCAACAACATTGAGTCGAATTGGGAGCTTGGGATACAGTTGGAGCTTCATAGCCCGCAAAAAGCCTATAATACTATGCTTTCCAGCAGCTTCGATAATTAGCTCTGCAGTAAATAGACCGTAATGCAGGAAACAGCTATAATTCAACTCACTGTACGCCGCCGACGTGACACCTTCGTACCCCGCTCCAGATGCGGTCATGATGATACTTCCACCCTGCGGGCTTTGCTTCTGCATGTGGTGGATAGCCAGTGAGACAGTGTTGAATCATCCGAAAAGATTGACATCGTATGGATATCGAGATGGCTCCAGAAGCTGTCCGTTCTCCTCGCTGAGATTGACGTAGTCCGTGGTGTCGGCGATTCCTGCATTTGCGTGGACTCTATCAATGCGTCCGCATCTGGCCATGACAGTGTCAAATGCTTCTCTCAGACTCTCCCATGAGGTGACATTTGTTTCGATGAATGACGCTCGTGGACCCAGGCTCTCCTTTGGGCACTGCAAATCCAGCAAAAAGACTGCGCTTGCATTAAGGCGGACCAACAACTTCGCAGTTGCAAGGCCTATCCCAGAGGATGCCCCGGTGACAATTGCAACTTTTCGTTCTAAGCCACTCAACTCTGACTCCTTGATCTCGAAATATCTGCAAGCCATGATCAATCTTGTTCCTTCAACCGTCCAAGTTCACGAAATGCATATAGTAATGAAGAATAGAGCTAGCAACTAGTATTTGGGTGTTTCGGAAGTCTACTGAGTTCTTTCCGGGTGTATACTTGGTAATCGGACCGAGGTCATGTCCTACCTGCTTCACAAGGACCAGCCAGTAGGGAAATCTCCCGGCACTTGCTCCAGAAGCGGAATGATATCAGTCGTTCTGTCTAACTTTACTAGAATTTTCATACCTCGCCTTGTCGTAGCAGTGCACCAAATCTGCCCATCATACGGATTTCTCGCTACTATTGTTTCTAGCGTTCACGATGTCTCTTACTGACAAGGACTACGTTTTATCCCTTGCCAAAATCGATCCGGAACTCAAAGTCGTAAGTCGCTTTTGAAGGATATACTGGCTTTGATGGTAATGTGTTGTAGATACTTGACCAGCAGACATTGCCGCCTCCTGCCTATGATAATCTAGAGCTTTACAAGAAGTTATCACTTAGGAGAAATGAGGAGACGGTCAAAGCAGATGGTCCACCTCCGCCAGAAGTTGTGGAGTCTGAATTTCATTATCCAACTCGAGATGGAGCAACGGTTCGAGGCAAATTGTATCGACCATCCCAACCTCCAAAGAATGGCAGCCCACTGATTGTCCTTTTCCATGGCGGTGGCTTTTGTATCGGAATTCCTGAAAGCGAGGCACAGAGCTGTCGTAACTTTGTGCAAGCCTATGGGGCTGTGTGCCTTTCGGCTGCATACAGACTGGCACCAGAGTTTCCTTTTCCCTGTGGCGTCCTTGATGCTTGGGATGCTTTAAAATGGGCAGCTGACAACTGCAACGAACTAGGTGCAGACCCTTCTCTCGGTTTTGTTGTTGGCGGCACCTCCGCTGGGGCGAATATGTCAGCAGTTCTCGCTCACTTGGCCCGAGACGAGGGAATCTCCCATCCTTTGACGGGTCAATATCTGGCAATTCCACCAGTACTGCCACCCACAGTTGTCCCAGACGAGTTCAAAGAATTGTATCTCTCGTACGAACAGAACAGACATGCGCCGGTGCTTCCTGTCGTAGCGAGCGAGATGTTTTTGAGTGGCTATCATCCTGATGATACAGATAGCAGGCTCTGGGCTATCTTCAACCATCCGAAGGGTCACCAAAATCTTCCACCAGCTGTCTTTCACATCGATGGCCTAGATCCACTGAGAGACGAGGGGCTGATATATGAGCGGGTACTGAGAGAACGCTGCAACATCAAAACAAAGCTGTACATATATCCCGGGGTTCCACATGGACATTGGGCATTCTTCCCTTCTTTGAAAGCTAGTACCCAGTTTAGAAAGGATCAAGTGGAGGGTATGGGGTGGCTATTGGGTAAGGATTCGGACTTATCTGATTTGTCTTTCGAAGCAAAAGCAACCAGTGCATAACACCCGAAAACAGTTGTTACTTATTATAATATGGCGACATTTCCTTTTGTGCAGGGCTCTCATCTTTGACTTTTTAACTGGCGCAATGAGGTACCAACCATGGAAAGTATCTTAAGGGCAATTAGATACTCCATAGAGTGAAAAGGAGGTTTCCCTTGCCATTGTTAATAAGTATTGTCTTGATTGAGTTGGCCAGTCTACTTCGAAATAAAATACTGCTTAAATGTGTTGCCTGCGGCGACCAGCTCATCTGCTGGCGCCTTCGCCGCTCTCTTCATGATACCTTTAGTAGAGTCCCTCAATTCCTTTCGGATCTTCGGCCAGTCCACATGAACAAGCTTGTATTCATGTTTGAGCAACTCCCCGTTCACGAACACGGTGTCGATATCAGACGGTCTAGCATACTGAACCAAGGCTCCGACATGGTCATGAACAGGAACTAGTCCAGGCGAGTCGCAACGTGTAAGAATGAGGTCCGCTTTCTTCCCGGGAGTGATACTGCCGATCAGGTGGTCCAACCCCACTGCCCTTGCTCCGCCCATCGTGGCCATTTCAAGGACGTCATAACAATTCCGCGAGATTTTATGAGGAATTCCTGACACGGAGTGATGTTCCAGGTGCCTTTGTGTCTGAAGTTGAAGTCGCATCTGGTGAAACATATCGGCTGAGGTGCTACAGCAGACGTCGACACCAAGACCACACCGGCACCCACGATCGGTAAGTTTGAATCCGATGGGATGATCCATACCCATCTGTAACTCCGTATCTGGTGTGGCGGATACACCCACCTTATACTCGCGAACAGCCTCAATCTCCTCATCTGTGAGTGAGTTGCAATGGCTTAGGAGTATATCAGGGCCAAGAAGTCCGCGATCTTTGAGCTGGAGAGTGTAGCGACTTCCCGAGTCGTGTTTTCCAAAGGCGGTGTGGAGCGTAGTCAGCGCAGCACCCATTTCCCTGCCTTTCTGGAGGTTATCACAAAGTTCGTCAAAGGGAGTCAGATCAGGCTCTCCCGGGACAAAACCGAACCGCAACAGATCCTCAGCCTTATTGGATTGGAAACAGTTTTGTCGTACGCGTCTAGCGTCCTCAATTCTCCAATTTGGAGTCTCTTCTTCTCGCTTTTTATCCAAGGTAGATCCTGGCCACCAAGGGTTTTTGTACAGAGCATAACAGAATACCGCTCTGATTTTTGAGTCCTTGAGGCCTTGAACCGCAGCGTCTGAGTGCTCAGGCGAGTTTTGGATGTGAGAGTGATCCACGATGTATGTCGTCCCGCTATCGATCGACTCGAGTGCTCCGCAGAGATTGCCTAGATAGGCATCATTCGGACCATACGACGATCCATAGACATTTCGAAGATTCACGAAGTAGTCGACCAACACATAGTCCGTAGCAACTGTCCTTGTCTGAGCTTGCCAGGTGTGGCGATGAGTGTCCACAAATCCAGGTGAAACGATGGCATCAGTTCCGTCGATGACAGTGTGATCCGAATACTGCAAGTTTTGGCCAACGGCTTTGATAGTGTCATCCTCTATAATGACATCGCAGTCGCTCACGTTGCCGATGTTTCGATCAATGGAAATTACGTACGCATTTTTGATAATGTACTTGCCCATGTTGAATTGATTTCGCTGAGAACACACGAAAGAGCTAATGATTGATGGTGTGATGTATTTGAAGGCCTTCTTTGGGTCTTTTAATTTAGTGGCCAGAGAACGATCTCATTTCGAATGGCGATGTTCGGCAACCAATATCATTCAACCGAGGGCAAGCGGTTTAGAAGTCTACTGGTTACATTTTCCGTGTCCCGTGTTCTGATTAGCCTTGTGTGGAGCGACAGATACTCTCAATTTAGTGGGCCAATACTCTTGCTGGTCGGGAAATTTCCCCACGGGCGAATTAGCCTTCCGGGTCGTCAATTGCATGAATCCCGCTACCGAAAACGCGGAGAATGCTGGGTCACTCATACAGTCTTTCTGGATATATCGAGTCGCTCTCGATCATTTTCGCGCCGCCGACAGTCAGCCAGCTATCTCCTTCTGGTATGGGGTAATCCTCCGCGCCAAGCACGTGAATTTCCTCATCTACATTAATAGGCACTCTCACTATAGTAGGCACTCTCACTAGGCACTCATTGTAGGTTGATAGATGAGGAAATGGTAACACGTGACCGTAGCTGTAGATTTGCGCCAAGAGCAGTGATGAACTGTAAAGTATCTCCTGAAACAATCACCAGTGACACATTTTGCGCTGGAAATCTCTCAACTAATGGCGAGTACGTGTGAAGTGCTCACAAGATCACCGTTGCTATCTCATCAATCCGCATCAAATACTAGACTTTCTCATGTCAGTAACGAATATACCAAACCTCCTACCCGTTGGCACAAGCCGTCAAAATGTCTACCCCAGATGAAGCAGCATTGCCATATCATGAACCAGGTATCGTCACTATCCTCATTCTGGGCTCATTTCTATTGTTGCTTAACGCTGCCAACCATATCATCGATAAGATACTTTACTGCGGCCTCCTCGCGCAGCTGTTCCTCGGTATTGGGTGGGGAACCCCTGGGGCAAACTGGCTTGGCCGAGAATTTGAGCATGTCGCCGTCAACCTGGGATATCTTGGGCTTCTTCTCATTGTATATGAAGGAGGATTGATGACCTCTTTTAAGGCTCTAAAAGACAACTTTCTTTTATCGCTTGGTGTTGCAGTCACTGGTATTGCTCTTCCAATCTCGGCTTCCTACATCCTGCTTCCCCTAGTGGAGGCAACTCCGTTACAGGCATTCGCTGCAGGTGCTGCACTGTGCTCTACGAGTTTAGGAACAACGTTTACTGTCATGAAGGCCAGTGGCCTGTCTACCACCAAATTGGGCGTCGTGCTTACAAGTGCGGCAATGATGGATGATGTTGTTGGACTTGTGATGGTCCAGGTGATCTCCAACCTAGGAGGCGTATCTTCCTCCTTCAGCGCCGTTACCATTATCCGACCTATTTGCGTCTCAATAGGTTTTGCGTGCGCCGTCCCGCTGGTGGCTCGCTTCATTGTCCAACCGTTTACGGCTTGGTTGAACGGCAAACGGAAAACTAGCCCCACTGGCTACATTAACTACATCCTAACTCGGGATACAACTGCTCTGATTATTCACACGGCGATTCTGGTTGGTCTGATAACCGCAACAACATACGCTGGTACCTCAAACTTATTCGCAGCCTACCTAGCTGGTGCATCAATAAGCTGGTGGGACACCACCCTCTCACACCCAAATTTTCATCGATCCGGCAGAACCCCTTCGACTGATCACACCAGCCCCTCCCAGTCTGTTTTGAACGTTGGCACTTCTGGAACCGAGATTTTCGAGCGCTTCTTCTACCAACCACTTCAACGGATTCTAAAACCACTATTCTTTGCATCCATTGGCTTCTCCGTACCTATCACCCGCATGTTCACCGGTGGTGTCATCTGGCGTGGGGTCATCTATACAATACTCATGTTCATTACCAAATTTGCATGTGGGTTTTGGCTCATGCGCCTGCCTGGCCTGGCATCTGGTGTCATAGGGTTGAACCGAAGTGCGAACACAGAGAAGAAGCCTACAGATGTGAACAAGAGAGGAGCCATCGCCACAACAGCCGGTTCGGGTGTTACCTCAGACCGTCAGAAAGCATCTTCAGGGGATTTGCCAGCGCCAAACCCGCCTGCTATGCCAGAGAAGAAGCAATCGGCGTCACGAAAGAGCAATGAAGGTCGCGTTCGCGCCAAACCTACTCTAACATCCACCTCGAAACCCATTTCACTGTATCCTGGCTGCATCCTAGGAAGCGCCATGGTAGCCCGCGGTGAAATCGGGTTTCTTATTTCTGCGCTTGCAGAAAGCAATGGTATTTTCGGTGATGAATCCAATAGCTCTATATTCTTGATTGTTACGTGGGCAATTATGCTGTGTACTATTCTAGGACCGCTAATTGTTGGAACGTTAGTGGCAAGAGTTAAAAAGATGGAGGGTAGAGCAACAGAAGGGCAGGGGCGAGGAGGTGTTCTAGGAGAATGGGGAGTTAGCTGAGCATAAATACTATTAATTACTATGTTCCAAGTCACTTCTACGACCTAAGCAACCAGTAGGACCAGGTTAAGGCAGATGTATTGAGAGATTTTACCGTGTTGCCTCAAAAGAGAGATTACCGCCTGGTCTGCTTACAATATTCCGGTTTGAATGGAAGTCAACTATGCATACGATTAGCCCAATTTATGCACACCATACCTCAAGTTTGAGAGACTGCCATTTCAAATCGTTTTATGCAAAGGTATTTTGTCCCAATTAGTATATGATGCCCGATATGGCCAACCTAAAGATCTAAACGACGAGCAGACGGACTGCCTCCAAGCTTAGAGTGACAGAAAATCCTCAGAAGATACCGATATGAAGGCTATTGTGATGCAGGGCGAGCCCGGAAAGGCGTCGATGGTCACTGACCGGCCAGTACCGAAGCCTCGGCCAGGATATCTCCTTGTGGAACCAAGGGCTGTAGCACTCAATCCTACCGACTGGAAACACATTCATCGTATGAACACGAAGGGCTGCTTACTAGGATCTGACTATGCGGGTGTGGTCATAGAGCCAGGAACCGGATACGACAAAGACTGGAAAGTCGGTGACCGACTGTTCGGCTTTGTCAATGGGGGAAATCACGACTTCCCCGAGGATGGATCCTTCGCAGAAAAGATCATCGTCAAAGCCGACATTCAAATGCGGATCCCCGATTATATGTCTTTCGAGGATGCTTCCACTCTGGGTGTTGGCGTGATTACTTGTGGTCAAGGTCTTTTTCAACAGATGGGGTTGAACTCTCCCGACCAGCCAGCTAGTAATGCAAAAGGCGAGTATATTCTCATCTATGGCGGAAGTTCAGCCACAGGAACTCTTGGAATACAACTCACCAAACTGTAAGCAATGACTTCCTCCTCCTAACCTAGCCTGTGAAGAAGCCAACGATCAAACAGTGCTGGATACACGCCGATCACGACATGTTCCGCTCGCAATTTCAACCTAGTTAAATCACTCGGAGCAGCTGCAGTATTTGATTATTCTGATCCAGAGTGCGTCACCAAGATCAAACTGCTTACCGACAACAAACTTAGACTGGTCTGGGATACCATTGCATCGCCAGAGACAGCCAAATTTTGCACCGACTGTATCGTGTCTGGGGGCACTTATGGGGCAATCGTCAGAGTCAAGTGTCCGCGAGAGGATGTCAAGCATACGTACTCGCTCGGAACGACTTGCTTTGGAGAGCCAGTCCACAAGTATGGTTTCCACATTGAGAACACCACAAAGGATTTTGAATTCACGAAGAAGTGGACTTCTATTATTGAGTCATTGCTTGAACAACGCCAATTGAAAGTGCATCCATCCAGGGTGGGCCAAGGATTGGAGAATGTGCTCGGTGGTACTGAGGAAGTGAGACTGGGTAAAATTAGTGGGCAGAAGTTGGTATACACAATCTGAATCCATTAATATAGGATGAGATAGGGTGACTAAAGGATGGAAAGGATGAAAGTGTCACTAAGGGTCCGATCACTCAGCAGAGAAAGCTAAAGGAAGAAACATTAATGTACACGCTGGAAATGACATATATACTCCGACTAAAATTTGCATGGTAAGAATCCCCCTAAGCTTTGCCCGGGCGCTTCACAAATATGATTCCGGCATCTCCTGGCCTCTTCATCCTGGGAGTGATGCTATTCTCCGAGTCATTCACGACATCCAACAAAGCGTCCCTCGCCTGTTCTTGTGTCGTGTGCTTGCCTGGGATCCGCATTGGAGTCACGTGGAAATCTCTCAAGACTGTAGCCATCACGGCAACGAACTCGACCTGACTGAATTTCTTGCCCGGGCACACTCTGGGACCGTGATTCCAACCTAGGAAATGGAATCCTCCAGGCGTGGGATTTATCGATTCGCGCCCGGTCTTGGGATCGACATTGATCCAGCGTTGAGGTTTCCATTCAAGCGAATCAGGACCCCACCATCGTGGATCACTGTGTACGCCGTAAACGTTGATGGATGTGAACAATTGTGGTGGGACAAATATCTCTTTGTCTTTGACTCGAAGGATTTGTCCGGAGTTGGCAGCCCACCTTGCGGTGGAGGGAACTGGCCCCCAGAGTCGAACCGTCTCGTACTGAGTCAAAGTCAGTCATTTCTCATCATGCAGCCAAAGACCATCAGTGCAGTGTCTTACCATGAGCGCCAGACATCTGACGAGTTGCGGAAACGCGGTTGCATAGTCAAGATCATCTCCCGACGATGCTTTCACAACAGCATCAATCTCCTCGCTGACCCAGTCTTGCACTTCGGGGCAGCGGGCAAGGAATGGAAATGTATAGTTCAAAGCGCCCGCGGTCGTCTCGAAACCGGCGAGATTGAATAGGAAAAGGTTTCCATTGAGTTCATCATCAGTCAGATGCATCGGCTTGCCTCCGTACGCAGTGGTGTTCTTCTGCTCACGTTTGGCAGCTTCGTCCGCTTCCACCAAAGCACTCACAAGATCTGCAGACTGCCCGCCTCCGCCTCCTTGCGTTGTTGCTCGATTGTAAGCCACAGATTCCTTCAAGTACAATCTGAAATCCTCCTTTGTTTCATGCAATTGGGTGATCTTAGCGGGCATCAGCCATTTAGGGCCTTTAATGTTAGCAAATATGGCTAGCCCGAAGATGTTTCCCAGCAGATACATCAAGGCGTCCGAGAAACTCTGTTTATGACCCTCGGGGACTTGGCGAAGGCCGCCTGAAAATTCGTGGTTGTGACCAAAGCCTGCGGCAGATAGGACGTGAAGGGCGATGAGCACCGAGTCTCTGCGGAACTCATCGATGGTGGCTTTGGATCCGTGTTGGTTTACTCGAGCGTCGAGCATTTGTCGCGCTTGTTTCAATGATTCTGTCCATACCAATTGGTTGTTGGACTCGCGAAAAGCCGGATTGGTGATTCTCCTGTGTCGCTGCCATTCCTCGCCATTTACGCTCATGACGCAAGGTCCGTAGACATCGAAGACGCTATACACGGGCTCTGCTTTGAGCCAGGCCCTCCATTGAGCGGAAATTTCAACAGTCGCCTCGGGGTCGTTGACCATCAATTCATTTGCAACTGGTGAACAAATGACAAATACATCACCATATTTGCGATGAGGCTTCCACCGTTCCTCCTGAGCCCACGCAACGTGGCTGAAAGTGTACCAATAACTAAGGAAAGAAGGCAACCGGGTGATCCATCGGAAAGATTCACAGCTCAACAGCCACCAGTCATCTTGCCATCCAACTGGGATGATGACAATGGGCACACCGAGTTTTCGGGCGATCAAGTAGTTGCGGAACAAATTATAGGCGCGATATAGGTTGTAGACAATGATTATGGACAGAGGAGCCCAAAAAAGAGGTTCCATTTCGAGGTTGATGTAACATTCGAGCTCCCAGACTCTTTTTATTCTCGGCGAGTGGTCTTATAGTTGTTGGTGGGCATGTGCTTGGTCATTGCCCAGTAAGGCGTGCCATTACTCAACTTCCGAATTTGGGCAACACTGAGGGGATCAAGCAGGTGCCGAAGTCAGTTTCAGGTGAGATAAACACATGAAATTCAGTGGGGATTTTTTAACAGGATACGAGAAGCTGGCCTTTTATGACATCTGGACATTTCGTGAGTGGCTCGCTACCGACAGGGCGGACTTTTGTACCTCGTACCTCGTATCACCGATACGACCCACCAGTGAGAATCATTCTATTGCCAGACTCTTCGTATAGGCAGAGTATCTAAAAACTTACAGTCTCATCAAGAGAAAACTTACACCTTGGCCGCCGTGGACAGATCCATACTGACTGGTTTCGTTTGGTATAGATGTAGCAGCTGCCCGTTTCGATCATTCGCGCGTTCGCCCCCGCCTCACCTTCAGGACTAAAAGCACAAGCTGTGACCGGAGGCACATTACTGGAAGGTTCACCATGCAAAACACAAGAAAGGGCCAGTGAGAATGAAAGGAGATGGGTTGTAACACCCAATAATAGGGGCGCCACACTTCATATTCGCTATACTACATGTGATGAAGATGCAAAGTCCTCATGGATCTCAAAAAACCCAGAGGCCTCCACTTTCAGGCAGTATGCTGCTCTCTTATTTGTGAATTGACCATCAATAAGCCTCATTCCATCCTATCTAGTCGTCCTATGGTCGGATTCATGAGGAGTGAAGTGTCAATTCTCAATTCTCGGCCGTAGTTAGAGCCAAGAACTGGTCAGCGCCTATAAGTTGGGGGGGTTTCAGGCCCTGGGGGAGGAGTCATAGGACGTGGTTCTTTCGACCCGGGAGAGAGTTGATCAACGCCAGGAAGTGGTGGAGAGGCAGGCTTCGGGGGTGGCTTCTGAGGGCCTAGGCCATACAAAAAGCCCCCAAGGTCCATTCCAACGGTAGCCTTCTTCGGGGGAGGTGTATCCGGACGTGGATGTGGTGGTGGTTCGAGACCACCAGTGCCGTGCGAATCCATCTTGGGGAGCAGAGACATAAATACGAGAGTGGAAGACATTCTCGGCTATCGTTATTGAATTGGGTATTGGTATGGGATCTGTATCGTATATCCTGATATACGTAGCTTGTTGTTTTGATGGGGTTGTCTTAATGGAAGAAGAGGATGTTGTGGAAGGGGGATTCGAGACCGAATTTATAGACCATGAGGGTCCCTCGTTTGTCCTTGATGACTTGCACCATTCGCTTGTCATTCAGAGCATTCTGACACAATCTCAGTTGGGTGAGAGGGTCAAGTTGATTGCGTGAGTCAGATCATGCCACCAACGGCGACTGAATGGATGGCCATGTGTCGGCGACTTGATGACTGAGAACTTTGGCCGATTGGGAATCAAACAGACGACAGCATCTGCAACAAGGGTCCTGTTGGCCTGGGCTGCATTCGGCCAAACAAATTTCGTGAGCACATCTGTATGATGCAGTTTGTGCATTTGAACATCAACAGACTTTTCATGTTGGTCATCTTGATGGACTCAAAGGTCTGTTAAATCCGCCCACACGATTCATGTACTGCCGATATTCGGTCTTCTTTTCTTTCCTTACGCCATATATCTGGTTACCTGGTACTTTCGTGTTGTGCGTCGATTTGAAGGCCGTGAATCCCATCATCCTCTTCAGATGTGCGTCGTCGTCGCCAGTATCGAGATGCATTGCATCGCCATTCGTCATGGACTTTTCTGGATCTGATTTTGATTTGGTCCTGAACTTGTCTTCTTCGGCCTTAGTTTTATCCCGTGCCCGTGGTCGGTCGTGGTCAGGGCGCTTTGCTGGGGATCTTGCACGGGCTGGAGTTCCATGCCCATTTCTGACAGGTGACCGTGACCTTGACCGCCGCCGAGGTCGTTCATCTACGCAAAGTTAGTCTGGCAAGCACGAGATTGCGTCGGTGATTGTATCTTACCTTTTTGCAGTCGTGGTCTCTCCTGGCTCCGGCTTCTGTTGCGTTTGCTGGGACCATTGGTCTCTCGATCTCGACCATCGCGGCCATTGTCTCTCTGCTTCTGGTGATCCCCGTCTCGGTCACGGTGCGAAGAATCTCTTTCTCGCGATCGGCTTCGTTGTCTTTTTCGTTCTCGCGCATCGTACAGTTCTCGGGACCTTGATCTCTTTCTTCGAGCTTCGTCCGGTCGTGATCCTCGTCCTGTGTCTTTCTTCTCTTTTCGCGCAGCCTTTCCACTTGAAGGTGGCATTGGGGAATGTTGATCGTCGGATAAAGGCTCTGCTCGCCGCGATCGCTTTGAAGGCGGTCCCTCCATATCTTTGGTAGAGATATACGTCTGGAGGTCGATTGTGTTGATTGATCTTGGTTGCTTGAAGTTGTTTTCCCCACATGCTTGCAGGCTGCCAGATGCAGATCTGTAGAATCTTGCCAAGACGATTGCCCAAGTTGGGTCACAACTGGCGCTGCTTTACTGATCGAGTCTTGGCGGAAAGTAGGTGACCATTTTGGGATGCGCAGAGGACCAAGGCATAAAATGGTCCGTCTCCATCATATGAACTACTGATCTCCTAGACCTAGAATCTAATCGACCGAGGTAAAGTCTAGATGAATGTAAACCTGAACCTGTTGAATTAGACTGTCGCCCATCTCGCCTTGGATGGGCGGGAAAGTTGGGCAGACGGAAGCGGCCATCGTTTTCCGCCCACTTGAATCCCGTCGGTCATTCCCCTTTTCTTAACGGCGGCCAGCCACAATCGACAGGTAGCTGGCGGAGATGGAGTTGCCCCAGATGGTCTTTGGATACGAGATCGTGGTATTCAGTATTAGCTTGACCCCAGATGGAGAAACCTAGGTATACACTCAGAGTGCATGTTCGGTTCTCCTGCGTCACCCAGTTACGCAGTATTTTACCGCCTCGTATTCTTCGTTGGCCGTGCTCGTCCATCCTGGGCTTCGGGACGTATATCAACGTCCCCAGAACCCAGATCGTGTGTAATTGACAACCAACCGCTCCATTTACATTAGAGCACCATGGAAACCAAAGAAAGCATTGCCTCGAGCGAGCATGTCTCACAAACCGTCCATGAAGGTGGACTACATGAGAAACCAGAAACCCATATTCATGGCATTGTCGACGCCGCACACTTGTATCGAGGCAAGGCCCCCTTTCAATGTATTCTCAACGATCTGGCTAATTCAACTTGTAGAGGATAGCCAAGGGAGAGTTCTCGCGCGCCTCCTCCTTCCCCGCCCTACGGATGATCCAAATGACCCTTTGGTAAGGAGACACACCAGTCCGTATCCCTTGACCCTGGACTGAGCTTCTTGAATTTATCAGACATGGCCATTATGGAGGAAGCACCTGGTCAATTTCACAGTCTCGTTGTTCGTCTTCCTGTCCAATTATATTACGAACAGCATTTCCCCGGTCCTGATCCCTATCGCGACGGATTTCGACATTACTCTCATTCAAGCAAGTTACCTCCTCACGCTCAATCTTCTCTTTCTCGGTCTAGGCAACCTATTCTGGGTACCTCTTGCACTCAAGATAGGGAAAAGACCAGTTTGGGTACTATGCGCCATTATCTTTTTTGCCTCGAGTGTCTGGTCCGCTGTCGCAAAAGACTTTGGTTCCCTACTTGGCGCACGCATCGTTCAAGGCTTTGGGGCCAGCGCCGCCGAGGCCCTCGGCCCAACGGTGGTGGGAGATCTCTTCTTCCTGCACGAGAGAGGCCTCTGGATGGGTCTCTACGTATGGGTCTTTTCCACGGGATCGGGTATATCAGGGACCTTTGCAGGGCTGATATACAACTCAAGGCCAGACTGGCATTTCGTACTCTGGGTCAATGTGATTCTTGTCGGCTTTCTTCTAGTGCTGGTGATTCTCTTCGCAGCAGAGACCAACTTCATCCGACCCGAAGACACAGAGGGAGGCGAGGGCATGGATCCTACTCAGCTAGAAGAAATCCGGGCTCGCGGTCAGACTAATTGGACGGCATCATTATCATTATTTGGCTGGTACGATAGGTGAGTGCATTCTGAGCCCAGAATCCAAATTTCGGAGGCGATGCTCAACATGCAAGTAGGTCACAGTCTATTTGGTGGTTGTGGTGGCGCCCGTTTCTCACTCTACAATATCCAGCAGTCGTGTGGGGATCTTTCCTCTACGGGGCCTGCTTGGGAGCACTTATTCTGGAGATCACTGCAAACGCTACTGCATTCCCAATACTTTATGGATTCAGTCCACTTGCGACAGGCAATATCAATATCTCGGTAAGTACAGTGTTTGAATTTTCGACCTTTATTCAGTCGTTTAACGCCAAGGTCACAGTACGTCGTGTGCGGTTGCCTTGGGGCCGTAGCGGGTGGCGCGCTGAGTGATTGGATTGTCGCTTTCATCACCAAGCGCCGGGGTGGCTACTTTACTCCAGAGTTCCGTTTGTGGTGTTTGATCCCAGGTGTTATCTTTCTACCCATCGCTACAATAATGTGGGGAGCTGGTATTGAAAAGCATCTTCATCCAATGATCCCAATCGTCGCATCGGGGATCATGTGGGGAATCGTGATCTCGGTACCATGTACAGCCATGGCCTATGTTGTTGATTGCTATCGACCTCTTGCCGGAGAGACCATGACCATTCTGACTGCCCTCAAAAACACCATTAGTTTTGGTGTGAGCTTTGCAGTGGTCCCATGGATCGAATTGAACGGATATCTTCAGGTACGTGTCATCAACTTTCCACTTGATCGCCGCTCATATCTCTTAGGTTGGGGGTTGGCTGTTGTTGATCGTCGGCGGTTTCTTCCTAACGACCATCCCAATGTATATTTATGGAGAGCGCATCCGAAGGTGGTCGCAAAAGCTCAAAATTTGAACCAACAGGTCAATAAAGTCGTGCTTGACAGATAGAGGTAGTTCGCCGGTGTGAAAACAACAGCTGCTTGATGGCACAGCAGCGAATTACCTATGAACATCATCAGATGCCAAACCAAGACGGCCCTTGGTCAGTCCAAGCTAGACTAGTGATAGACATGTGATAGACATGAACTTAGCAGTGGGTCTCTCTGATAGTCTGGTTGCATAGAAATGTCTGGACTTCCCCACCATTCCCCATTTTCCGTGTCACTTTCCCGCGTCATCAAAACCTCTGCTCCAGCACGTGTCCAAACTTACCCAGGTTGGGTTTTATTTAGTGTACAAGAAAGGCCTTAGTGGAGCGATTCACTTCTCCGCTAGAATCGAGTGACATTGAACGTTGGAACATGAGCTCTAAATCTGGACGTCCCAGAAGGGCATGTAGTATCTGCAAGAGCCAAAAAGTATTCTTGAGTTGTCCAACATCTCCAGAAATCGAAAGAGAAAAGACTGACACTGCTTAGATTCGCTGTTCGGGCGAGAGACCTGTATGCAAGCGGTGCTCTAGACTTAAGCATGATTGCGTTTATGCAAACCCGCCACCTGCACGGTTGCCGAGGAATGCGCACCGCCAGCTGGCGGCGGCCTTTGAAGACGGCCATTCACTCTCGTCCCAGGCGTCATGGACCTCAAAGCCAGCCTATACGGAAGAGACATCAAATGAACACGAAATGTTTGCCGTGAAGACTCCGTCTGTTCCAGCCCCCTTAACGGAGGAGCAATATTTAGATATGCCAAAGTCTTTGGTGTCGACACTGGTTGAAGTGTATTTCAACACTGCTTACAATGCTCCTCTCATGTCGCATAAGGGAAAGTTCATTGCATCGCTTGATGCGGGTACAGCTCGTCCACATACAGTTCTGAGTTTTTGCGCCTGGGGTGCCAAGTAAGTCGTACCCTTTACTGGTGATTGCCTTTGGAACATCGGCCACTGACAGAATCTTGATAGTTTCTACCGTGATGAAAATGGCAAAGGCTTTCTGAATGACCATGGTTTCGTTCAAGTCTGGGCCCAGAAGGCTGCTCAGATGGCGTTCCGAGAAGTTGAGGAATTCTCTGATGACACCGCTGTCACGTTTCTCTGTCTGGCTCTTCTTTGGCATAGCCAGGGCTCTTGGAGGAATACATATCTATACTTTGGTATTGCCCATCTGTCATGCACAAAAGAATATCCTAACTAAACATCTCTAAGGTATTGCATATCAAATGTTCACAGTAATGGGTCTCGGGTCGGATTCAACCAATATGGACAATTCATGGGAAGCCGAGTCACGTCGTTGTCGAGTCTGGGCATGCTATCTAATGCACTGTCACGACAATGGAAAGTTGTCTAGCTTCGAACCGATAGCTCTGTCACCGAATTTACCATTACCGTGGCCCGAGGAAGACTTCAAAGCGGGCAGCAGTGAAAGCAATCCGGTAACACTCACCTCGTCAGAGAGCAATGGGGGGATTTATGCGGAGCTTGTTAAAGTTTTGACTCTTTGGTCTGTGATGACTGACTTTTCTACTTCCTGTGAATCTAATTCTCTTCTCAGGACTTCTGTCATAGCCTGCATCAAATCATCAGACACCAATTTCGCCAATATTATCGCGGGAATCCAAGTCTTGGACGAGAGTTTAGTGAAATACTGGCGGAATCTACCACAGTCTCTCAAGTTGACGCCCTCTAGTGTGTCAACAACGGACCCATTTTGGTTGCCAAAGATTCTTCTTTTGAACGTGGTGTACCACCAAAGCTTCTGCACCCTTCACGCTTCGATCGTACCACTTTTCTGCTGGACCAAAGAAGATGAAGACTGGTCATTAGCGCGAAGATCTTCGGCGCAAATTGCATATGAACACGCCTGCTCCGTTTCTGAGCTGATAAATGCTGTTGTCGCTCACAGTTCCAACCTCACCAACATGCCGACGTTTGTTGCCTACTCAGCTTATTGTGGATGCGCGATTCAAATACCGTTCATGTGGTGCGCAGATGCAACTGTGAGACAACGGGCGCATGTCAACGTAAGAGCAAACATCAAAATCATCAAGGCAATGGCACCATACTGGAAATTTGCTGATTTACTGGTATGAAATCCGTTCACGATCTACTACGCTGCTGATAAACTGATTAATGCATAGCGAGTGCACGTTGGATGTCTGTACAACATCCACCGAAGACGTCACATTGTTCTTGAAGGCGAACCTATGAGTGTGGACATCCAAAAACTTACTAGCAACAGGATCAATGCTAGATACGCCCGCACATCAATTTTAGAGTTCAATGGCGTTCTATGGAAGAAAGGAGGTGGGCTCCCCGTTTCAGATCAAGTGCCTAAGAATCTAGACATAGACGATGAGGGCTTAAGTGGAGGATCGCGAGCACGTTCGCTCGACTTGCCATCGGATCGCTATGAAGGTAACATCGCCTGATATTTTTACATTCCGAACACGAAGGAGGAGAGGACGAACGCTGACATGAATTACCTACAGCCGAAACATTCGCACAAGAGTCTACGGGTCATTCCACCAACCAGCCAATCTCCACGGATGGATTCGTAAGAGGACCGCTGTCAAACTCTGCAGCGCAAGCATCACATCTGGAGGGGTCGCAATATCTCCCTGGCACGCCAAATATTTTCCCTTCCCAGCAACCAGATGCCCCCGAGCTCGAATATCAGACTCTGGATGTATTTCAGCCCTTCTCAGACCCTGCAATGCTAGACCTCTTCCCTAAAGGCGACATTCCAGATCTTTCCGAGTTTGACACGAACCTCCTGGATGTGGATTACTTTGAGCTTGAGGCTTGGACAGACAACCCTGGAGATATGATTGGGTCAAGGCATGATTCTGCGGCTTCGTGGAACTTATAGTGGGCGATCTGTTCTTCAGTGGTGTTGGAGATAGGCGATAGGCACTGTCTGATATTTGGTACTCATTTCGCAACAGCGTCCGAGAGGGAGGAGAGATTTCCAACCTGTTCTTTAACGGTGTTGGAGGTAGGTAGCTAAAATTTGTGATCTTAGATACTGGTAACGATGTTTGATGACGAGGAATCTTACCACCTTTTTAACAATGATGGAGATAGATGAATTCCGATGGTAATGAGTTACAGACACATACCTATCTTCAACGGCGTTCGAATATGAGGGCTCCGACCAGGTCTTGAACGGTGTTCTGTATTTAGTTCTCAGCGATGGTAGAGTGCCCATCGATGATCGCGTGAATCATTTCTATAACCGTGTTCGATGGTGAGGAAGCCGACCTGTTCTTTCATAGGCTTCGGAGATGTATAATTTATAAAACCAGGTGGTCAGTTATTGACGGGCGCTTGATGGCGAGAAAGCCGACCTGTTCTTTCACGGTGTTCGGAGGTGTTCGGAGGTGAGGAGGACAACTAGCTGATCGGTTCGTCAACGGCTTGTCGTTCGATGGCAGGGAAACCGACCCGTTCTTTCACGGTGTTCGCAGGTGGGTAGTTTCTGATAGTAGTTAATCACTTCCTTAACAGCGTTCGATGGTACGAAACGTTAACTACACGCTCATCCGTCGTGTTCTCCGAGGTGGGTAGTTTCTGGTCTTATTGACAGCGTTCAATAGTCAGAAATCTCACTCACCCGTTGTTCATCTGTGCCCGGTTAGAGATAGGTGATTTCTGGTTTCTCGTCAGGGTTGGATAGCAAGTAATCATACTATTTTCACAATTCAGAGATAGGTAATTTCTTCATCAGCGTTTAATGGCAAAAAGTCTTACCGTTATTCACCATTGTCGAAGAGAGTAATTTTTCCAATAGCGTTCAATAGAGATGGGAAAGGAATTGATTTCGTCGATGGTTTTACAGAGTCTTGAGATATTCTCATCTAACTCTTTTCGATAGTCTTTCGGCGCAAGGTTCGTAGTTGTCGTTGGTTGGCTAAAAATATTGGGCTTTACTTATGTCTTGGTTTTGAGATTATCGAAATTATTGCTGATGTCATTAACCAGGTTTGTGAGCTCGGCCAACTAGACCGGATCTAGACCTGAAGGGGCTATGATAGTAGGTGATTTTGTCGTCGTGATTTTTGGTAAGGTGGCGGTGACGGTGACGGTGACGGTGACGGTGATATTGATGACGATTTATATAGAGAAGAAGGGAATTATCGCTACGGTGGAGATAAGGTACTAATGCGCAGGAGAATTCCTACGGTGGATTAAGAAGCTTCTATGACGTAAGACGTTGAGAGTCGCTCTCTCCCCTTCTTTTCCGCGGAATCTATGGTAATACCTTTGTGTTAGTACTTTTGCAGCTCCGCTAAGTCGTAATTTCTTCATTAGCGTTTAATAGTAAGAAATCTTACGCTTATTCACTATTCATAAAGATGGTAATTTTTTCAACAGCGTTCAATAGTAAGAAATCTTACCGTCATTCACTGTTTTCAGAGATGGGTATTTTCTTCATCAGCGTTTGATGGCAAGGTATCTTACCATTATTCATCATTCTTAAAGATAGTAATTGTTCCAACGGCGGTCGATGGTAAGAATCTTACCGTTATTCATTACCTATTCAGGGATGGGTAATTTTTCCAACAGCGTTCGATAGTGAGAAATCTTACCGTTGTTGATCATTTTAAGAGATGGGTAATTTCTGATTTCTTCAACGGCGATCGATGGTAAGGAATCCGCCACTTCTTCATCGATGCTCGGAAGTGAGAAAATACCGCTTTCCTTGTCCGGGAGCCGTTGAGTTCACAGGCATTCACAAGCGAACGAGCAAACAACACGACAGAGACAAAGCAAGGAGGAGCACAATACAGGGAGAAGCGTTTGGTATTGTAGCTATTTGCTTGCTAGCAACAAGACAGGAAAAACGCCTCCCCATCCTCGTTGACTTGTGCCTCGTTCCCAGTGGAGATGAGCGCATCAAGCAACTCACAAGCCCAAAATCCTCGCCTCAGAAGCCAGCTTGCGTAGCCAGATTGCGGAACTGCCTCTCCTCTGCATGTAGCCTCTTGAGCCGCAGGACCTCGTCGGTCCATCTCTTCCGACACTCCGTGAGAGTGCGGACAGGGGCCAGAGTGCGGACAGGGCCGGCTGAGAAACGGAGCAGAGAAAAGCGCTGCCAACTCTTGTTGACGTTCGTTCCCGGCAGGTGCAAGACGTCTCGCAGGATCAGAGCCTCCACGTTAGACGGTCCTGCTGCTAGTCCCAGTGGTCTCCAGGTTGGCTGCAAATTCTGCAGATTGGCCCATGATCCCACGTTTCCCAGACCAGTCGGGTTGAGCTGGCCGGTCAAATCGTGATATTCCCATTCGAGATGCTCTGGGTGACTCGCATCCGGCGTCGTCGGTTTCCCATTTCCATCTCTCAGAAAACGAACAAGAACGTTGGCTTTGAATTTTTGTCCCGAGGCGTTCGTCAACTCTCTCTCGTAGACGATCCAATCGTTGGCCCTGAAGACCGGGAGCTCGTCCTCGTGCGAGATTAGGGCGAAGAATTTGACTTGAGGAGGATCGACGCTGAAGGAAAGAAATATTAGTACCCGTTGCCAAAGAATTGTTAAGGAGAATTCAAAACTGCCATTGGTGACTCGAAGAGAGTAAATACTTGGAAATCTGACGCCACTGAGAATGACTACTGAAAACAGAGGGGAGAGTGTTGAAAGGTGACGGACACGGTGAGACATTCTGTAATTGTCGCCCGCCGCTGAATGAATTCATTGACTTTGGCTTGACTTTGGCGGACGTCAAGAATAGAAAGAGGGCAAATTTCTTGTGTAGCTGGGGCCATGGGGTAGGGAAAAGGAGATTGACGTTGAACAACTGACAGAATAACGAAGCAACCGTACTGACACGGTTGATAGTTTGGCGTCCGTCAAAGCAGTGAGATAGACAACCGGTAGGGGAAAGGAAAACATCCAAGGAATCACGATTGATCTGAAATCGATCTGGCGTCCGTCAACTGTAAAAGTAGCAGAGAACTGCCAGATCTGAGATGAAGATCATATCGGTGACCGATGTGAATGGTAGCGACCATTGTAGGATCGATGAAGGCTTGGAACATAGAGTAGCAGAACTCAAACAAGATCGGTCATTCTCACCGATGAAGAGGGGAAGACGACAGAGAACAAGAGACAAAGAGATGATGAGATAGAGATAGACACAGAACTTACGTCTTGACAAAGACAACGGATGGCATCTTTCTTCGATGACAGGACTCCTGTCTGTGATTGGCTGTTGTGGAGTTGTCGGAAGATTGTTGATACGGTCCGAGAGAGAAAGTGGAATTGGGGAAAGGACAGGTTTATATAGACAGAAGATCTTCAGATGCTCTCCAGAACCGCGGACTGCGACTCACCACTTCCAGGCAGCGACTCACACTTTATTCACTGACTGTCTCTGATTGTCTCAGTCACAATGGTGAAATCGACTCAAATAGCACGGCTGGATGGTATTGTACCCCTCCTTATTGTTTCATTTATTCATTTTCCAAGGTACTGATTGGACGCGTCTCTAGGCCTCATGCTCGCTGCCTCAGTCGACGATGAGCAGGTATGACTCTCTATTGAGACAATAGGCATGTGCCCTACCAATGACCTGACTCACATGCTTGCCCAGGTCGAATCAGAACTCTCAGAGGTCAAATCCCAGGCCAAGATGATCTTCCGGAGGCTGAATAGGAACTCGGAGCAACAAGCCAGCATTGAGTCTGGTCAATACGTTTTACAGTGAGGACATGTGGCAAGAACAATCTATACAGGCATGGGGCTGATCGCATGACAATAGCTACATCATCAAAGACAGTGTCTGCTTTCTATGCATCTGCGACAAGTCATATCCTCGAAAACTCGCCTTTACCTACCTCTCCGATCTGGCTCAGGAGTTCACCACCGTCTACCCTTCGCAACAGTACCACTCGACCACCTTACGGCCCTATGCCTTTGTCGAATTCGACACCTTCATCCAGCGCACCAAGAAGACCTATCAAGATAGCAGGGCGAGTGCAAACTTGGACAAGTTGAACGACGAGCTCAAAGATGTCACAAAGGTCATGACCAAGAATATCGAGGACCTTCTCTACCGCGGAGACAGTCTTGAGAGAATGGGCGAGATGAGCGGTAGACTGCGAGAGGACAGCAAAAAGTACAGGAAAGCTGCTGTGCGCATCAATTGGGAGTTGATGTTGAAACAGGTATGGCTATATCTTTGCCGCCCGCCTTCATATGCTAACCGTTGTACAGTATGGCCCTTATGCGGGACTATTCTTCTTCATAATCTTCTTCCTTTGGTGGAGGTTCTTCTGAGCCGGTGTCGGTAAACAGTGGCACGAGCCCGAGCATTCTAAACGAACATTGCATCGCGAATCACTTTAGCAAGCGAGCCTTCTCGATACGGCAGTCATATCTCATCTTCCTCTTCGTCAAAGTCATCCTCGACTCCCATATCATACAAAATTCTGCCTCCTTCACCCCCGCCGCCCTTTTGTGCGTCAAAGTACGGGAGAACGACACCATCGCGTTCCAATCTCTGCCGCTCAGTCAGACCAAGTTCGAATGTCATCCCAGTCAGCTCCTGCTCGGAAGTATCTTCTTCTTGCGGCTTTCGGAACAAAGGATGGTCATCAAGGAGAGTGACTATCTCGCGAAATGCCTGTACTCCCACACTCGACGAGATATTGGAACATGTCGGCAGGAAATACCACTCCAATACGCCCCGTCCACTCTTCCGTCGATGTTCCAACTCGAGAACTAGCCCTCGTTCTTCTACCTTGAGATTATGATTGCTCCATGTCTTTGGTTTCAACCCAACCAACACACCTTCTACTTCTTCGCCAAGACCAAATGCTGGTGCCGCAAGTGATCTGGCATTTGCCGCCTTTTCCGTCAAAAGGAAAGACAAAGAATGGAGCTTGATGATGGTTGTTGCCAGATAGGATAGTAGCGAGAGTGGCGGAGGAGAATATGAGTTGAAAGAATTGGACACATTTGTGGTCGGGATATCCAAGTGATAGACTGCCACGAGAGACGTCTGTTGCTGCGGCTGTGACGGCTGGAGCAGGTTCGAGAGAAACTCGACCAAGTTGATACCAGTGCCGGGGGTCTGCGGCTTCGAGCATAGCGTTGTCAATGAGTCAATGATGATGAGAAACCCTGGCAGACACGATTAGTAAAGGGTTTACCTGTCATGCCTGGACTGACATACTTTTCCCTGCGCCTGATGACACAACCTTCTGAACGTCCCTCAATATCGTCTCAGACTTCTTGTCGCCGTAGCATTCCACGAAGAAATCGACATCCTTGGGCTTTGTAAAGGTTTCGAATGATAGAAAGATGACACTGGTCTTGGACAATTTGGCCCTCCGAATGTACTCCCGCAACAATGGTTTTGCGGGCTGTTCCAGGCTGTCTTTGACAAGGGTGAACGGTGAGGCAGTATCCCTTTGATTCAATAGTTTTGAGATCAATAACAAGTTGTGCGTGCGCCGATGCTGGAGATTTGAATGGGACATCTTGAGTAAGTCCCTGGTAATGGGTTGGATAATTTCACCTGCAGCCCGGTGTAGAACGTGGCATGACTAACGACAACAGCAACAACAATTGTGTGTATTCAGGCGCAGCAATCCCAGACTTTCCGAATCGCACAATACGAGATCTATATGCGTGGAAATATCATGAGATGTGATGTCCCTGTTTCGTCCTCACAATATACTCTCATCCTCTTGAATTTCCATTGAAGATTTTCGATATCACAGACGTTCCAATACTCCGCCGTACCAACTGTTTCACCGTAATACATGCGCAGAATCAAACCTCATCCACACCACCATCTCAACGATCATCATCTCTAATTCCTTGTGTATATCCTAAATCGCCCAGATGAGACCTGCCGTTGATGGCACCTATATCTTCGGCTGTAGGCCACCTCACAAACCCTCTGCTCACATCACAGCAACTCATCCAACACAGAGATTATGATTCCGAAGATGGGCAATCAATTCGATATGCTCAAGCCCAGTTGACCAGTGTTGCCGGAATTCTCTTGCGCCTCCCTCAAGAAGTGATCGCGCAAGCCATCGTCCTCCTCCAGCGATTCCTCATCTGCACTCGGCCTGTGGATCGCGAGAATTTCAGCCCTAGATTGCAGTCCGCAGCCTCGATCTACCTTGCCGCAAAATCATCTGCCACTCCAGTCTCCCCTCGATCTATAGTCAATGTGTACGGCTACCTTACCTCCAAGGCTTCATGCCTGATCTCCCTGAATCCATCCGGTGCACCGGATCAACCAGACCCGACCGAGTATATTGTGTCAGAGGGGACATATGAGAAAGAACGACAGCGACTGTTTGTCTGCGAGAGTACAATCCTCGCTGGTTTGGGTTTCGATACACACGTTGCTTTACCTCATGGCCTAGCATTGACATATCTACAGGCGCTTGGAGCGTCTACTCCTACCTTGTGTCGAAGGGTCTTTGAGCATCTGAACGGAGGACTTCTCTCTCCGCAATGGCTGTACCTAACTCATCAACCAAATGCACTGGCTGTCGCGGCGATATATCTGGCTGCGCGTGAGATCGACGTCAAGCTTGTCGAAGTCAATTGGTGGGAGGTCTTTGATGTTGATCGAGAGGATCTCGGGTTTCTTGTCCTGGCTTTTGGAAGCTTGGAGAACTTTGCCGCCGTTGAACGTGAGAAGTGGGAGGGCAAGGCTTTGTCGTTGGATTGATTGCCATTGGGAGGGCGTGATCATTTTGCCCACCATCTCCTCATCGCAAGTCAACACACGGCCGGCTTGTTCGACCAATCTTTGACTTCGACACAGTCAACCACGCAACAACATCTCACGCCAACGGGACGGCAAATTGGTATTAACAGAGCCGACCAACAGGCAGACACCAGATGCGGCTGCAGAAAGCCGATTGTACTTCTGATCGCGATCTCATGATGACATCGGTCAAGCTGGAAGCATGACTTACTCACTTCCCATGGACGATATTCCCAGGCTCTAGACTTTCACATCTAGAATTCCCGTCTCTAGAGGGTGAGCAAACGCAATTCCAACTCCGACAGAAGATGATGTGGCATATTACCGAGACCACTCGCTCCTTGTGACCGGCAGACTCGATCAATTAAAATGTGGTCTTGTCGCCAATGCATCTGAATGATGACAAAGTATCGCGGAAAATGCATTACCATCACTCCACTCACTTCGGGGTCAGATACCCGATAGTGCACCATTTCCGAGCGAGTAACCACCATTATCCTAGATGAAGCGGATAGATGGACAACTCTACCCAGAATTCGTTGTGGTTCACTCGGGCATCACAGTGTGCTAGGTATTAGCCTCTATGCGCATCTGTTAGACTCGGTACCCGGCATTCTTGTAACGAATCGAACGCGACTGGAGATCCCGTTCCCCGCATTCCGTCCGATTGTCAAACCGATAACGGCATCGTGCGTCGCCTTATGCACGCCTGGTCACGCGATTCGGCTTATAATATAGTACGCATACACGCAGACGAATGCCCCTTGGCTGCTCTCGTATACCCCGGTCCGAATGACCTATCGAATTCCATGTTGCCGATCCTCACGGAGACATGAGACCAATCATAGTTCTGTCAACCTATCTTCGGAATACAATGTCTGCGGATCGAACCGACACTCTTGACGCCGAACCACGTACTACGTGTGCGGTCTTCGGAACATATTTTCGCGCCATCGTATGCGAGTCTCTGATGCTGGGGTAGGCCCCGGGGACCCCAGAGGTTTTCACACGCATGGACAAAGTGCAATGCTGATCGAGGTGTCACGACGTGGAATGGCCCATCCTCAGGCCATTGTGTCTATCTTTCTGTTATCCAATTCTGTCTATGCCTTCTAGATTCTAGGCCATAGACATAGACAGAATCCCTCAAAATTGCGATACACCCTTTCAAGGCACCCGCATCCGCGTCTTTCAAGTCCAGCTTCGCCCGTTCGACGTCGTTAGCCCTACAGCACTAGTAACCCCAGGTGATGAAGGCCAAATACTACCTGCGGCCTCGTTGCCTAGCCCCATGCCCCCTTCAAACGGTCCGTCACTGTAGCCCAGGAAGAGCTCAGGACATTGATTGGTGTCGAGAAGGTCAAAGTCTGCTGATAACAGAGGGAAAGGATATAGCGATTCAAAACAAGCTGCTGCGGCGGCGGCTGTGTCGAGGTCCATGTTTTCACCGTAGGTGTTATTATCACCCACCGCCAGAGTTGTGGCCGTCGTTGTCGTCGTCGTCGTCGTACACTGCGGCTGCGAGTTTCCTGGTCCGATTTCCATAGATCCTTCGAGAGTAGAAGTATGTTGAGAAATATCCTGTCCAGGCTGATTATTCTGCTGATGCTGTTGCTGTTTCTGGAGACGTCGTCCCTGTTGATACCCATCTTCAGACGAGGCTGTAGTGGACATGCGGTCGTCGTCGTCATCTCTATGAGCTTCTTGAAAACGCTCATCCGCAGTCCGGTTGACTGGCTCAGCCAGCATTTTCAGGTTTCTCGCATACCAGATCTGAGAGTTGGATTCCATTGCCTTGATCATAGTGCATGCACCGCTTGTGATGGGCCAAATTCCTCGAATAGCCAGCAGTGACCGGATACACTCGTGATACTGGTGGTTGGGCAAATCGTTGGGCTGTTTTCGTGCCATCCTGATGTCTACAAATAGCGAGGCCATCGCCGTCATGATGAAACTTACTGACACTGGTGGAATCTTACACAATAGGTCCTGTTCTCGGAGTTTTTGTAGTAGACCGGACATTTCGGACATGGCTCTGCTGACGGTGGCGATCGCCGTCGAGGTAATGCCGTCTTGTAGTCTGTCTTGATCATCCTTGCATCTTCCCTGTCGAGGCGACGTTAATGGTCGGTTCAGAATCTCCACCGCCATCATGTGTAGCAGTTCTAGTGATGCTGCGTGAATGCGGAGGTTGGTTCGTGACATGTCGTCGCTGCCGTTGTCTTCATGGTACTTGATCCGACAATAGCTATTGCGCGTACTAGACCAATGGTCAAGTTCGTCGCGTATCTGATTGAACATGGTCAGATCGAGGTCGCATTTCCTCTTGGGTTTGTAGTAAATGGCCCATTCGGATGTCGACACCGCGAACCGTTGCAAGGCATAAGACGACACAATAGCCCGGCCTATGATCAACAACAGCTGTAATTTGGACATGAACATGTCAGCCAGCATGACTTTGCTCACGCAGTCCGTCGCCAGGGGACAGTTTCGAAGCGCAGGGATCCGCGTATCTAGAGGCTTGGTGTCAAAATCTTGGAACTTTAGAGGTTCGAGGTTCAGGTCTTCGTCTGGAATACGGAGAGGTTTGCGGGTTGTGATGGCAGTAAGCCGATCGCGACTCACGATCGTCCACCAAAGTCGTCTCCATAGTCGACAGGTCTTTTCGTCTATCGAGGCGTATCCCTCGGCATGGTTTAGACCCATACCTGTGGCGAGAGTAAGTATGATACCTAGCCAGTACCAAGGGTCTTGCTGGTCGTTGGTCGACTCCCACCACCATGCGTGCAGCAGAGTCGCTTGTATCATCACAACCCGATCAGACTCGTACTCGAAATCATAGAGGAGCTAGATAGTACTAATTTTAGCATCATATTCCTCACACGGCGTGTTTACATTTTCCGTCACTGACCTTTATTTTTCGAAAGAAGTACGCTCGTGCTGCCAGTCGATTTTCAAATCCTGCGTCCAGAAGAAGTTGTAGGTCAACGAACGCAGTCCCTGCAAACATGATGGCCTGGAAGAGCAAAAGGCTGATTTGACATCCCGGCCGGCCTTCTACCGAATCGCAAACGTCTTGAAAATCAACCACAGGAAGAAATGGATGGACGTAGAGAAAGAATGCCAGAAGTAGCTGGTCTCGAAGATCGGGAAGTGGGACTGACAAGGCTCCACGGCTTTTCAAATATGCAATTTCTTCGACGTCAAAGATATGTTTGGTGGGACTGATATATGATGGAAGTTCTGGACTCTCTGTTGGGTCGACACAGCCGTCCGAATTTCGCGTGTATGTTGATTGAAATTGGATGGAAGAATGTGGTGTCAGGTCGATTCCATCCTGCGAGTCCTGGATGCGAGATGTCGGTGAATTCTGAGCGTCCTGTTGAATTGCAGTCGACAGGTTGTTCGCCACGATACTCTCGTAACTCTGGGTATCAGAAGTTGGCGCTGTGGAAACCCCTCGAGGCAAAAGTAGCGGTCGTGGTGCGGGAAGCTGAGCCAGACTCATTGCTCGTTGTCGATATTCCCGGCTTCTCTTGGATAGATGAGCTGTGCATTCTGCGTTAACTCGTCGGCATCGCTGGCACGGAGCTCCAGTCTGAGCCAACGAGCACTTGACCTTGTGCTGTCGACAATTCTGGCATGCTAAAGATGCTCGCTTCGTGCGGAGTCCGTTTGACGAGCATGTTTTGGTAGCAGTAGGTGAGGTAGAGTCCGAAGCCATCATGAGGACATGCTGTTTTACCTGCACAGCATCCAGTACAGTTTTCGTGGAGAAAGGTAAGGTAAGTGTGGATTCAAAAGTGGTGTGGAATACAATGGTTGACCTCGGGAGAGTCACCCTGCATGCGGGCGTCTTGATTTCCCGCGTCTGGGCACTTTTGCTAATTTCTGACCAGCATGACTCAAAGCATGACGATTGCGATATTAGCTTTTCAAGACGACTGGTTGTCTGGAAGTTTTATTAAGGATCGACTCGCCAAATAATAGAAGTGCGCTCATTTTATTGCCACGATTGGTTTCATCGCTCGGTGGTCTAGAAGCATATGCTTCCTCCTCCCTACAATCTACCCAATCAAGAAGTGGCTGGATTCATTGTCCACCACTCGTTGAAGTTATACTTAATCACCGTATAATCTCAGATAGTGTATCTGAAGTCGTGCAGGCCTTCAATGACCATCTCGCCTCTGTCTGCCCTCTTGTTACAAATTTTGAACCAGATTGATAGCATAGAGACAATGATCAGGATCATGACGTTGCATGCAATCAATCCATAGAAACCTGGACCATACCGTGGGGCGTCCTGAGATCGGAAGATCAAGGATCCAGCCACACCACCAATCCCTCCAAAGCTGACCATGAGTGCTGAACAAAAAGCTCGTTTCCATTGTCCACGAATATTGTTCGCCTTTATACATGTTAGAAGCCTGATCTCGATAGGAGCGAAAGAAGGGTAGATATACCTGGTAGGCCATCATGCCCGGGAGATTGGAATGAGTGCCCGCAGTAGTCAAGAATACACCAAAGTATCGGGCTCCAGCAGAAGGAGCAAATCCCTAGGATTACGGTTAGTGACCAAATCGCGAAGAACAGGATTAGTCCAAGTACCATAATTGGCAAGCCGACTACGCAGAGCATGGCTCCAAATGCCACCACAGCGCCTCGGACTCTGTATTTGTCCCCGACCCACGACGTAGTCATCATAACGACACCGGCAAAGGCAAATGGTGGAGCCACCAAACATTGAGCAGCTGCGATAGAATAGCCCATGCTCTGTCTCAAGATGATGGGCAGGAAAAAGCCAATCCCTGTCGCATTTGTCACAACGCCGAAGAAGATGAGAGCAAATCCCCAAGCCTTAGGATCAAGGCCTGAAACAGCCCACTTCTTGAAACTCCAAGGTTCGGCTTCAACGTCATCTCGATCCTTTGCTAGTTTTGCCTTAACGAAGGCTAGTTCCTTTTCGCTCAGGAATCGCCACGACTTCTTCGCCGATCTGTCAGGAAAGTCAACGAGGAGAAAGTATCCTCCGATCCCGACTAGAACCGTGATGATTCCCTCCATGATGAAAATCCATCTCCAGCCTTCAAGACCTCCAATGCCATCCTAAACAGATATTTCCGTCAGCAATCGGTTTTCGAAATGACTTTCTTTACAAACTGACCATTTGCATGAGGCCGTATGCCAATATTCCCGCAAATCCAGATGCGAAAGAGCCAATGAGGTAGAAGAAGGAGTACCGCTTATGCATGTCATATCGCGAGTACCAGGTGGAAATCAGATAGACGCAGGCTGCAGATATCTATGAGATTGAATAACACATGAAGGTCATTAGAGGACAAACCTGGGAAGAACCCTGCCTCTAGGACCCCTAGAATAAGCCGTAGACCAACCAGAGCGGTCCATGTCTGAGGGAAACCGAATCCAATCTGAAAAGGAATCAGCAAATCTCTCGAAAGACTGAAATTGAAGGAGATGGCAAGTAAGTATCCCGTACCATGACGAATCCAAAAGCCACTGTTGTGCCCGCAAGGAAGTATCGGGGCCCAATGGCCCGACAAAGAAGAGTTCCCGGGGCTTGGAAGACGCAGTAAGTCGCGAAAAAGGTCAACACAACAATGGACTGTCCCGTAGTGAGTAAGCGAAGGGTGAACGGATAAGTTGAAGTTGGAACTTACATAACGATATCCAACATTGAGCTCCAGATCAACTGTCAACCCTGCAATCGCTGCAGCACCAACGTTATTTCGATCCATGACACTGATGACATATAGAACACCACATGTCACCACGAGCCGTCTGTCGATTTGACGCTTGATCCTCTTCCAGTCCTCGGGTGTAAAGTCAGGATCAACAATTTCGTCTCCAGGTTTCTCTTGGGACCTCCGAGTCGTAGCGACCTCGACTTCGACACCGGTTTGCTTTTCCACGGCATCATCATCAAGGATTTCAGTTTTGTGGAAAGGGGCGGACATGTTGACGAGAGTATGGAGCACTTGAAGCCTAGCTCAAGATAGGTATCAGAACAATCGATCTGATTAGCACCCCTGGCTTTACCCGAACGTGGTGCTGGGCTTATATAGAAATTACTTCCCTCATGCACACGGCTGCTCTTAAGCGATGCCGGGGCACAACTTCTTAAGCATGCCACCGAAACGATGATCAAGCTCCACGATGCGGAGAATCTGGGGACTAGCATCGCCTTGTCATTGCATTGTTGCTCCGTATTTCGACTTACCTCAGGGACCGGACATGAAAAGGCGGCTGCCATGGGTCGATCCTGGACGTAGATCTCTATCCGTCCAAAAGCGTGTTATGCTAGATCAAGTTACTGCCGACATACTTCATTGGCCTCTGGTACCGTAAAGCGACCCAGCTGGCGGGTTAATTGGATGTTCGGACCGCTCGATCGCCATTGGTTCGTGGATCCGAATTCTGAACTGAACTTTCACAAGTACTCGTGGTACTGCATCTTAAAATCTGATCCCTTATTGTTTCTGTTTTCGAAAATCGAGTCGCCACTCTAAGCAGGTTGGTTCCAAGATTGTCATAATGTTTAGCAATGAATGCTAGGTGGGGGTTGAGCGAGCGGTCTGGCAAACAGGCGCTCGATCGACCCATCCAGCGACAGCATACTTGTGGCCCAGTAATACTCTAGCATTCGTTGAGTACATATGAGCTTGATCTGGAGGCATGTACTTGGCGTTGGTCCCATACCTTCCGATAAAGGGGTATCTTAGGTCGAATCGTTCGAGGCCTCAGCCTGTATTCTGTAGAGAGGCGAGGACGGCATCGAGACCGCGCCTCTAAGCGCTCAGGCGTACTCAGGGTCTCCGCCAGCTTGCTCAGGATCGTTTAGCGACTGCTCAGGTAAACGACGAGCGACTCAGGTCCAGGAACGGCAGTGGATTTTAGGTAGACAAGTGTGAGGGTAAGACTTTTGGAGTAGTTTTCCGTGTAATATATATTTTCCGCCTTCACTCCGTCTGCGCATCCTGCCCTGGACTCTGAAGCTCCACATTGATAACAGACGGGAAACACAGTATCTATGCCGTATGTACGTTGTTTTGGTATGTGGGTGCCGACCGGCGTTCCAGTTTCGATGGGTATTCTCTTGTCCCTCTCGTTTGGTTCAGTATTCCCCTATAAAACATGACTTATTTCACACAAGCGTGGTGTCATCAGCTTCATCAATACCATTCCCGACGTCTTCTTCCAGGCTGAAACCAGTATCGTCGATCACCATCTTACACCATGGCCGTTCCCGATGTTCACCCCGAGACCAACCTGCCAAACCCCACTATCCATATCACAGCGCACAACCCAGACGGCACAGCAAAGGTTTTAAGTTCCTACAAATCCCCTGGCAAAGAATATCCAGGAATAACTACCCATCATCATCTCGCCTACACCACAGCTAGCATGCCTGTGGAGTTGAGTGAAGACGTCGACGTGAAGCTGCACCAAGACTATGAGAATTCTGGCAACCTAGCGATTGTCAAGCCGAACGGCACTGTTTGCCGCTTGGTTGACATCGGGCCTGGCAACCAGCCTGCAATGCATCGGACCCAAAGTCTCGACTATGGGGTCGTCATTGCAGGGGAAGTCATCATGGAGCTTGATGACGGAAGCACCACCCTTATGAAACCTGGAGATGTTGCCGTGCAGAGGGGAACCAACCATGCTTGGAAAAACCCCAGTCCCACCCAGTGGGCTCGGATGCTTTTCGTTCTGCAAGACTGCAAACCGATATATGTGGGCGGTCAAAGATTCAAGGAGGATCTTGGTATTCACGGAAAGAAGGTATTCCCAGATAGTGGAAATGACGTTTAGTTAGAGTTGAGATAGACTAGCACCAACAATAGCATTAAAATCATGCGGGATGGCCGTCCATAGCTAGACTCGTTCATGAAAATTGGATCTCTCCAAATCGGCGGAATCTTCGGTAAAACGTCAATCACGCCTACATTGAAAGCCATGGTGGAGTCGTTCATTATGAAAAAGCCACTGTGTAATGATGAGAGCCAAGTCCTTTGGTGAGGATATTTCTACCAGATGTTACGTTGGAAACAACTTTTGTCTGACTGCGAACGGTTGGGGAGATGTCCTATTTGAGTTTATCCCGCAAATGAACAGCGGGTTGGGACAGATTCAGTCGCTTTCCACCAAGAAACATAATTTAGATGATCTGAAGTTGATTTATATCCTTCACCGAGAATCTTTTGAGTGTCGACATCCATCCTTATATTGCAATAATCTCAATTAGATCTGAAAACTTGTTCAAGCTGCAGACCAAGTCGCCATGGCGGCACAGGAGAAGAACCAAGCCTTGATACAGCAGTCGAAGGGACTTGCCCATGTTCCTACAGGTGATGAATATGAAAAGATGATCTCGGGCATGTTGTGAGTACACGCTTCGCTACTTTTGCCTCAAGGCGTCCCAGGCTGGAGGTGATCCGTGACTAACGATCCACAGATACAATTCATTAGTCCCCGAACTCGAAGCAGCTCGCTGGAAAGCTCGGAAATGGTGTCATCGCTACAACACCGAGTGCCCTGGCCTTGACGACCCCGACTTTACCATGACAGATGCAGGCAATGTCAGGTATGAACGGCTCAAGGAGATCCTAGGCAGGGTGGGACAGGATGCCTTCCTCGAGCCACCATTTTATCTTGACTACGGCTGTAACGTCTCCTTGGGGGAAAGATTCTACTCGGGTATGAAGTGCGTAGCACCAGTCATCGAATCCTGCTTCTTGCCACTCATGTAAACTCGCGCAGTCTTGTCATTCTGGATTGCTCACTTGTCACCATTGGCGACCGGGTCATGTTTGGACCAAACGTATCGATCTTTGCCGCGACTCATGAGACAGAAGTATACTCACGACGAGAAAACATCGAATTTGCCCGACCAGTGGTGATTGGGAATGACTGTTGGATTGGTGGGGGTACCATCATCCTTCCAGGAGTCACAATAGGGAAGGGTGTCACGATAGGTGCAGGCTCGGTGGTCTCCAGGGACATTGAGTCCTGGAGTGTGGCAATGGGAAGTCCAGCAAGAGTAGTGAAAAAGGTGCAGGAGTTGCCGGAGATGAGAGCTGGAAGAGAATCATTCAGTGCCATGGAAAGACAGGGGTAGAGATGGTATTCTCATGGGAAAATTGTGCAATTATACAGTGATCGAAGGGAAAAGAGGCTTAGATCAAGTTGAAAGAGCAGAATATAATCGGCCAGTGGACATGGTAGAGACATGGACGAAAGATGGTGAGAGACTGACGAGAAGGATAGACAACACCGACAAGCACGTGACCATTATACGTTCGCATTGCGGAAGGAGCACGTTCTGAGGGAGCTCGCCGTACCTTCTCCTTCAAGAAAATTGCTTCCGCCGACCTTCAGCGACCAAAGAAGCAGCACGACAGAGCTTCAACAATCGCATCGGACGAGTTTCTGGTGTTCGACGACCCGAGATCTAATCTCTCCAGCTTTCACATTGACCCTCTGGTGAATCTGTTACCAAACCCCGGTCATGATATAGCCCCGACCATCCGCCATCCCAGTCTCAAGCAACCTACAAGATCCCCCGAACTTCCTTCCGTTCGCAAACATGGGAGCAGGACAGTCCAAGACGGACCAATCCACCAAACATGTCTTTACCAGTGATACACCCATACAATTTTCACAAGAGTATGTTCATGGGTTCCAGCTATGGCAACACCAAACCTCCTGTCGTCCGGCCACGTGCCTCAGAAGACATCGAGTACTGTCTCTTTACTAACACCATGTGCGTCTAGACTGATAGATTCCCTGCAAGCATCTTCAGAAGTACGTCGGCTATCCCCTTGGAAATCTTTGTATTCGAGACTCGGCCAGACTAACAAGCTCACCAAACAGACCAATTCCACCCGCGCCAAATCTCTCGAACTACACATCGCTCAACGAGTAGCCGCAGAACTCGAGAAGCTCAAAGCGCATGAACAGAAAACCCTAGACGAGCTCCGGAAAAAGATCGCCGAGGCTTCTTCCTCTCCCGACTCTGATTCTTCATCCTCCTCCATCCTCTCAGTATCACCTAAAGAACTCTTCTCGAGCGAGTCCGAAGCCGAAAAGTCGCGAAAAGGGCAAACGTCAGAAAAGGTTCGACAAGAGATTGAAAAGCTGAAACAAACTTTGGGGCAGAGAAAGACTCTGACCCAGTTACCTACAGAGGTTGAGACTGCGTAAGTCGCTCTAATTCTCGCAACAAGAGTATCATTACACTCTAGTTCCTCTCTGGCTAACATATGCTCGTTGTACCCATTTTAGCCGACAAGATGTCATCTCCTGCCTACGACTCAACGACCGGAAGCCGCTCGATTGCTGGAAAGAGGTTGAAGCTTTCAAACGTGAAGTCAGGAAGCTCGAGGAGAATTATGTCTCTTCTGTTCTATAAGTTCCTTGTTGATTGACCCGTGGTCTGGTATGCAAGCAGACTCGATTGCTGCGAGCGATGATACCGAAATGTATATACATAGATTCAGTTGACCCAGGGAATCTGGGACTAAAATCCGTGCATGAATGAATACCAGATGTTGGACATGAGTTAAGGGTACAAGTCACTAGTTCTCGAGTGGGTCGTAGTTACCAAGGAAGAGAAGAGGAATCCATACCTTGTCCCATTACGATCTATCTTTGACAGGTCAAATGCACTGATCAGGCTACCTAGCCAAGTATCCCTCAATCATCTTATATCCAACAGTATTCCTCCTTAATGAAGTTCCTTCCTCACAATCCAAGCCCCCCCAGGATTAAGCCGACGATAATATCTCTGCACAAGAAGCACACGATAGAACCCCCGTTTTTCATACCACTCAAGCGCATCCTCATTCTTCTCCCATACATGCGCATAGACCGACACGGTAGACTCGTCCTTTGCAATCGGGGTACTCAGAACCGTATCGAGAAGAAGAGTAGCAAGACCCAAGCCTCGATAAGGAGCCAATAAGGCCAAGGCCTGAATGTAGATCTGATGTAGTTGTGGTTGATTTGCTGCTCCTGTGGTGGTCGGCGATGCTGGTTCTATACGACAACGCATCCATCCAACGGGTTCTGATGAGTAGAGAACAACTCGAGTAAGTTGTGATAGAGTCGTGTCGTTGAGTGGTTCGCGGAAAAATGAGTCACTGTAGCGAATGGGTAGTGTTGTGCTGGTCAGTCGCTGGATGGATGGGAGTTGGGATGGTGATAAGGGGACTATCAATGCGTGTGGAAGGTGTGGGATTGTGACGGGTTGGCTTAGGTTGTTGGAGGAGAGATGGTCGTGGACTTGGGATAGGATGCTTGGTTTGGGTTTTGTGGATGATGTTTCGTTGGTATTGCTGGTGTTGGTGGCTTGGGGGTGTGCCTGGTCATTGTCGTTATCTTCAGCTTGATTTTCGAGTGACTCTGGCGTGTGTTCAGTTTCGAGTACTTCTTGCTCCTGGACTGGAGTGACCGGAGGATCCTGTTTCGGCCTCGAGAAGAATGAGAGTATGTTGGTCTGAGGCATTCTTTTTCTTGTTCATGTTCATATTCATGTTCATCATCAACCTTTAGCATCGTCACCGGGATTCCATGCTCCAAAAAGTGTCTATCGCGTAAAATCGTGTCTGCATTTATTTCCTTTGCGAGCTACATGACACATCAGATGTGGAGTTGATGTTCATCAGCATTTCTAGATGCCATGTGGAATTTCTGCAATCCTTGGATGGATTCCCCTTGTCCCCTGGACTCTCGGTTGTTCCCGGCGCTAGGAGCCTAATTCGAGAGGTGGATGTTAGGTTGGGATGAGGGGCTACGGGCTTTTATCTGCCCTGGGGTGCACCTATGCCGATAACCTTGTTTGTCACCACATCATTACTGTGTGATCAGGAGTCTACGGTAGGTAGGAAATTCATCAGTGCCATTTTCACTGGGTTGGGACTACACAACAAATTTACTTCAACAAACTTCAGACCTGATATACCCCACATATAGATGTTCACACGAAGTAGGTCTCAGAAGGCGTGACACTACAAACAGGTCAATACCAATATCTAGGTAGATTTTGCGGCATTCCGTAGACAATCGCAGCTGTGTACACTATGCCCACTGCTTAGCCGAGAAGCTTATGTGCTGGGAAGCCTACGAGCAGTCTGTAGGTAGACTGACGAAATGTGGCTAGAGCGTGTGTACTCGCAGCCCGTTGGCCGCCCCTCAGATCCCTCCCTGCAGGGTCAACGCACCTCGGACTTTGGGCACTGGGGCACCTGCACTCATCCCTCTTCAGCCACCTGATGATAAGGCGCACGTGCCTGTGGCTGTCTGGCCAGCGGCTGAATCCCGGGAACAATTGCAATTGCCAATTGCTGTGCCTCAAATCGCAGATTACAAAGTGAATTATCCCATCACACTCACGCCGATTGCCATACAACATTGCTCTTATACCTTTTCCACTACTGCGGCACCTTAATTATCCTTGCCTGTCGATCTAGTCTAGCATACTTACTGCCATATTGAAATCAATAGCACATTGCCCGGATTCGCCGACACAAAAGTCCCTCGCAGTCCTGAACATCTTCAGCTCCAGATCTCTCGAGCACATCCTCCTACCTAGACACAGCACAATCCTTTCAAGACAGGGTCACATCCACCGTACTTTCTCCCTTCAGTCTGTTAGATTCATGGCTACACTATAACATTCTGGTCTGCTGCGTGGTGGGATTCAAGAGGTGCTTAAACAGAATACAAGCTTGCGCTAGGATTGAATTGTCACAGGTGAGTTAATACTGCCTCACAATACTGCCGCACACCACTTGAGACTGCGATCATATTGTTTGTGAATGCATTGATGCATGAAAACATGAATGCTCTCCAGCAGCAGCACCTCTGTCGCTATTCCTGCTTCATTCACAGAACGCTTCTCATCCTGCACCTCAACCGCGAATGTTTTCAACTCATCTTGTTGATCCCATCCATACTACTCTCAATGCATCTACCACTCAGACAAGAGCCTCTTCTCCCTCTCAAGTTCATGATATTTGCATCCATTTATGTGCTTCGCTCTTCGCCTTGTCTTCGACATGATGATTGACAACATGGCCTCCGCGCCGTCCACCCTCAGTCACCATGTCGCGGATACCGAATTGTGGAAGCGGTTCATGGACGATCAAGACATTGTGGCTGACTGTCTACCTCCAGTGCACTCTTCGCTGAACATGTCTTCTACCAAGGCCTCCAAAGCCCCGGTCGTCCTGACTGCCGCGGATCAAGAACAAACGGCAAGTATTCCAAAGCCCGACAATGTGAAAATCCCCTAACCCCAACAGATGGTGTATCTTCTTGAACAGTCCATAGAGAGTATCCTTCATGACATCCTCCTTGATGTCCACCAAGAGGAAAAGATTGCTCGTATGCAAACCGCCGTGGTCGAAGTCGAACAACGGGCGGAAAAACTCGGCAAGAAAACCAGTGCAGATCAAGGCGAGTCCGAGGCGGCCGACAATGAAGCCGTGGAAACCAATTCAGCTGTCCTCAAGGGCGGCCAAGTCAGCCTCAAGGGCAACCCTATGAAGAAGATCAAACATATCAGATGTCCAAACTGCCGTCTGCGGAGACTGCAGTATCCTCGAGTGGGTTGGAACTCTCGTCCTGTCCCTGACGCCACCGAACAGTACTGCAAAACCGAACCAATGATCATCATCGACAAACACGACGTCCATGGCCAGCGCAAAAAGGGTGTCAAAGTCAAAGGCCAAGCTAAGGGCAAGAACAAGAAGAAGAATGACCCAGGATCGCCAGCGGCGTCAGAAGCCTCGGACCCCTTGACCCCTTCCTCGTCGATGCCTAACGAGCAGTTTGAGTTCAAAGAAATCGACTACCCTGCCGCCAAGTGTCCCAATCGTGAATCTCACCTCGGCGACCACTGGAAATCAGTCAACGTCTTTGCCACTCACCTCAATGGCAATTGCTACCTGAAGAAAGATCGGGCTGCAGGCAGAGAAGCTAATGCCAAGATGAGTGGCACCCCACGAGATAGCCGTGCCAACTCACCCAAGCCCACTTCCAACGGAGTCAAACGCAAGGCAGACGACGAGGAGCCAAAGGGGACCATCAAGAAGAAACAAAAGACCAGCGACACCATTAAGAAGATAGACAAGAAGCCGGTCGGTGCACCCTCCAAACTGCGTGAGATCGATAATGCCGGAGACGACAGTGGCGGCGAAGCAAGTCCACTCAAGGAAGCTAATGGCGACACAATCTCTGTCACGCCGACCAAGGCCGCCAGAGACCAAAGTTCCGAACCGTCGTTAAAGCTCAAGTTGAAGGCGCCCAATGCCAGTAGCAGTGTCACAAGCGATGGGATTGCGCGGAAAAAGTTGGGCTCCAAGCCAGGGAAAAAGGACAAGGACAAGGCTTGATCTTGGTGAATGTCACACCAAGCACGAAGCAACGTGTACCATATTTACCAAGACATCGGGTTATGGCTATGTCTTATGCTGCTAGACATGGCTTGGGTGCTGCGAATCCACCACCACGGACGGTGGACATGTTGAACAACGGCGCACAGGGGCAGGTCAGTTAGAATATTGACCCTGGATATTTGCTTTGATCCTAACACACATAGGCAGACGTTAGTGCTGCCATGCCGTCTGTTTGCAACCATTGACAATTGACGATGGTATTCAAGAGCCAATGACCATAAGTCGACAGGGTTGAGCGAGATCCCAGGCTCAATGTTTGACTCAAATCACTGACGTGTCATCACAGCCTCGTGCGACTGTCCATTGTTTTCCATTGCTATGGCCATTCATCAAGCACATCGCAGACAAGTCATACCATAGTAACAAACACGGTCATGCGCCATTGCCAGGTCATTTTGAGCCTCACCTCCTCCTCCTCTTCCTCCTCCTCCTTCTCTCTGCGCATCCAGTGAATTGACTCACCTTCTCCCCCCCCCTCTTTCCCATTGCTCATTGGCTGCCAGGTATCGAAGGGTCGCCCCTGCCATACCTTCACTACACTTGCCCATTTTGTCGCCCTACTTCTTTCCTTTTCTGCAGCTTCTCTGACCATCGTCTGCGCCCTTTCGACTCATCGCACAATCTCGTCAAGTCTGTCTTACCTGAACTCTTCATTCGACTCAGACTCAGCCAGAGCATCTGTGACCAAGCCTGTCAAACGCCACCAGGAGCTCCGAAGTCGATAAATCTTTCCTTCATTCCTCACATCTCGTCTGAACTCTCAAATTTAACCTCCTCGTTCGCCTTCGAGTCTACAAGTTCAAATCACTCTCTAAGTCAAGCTCACATTTCAGAAAGATCTGCCCTGGTGGCATTGCCTTCAACATTGTGAACAAGCTTTGTGGTTAACAGATCCCGGCTCATTCAATCAAACCTTCATTGCCTTTGCCGGTTGAACAGATACCCCCTCAATATTACATTCCACACCAAGAGTCTAACTCACACGGCTCAGCCCAGACTCGGGCAAGAATGCCTACGCCTCGTAGCCATCCAAACTACAATGTCCATTTCTCAAATGCCAAGATCAAAGCCATTGTATCCAAGAGCCTCGACGACGTTGACGACGACGAGATCAGCATTGAACCTCTACCGTCCGGCAGATCTTTCAACAATCGAATCTACTACATCAACATCAACACCAGGCTCCGCGTTGGAGAAGAAAGTGTGACTTCAGACACCGAAACTGAGACCGAAGAAGAATTGGAAAAGATCACAAGCCGACGCACCCCAGCAACCACCTCTTTCGCCCTCAAAATCATTGGTCGCGGTTTTGACGAACGCAAAATCCAGAACGAAATCTCCTGCTTACTGCTCCTTGAGAAGTACTGTCCCTCCCTGTCAATCCCGCGCGTCTTATCCTGGTCCGAGGACGGCGAGAAGGTCCAAACTCGCAGCAATCCTCAAGGCCACACCTCACTCCACGAGGCCTTCTTGGCTGGTCTTGATGGCGAAGAAGACGCCTCAAAAGAATCAGTGGGCCAAGGATGGATGTTGTTGAGCCGTGTTCCAGGTCATGCCATTACACTCAAAGACCTCAAAAGCCCTTACGGAAGTTCCATCATGCGCCAGATTGCTGCTTATGTCGCAAATTGGAGAACCAATATGCCCCCAGGTAATGCCATTGGAAACTTGATCCTTCTTGCACAAGGGGAGGCACCACCCCCAGCTGCAACCCTGTATGTTCGTTCAATTCTGCCAGGAATGGACGTCTACATTCAAGGCAGGCTTACAGGTCATGTCCAACCCACTAAACCTCTCGTCAATCATCTGGTCTATGTTACTCACCGCCTCAATTCTGCACTACGAAAACTCGAAGAAGTAGAAATCTATGCCCACATTCAAAAACCAATGACTGCTATGGTTCGCCGTTTTCTCCAGAATACTCTTCCATATCTTCGATTGTTTGCCAACTCTCGGGTTCCTCAAGATCCACTGCTTCAGTCCGACGGCCTGGGACAAGCCTTTGTCCCACAGAAGTCTGTCTTCACTCATTATGACCTCTCTCCTCGCAACGTTTTGGTTACTGAAAGCGCGGATGGTGTCATTGAGGTTTCTGCAATTCTGGATGTGGAGTTTTCTGGACTCTACCCAGAGCCCGAGGAATTCGCAAACACGTTGGTCAATGATGCCTACGACTGGGAAAATGAGTCATATGCTGTTTTCCTTGAGCAGCTTCGAGAACTCAATGCAGTGCCAGCTAGTTTAGCCCAGCCAAACTACACTTCCTACTTCGAGGCGAAGAAGTTTGACGACGACACCAAACAGGAGAAGGAGATCCAGGATGAGATCATTCCCTTTGGAGACGTCCTCTTCCACCAAGCATGCCTAGTGATGCGAATCATCGAAAATGTTGCGCCGTGGTGGGTGAAGGAATTGAGCGGCTTGAGCGACGATGAGCTGAAGGAGGAATTGTTCGGTGCTCTCAGAAGAGTAAAACGTTCTATTATCTCCCTGGAGGAGATGGATCAAGTGATTCTGTGCTCCACAGCCGATATTTTACCTGGCCCAAAGATCGGTGTTTCCCAGGACAAAGCCGATTGAGTCATCACAGTCGCTGCAGTTGACCAAGGACACAATCACGTCGTCCTCAAAGGCTATGTTTGTGTCTATGTAATATCCAACTGTACTACCTTCAAGGTCTGTGTTTCTTCCACAGCATAGCCAGAGCATGTTTTTTGTCGAGGCACACATAGGGTATCGGTATTAGCCACATGATCTTCCCTTACTGTCCTTGAATTCAAGTCCTCGTTTTAGATAGTGTGAGCTAGAAACGATGTAGAACAAACACTTTCAGTTATGTCTGTCTTATGGTATCTTGTGTTGGATGAAAGTAGAATATCCAGATCAAGGCGCAGTCTGTGGGATAGAGAGATTCCATACAAGATACCAACCTCAATCTCTATCCATCCCACACACAACCACTCCCAGTCCCATTGGACTCTCTATTCTGATATCAACTCAACTCAACACCTTCTCCACCCTCCACCCCTCTTTCGTCTTCAAATCCAAAACCTGCCTCACCTTAACCTGTCCTAAAGGCCAACACGCCGCCTGAATCGCCCCCGAATACGGCACCAACTCCACATTGACCCAACACTCCCTCCTCTTCTGCCCCCCTGGACTCGCCGCCTTGATCTCCTCCACTTGACTCCTCGCCACCGGCTTCCCATACCTTATCAACGCCGTATCCTGCGCCAATTGACGTAATTGCAACGGCGTCACTGGCGTTAAAGGAAACATACGTGTTTTGGCAGTGGCATTAGTGACACCGGGCTGTGATTTTTGGAGGTGAGTGTAGGAAATATATCCCGGAAGGGATTTAACGGTGAGTTTTGAGAGGATGGATGATGGATGGATATAGACAGCGAAATTCGCATGGGATGGGTCGGTGAATATCGACGACGAGGAAGAGGATTGTTGTTGTTGTTGATCGCCGATAGGGATGAGAGGGAAATACGGAACATCAACCCCCCTTCTCGGCGCAATTGTTAGACCTGGCGGACGAGGAAGTAAATCATATCGTATGGCGACTTGATCGATATGCCCACTTGCGGCCAGAGTATTTAATCTCGTGATTGTCGCGGGGGAGAGTTTCTGGGTTTGGGATTTTGATAGGATTTCGTGGGTGATGATGCCGTGGTGGTTGGCTAGGATGAGGCGTTCGAGTTGGCTGCGGAGTTGGAGGATTTCGAGCATGGCCTTTTCGCGCAGGAAGTGGGTTTTGCAGAATTGGGTGCGGGCGCGGGATTCTGGATCGACAGACGGGGTCGATGATGGTAATGACATGTATGAATGTACGGCAGTCATGACGCGCATGGCGTCGGAGGTTTTGTCGTGTCGGGATAGAGTCGACATGGCGCGGCCGTAGGCTTGTTTGATTTGGTCGCGTTCCGAGTCGTGGAGTTGGTCGGTGAGGCTGTAGGGTTCTCTGTTGGAGGGATTGGAGGAGATGGTGGTGGTGGTGGTGGTGATGGATTGTTGGGCTTGTGCTTCTGGGATGAATATCTCCGGAACAGCTAGACTGGCGACGAGGGTGAGGACATGAGCCACAAGACTTGGGTCAGTAATCCCGCCAGCTAGGATTTTACCTAGTCGTGGAGATAAGGGATATATGGACAATTGTTTCCCAAGATCGGTGATCACGCCTGATGGTGTCAAAGCCCCTAGATTTCCAAGGAGTCGTTCAGCTTTATTAAGTGTCGTCGCCGACGGTGCACTTGGGAATGGGAACTGCGCAATTGGATTCGGATATGCGAATCCCTTGAGTTGGAGCACCACGCTCTCTGCGGGAGCTCTCAGGATTTCTGGCTCTGCGTGATCAGGGAAGAATTGTTCATACACGGCCGATGTGTATAGTCGCCAACAATGGCCGGGACCTGTTCTGCCTGCTCGACCGGCTCGTTGTTGTGCGCTTGCTTTGCTGATGTAGTCGATTTCGAAACTCTGGACACCGGTGTTGAGGTTGTATTTCCGTTCTTTGCTTCTTCCAGTGTCGAATACAAATCGGATTCCGGGGATGGTTAAACTCGTTTCGGCGACGTTGGTTGCAAGGATGATGGGTCGTGATCCTTCGGGGGCGGGTTCGAAGATCTTGAGTTGTTCAGAGGTGGGCAGTTGGGAATACAGGGGAAGGATGTGGACGGAGGTGTAGGGATCTTTGGAATCTGGTTGCTTGAGTTGTCTTGGGCTTCGGTTGGGTTTGGTCGGGAATGGTGTCTTGTCTTCTGGATTTTCTTCCTCCTCTTCATCGGAAATGTCAAATTCGTCAGCTTCATCTTCATCTTCCGAATGTGTCAAGATCTCAAGCTCATCGAAATCATCATCGCCCTCTTGTATCTTGTAGTCTCCGACGTCCATGTCTTCAACTTCGAGTGGGATTTCACTTGCTGCCACTTGTACACGTGGTGCAGATTCCAGGCTACGATGTTCTCCTCGCGGTCGTAACGCAGTAGAGAGTCGATCAGCGACTTGTCGAATTTCATTTTGTCCAGTCAGAAAAACGAGAATACCTCCTCGAGGTAACTTTCGATGCGCCCTCGTGACTTTTTCAATGACTTCTTCGATATAGTCAGCCCGAGATCTCAATGCAAAGTGTGTTGTGACACGATGTTGTCGACCTTCAGCTTCCACAATAGGTGGCTTGTCGGCCGCTGAAAATAATTTCTCGTGTAGAAAGTCGCCGACGTTCAAGGTGGCAGACATTATGATTAGTTTCAGTGGTTTGGGGTCAGGGTTCCACTTGTTCTTGACCATTCGAGCGGGAACAATCTTGCTGAGCATGCCGATCAGGATATCTGTATTGACACTTCTCTCGTGCGCTTCATCGATGACAATAACGGAATACTTCTTCAGAAGCAGATCCTGTGACAGTTCTCGCAGAAGGATACCGTCGGTCATGAATTTGACACTAGTATCGGGAGAGACGTTGCTGTCGAAGCGAATTTGATAGCCGACGGTTTTGCCATGGTTTCCAAGTTCCACGCCGACTCGTTTTGCCATGCTTACGGCCGCCACTCGGCGAGGTTGAGTGATGCCAATCATCCCTGGTGTGGGTCCATCCGGAGAACCATATCCAGCTTCGAACAAGAACTGAGGTACTTGGGTTGTTTTTCCACTGCCAGTATCACCTTTGATGAGTACAACTGGATGGTTGTGGATTGCTTCCATGATTTCTTGCTCTTTTTGAATGATGGGAAGTTCAGATCTGGATTGTTGAATGTCTTCCGTCCGGTTGACGTGGACGGCATATGCTTTTCGTATCGATCCTGGTTCCGGACTTGATGAAGGAGCTTTGGGTTTGGGTTGTGTGGTGGGAGCTTGTGAAGACTGAGGAGCAGGTTGCAATACTCCCTCGCCCTGGGTGTATGATGGTGTATGTCCGATTGATTTATTCACCTGTGAAGTCGCCCATGCCTTGAACGCAGAATTTCTGGGTTTCAGTTTGCCGTCTTCTGAGACACCAGATGTGCTTGTATCGTCGTCACTATCGTCATCGTCGTCGTCGTCGTCGTCGTCATCGTCGCCCTCTTCGGACTCGCTCTCATCGTCTTCATTTGATTGAGAATCATCCTCAGAGTTCGAGCCATCCGATTCTAGCTCAACCTCCTCGGACCCAGAATCTTCAGCCGACTCGTCAGTATTTGATCCATAGACTGCGTCCTCCGGCTCCGAGTCGAATCCATCCCATGAGAGCTCTCTGTCCACCAAAGGTTCCGCTTCGAGCTTCTTTCGCTTTTTACTCTTCTTAGTCTGAATAATCGGCAGACCATTCTCATCCAACTGCAAAGGCTGAGCAAGACCGGATCCTACCGAGATCACAGGAGTCAGGGCCTGCACAGCAGGTTCCTCAACAGGCGTATCTATGAAAGCTCGTTCATGTTCTGCCTCAAAGGAATCTTCGCTTTCCACATCCGACGGCTCATCTTGAACTTGTTGTACTTTCTTCTGCGGTCCTTTCCCTTCTTTAAACTGACCAAACGTCCGTTTCCCTAGGTTTGAAGGCGTATCCTTAGCCTTGGCCACCACCGCATCGTACTTCTCCTTCTCTTGCTCAAGTTTCTTCAACAGGTCGAGAGTCTCGTCTTTCTTCAACTTATTCTCGATATATTTGTCCAGACGCTTCTGCTTTTTCGCCGATACTTTTGGTTGTTGGGCTCTTAATTCCTCCCGTAGTTTCTGTCTCTTTTCTTCTTTCTCCGCTTTACTGAGCGGCACAATTTGTTCCTGGTTGGACGGGTCCGCAACGGTGGATGGAGCGGATTTCTCTCGGGCTAGGACTTTGTGTTTCCGCTGGCGCGGAACAAAGCGAGGCATATTGACTCATATCTCGACGCCCGAGGGGATATGAGTGCTTTCACAACTGTATGGAAGGGTCAGAACATCAGTGGTGGGCGCAATAAAAATGCGGGCAGACATTGAACGTCGAAAAGAATTCTACACCGCCCGAAATTCTGCCGCAGATTTTCAAAGGCGGTGAAACCAAGTTAATATCACGTGATCAAACCTCTAACGTTCTCCGTCCAGCAACGACAACGACATTGAATATTTTCCCAATCCACCAGAACTCATATCAGCGTCGAAGAAATAGATCCACGCTGTGGCAATGATCTCCTCATCTGACAGATAATCACTTTTCACCTTCAAGGAGTAGCACCCGCCCCATATCCCCAGACAATGGGTCTCCCTCAAAACTACGCCCTCCCCACCATGGACGACGACACAAAAGTCAACATTCCCTTCCCAGCGGCAACGAAACAAGCTGCAGCCGAAATCAATGGCGTCAAAACCGATGTCATGTCGGTGTCGTTTGCAGATAAAATCATGATCACCATTACTCAAGGCGGACGCATAGCACAATGGGTAAACATCCACCATGAATCACTTTGATTCTCAAGTCTACATTGGTCTATACTAACGATACGCTTAATTTCGCAGGTCACCATACCTCTTCTGAGTGATAATCCAACCCAAAGTGATCCATATTTCCAGACATTAAGCCCCGAAGAAGACGGTTTACTTCCTGCCGCGCGTTTCCAACCTCGAACCCTTCTTGGTGCGGGTGGGCCAGATCGAGAGGCTTTGGGTCAGCTCTATGCTTCGCAGATAGCGCATGCCATCACTACCAAGTCGCCTCAGGAAGATCGCTCGCTTATGCTAGGGCTTGGTCTCGCCAAAGTGGACTTTGACCGTGAATTTTTCCTGAAAGTGGTTGATCTTGTCTTGTCCATAATCTAGGATCACGGGTTTGATCTTGATTTGGGCAAGGGATCTGTGGCGTCGAGTTGAAATGGTGATCTTGCGTGCCAGATTCGACGGCCTGGGTCTGGGTATTGGCCATTAGGTGTCTTTGAATTGGACCGATGCCGCCCCTTGATCTCTTCCACCGATGCGTTAATCTCATAGTCTCCTGCCACCAATGCGATAATGCCAAGTTCGGCTTCACCAACACCATTGGGCTCGATGGACGGGTGCAGGGCGCTTTGGAGAACGCCTGACCAAGCGAATCGCTTCGATAGGTCCAAGGCTATATTGTGGGGTTGATTTCGGAGAGCTGGTTGAAGTCGCAGGAGGAGTCGCAGTGTCTCTGTGGTACGATTGTGGACCTTGACCTTCAAAGTCGCAAATTTCTCGGCGGGGAGGATGAAATGGGACTTGCCCACTTGTTTCATAACTTGGTCGCGTTCTGTCGAAGACTCTTCTGACGGCGATTCAACTGGAGTCAAAGTGTAGTCGATCTCGACGTGATCCAACCTCAAAACATCGACCATTCGCGGGCTCAATCGGATACCCTTTCTCAAGTCGATTTCGCCCTTTCTTCCTGAGGTCGGTTCCGTCCATGTTCCTGTCAGACATTTGAGCAATTCTTCCCGATACCAAAAACACTCTCGGGTGGCAGCCTCTGCTTCCGGGCTGAGTTTGGAAGTAGATACAACGAACTGTTTCTGTTTGTCAAGGTTGGGGATTGGCGTATATGGGTCAGAAATGAATAGCCGGTGCACCAGAAGAATCACTCTTGTGACCAAACCAGGCTGTAATGTCTCATGTGTTGCATACAGATCACCGCGCTGGGCGTCTTCAAGTGTCAAATTGCTGGCGGCTTGCTGTCGTGCCTCGATCGTAATTTCCAATGGCTGTGGCCAGACGTTGCGTAGATCGATTGATAGCATGCAAAAGTCGCTTGCAGAAGGCTGTGCTTTTAGCCAACTTCCCAGGTTCGATGCGCCCGTACACCCATTTGCAGAGCCTTGGATCTCTGTGTCAGAATGTGCCGAGCTCCACCCAAAATCGCTCTGAATTGGTAGAAAACTGCACCGCGGGATCTCGATGCTGGCATTCACCGTAACATTGATAGGATATCTGATTTGGCGTGTGTAGAATGTTTGCTTGACCTCAGACGACGGCACTCCGAGATAAGCAAAGTCTGCGTAAACAGCAGCGTTAGCCAGTCCCGGGCGCCCTACTATTTGAATCGTGTAGCTGGTGGACTGTTTTGGGGCAAGCTTCAGATTCGACGGAGGGCGATCTTCTCGCTTGATAAAGATAGCTGGTCGTGTTGCCAGTTGGCTTTGGATCTCGTACTGCTCCGAAGGGCTGAGGTCTTTGTTCAACAGTGCCTCCTTGAGGCGTGTAGTCACAGAGTCGTCAGTCGTCATCAACACGAGATCCGCACTCACATCATCGCTCTCGTTGGTCAAACCTAGCACGAATGAGCGGCTTTCTCCCTCTAGCAACATGATGGTAGGTGATTCCAGTGTGCTGGAGCTCATGGTAAGTCGGGGTTGCCGTCCAACAACCTGCAGCTTGAGAGAATTTGGCGCTGGCAAGGACGCCTTATCTAGACTTTCACTTCCATCAATGCCATCTCCAGTCGTCTTCGTTCTAGTCTTGATGCGGCGGAAACCTCCAGCCTTTTGCTTCATAGACACAGGGAGCGTCCAGTCGCTTCTGAAAATGAAAAATTCTTGTTGGTAGCAATTGCGTATTTTGGCTCTACAGCCAATGATTTCGAGGTCACCATCTGCAATTGGCCTTCCATTCAAGTGGAAGATCTGCGTGGAAAAGGGGCCGAGGACAACACTGTGTCGGGACGGTTCGAATGAAACTCCCTTGGTAATCAGACATATCTCTTCAATATCGACCTCGATCTCCAGAGGGTTCTGCAGAGAAACAGCAAACGCAGCCAGCTCACCGGCGACGAGCACGGGAGCACTGGCAACACTTTTATTTGTAGAAAATGGGTTGTAAATGAAAGGGTCTCTGACTGGATCAGCAAATCTGCTTGCTCTGACCGAGAGATCACCAGGTTTATGCGGGATGAGGTTGGAAATCGAAGCCTGTTCAAAAATCTGCACATCACGGACCATGAAGTCATCCCAATATTCTGCCAAACATCCAGAGTGTCCGAAACGGGAAGCGGCAGAGATGGCTCGTTTCATATTTTCCGCCAGATTGGCCTGTTCTTCAATCGGAATGATCGGTGCCCGTGGTGGGGACGACACCGGCATCGTTATATTTTGCTTCGCAGCTCGCAAGATATTGGAGGCAAAGTGCAAGCTGGCCGGGATATCTGGCAACGCTTCGCAGACGCCGATGCAGACCCTTAGCATTTCGATCTTAAGTAGGACGTCTCCTGTAGCATGCTCTGCTGCCCAGCTCGAAAGATTTGCGTGCACGAGCGCAAGTTCGGCGGGGATGAGTGGGCGTATGACTGGGACTGAAGGGAGGGGAACCCCGTAGGCGCTCGCAGCGACGCTGAGCATAGTTCTTGTTCCTACCACCATCTCAGGGATGATACCTTGGAGTGCATTGCTTAGAGGGGGTAAGCCTGCAGCTGGATGGACACCTGCTTCGGCAGCACCGACCTTCCTGGCCTCAATCAATTTGGGTACGAATGTCTGCATCAGCTGTTTCAAGTAAAATGAAGATTTTCTTTCAAGCCCAAGTTTTGACAGGCTACTAGCAACTGCAACCAGCAAGCTGGTATAGTGCCAGGAATTATTGCTTGCCTGGGATGTCTGAAGCGTCTCAATCAAGGTATTGGCCAAGCCTGCCTTGGACACTGAAACATGTTCGCCATCCATCGAAGAGGCGTCTTGAGCAGCATCGTCTCCGACAATCAACCTCTCAAGGGTCTGAGTATTCAGAACGCAACCTATAGACCGGATTGCCACCAAAAGGTTGACAAGTCGCACACGAGACTCTCTCAGAAGATCTTGCAAAGAACCGCCAAGGTCTAGATTCGAGACTTTGCCGTACAGTTCCAGGATGGTTTCGATCAAGGGCGGAATCAAGGATGCGAGAGGTTTGAGTGAGGTGCCTGCATTTGCAGCAGCATCCGAGCCAAACATGCCATTGCGATTGGGTAAGGAGCGGCATGCTTTGGGGATGGTGTAGGGGATTTCGGCCCATGATAAGCACAACATTGACACAAGGAGGCACTCAAGAGCCTTTCCGTGCCAAAGATGATCCTGGTTCTCAATGGCCAAGGTGGCGCCTTCAGATAGAGATTTCAAAGCATCTAGCCGCTGACCACTTTGCAACTTAAGCATGCCTTGAATGATGTAGAACCGACCTTTGGATGTACTGCTCTGAGGAGCGGTCTCAACGACGGTCGGTAATGGGCTCGGGGCTTTGCTGGACACAGGGGTCAATGCGCCATCGTTCGGGACTGGAGTTCTCGAAACTCGTGGGAAGGCTTGTGAGCTCCCTATGGGTACCATACTAATTGGTTTGTCTCGGTAGTCGTCGATGAAAGCAGAAACTGCATCGTTCCAACGGTGAATAATATCGTTGACGACTTTTAGGGCCGATTCCTTGCCATTGTCAATGTCCAAGAGTAGAGCGCCCGAGTCAGGCTGAGCAGGAGAGCCATTGTGACATAGGACAAGCTGACTGACAAGCTGCGCGGCGGATTGGATCTGCAACTCCTGAAATTGTGACTGCACAGATACGATGCTCGGTGGTTCCGCCTTGTCACTGACCCCGTTACGATCATCGTGTGAACCAAGTCTCTGGTGGTCAATCAACCCCAGCAGGATTTGGGGCCGCCCATTAGGCTCGAGGGGGAACATATCTGCCCTTCTGCCATCTTGAGTTGCTGTGATATCCAGGAAAATAGGGCCCTCAACAGCATTTCCCGGAACTAGGTCGGTGGGTTGTACTACCGCGACGCTCTGCAGCAATTTGATGAACTCCTGGAATCGATCAGGGGTGACTGGTCCAGCCGGGATGCACAGCACATTAATTCGGAGGTCTGCCGTCGGCAAGAAAGGGTTGTATCCCATAGTGACATGGCTACAGTTATTGACAGTGACGCTTGAGGTAGCGACAAGAACATTCGAATATCAAGGGGATATGATATCTCCACGTGTAATAAAGTTGATGCCAGGAAATCCGACCGTCGTTAGAGGCGGGTCGGCCGTTTTGGGAATAGTCTGGTTTGGCGTGTCGCCGCTTTTGACGTCTTCAGGTGGTGAGGATAGGACGACAACTATAAGCATAGAATTGACTAAGGACGATCTAAGAGAGGTTACCAATGTATTCTAGAAATTCTGGGTTCGGTCCACTAGTGCACCTTACCTACCTTAACTGATGGCTCGAACTGAGGCACTGAGGGTGGTCGAAAGGAGTCTCATGTGACTTCGCGTTGGTGTCGGCAGAGTTTCCTGTTTTATCAACCTGATAAGATAGGAAGGAGCGATCTTCCGGTCCGCGACGAAGCACCAAGGGAAGGCGCATTGGTGTCATGCGTGTCACTCCTGCCACGCCTCGTTGCCTCTGCCTGCCGTGTCTGCACATCATTTTGCCTCTGCAAGGCTGATTCACAATGGACGACCTCCGTGAAACTCGAAGTCAACCATCCATCATCAGTTCGTCTGCATGACCTCAATGTTACATTGTATTAGATTGTCTTCCTTCCAAGGCTGTTTCTTAAACTTTATCATTGTTTATTCTATGGTTCGCCATTGACATCCAAGCCTCCATCGCTAAGTTGGCCCCCGACGCCTGTCCATGGCGCCGCCTCGGGTTCGCCTCGCCTATCTTTGATGCATAATAAACATTCCTCGTTTCGAATCGATTCTGCGTACAAATACCCCGTTCTTCAACGGGTGACGGCCTCGTTCCCTGCTCCTCCTTCCACACCACCTGACCATGGATTTCAACGCCCTGCGGGCACGCACGCTGCGTTCCGGCAATGATGAAGAAGCCGTGACCGTCAATACAAGAGCGTTGATTGACAAAGTCCTGGCTCGATACTCAGGCGAATGGACCGTCCTGCGAGAGTTGCTTCAAAATGCTGCCGATGCAAGTGCAACCAAGATTACCGTCAAGTTCGAGACCATCCCATCCACAACCATTCCTCTCCCACCTTCAACTACGTCCAAATCGGCTCTGCTCAAACACACGCTTCAGAACCATACCCTCAAGCGCCTCGTCGTCACGAACAATGGTACGCCATTTAACGAGAATGACTGGAACCGACTAAAGAGAATTGCTGAGGGCAACCCTGATGAAACAAAGATTGGTGCCTTTGGCGTTGGCTTCTATTCCGTCTTCGCTGATTGTGAAGAGCCATTTATCTCCTCGTCACACGAAGCCATGGCATTCTACTGGAAGAATAATTCCCTATTCACTCGCAGGCTACAGCTATCAGAAGCAGAAACCTCGCCGAATACAAACTTTGTTCTGGACTATCGGGACACCACGTCGCCCGTTCCCCCACTCCTTCCCCTCGCACAGTTTCTTGCCAACAGCCTCACCTTTGTTGGCCTAGAATCCATAAAATTACAGGTGGATGACTGGTCCATCCTTGATTTGCAAAAGAAGACATCCCCAAGTCATGATCTAGATATTCCTCGGGATATTGAGCCAAAAACAAGTGAAGGTTTTATGAAGATTGCACACCTTACCAAGGAGGTTGCTCAGATAGATGGAAAGTGGATGCCGATTGTGGGTTGGAAAGCCGCCAGAGACGCCAGCTTCCGTTCTAACGACAAGGACTCTGGCCCGTCTCTTCGAAAGTTCTTCTCACGTTTGGCTGGTGCCGTGCAAGATGACACCCCGGATTCTGCGCGGCCAGCTACTCCTACTGGTGGCGATGGGGACTTTTTGATCACTCCCGTTTCTGCGACTGTCTTCTTGACTGTCAACACCGCCACCATCAAGACATTTACGGGACAGAAATTCAACCAAGAGCTAGAGCGCGCCACCAAGAAGCCACCTCCCAAGTACACGAAGCTTGCCGTGCTCACCGCTCCCCATATTGCAGAGAGCAGCCTCGCGCAAACTTGGGCCGCCGGCGACATTTTTGGCTCCGTGCTTCCCACAAAGAATGGGAAAATCTTCATCGGATTCCCCACCCATCAAACCACTGGCCTAAGTGCTCATATCTCCGCGCCGTCAGTTATTCCCACCGTGGAACGAGAGTCGATCGATCTCAATGCCAGATATGTCAGGACCTGGAATATGGAGATGCTCCGGGCAGCAGGCATTGTGTGCAGAATCGCATGGTCCACTGAGATGGGCGAAATGAAGGATAAAATCCTCCGCGCGGCAAATGGGCGTTCCAAAATCCGCATGGAAGATGTTCATCCCTTCCTAGACGAGGCCGTAACGACGTTCAAGAACTTTACTTTCAGGGAGTCCACCCCTTCAGGAGCCATTGGCCAGTTGCTCGAAGATGCATTCTGGACCTGCAGCAAGAAGGCTTCCATCGACGTCTTGTCAACGTGCGGCGTATTGCCTACACACAATGTTCGAGTTGCCCCCAAGGATCTGAGTTTCATGGCGGGTATTCCAACCATTCCAGAGAAGATAGCCTCGGAAGCTAAGCCTCTCGTCTCGAAATTGGTCGACTTCGGCCTCATCACAGAGGTCACTGTATCTGACATCAAAGTCGCTCTTGAATCCAGTCCACTGTCTGCAGTACAAGTGTCAGAGTTTCTTCACTGGCTCACGCGTCAGTCCACTCGTGGACAAGTCGATCCGACCACCGTTTCGAATCTCCTGGCGGTCGCAGTCGTTAATGACGAGCATTCTGAAGGAAACTCAAGTCCAATTCTGCAACTCGGCGAAATGCGCTATTTCCTGACTGCAGGCAGAATGCCGGTCGACTATCCTGTTCCACCGTCTGTCATGCCCTTCAAGTTCACAAAAAGTATGAGCAAACATGATCTCGAGAGTCTCGGCTGGGAAGAACTTCAAATTGTTCCTTGGATGCGTTGGCTGATAAGCGAAGCCGGCAATCGTCAAGTCTTGAGTGAGGACCAAGACATAACCCGGTCGCAAGACTTCAGCGCTCAAGTGCTCCCTATCTTGTCAAAGCAATGGGATTCTCTCAGCCAATCGTCCAAGTCTTCTCTTGTGGATCTTCTCACCAAACATACCGTGATTCCAACGAAATATGGTATGAAGAAGCCCGGGGACTCATACTTTGCTACCGTGAAACTCTTTGATGATCTAGCCACCTTAAAAGGACTATCCAATGTCAAGGAGAAATTCCTAGTGGCTTTGGGTGTACGAAAGACCGTGGAACTAGGCGTTATCTTCGAACGTCTTCTGTCCAAAGACGCAGCTGGAAGCCATGTGGAACTCATTCAGTATCTTGCTTCTGTGCGCGACGACATACCTACGTCAGATATGCAGAAGCTGAGGAATACGCCAATTTGCCCACGGCAGGGCAAAGAGGCAGACCCAACCAAGCGGTACAAGGTTGCAGAACTCTTTGAACCGCGCCCAGAGCTGCGAGATCTGGGGCTCCCGTGCCTCGCCTGGCCCGGTCTGTACAAGAGTAGCAGCCAGGAGGGCCGCTTCCTTAGTGCCCTCGGGCTCCGAACAATTCCGACTGTCGATGAGCTTGTTGGCATCATGGCAATGGCTGTGAGAGATGACGACCGGCAGCTTCTTGACAACCGAGACAGGGCTCTCGTCTATTTCCTGTCTCATCATCATGCCGCCGGTTATGGTTCTTATGACTATTCGAAAATCACTGTTCCATTTTTGCCAATCGAGGGAAGGCAGTATCAATTAGCAGTTCCATCGGAATGCTTCATCGACCGCGGTGCCGCCCTTCTAGGGTTCAAAGTTGTTGATACCGACTGGATCCCCAACGCGTCCAAGTTTGGTGTAAAGGCCAATCCTCCTATGGAGCAGTGCATCAATGTTCTACACAGACGTCCTCCAACATCGTACAATGATGCTAGGGCTATGTTCACCTATTTCGCCACCAGGTTGAACGAGATTAACGCGTCAAACATTCCTAGATTGATGGACATGAATTTTATTCCTGTCTTTGCGCAAAATCGAGAAAAGTCGGCGCCAAAACTGCACACTTCGCCACGAAATTGCTTTTTAGGAGAGAGTGATGCATTTGGAGAAATCTTTCATTATGTCGACTTTGGAATAGAGGCCAACTCGTTTCTGCTCAAGTGCGGGTCCAAGGCAGAACCATCTCAAGTTGAAATCGCCCAGATCCTCGTGCGAGAGCCTGCTCGAATTTCGTCAACTTTCCGAAATCCAGAAAAGTACCTGGCTTTGCTGCGAAATCTGGCCGACAACATCAAGACGTTGAAAAAGCACAAGGATCTGTTTGCAGAGATGAAAAAGGCCCCTTTCCTCCTCGCCAGCAAGGAACTCCCTGCTCCACCAAATCATGCAGAAAAGGCGCGATCAGAAGACCCAGACGACTTTGATGAAGAAGAGGCTCATGGCATTCGCGAATTTCAGTTGTGCAGCGCTCAAGATGCGATCATCATCGACGATTATCTCAACTACAGCTTGTTCAAAAGTGAAATTCTGGCAGCTCCCCAGGAAGAAAGCTTAGAAGACTTTTACCACAGCTTGGGCTCTCCTCTCTTGAGCTCCTTAGTCGAAGAATCAGCCAAGCATGGTCCCCGAGCTCCTGATCAGAAGCCGGCTGAGAAACTCCAGAAGCTGATTTTTGAACGATCAACGCTATTCCTGCACGAACAGGCGCCCGATGGAATCAAACACGATGGGAAGTGGCTACAGAAGAATCTGCAAGTTCAGCTAGTGTCGTCTATTACCTTGAGGAGATCACTTCGTGGACGGAACATCCATCATACCGAAAAGCGGACAGCGGTGATCACGTCTGCGGATCGAAACTATACTTTGTGGATCAGTGGTTCCAGACCAGATTTCTTCCAAGTGAGTCAAGCTTTGGTCATCATCATTCTCACCAGGCCAAAGCTACATTCTGCACTCACCCTTGAGATGTTGTTGAAGACGGATCTGCTGGAATTACGAGCCAGGGGTTTCAACGTTAGTCGGATTCTGCGACAAAAGCAGGCCGAACAGCAAATGGCAGACAGCAGGCGTCAGCAACAGCTCGAAGAGCAACGAAAGCGGATCGAGGAGGAAGAGAAGGCGTGGAAGACATCACAACAGGCCAGGGAGCAGGAACTGGCCGCGATGAACAATGTTCCAGGAGGATTCCCTGACTCGTCCAGTCAATACAAGACGCCTAGAGATCAGCAGGCACCTGCGCCTCCCTCAGATAACGACGGTCGGTCTGGACGAAATCTTATCTCTAATCTATCAAAGCAATTGGGGTGGGGCAACCGTCACATTCAGTCGATGCTTGGAAACGACAATGCACAAGGGTCAAGTGCTCAGAAGAGCAATTCAAGCCCCGACGCACCACCGCCTTACCAGGATCCTCAAGGGAAAGGCAGCCAAACCGGCGACGCTGTCACTTCGCCGCACCATTTGCGAGAGAATCTGCTCAATGCAGTTAAGAAGTCTAGACCGAATAATTCTTCCCAGCTGTTCTCTAGGGGAGAAACCAATGTGGTCACAGAGACCAAGTCGTACTGTGATGAGCATCCTGGCCATGAACTATCACTTATTGCTGACATCAAGCATGGCATACAAATGTATGTGCCGCCTAATGTTGAGGGCTCAGGGTTTTTGCGAGAGCATTCCGCGGGTCTTACGAGGTTTGCAACGTTGCTCAACTCTGTCGGTGAGATTTTCAGTCTTGATCCGCGAACCCTCAACATTTTTATGGAGCCTTCTGGAAAGACGATTGCGTTCAACAGAAACGGGAGTGTCTTTTGCAATTACCGCTACTATCGGGATCTTCACGAGGGCAAAGCTGATCAGGCAGATGCTCTTGTATACTGGTTTGTGATTCTATGCCACGAACTTGCACATAACTTGGTTGGGGATCACAGCTCTGAGCACAGTTATTATACTGAAGGGTTTGTGGTTGAGTATTTTGGAAAAGTTGTCCAAGCATTGGGTCGGTTAGGGTCAACGAATACACCACAGCAGCCGTTGGTAGATATCTAAACTGTTGGTCGGTAGACTGAACATTAGAAGCTAGACAGAACTAGAAAGTGTATAATTAATGAAATGATACGAGAAGACAATTACATGAAGCTGATCCAAGGCCTTTTTTTCGGGCATTTGTTTATACCGATTCCTATTAATACTATTAATACTATTATTATCCGATATATTTATTCTAGAAGTGGAGGCAGCGGTACCGTCTGTATGCTCATCCGTATATGCTCACTACGGTGGACCTCTAGTGCGTTGTATGATCTACAACTCCAAATTACTTTCTCATTATTAACTGAGAAGACTGCGACCAGCTTCGAAGGAATCTCTTGAAGTACTTGCATGGGTGCACAGCGAATAGTTGGTACCCGGGTCGCCTCATGGAGCCGTCTGGCACCCTGCAGGCAATGGTCGAGCTCGACCACCCTGGCTTCAGGCCATAACCGATGGTCCAAGATCCGACATGACAAAGGGAAAAATGACGCCATGAAGAGCAAGGCAAGGACGGTGCTATCGCACAGTATCATTCTTGCCTCGAAAAGTGAGCAATCGCGCCACCGCAGCTCAATCTAATCTCAGACGCTAATCCTTCTCACAGTGGGCGGTCCTGACCCGGCATTGAACTCATCACTAGCAATCGCCATCAACAATGCGAAACGGAACCAACTCTCCAAAGACACAATCCAAGCCGCAATCCTCAAAGGCCAAGGCAAATCCCTGAGTGGCCTACCTCTCGAATCTGTCGTCATTGAAGCCATCCTCCCCCACGGTGTCGCGGCCATTATTGAATGCGAAAGCGACAATAAAGCCCGCACGCTACAAGATATCCGTCTCATTGTACATAAAGCCGGAGGAACAATCACACCCACGGCGTTTCTGTTTGAGAGGAAGGGACGAATTCAGTTTGAAGAACAGGACAAGGTCGGGGTGGATGATGCATTGGAAGAAGCGATTGAAGCTGGAGCAATGGATCTTGTGTCTGAAGACGGCAGACTGGTGGTTGAGACAGCCCCGTCTGAGGTCTCTGCTGTTGCTGAGCGTCTGAGTCAGTCGTTGAATCTGTCGGTCGACAAGGCTGAGATTGTCTACGTCCCGAACGAGGATTCGTTGGTCTCTTTGACGGAAGAGCAGGAAGGCGACTTACACCGGATACTAGAGTCGTTGGAGAACGATAATAGTTTTCAAAATTTGTATATTAATGCTGCGGGACAATAGATTATAGATATATATATCAAATCCTAGAAGGCAATCCGTTGTCGTCCTCACCTTGACTCAAACGGCTTTAAGATCCCATTGGTGGGCGTAGAATTGCAACAGTGAGTATTCAGCCCGCCGTGTGAACACGTAGTCAAGCATTGCGACCGTTGGATTTCTAAATACATGTCATCGCCATTTCCTCAAATCCCAAGTTCGAAAAATTGCGTCGAAACATTAAACGACTAACGAATATATGTACGGTGGATCATAACTCCGTCTATATGACACCCTGGCCAGAAACGACACCAGAATAGCTTGTAAAATGAGATCGACCATTTCGTGACACAACGTTTTAATCCAATGGCCGAGAGTTATTCAAAAAGATAGTCGAAATCTGTTCTTTCTCGCCTCGATGTGAGGAAAATTTTTCAAAATGGACCCCGTCACCACAATCACATCATGGGAGCAAGCTTTCGAAAGCCACCGCATCCCTGAAACCAGGGCCATCGAGAAGCAATTGCGGACAAGCGCAACACGCGATAAGGAGAAGTTGAGGAGTCTTGTCGGGTAGGTTGCATTACCACGGTCTTGGGGTGGAACTGTGCCCGCAAGGAATCCAGGGATTTATGACGTGACTAACCTTTTCCACGCAGCGGGAGTTATCGCGATCTTCTTGCCACAGCCGATTTGATTGTGGCATTGGACAAAAGAACCAGGACAGCTGAAGATCATTTATCCTCAATCTCGCATGCTTGTAGGCCACCGGAGCAGGATGCATCGCCGAGTTCTCCATCAGCCGATAAAGTCATCTTGGCCCAGTTGCAACTTTTGCAACGATGTGCCACGACTTCAACTGTCCTTCTTCGGCAGCGGAAAGTATTGCAATGTGCTCGTCTGCTGGTGATATCGCGACTTCTTGTCAAGTCTGTCGGTGATCAGGAGGTAGCAAGTAAACCTTTGGAGTTTTTGAGAAACAAGATCGGCCACATCCGCCGACAGCTTCTCCGACAAGTCGATGCTACTTTGATAAGTCCTCATTCACAACCACCGGATCTCCTTGAGGCGTTGAGCTCCTATTCTTTGGTCACAAATGCCTCTTCGGCTGATGCTCTGGCTCATTTGTTTCAACTCAGACTCGAAAAGTTGCAAAGACATCTAGACTCGACCTCGAACAGCACGGCGGTGGTTGGTGAAGGTCTACGGTATCAAGTGGCATCACTTCAGACCTTCAAGTCATTGATTGGTCGTCCTTTGACAGAAGCTGTGGCCAACCTTCAAAAGAGGCCCATTCTGGCAGAGCCTGTGTTTAGGGACATGGAGTCATTAAATCTGGACAGACTTTGGGTTTTAATTCCTTCGGATATTCAGTCATTTGTGCCTTATTTCAAGAGGACCGTTCTTTCACCAGACGAGATCAAAGCCAAACTCGAGGCATGGTCTCGAGATGCGTGTGCGGCTTTGACACGGGCGCTTGAGAAACATCTATCGAATCTCCGTGATGTTGATCGGGTGCTGGAACTTCGAAAAGAGCTCTATTTCATTCTCTTACCCTTGTACTTCTCGACACCAGCAAGGAATGAGATTCAACACCAGATCAAGACGGCATTGAACGGACGGCTAGACAGCCTGCTTCGAAGTCAAGTTTCACAACTAGACACCATCGTCACCAAGCTTCTCAATGCCGGTAATACAAAGACAAGGTACAATTCACTCTGGGATTCTGAGCTTGCACATTCAGGGGTGAACAGCTCTGGTGGTCGATTTGTGCAACAGGTCAAAGCTCATCATAGTGGGTATCATGAGGCACTCGTGAAAGCAAGCAGATCTCTCAACAAATGGATCACCAGCATCAAGGCCACCGAGGGCTTATTTGAGCAGTTATCCAGAGTGAGATGGCGAGACATGGTAGAGGAACCGGATGAAGAAGATGAGGAGGAGGCTATTCAGATAATCAAAGACTTGAGTCAAACAGACTCGGACGGCTACAAAGAGACTCTCAAATCATCCCTCCATACGGCATTGGAAACATACGAATCGACCGTCACCAAAGCTGCCACAGAGCCCGAGAAGGCAAATACTGAGACCGAGGGTGTGACCATGCTTCTACGGTCAATACGAATGACATCTTCAGCACTCCAGGAGGGGTTTTCAGGTTCAACCAACTTCAGCAGCATGGGTAAAGTTGTTGTGAAATTGCACGAAACCCTAGCGGCAGAAACCATCAAAAAGCTGGCGGCATCAAATGAAGAGGCGGGAAAGAAACCAGGTCAGACGGTTACGTCTTTACCAGAGAACATGCCGTCACCCAGAGCTTTTCTGGTCTTGCAAAAATTATGTGAGATCATGTTCGATATTGGTGGGACGGACATTTGGTCACGACCTGCAGTCTCCAGAGTTAAGGATCACTGTCGAGCTAGGATATTTGCTGCCGAGCATCGATCTTGGTATATGGAAAACGCCTTTGACGAGGCGTACCTCTTGCAGGCCCTCAAGACGACGTCTTCGTCGGACGAAAAGCCAAATGCAGATGCATTACTGCATGAAAAAGCGGCGGCTGAATACTGGACACGAACGAAACTGTTGTTCGGGCCTTTGGCTTGATGTGCTGCACTGGGTGGCTGACAAACTGGCTCAATCGTCGATATTCACTTTTCCCAAGAGGCCAAATACGACATTATGATTGCAACCAGCTGATCAGTATCTTGTCGGGTGGATTCAAGTTGAACTGGTCTCATCGCTGACTTCAACATTGATATCAGTCACGTGTAACACTAAGCCCAAAAAGGCAAAGGATCAATAATGACGCGTGCTCGGTCCAACCCAAACTTCTTTCCAACAAACTAAACTCATCAACCGCGTAGCGAGTCACTTGATGTCGGAGTTGTCCTTCTTCTTGTTGTACTCGTACCACCAAACACGACATCACCACACCTGAACCAATATTTTTCTCACGACATCTAGCCCTCATGATGAAGCACGACTGACCGCCACTCTCATCCTCTCCAAACGGTGTGGCACCATCTCCCCTCTTATCCGCTCACCCCCTCCAACCTCCATCTCTATCTCCCTGTCAACCCACCAAACATGATTACCCACGAGCAAAGCATCCTCGAAGGCCCCGAGACCCCCGCTCCGGTCTTTGCATATCGCGCCTTCAAGTCATATTTCCTCGGCTCACCGTCACCTGAATCATCACCTGATCGACATCCACGTCTAGCGGAGAAAGAAAACATACCCATGGCGAAGTCATCATCGTCAATCCCAAAGCCAGACCCTGCCAAAATTCTAAGCGTTACCACCCATAAGCGTGACACGACCAGTTTCAAGGCAGTAGGCAATGGCCTGGTTTCGCCGGCGAAAGGCATCTTGAAGACACCGGGGTCGGTGCAATCGCCGTATAAGAACCGTAGTGTCAAGTTTGATAGAATCAGTCCGGACACTTTGGAAAGCGAGGATCTGAGAAAAGGTTCTCTTTTCGGCAGACGCGACAGTGAGGCAATTCAATCGGCATCAAAGAACGATACACAGTTGTTATCTGCGGTCGCCAGAGATGTTCCTACGTCTCAACCCGCCAATAAGCGACATAGCAGCTCATCAGTCCCATCCTCGTCAAAACCCACGTCCACAGCCACTTTACGTCGAGCCTCTACTCCAGTCAGTAGTTCGACCAGAGGAGGACACGACAACAGACTACAGCCCTCAAACACTCCACTACTGACTCCCCACTCGCCAATTGCTGATCCCTCGACCGTTCCTTATTCAACGTTTCTACGTTTCAAAGAGACGACTGAGCAAGAAACCAAGAAGTTGATTCGCTATAATCGCAAGATGCGCGACTATGCACGCGATCGAGATGCCGAATGCAGCGATGCACGCATGACGATTCAGAAATTGCAGATGGAAAATGAAACGCTGAAAACGGCCAATGCAAGGTTGAAGCAGGATGCGAGACGACATATGGAGTCGAGTGCTGGTCATATTGATCGAAGCGAGGGAGAAGTGGCGATTGAAAATATCGAGCTTAAGCAGCGGACTTTGGACCTGGAAGAACGAGAAAGAGTGTTGAAGTTGGAATTGAAGAAGGTCAAAACAAAAGCCAAAGAGCTAGAACGACTGTTGGGAACTCATAGTCAAGCACAACACGAACAGCGATCTCAAAGTTCCAAAGCGGAAGTCCATGCTCCGAACAACAAGTCGAGAGGACAACCTGAGCATAAGCGAGAGAAAAGCACCCCGTCAGCCAAAGATGAGCATATCGAGTTAGATGTCAACGATGGTCATCACGTTGAAGCCGAGTATTTTCAACACCACGAAAAAAGTCCCGCAGCGACGACCATCCCTCGACCTCACTCCTATTCCTACTCCCACAGCCAATCCTATTCTCATTCGCAATCTCACCACCGAGCCAGCGCTCCACGTCCTCAAAGCTACTCTCACCAACCATGCGTGTCATCATCATCCCACCAGCAGCCTAAAGAACCAACTTCCACCTCCACCACGACAAATACACCCAAGCCCAACACTCTCAAGCCAACAGCCACCGGTAATACCAACATGGACGCATCACGAGCAGCAGCAGCAAGAGAACGACTAAGACTACGATCAGAGAATCGCAAGATCAGTAACGCTGGTAGCACGGACGTTGGGATTGACCAAAGGGAAGGACTACGAGACAAAGACAAAGACCGAGATCGAGAGAGTCAACTCGATTGGGAGAATTTGTAGCCAGATTCATAGGAGTCGATTATTGATCATCGTTCTGTCACGCGTCATTGTGATTTGCTATACATGAAAGAGTCCTCACTTGACCTTCACAATGTATTTGAGAAGGAATTCAAAGAGTCTAGTGGGGATAACCATGCCCAATCAGACTGTTACTATTCGATATTTGACAATCGATACAACATCTGTTTAAATAAACCAGGGCTTGGTTTGTTGATTCATCATTCGATTCCCTCCACACTATCCTAAATGCTCCTCATACTCCGTCTGAGTACCCTGAACACGAGTCGGCGTCGTATATCTCGCGGCATTTTCCGCCTGGATTTTCTCCTCCTGAGCCTTGGCCGCAGCTTTCCGTTTCTTCTCCGCTTCTTCCCTTTCACGTGCTTTGATCGAGCTGTAGTTCAATGTACTGATGATCATAACTAGATAGAGGCAAACAAGTTAGTTAGGAGTTAGGGACTTGGAAACAAGAACCAAAGAGGAAACCAATTGATTTCTGAAGAAGAAGAGGAGGAGGAGGAGGAGGAGGAATTCTTATACTTACAAGCACAAACCCCGATCGCAAAAGCGGCTCTCCTTGTCAAAACCCACCTCAATCCCTCCACCTCACCCTTAGCCTCACTATTCAACAAAACCGTGATTTCATAATTAAGCTCCTGAATCTTGGAATCGATTTTTCTCTTGTCTTCCTGTAACCCGAGTTTACGATCGTTGAACAAAGCCTTCAGATCTTCTCGCAAGGTAAGTAAATCCTGGGTTACTTTTTGATTGAGAATATCATGTTCATGTTGTAATTGGGCGCGTTGGGATCGTTGAGCTTGGGCTTCGGAATGGCGTGCGGTTTGTAATGTGGTGCGGAGTTCGGAACATGCGGCGCGGAAGAGGTAGGATTCGTTTTCGATGTCGGATTTGGACACCAGACCTTCCTTGGCGACGTCGAGGTTGAGCGCGAGCATTAACCGGATGGCTTTCATCACTGTGATGGCTTGTTCTTCCGTGTAGGCCGAGGCGAGTTGTTGAACCAGGCCGTAGGTGTCGAAATGGTGTTCGTAAGGGGAGGGTTCGAGATGGGGGTGTCGTGAGGAATCTTGTTGGCCTTTGACCTCCGAGGGGGAGGGGATAGAGAGAACCATGTCGAGTTCTTTGTTGGTTAATGGGGATTCGTCTTCGGGTTTGATTTGGTGTTTTTGGGGGCGGGAGAACGAGGCTTCGTCTATGTAGTCGGAGGATGTGTTGGAATCCTGTGGTTCATCTTGTCCGACGCCTTGGTCATTTTCCGTGTGAGATGGGGATTTGGATTTGTTTTCTTTGGCAGGTTCTGCGTCCGACGCTGAGGTTTCACTTCTTGCGTCCTTGACATTGTCCTTCTCCTTCTCCTTCTCCTGGTCCTTGTCCGCCTTTACTACCTGATCCCCTGGTTTCGACGGTGGAGGAAGATTTTGCGTCGCCGCCTGTCCATACCGTTGTGTGATAGCGTCTTGAGGTCGTCGACGGGTGGAGTGAAATCCAGCCTTGCGAGTTTTGACCGCTGGAGGAGGGCTCCGCAACGATCGGTGAGTGGTTGGTTCGCAGGCGCGCACAGCTCGTAAAAAGTTGGGATAGAGGAATGAGAGGCGAGGGGTACTCATCGTGGAAGGCAGGACTGGTCTTATGGAGGTAGGTGTTATTGCAAAACAGAGCCAGTGCTAGTGCATATTGGATGCTATGAGAGACCTGAGAGGGAGTATTGGAGGGCCATGGTCGTCGATACTCATAGCTTACTTGCTCGACGGTCATGCCTGAGTGCCATGAAACTTGGAGTATGTGTTGTGCAGCCACAATCTTGAAGCCTGATCACGTGGGTTCAGGTGGCGGTGGCTCATTGTGGAGAAGCTTTGAAAGTGTGGTTGTGGTATTGGTCACGTGGACTTCAGACATGGGGATGGTATATGGCTTGTCATAATTCTCAAGTGAGATTACTGAGGTAAGGCTATAGAATAAGATATAACATCTTTGACATCAAATTACCCTAAGGACTTGCGCGGGATAGTTCTTGGTGGACTACAGTGGAGGGCAAGGTAGAGATGTTCTGATCACGTGATACGTAAATTCAACAGTTGGTTGTCTATCAAATCTTCCGCAACAGTGAAATGTGAGAACCGCTGGTTTACTTCAACACCGACGGAATGGCTAGACCATGCTCATTGGGGCTAGGATTAATGGGCTCCCGAGAGTGATTTAAGCCTAGAACGAGCAGGAAATGCTGACCCTTCTCAGGAAACAATAGAGAGAGAGAAGACGCTAAGCCTAATTTGCGATTCCACCGGTTATGGAAGAGATCGATCCGATGAGAACTCCCAAGATACAGTACCAAGCACAAATGAACAGCGGAATTGAAACCCACTAGACTGCAGCCGCGGAAGATCCAGTATTTACCACCTGATGCCCATGGCCATTTCAACTATCCGGTCGAGAGAGCAGGTCAGCCTCTTCGGCAGAATATTCTGGCGCTGTGACTCGCCATGTATGTACTTCAATACATTCCGATGGCAAGCGTCGATACAAGTCACCTGCCGTGCTTGACCTCCTCGTAGTCTGTCTCCGAGTTTCGGCCTAGTTTACCATGAAAGTCATCACACGGAGTGCTCGATACAGCAACATCACCTTCCTGTCTAGATCCGAGACATGGTCCACGAAACGTCGCTCGGAAACAGTCCCACAGCCCTCGCTCCGCGTTCGATGCACGGCATTGTACAGGAGTAGTAATAGTACCTAGAGGGGCCAGTCCGAACAAGCACCGTTCCTACGGGCCGACATAGGTTTCTGAGACGAGTGGCATGTTATGAGCTGGTTGTAACTACGGCATTTGCCCTGGTCTATACAATGATGATGTCTGAGGAGGGAAATTGTCGATGAGCAACAGTGCGGGGAGACACGTGAGGACAATCACACGCTCATATATCATTTGCCGTCAATTATAGTCGAAAGATCTACTCTGAAGCCCTGGTTGCAATTGCATAAACAAATGGTCATAACGACGTATCAACAATAAAGTGCCATGGCCCAGTGGCCTGTGAACCTAATGATCTAATCCCCATCGGATACTATGAGGTGGGGCTGGACGAGGGTTGCACAGGGAATTTGCTCGGATTGCTCCGCAAAGAAGAGGGGGGAATGAGGGAATAGCGAGCTGGAAGCATGGCGTGGCAGTGATTTTCTCACGATGGGTTCGAAATGATATAAGAGTTGACGTCCGTCCGAGCGAGAGGATTTTTGAAATAGATGTGACATTCCATTCTTGATTCTTTCTTCGCCTTCCAACCCAACCCAGCCTTGGAAGTCTTTTGAGATTCTATCGGAACCCCAGACCAAGTCAGGTGTGTATAGTACCCTTCCTTTACCCTTCATCCTCTGTCTTGTCTTGTGTTTTCTTGTGTCGCGGCTTCCTCGTTGTCTATTTCTCCTTTCGGTCACTTTCTCCCGCAGGAGCGAGCCGTGAGTGTGACTTGACGGAAAGAGCAAGTACCGACTAGCACCTGCCTTGTTGTCTGAGTTGGGATGTTCCGAGCGCAGCTGCACCTTCCCCTCTTTCTGCGTGTCGGATAGGTCCTTCCCCCACTCCACCACTGCGACTGCACCACATCCACATTTTATTCCATCCAAACGCGTCCCTTTGCCTCCTCTCAGGTCCCTGCAGCGCCTCTTTGTCTCTACCCGAGAGAGATCAGAGATCAGAGATGCCTCACGGGCCATGGGCGAGGGTTCGCCTGATCCCTGTCATGTCTACTTCCCCCATGCATCTCCCACTTGTGAGCATCCCCGCTAACTCGTCATCTCATTCAGTTAGTCCCATTACCCCAGGCTTAAAAGCTCTACCGGCGGAAAGTTGACAGTCAACAGGTCTCCTTGGATACCGTCTGAATAAATACTCTACCCGCCAGTCCTCTTCACCGACAATCTACTCATCTTTCAATATCCTCTCTAATTATTTGAGAAACAGTCTTCACAATGGTATTTGCCCGCGTTGCTTCACGCTCCCTGCGTTCCTCCACCTTTTCTCCTCTGGCTTCCACTTCCCCGCACTCCACTTTCGCCAGACGCGCTGCACAACCATCGTTTCTTCCTACTCTAGCCAAACGCACACTAACAGCATCTGCTTCTCGTCAGGGCAAAGTTCTTCTCGTCCTATACGATGTAAGTCATGACAACCATATCCCAACCTTTGATCTTGCTTCTGACTCGTTCTAGGGTGGTGAGCACGCCAAAGACCAACCCCGTCTGCTCGGAACCACCGAGAACGAGCTAGGTATCAGAAAATGGTTGGAAGATCAGGGCCACACCTTGGTCACCACCTCAGACAAGGAGGGAGAGAACTCCAAGTTCGACCAAGAATTGGTTGACGCCGAAGTCATCATCACCACTCCGTAAGAGGCCCACCTCGACCGTCATTCTCCCTTGGTCCTAATACTTCTGTCTTCCAGTTTCCACCCTGGCTACCTGACTGCCGAGCGTCTCGCCAAAGCAAAGAAGCTCAAGATCGCCGTCACTGCCGGTATTGGCTCCGACCATGTTGATCTCAACGCTGCCAACAAGACCAATGGAGGTATCACTGTCGCCGAAGTCACCGGCAGCAATGTCGTCTCCGTCGCCGAACACGTCGTCATGACCATCCTCACTCTCGTCCGCAACTTTGTCCCTGCTCACGAACAGATCGAGCGAGGAGACTGGAACGTTGCCGCCGTTGCCAAGAACGAATATGATTTGGAAAACAAGGTCGTCGGCACCGTTGCCGTTGGCCGTATTGGAGAGCGTGTTCTCCGACGTCTCAAGCCCTTCGACTGCAAGGAGCTCCTCTACTTTGACTACCAGCCCCTCAAGCCCGAGGTTGAGAAGGAGATTGGCTGCCGAAGAGTCGAGGACTTTGACGAGTTCCTTGCTCAGTGCGATGTTGTCACCATCAACTGCCCTCTCCACGAGAAGACCCGAGGTCTGTTCAACAAGGAGACCATTAACAAGATGAAGAAGGGTAAGCACCACCGTTCCATTTGCTCCTTCAAGTGACTCCCCACTAACACGTCCGTGACAGGTGCCTGGCTCGTTAACACTGCCCGTGGTGCCATCGTCGTCAAGGAGGATGTCGCCGAGGCTCTCCGCACCGGTCAGCTCAACGGCTACGGCGGTGACGTGTGGTTCCCTCAACCCGCTCCCGGCGACCACCCTCTGCGAACTGCCAAGAACCCCTGGGGAGGCGGAAACGCCATGGTTCCTCACATGTCGGGCACATCGATCGATGCTCAGGAACGGTACGCCGCAGGTACCAAGGCCATCTTGGAGAGCTACTTCTCCGGCCGAGAAGACTACCGCCCCGAGGATCTCATCGTCCACAAGGGTGACTATGCCACTAAGGCATATGGCCAGAGAGAAAAGAAATAAATGCGGTATGATTGACATGTTTTATCTGGACTTGATCGGTCTCGGTTAGGTCAGCAGAGGTGCGAAGCGAATAATATGCTTGCAGCGTTGTGAGCCATGTTTCAAATGCTACCAAGTGCTATGACTTTGACTTTGGAAAAAATTATCATGTTGTAAAGTCTATGCAAAATTCAAAAAGCTATCGGACCATCCCCGGTCGATGCGTGGTTCAATGTCTGTCTGCGTGAGATCTTGGTTGAATCTTTTTCATGTCCTCGTATCGTCATTGCATTGTCACTGCAAAATCGTCGTGTGTCCTGCCTGTCCTTGGTCTACACTTCCCAGACGCATTGTTGTCTGCGAGTGTTGCCGAGACTATCCACGTCTGACTAGATTTGTGGCTCAAGCCTCGATTCGATTTTGACCAGATCGATCAGAACTTGACGACCACAATCTCCAAACGTTCATTCTGACCGATAATCCATCTCTCGTCGCCGGCAATGCGACCCATGACGCCAATCTGACGGGTCCAGACGTCAGCCAGGGTGACCCAATCGCCAATAGCGTCGGCCTTGATTCGGGCAACGATGCGATTATCGAGACTTTGACCGGTGAAACAAGTTTCGACCAGGCTGAGACGGACGCGTGCTTCAGAGTCGACAACGTCCATGATGGGTAGGAACCACTTGTCGCTCTCCTCGACCTGTTCGCTCTCCATCGTACAGTGGCCACGATATGGCGGTAGATTGCCGTCCCATTCGCGCACCAGCACGGGTCCATTGGCAGAAAAAGGAAAACTCGTCGTTTTCGCACACCATAACCGTTCTGCGGGGTCGAAGTACCCTTGACCGGACACACCGGCGTTTTCCCGTACTGTCAATGTCTGTGATGGTGAGTCTAGATGTAATGACATGAGGGCCACGCTGGCGTGTTGCCGGATTCCGATGAATTCCATGTCTGTGAAGGAGAACCGCGACACGATGTACGGTCCGGCTTTTTCAGGTGGTCGGAATTTGCCTGCTGGGTCGGTTGATGGTTGGTAGGGTGATGGGGTCGATATGTCCCACACCGAGAGTGATTCGATTGGCATCTCCTCATCACCGGTGTACATGCTTCGATTCGGCTGCCAGAAATAGACGGCGTAGTGTTGTGAGTTGTGTGTTGAGAAGAATCGATCGTGGTAGTTGGGTGGTAAGCCGAGGAAATGCATCTTCCATTCTGAGCGCCACGTGATCTGCCATTCGCCGTCGCGTTTCTGCACATCGAAGCAATTGGCAAAGTGACGATTGACTTGTTCCATGGCATTGAGATTGTGAAAAGGGTCTTTCTCCGCCCACTCGACGATGAGCGTCGAATCCTTGAGTCGTATGTTTCGGATGATCTTGCCTCGGATATCAAAGGGAACGGGATATCGATCTCCAGTGGCTACGTCAAGAAGGGAGAGGATGTGAGGAAAGCCGTCATCCTCGATGTCCTGGGCTGGGGCATACACTAGCACACCATCGTCGTAGGTCCACAGTGTTGGTCGAAATAGATACGGTTTGGCCCCCACTCTACTCAGATGGATCGCGGCCGTCTCGTAGTATAGGCGACCACCGGGCTGGCTCTCATGGTAATCCCACTGACCAACAGGGAACCAATCCCCTAGCTGCTCCAAAGGGGCCATGGGATATTTGACGGCCTTCGCCGCGCTTCCCAAGGAGAGGTTGTCATATCGTGTCGCGACCAGATCGAAAACACGCTTCCAGTCGGTCTTGTCGCTTTGGCAGCCGTGAAAGTGTAATGCCTCCGGGGTTAAACCCCTGACTTCTCGGGCGTAGGAATACCGTTGAAGGACCAGTCGAAGATACTCAGGCTTCGTAAACACCCTCCGCCATGAGACTGAGACGCGTTGACAGTTGAGTACATCCCACGCGGCCAGATCTTGTAAGATCAACAGAAAGACATCCTGCGGAAGCTCTGGGAGCGATATAAGAGGGGCTGCCGCGATAGGCACTACGAGACTAGGGCCAGTCTTTGCGAGTAATAGTGGCGTTGTCGAGCGCATAGTTAGGACATCCGTGTCCTGGAGAAGGCACAAGGGCATCATGAGCGAGTGGACGGATCTTGCAACGAGTGGCCGGCCGAGCAACGCATCGAGAAGCTCGAGTCTTCGCTCATCGCTAGAGCCTGGAGGATTTAGGACATTGAGGTCAAGGATTGTTGTTGATGTTGATGTCGCAGGTTGATTGTGTAGAAAGTACTGGTGACGCGGGGCTTTACCTGTCCAACGGGCAAAAGGGAAGACTGCGCAAGCATGAGGTCGTTGTAGTCGTCTCGGGCATTACTTGAAATCCGTGGAGCTCCCAAGCTCCGTCTCGCGGTCGAGAAAAAGTCCCACTCGGATTGGATGATGGGTCTTTTTGACGACAGGAAATTGATCCAAAGTGAGGGGGTGGATGGAAGCGTGAAGGGGGGAGGGGATGGAGGGAGATGCTCAGATAAATTCGTCGCGTCGTGATTGGTCTGGGGAAAGCGCGGCCGGAGAAAGGGGCAGTACAGTGAATCATGACACAAGGAAGTGCAGTGTCTCCGTCATCGTGTGAGTAAGCCGCTCACGTGATCATTTTCTCAACTTGGGAAGCTCCTGCCATATTTCTGGCGGTTGTGCGACCCCTCACTTGCCACTTTTTGATTGATGAGATTTGCTCTTTCCCTCTGGCTACCGGCTGGTCGAGATTCTCACTTGCCAAGTTGGGTAAGAATTCTCCTGTTCGCCATCACTTTCGCAATCGCAGAATCTAACCGCCTGGCCCAGCCACAGCGGGGATATTTTGGTCATTCATAGCGATACAACCAAAAAATGATCGCCCAATGTACGGAGTAGCAGTCCAGCTCGATAGCCGTTTGGTCACTGAATCAAATCTCGTACTCTGCTAGCAGACATGTCATGCTTGTCCTAAGGCGTGCGCGGTGCCGCGCCTAAAGCGTTAATTTTCAAGCGCGGTTATCATGAGATGGGCATTCAATGCCCTTTCGTCCTGGCCTGCTCCGGGCAACGCGGGGAGTCATCAAAGTCCTAAGCACACACCCAATGACACCCCCAGCTCCCCGTAAATAGCCGGGCCGGCGTCCCTCTCGTATCAAAGTTTTTGGTCGTGACTCAAGACTTTTGCTTCTTTATTTTCTGCGATTGCTCTGCGCTTCGTCAAGACAACTTCACCAGTCTCTCCTACCTCCCAACCCACAATTACCTCGTGCATTGTTCTCTCCCGTCCTTTTAAGCACAATAATGGTCATTAACGACAACAACATGGCCTCCGATACCATCCCCGTCAGCGCCACCAATGGCACCTCATCCTCTGCCGTAACATCCTTCACCGTCAAGGCCGGTCTGGCTCAGATGCTCAAGGGTGGCGTCATTATGGACGTCGTGAATGCAGAGCAGGCCCGTATTGCCGAAGAAGCCGGTGCCTGCGCCGTCATGGCCTTGGAAAGAGTTCCTGCAGATATCCGAAAAGATGGTGGAGTGGCAAGAATGTCAGACCCTCAATTGATCCGAGAGATCCAAGCCGCCGTGACCATCCCCGTCATGGCAAAGGCCAGAATCGGCCATTTTGTCGAGTGCCAGATCCTCGAGGCCCTCGGCGTCGACTACATTGACGAGAGTGAAGTTTTGACACCCGCCGATGACAAATTCCACGTCGAGAAGACACCTTTCAAGGTCCCCTTCGTCTGCGGCTGCAGGAACCTTGGAGAAGCTCTCCGAAGAATCAGCGAGGGAGCCGCCATGATCCGAACAAAGGGCGAAGCTGGTACTGGTGATGTGGTCGAAGCAGTCAAGCACATGAGAACAGTTAACCAAGACATTGCCCGAGCGCAAGCCGCTCTGTCTGAAGGAGAGGGTGCCATCCGAGCTCTGGCACGAGAATTCGAGGTTGACCCCGTCCTCCTCAAGCAGACAGCTGAATTAGGAAGACTTCCCGTCGTCAACTTTGCCGCCGGAGGCATCGCCACACCTGCAGATGCAGCCTTGATGATGCAACTGGGATGTGACGGCGTGTTCGTCGGAAGTGGTATCTTCAAATCTGGGAACCCAGCAAAGAGAGCAAAGGCCATTGTCCAAGCCACCACCCACTACTTGGACGCCAAGGTCCTGGCTGAATGCAGTGAAGGTCTTGGAGAAGCCATCGTCGGCATCAACTGCGGCACCATGGCACCAACTGAGAAGCTTGCTGGTCGTGGTTGGTAAATATCAAAGACAAGGCATCTTCTGGCGTATGGGTTGCGAGAGCAAATGGTCATTAACTTCAATCGGAGTTTTGTAGACAGATGTAAATATCGTCACACAATGAAATATAAGCGGCACTTCGAGATTGGTAATGTCCCTCGTTCAAAGCACCAGATCCTCCAGCACAGCCTCCATCTCGTCTTTAATCAGCGGAACCCCCAGCATCTCTGTTCCGCTGGAATCCCGTTTACTCGTAATCATCTGATGGTCGTGGAACTCTTTGAGGAGGAACTGAAAGTTCATGCTGCTCGAGCAGATGAATTCCTCGGATGCCTTCTGGTACAACGTTCGGTACTCGATTCCTACCTCGTCGGCAGGTTCCCGAGACGTCTTTTGTCCGTCTCCGTTCGGCTGCCTGTCTCCCAAGATGGTCAGGATCTCGGAGAGTAGCACTCGGTAGAGATTGCGTGCGTTTTCTGGTAGCGATTTGAGGACGAATCCAATGCCTTCCTTGCCACCCACACGAAGTTTTTTCCGGCCCAAGAGATCATGAACTTCATCGACAACCTGGATCTCCGCCGTGTATGGAGTAAATGTGGTGGAGTCGTGAAACACAAATTTGAACTGGTTCAACAGAGATGAATTCCATAAACTAGGAAATGTTGGGGTGTCGGCCGTAGCAACGAAATGGATCAAAGGGTGGTCCGCAAGTCGAGCTAACACAGACTGAGCAGATGCACGTCGGATAGGGGAGGCATCAATCGAATTGACCATGACGATGAGTTGAGATCGAGGTGGGTGATCGGCAATATATTCGAACAAACCGTCAACCAGTTCATGAGGCTGCCCGACCAGCCGCAAACGTTCTTCTTCGCCCACCAAGGCTGACGCTACAGCATTGACGATGCCTCTAACATTCAGCTTTGCGGTGTAGCCATTGACGATGACAATGCGTGGAGGTATCTTTGAATTCTTATGGAGCCATTCCGCAAAGTTGCTGACCAACTTGCGTTTGCTGCCATATCCATAGAGACAAAGACCAAATCCTTGAGAAAGTTCAAATCGCCATTGGGGGAAGGACCTGGCATGGAGCTTCATGAGGTGGGCTTTGTCGGGGTCATGATGGTCTTTGTATGTTTGCATCTGGCTCTGAAATTCCTCCAGGTTCAACAATTTGACTGAATTGAACTTGTTGCTTGAAATTTGAGGCGGGCCTGCACGGTTTTGATAAAAGTACCGTTCTTCAGGAGGAATGTCTCCTTCTGGTGTAGGTGATCTTTTATTTTTGGCCCCTTTTGGTCGTCCACGTTTGCCCGGCGTCTTTACTGGAGTTGTAACGTTGGTGTCGATAGCTTCGTCACCAGGCTGCTTGGTGAGAGCATCATCTTCCGCCCGTTCTTCCTCTTCCTCTTCCTCGTCTAGTATAGCCCTGGCCAATGCATGCTCGCCATCCCAATCATCATCCTCGTTGGCCTGAGCAAGAATTTGTGCACTTTTGCGTTTGGCCGATCGATCAGCTCTTTTGGATTTTGAAGGTGTCTCAGTCAGGGTTCTTTTCTTTCTGGGGGTCGAGAACAAGGTTCTTCCATTGGATTTTGGCGCCGGTTCGTCTTGGTCGGTTTCCTCTACCTCAAAGAGGGTGGTTGTAGTTGTGTTTTTTCGTTTAGGGCGTGATGAGCCTATGTTCTTGGTAGGCGTGCCATTTACGAGCGGCTCCTCCATAGAATGAGCGTCCGCCTGCGTCCCGTTTGTGAGAGGTATATCGTCTTGCGGGTTTCGTCTTGGGCGTTTAGAAGGGGTTTGGGTTGGTTCAGTCGCCGTTTCTGGCGCTTTTCGTTTGGCCATTTTCTTGTGATGATGAGAACTATTCACTCAAACATGTTTCCAGCCCATTGAAAGATTAATTCAAGCACCGGTTTGTGGGTATTCAAGCACCGTGTCACAGGGGATGTAATAAGGCTTCACAACGCGGTCAAAGTCCACGTTAACGCGGGCTCCTTCCCTCTTTACACGACTCCGCAAATCTCAGTCTATGATTGGCTGGAGCTTGACCCGCAAAGATTCTTCGGCAGAGATTCAAAGACTCAAAGATTGCTTCTTTAGCAAGTGACTCACAGTCTTGACTTCTGCTAGGATCCCAGACCCTGGCATCAATTTCATGATGATAGCTTGGTGATAACTCACACCTCAGAGATCTTGAAACCTGCGAAGTACTCGAAAGACTGGGGATAGAGGCCGGCCCAGTGATTCACACCTTCAACTCACCCCTCTACGACAACCTTACGGTGTAGTCCTTCAAGATGGTGACACCGACTTCATCAAGTGCCGGCGCCCGGTCACTCATCAGGACCTTTGTCCGTCATTACTCTGCTCCTGTGGACTCTTCAATTCCAGCTTCCAAAGTCAAATATGTACCCACATCTGGCACATATCCCAAAGGATTCAACGTTTCAGCTACATACGTTGGCGTCAAGGCAGCCAACAAATCCAACCCTGACCTAGCATTCATCACGTCAGATCGACCTGCATTTGGCGCTGCAGTCTTTACGACCAACAAATTCCAAGCCGCACCCGTCCAAATATCTCGATCCGTCCTAGAAAAACGAGGCGGCGCCGGCATCCGCAGCATCATCATCAACTCAGGCTGTGCGAACGCCGTCACAGGAAAGGGCGGCATGGAAGACGCGCAAGCCATGTCTGACACAGCAACTGCACAATTCCAACAATCATCTCAACCAGAAGACGGCCAAGGATCCAACAGTCTCGTCATGTCGACAGGAGTGATCGGTCAACGACTCCCCATCAAGAAGATTCTCTCTAAGATCCCTACCGCCCACTCCAATCTCGCCGACACTCATGCTGCCTGGCTAGCGACCGCCAAAGCAATCTGCACGACCGACACATTCCCCAAACTCCTCTCCACTACATTCCGACTCCCGTCCCATCCAGACACAGAGTACCGCCTTGCCGGCATGACCAAAGGTGCCGGGATGATCCATCCCAATATGGCCACTCTCTTGGGAATCCTCGCCACCGATGCATCCATCTCCGCCACGGCATTACAAAGCCTGTTGACCAACGCCGTAACTCAATCCTTCAACTCCATCTCCATCGATGGCGACACATCCACCAACGACACAGTCGCCATCCTCGCCAACGGCGCCGCCACACCCTCCCCATCCACCCCATCAATCTCCTCCCCCGAGTCCGAAGACTACATGGCCATGTCTCGCATCCTCACTGAATTCTCGCAAAAACTATCCCAACTCGTCGTTCGCGATGGCGAAGGCGCCACGAAATTCGTCCAAGTCACCGTCAAAAACGCCACTAGTTACGCCGATGCAAAACTCATCGCATCAACCATCGCACGGTCACCACTGGTCAAAACAGCCCTATACGGCAAGGATGCCAATTGGGGCCGTATCCTCTGTGCGATTGGATACACGCCGAATCTGTCTGAGGGGGCCGTGGTGCCGACAAAGACGAATGTTTCGTTCATCCCGGCATCGAATTCAAAGTCGAAAGATGAGGGGGTGTTGAGATTGTTGGTCAATGGTGAGCCGGAGACGGTGGATGAAGATCGGGCGTCGAGGTTGTTGGAAGATGAGGATTTGGAGATTGAAGTCGATTTGGGAACGGGTAGCGAGGAGGCCAAGTATTGGTTCTGTGATTTCAGTCATGAGTATGTTACTATCAATGGTGATTATCGTACATAGAAAGTAGAAGTTTGCTTGCGGAGGGAGTGGTGTAAGTAGACTCAACAGATATGAAGGTGGTGTTGGTGGTGGTGGTGGTGTGGGTTGGTAGATTATGGAATATATATATATCGAAAGATGAATCCACCCAACAAAGTCTATGGCACTTAAGAATCTCGAAGATAGCACAGCACTTACATTAGATCGATCAATTGTTCGTTCATACACAAACACGTCAAATACTTGTACATGACTACAGTCTTCAGGTACATAAGGTACTAGGTAGATACCTGGTAGCCGAGATTTTTCATTCTTTCGCTCTCCGTGTTTCTTTTTTGATCATGTCATCCGCGTCCATGTCCAACAGTCCACATAACCCAACCAGCCCCCAAGTTCCCATTCCCAGGCAAAGGGAAAACGGAAACCTCAAAACCACAAATGATCCTTGACGCTATGCAGCGATGTATGGGAAGGAGGAAAAGAGCATTGCTTTTTGGATTCTCGATGTGGATGATGTCGTGACTAGGCTTGTCCTCCACCCATTCTCTCCTTCCAACCCCGTATTTCGCCCTCTCATCTCTCCCTTGTTTCCTCATCTCACTCCCAGACATGTTGGGAGGGAAAGTAATTTTTCTAAATCTGATTTGTGGGGTTAGATTATTCTCCAGATGAAACCACCAACGTTCTGGATATGTAATCTAAGCAATAAGCCCCTTGAGATTGGCACCGAAATCGCCCTCCTTGGCGGCGATTTCAAAGTAGCCATAGATGATGGTGACGGCCAACAGAATACCGGTGCCGCTTCCAAGAGCGCCTAGCATATCGGATGCGACGGACAAAGCGCCAATGCAGGCACCGCCAAAGGCGGCAGCAGTGGGGATGACACGCTTGAGTTCCTTGTACATGCTCTGTTCACGATGACCGGCCATGACGAGACCTTGTTCCTTGAGTTGCTTGGCCACGTCACGTGGGGCAGAGCCGGAGACCTCGATCCAGGTCTTGGAGAAGATGGCACAAGTGACGATGATAAAGGTGATGTAGATGACAGTGTGGATTGGGTCGAGCAGTGCGTCGGTGAAGCTGTGAGGAGGGGACATATAGTAGGCGACACCACCAGAGGCAAACAATTGCGATGATCCTTCCTTGGGCTCCCAGGTTCCGATGAGCTTGACGAGGAGGTTGTCCGAGAAGCGGGTGTACAGCATTTGGCTGATCATGAAGATGTTGGAGGCCAATGCTGATTGCAGCATGATGGGCATGTTGGAGGTGTAGAAGAGACGAATAGGGTATGAGCCACGCATTCCGCGCTGGCGGGAAGACTTGACGGGGATCTCGACGCGGAAACCTTGGAGGTAGATGACGGCGGCAAAGACGGTCAAAGTGGCGAGCAAGTTCATGACATTGGGGAGATGTTGTCGGTAGAATGCTTCGCGGAGGGCGCGAGTCTTGTCTGGCCAGGTCACCAACAGGTGGAAGAGGGCAATGACGGCACCTTCGAATTCTTTGCCACGTCCAGTGTCGATGGTGGTTGGGGAGAATGCCTTCCAGATGATGGACTCGCAGATGTTGGTGGCAATGAAAAGCGAAATACCAGAGCCCAAACCGTATCCCTTTTGCAACAGCTCATCTAGCAGAATGACCACCAAACCGGCGAGGACCAACTGCACAATCAAGAGGAGACAGATACCGGCGCCCAAGTCGCTGGGCTGGCCATATAGACCGGTCAGAACAAAAACGCAGGCTTGTCCGAAGGAGAGGATGATGGCAAAGAGCTTTTGCGCGGTTTGGTAGAGTTCACGGTCGGATTTGAGGTCGAGGTTGACATCGATGAGGTGGGTTCCGGCGAGTAGCTGGCCAGGTGCGTTAGCTAATGTGGTTCCGCATGGTGTTGAACGAGGATATGGGTGGTACGTACCTGGAAAACCATGCCAGAGGAAATAATGGGTGTTGTACCCAACTCCATCAGGGTTCCTCTGTTACTGGCCAACATCATACGGAGCCAATAGATGGGATCCGAAGTATCAGAAGAGACAATGCCATACAGAGGCATTTGGCTCATGACCAAGAAGATCAAAAGAGTGCACTGAGCGCGTGGTCAGCGTGTCGTGTTGGTAGTGTGTGTGGGTGCAGCTGGATTTCTTACTCCTGTCCACATCAACTTTTGATTGAAATTGATTTTGGACTCTGGTGCAGCCACCTCGGGTAGGAGGGGTGTAAAGGGTTTAATGAGATCGAGGAAACGAACTGTGTAAATGGTGGTTAGTTGGTGTTTATGAGATGTAATTGCTCAACCACAATTGAGGATGCGGTCGCAGGATGGAATTACTCACGTCCGCTCATGATGAAGGATTGTCGCAGGCAGGCGGATTAGCTAGGTCAAAGCTGTGAGGAAAAGGAAAAGGATGTAAGGAAGGGAGTGAAAGAAGAGTGAATTGCGTGGTGTAGAAGACCAGCAAGAGAGGGATTGGATTGATGAAGCGTGTGTGCAAGGACAAGCTGGCGTTAGTGATAATGTGGGCTGGTAAATCAATGCAGGCGAGTGCTGGTGCTGGTGCTGGTGCAGTTGCCAGTGCGGCTGCCAGACTCAAATGTCCAAACTACTCCGTATGGTAGTATGAAGTGTGGAGTGTGCGAGTGCTAATGACGACTAAGCATCGAGTAACACGGCGATTTAGGCTGTGATGACTGAGATATAGGGAGTGGCTAGGGAGTGGCTAGGGGAGATGTGGAGGGTCGAAGGGCTACGAGGGCCAAAGGGGAAGCCTGGATGGAGAGCTTGTCACTGAGAAGGCACTTGAAAGTCCCCTGAACAGACGTCAGAATCTCAGAAACAGGAGGTACGGAGACTCTGATAGGCCAAAGCTCCGTGCTGTAAACGATGATTTGTTTGGCCTGAGGACACTTTGGACTTTTGGACTTTTGGACTTTGGAGAAATTGGAGGTACAAGAAAGTGCCAAGGTCTGATTACTGTCGTGTAGGCGTCATGGGTGTTTATGAGTTGCCCTACAACATCTACAGCTAATGGTTCAGTCCATAAGCGCACTCTGATATGGTTTTCAATGTGTTTCAATTCATGTTGGCACTCTGATGCCACCCTAATGCTTTCATAACTCGTGACTCATTACCATTGATGACCTGAACCCAACCCAAGACACAAAACAATCCCATTTCCCAAGACCTTTAGTCTCATTTGTCCTCCAGGAGCTCTCCGGTTAGAGCAAGCCCCTTTGCCCTATTGTTCCCAGGGCCATGCATGGTTGGAGTCATCTGGCTCCCCCTCGCTGTCTTCGTCCGAAGAAGCGTCCTCCCAGCCGGCCAGGTCTTCTTCGGACTCTTCCGAGCCCTGTTCTGGCCCAGAACCCGCAGGCGAATTGTCGCTGCTATTGTTGTTGATGGTGCTTTCCCACGCGAAGGGGCCTTCATTGCCGTTGCCGTTGTCGTTGTCGGCACCCCAGCCCCACTCAGCTCTCACAACGCCTGAGAGGTGGCAGATTTCACCCCAAACATCACCCAATCTGATTGGGAAGAGGCGGTCGATGGCCGTAGCCCGGTCCCAGGCCAAGACGATCCGGCGCTCGTCATCGAGCACCGCTTCCTGCTCTTGTCGGTTCTTGATCGCAAACTCTGGCAGGAAGGGCTTGAGATCTTGGGGAGCCACCCGGAGGTGGTCGGCGAAGCGTGCTCTGAGGGCGCTCACCACGTTGTACAGGTAGTCTCGTTGGGCGGCGAGGTCTCTGATGACGAAAAATTCATAGCCCATGTTTTCAACGCAGAGGTTTCGATCCAATATGGCCTCATACGCCTCGGTCCATGAATTGCCCGCCCTCCAAATGAGGGCCCTTCTCTCGTCCTCGAGTTGGGCGATCTTGTCTGCAAATCGTGCACGGGCAGTTTCTGCCCGAGCACCAAATGCTTGTGATTCTAGCAGGTTGACGTACTCCTGCAGGTCTTTCTTTTGGGCCTCGAACATGTCGGCGGCCGTCTTGTCGTCAACGCCCTGACAGACTGCCTTGAATTGTTCAGCATCAAGGCGACGATTGTCGAGTTCGAGCTCGCTGATGCGTTCGTTCAAGGCGGTGATTTCGCCCTCGTGCTTGCGCTCTAACCCAAGAATTTGGTCCAGTAACCGTGCGATGTCCCGGGCGCTCTTCTCCATTGCATCAATCGTTGCCTGTTGGCGACGACCGGCCTCGGTGACATCGTGGGCTAGCCCTTCCACTTGTCCTCGGCCGACGATGGCGCTTGCTCCATTGACGAAGTCAATCGTCGAGTCTCTTGTGACATTGAAGAGCTCCATGACTTTGGCATTGGCGTCTTGGAGCTGCCGGACCTGACCTTCTAGGTCTCGGATCTTCTTGTTGGCTCCCTCCAACTTTTCATGTGTCGATTTGTTATGTTCGACTTCATCTTTGTGTTGCTTTTGCGCCATTTTCAAGGCGTTTCGCAACGATCGTACTCGGTTGGTCCTCACGAGTTTGGGCTTCTTGACGTTGTCGCGGCAATGAATTGGGAGCTTGAGATTTTCGAGGTGGACTCCCTTCGCAATGCCTGCGAACGCGTTGTTGTCTTCTTCAATTCTCTTGTTAAGACCCTTGAGTTCCTCCATCAGCGCCAGATTTTCTTTGTGAAGGCCATTGGCCGTCTCCTGAGTCGTTGTCGACAACATCAACTGTTGCTCGAATTGGCGAATCAGTTCTTGAATGGTCGCGGCGTCCTTTGCAGTCTTGCGTTCAAAGGCGGTAGTTTTCTCAGACCAGTGCTTGACCTCTTGTTGCAGGGTGGCCTCCAGATATGCAGCCTTTGCGTTCGCGTTGTCCAAGGCAAGTTTCTGGTCACGCACCTGTCGTGCAAGGTCGCCACTCAGCCTGACATGGTCGGCATTGCGCAAGAGAGCCATGTCCTCACAAACTCGCACATAGTCGTCAGACATTTGCTTGCACGTCTGAGTGAGCATTTCAAGTTGGCCCTCGTATTGGGCAGAGACGCTTGTGATCTGATTGCGGACTTTGTCATTGGAATTTTGGAGCTCGTCAATGACTTTGTGTAATTTGATGTGGTCGTCTGCGACCATGTTGCGCTCTCGCTCCATTGAAGCGATTTCACTGCGCAGACTTGCCATCGAGAGATCTTTCTTTTCGAGATCTTGTCGAAGGCTTTGGCTCACGGCTTGAGATGTGGCCAATTGTTGAACCAGAGCTTGGATTTCTTGCTCATGATCCTGGTTTGATTTCAGTTGTTGTTGAGCTGCAATTGCTGCAAGCTCCTTGGATGCAAGGCTCCAGAGTTCAGGGTCAAAATCATTTTGTTGGCCCAGACTTCCTCCTGCTCGATGGATGCTAGCGTTGAGGTTGGTGTCTTGTTCCTCAGATGTGGATGCTTTGGCGTCATCTTGAGGTGGTGAGGGATAGGAGAAATCTTCCATTGATAGGTGAGTGATATCAGGAAGAAAGTTTCTGTTTGGACGCGAGACCAAAATTGGGCCTTTGAGTCCACGCACTGCCATTGAAGGAGAAATTGGTGATGTGTTATCGGGGGTCAAGACTTGTTTGAAGGCGTGCGGCAATTCAGCAGCTGCTTCAGAGACTTTGACAAATTTTGGACCTGGTACTGAAGCACCTTCGCGGTCAGGTTGTAAGGTTGCAAAAATGTTCTTGTAAGTCTGGTCGATTGACTCTTGAGTGTAGCCCATTGTGAAACATTGTGCTGGGATTTTCTGAGAAGATGAATTGAAACATCCAAGTTTGAAACCCGAACGCTTGGTAGAATTCATGTTGGTGCGAAGTCCTTGTTGGTGAGAAAACGCGGACTGAGAATCGTATTTGATGGCGTTTGTTCCTGGAGTCGATTTTGGTGCCATGATGATTTGTTGTTGATGGGTCAAGAAAGACACCTAGGGTACGCGGGAGCTCGGAAAGGGGTTTGAAGATGTGATGGAAAGTGTGCAAAGGTAGGATGGGTCAAGAACCACACGCGGGAACTTGGAAAGGGGGTTTGAAGATGTGATGAAGAGTGTGCAAGGTAAGCAGCAATGGGTTTGGAGAGAATTGTGAACGCTGAAGCTTTTGTAGTTCTTGTCGCTGTTGCTAAGAGCAGTGTGAGCTGGTTGACGAGCAGTGCGAAAGACTTGTGTGAGAGCTTGAACATTTGAAGACAAGGGAGAACAGAAATCAAGTTGGGCGTGCGAGAATATTGATATGTATAGCCAGAGAAACGCGTGAACAGTGGGTGAAGGAGTGAAGTGTTGAGAAGTTAATCGGCAGCGTAGTGGACTTCACGATAATTCACGATAATAGGCGACTTTGAAGATGTGAACGTGACGATAAAAACTTCTTGATTTTTGTCCCATAGTGGAGATCTAAGTGATAGTGAACCATGGTTAAATGAACCATGCTGGAACCACAGCAAACAAAAAGCAGATGAAACCTCCTCGCCGAACATCATTCTAGGCTGAACAACAGCCATCCATATCTTTGGTGTCGTAACTGAGAATACATTGGGATTGCCAGTCGCTGAGTCGCGTCACCCAGCCTCACCTGCGCAGTGCATGTTGGTGACCCAAGAGGCGGCGGTGACATGATGGTGAAGACAGTGACACACCAGTGGGCTAGGTCAGTAACGTGACCCTCATCAATGTCATTATGCAAGGCGGCGTGAGTTAGACACGCAGTGAGTGGGGACCCGTTCCATCAATGAAAGGGGGACCAAGCCTTGTCGAACAATGGGCTGTCGCAGTAATTGGGTCTTTGTGTTTGACCAACCTTGGTTTCAGTGCCATAGCGCGTATGGTTGTCGTGGTTGTCGAGGTTGTCGATGGCCTTTTCTTTAGGTCAGGCTTGAAGTCGAGGTTAACTTGACGTTGAGGTTGGTCGAATAAGAGAAGAAAGGTTGTTCCATAAGGTAAGAACCGCCCGATGTTTTAGCGTGGTTTCCCAATTGGGTGATTTGGGATAAGATCCACATCGTCCTTTTCGCATCTCCCCTTTTTTTCATGTTTCAGCCTTCTGATCGCTCATGTGGCACAGCAAACAGCTCTGAGCTAACTAGCGCCATGCGTTCCCAGGGACCGAGGATTTAATGGCAAACCTTCCTTTAGGGACTTTTTTGGTACAGATGAACTTCTAGGTAGGGTGGGAACTCACTTCCTCCAGTCTTCCACGCGCATTTGCGCTCCAGCCCTTTGACTGCCCCATTTCAATCCACTTGGTGTGTTTGCTGGTGCATCACCTGCAATGGCGTCGGCCGCAGACATCATCACATACGTCGGGGTGCCCCTCGCTGTGTTGGGAGTCTTGCCGATCTTGTACACTTCTGTTCTGGCAGTGCTGACCCAACGTCGAATCCGAGCGTCCCTCATCGATCACGGGCATCTTCCTCTTAGCGCGGCCCGCCCTCACGAAGGGTTCACCACTCGTAGTTCGCCCATGACCAGTCTCATAGAAGTTGAGCTGCCGAGGTACACAATTGCTCCACTCGAGAGAGGCCACAATGATTACTGGAGGAACACAAACATTGGACAAGAGACGGACGGAGAACACCACGGGTTGTTGGATAGGGCAGAGAGCACCTTGACAATGGTGGAGGAAGGAAGAGTCCATGGATTTCTGCGTGGTGGAAGTTGGAGGGCGTTTCATTGGAAGAGATTGATTGTTGGCAGAAAGCTGTACAGAATACAATATGAAGATGAATTGCGAGAGCCCCCGGCTGAAGTAGATTTTCAGGAACTCGTTCATTTCCTTCTCGATTGGGGTGCGGTTCCGGATTCAACCGGTTGGGAAAAATTGAGGTCAGGCGGACTGTGGACCCCTGCTGGGACAGTGCTGTTAAGGAAATCGGACGAGCATGATGAAACACGCAAGCATGTGGACTGGGTCTTGCGAACGACTATGCCGGATGACAGTGACGGCATTTTGAGTCTGACTATCAAATGGTCTCGTGATTTGACAGACGTGGCGCAGGTGCGCGGCATTTCCAGCCTTGCTCCCGGCTGGGGACGGTTAAAACAGCCCAAGTTGCTAGAAGCAGGTCAGAAAGTCAAGGCTGAACAACATGACCTGGCATCAAGGGTGGACGAGCTGAAAAATGCCAACAAGTTCAGCATGGACAGCACCAGTTTTCGTTTCCAGACCGAAGACAACCTTGTGTTGAAGGTTTTCTGGGAGAAAGACCACATTGAAAGTGGATTCAGCAGTGTTCCATTTGAGACATTCGAGTCGCCGACAGCAGCATCATGGTTCACATGCTGCTCATCCGCACTCTTGTCACAGGGTCACGGTGATGGTGTTCTCTGGGCATACGATGTCCCAGCTGACATCAGAACATTCGTGAGAAAAGATTCGATTCCCTGCGGAGTGATGGTGATTTTGGGATTGCTGTCCGAAACAGAAGCTCCACATTGGTCATCAGACAAGGAATCATCCCCTCGACATATCGGCATCAGCATGGCACAGCGACATGCCCAAAGATTTCAAGCTCAAATGGCGGCCGAAAGACTTGAAGCTAGCATGCCTCCAGAGCAAGCTAGAATCCATCGAATGAATCGTCAAGCCGCCGAACGACAGGAACAGCATAATGACATGATGACATCACTGGCACAGAAACGAGAGAAAGATGAACGTCGAACCAAGGACGCAGTGGGAAGTTCACGAATGAGCACCAAAGCTGTGGCAGGAGGATGTTTGGCATGGTTGATCGAACAAGGTGAAGTGGGTCGTGATTCGACATTGTATCAAGTCGCGGAAGCTGTCTTGTATCTCATGGTGGTGGATCAGAGTATGAGTGAAGACGGTGAGAGTAGGAAGATTGTCAAGGTGTTGGAAGAATGGCAATCATGGGCCCTGGTGGGTGGGATGAAGACTGAACAAGTCAAGATGTTGGAGGATTATAAATCAGCATTCTGCTTTGCAGCCGTGTTGGTGGCTGTGGTACAGGAACATGTCACTACGATGGGAGGAGTGGGACGGGCGGGAGTTGATATGTTGGAATGCCTCCGATTGTGGAGAAAGGTGAGGTTGGGTTGACTCACAAGTCACAAATTGTATACTAGAGAGACGACGAATCTGATATACCTATCTATGTGCGGGTATACTACATAGAGATGATATCTTAAAGACTTGCTTGCATTGCAAACCACCCTTTCCAGTTTAAAAGAGAAGACACAATTTTCAATGATTTACCGACCTGATAGTTCGTAGAATATGGTCTATGCCCTTCGACGCAGCCGTCGTCTGTGTTACTTAGCTAGAGATTTCAGGCAGGTCTTGAGTTTCTCCCCGCCCATGCGAATCAGTCTGATCGTCCGACGGTGTTGGACATATGATCGTAAACCCAGGTCCAGGTCCAAGTTCAGGTTCTGGCCTAGGTATAAACAGTCTGGAACTGGAACGCAAGGACGAAGCAACGTCGCGCTAAGCCATCGCGGGGATCCACTTCGCACGATGCAGACCTGGACAAATTCTGCTAGAATATAATCAATAATCTCCAAATCTGTCCCCAACAAATCCACACACAGCATTGTTGGTTTAGTGGTAAAATCTGCCGTTGCCAGTCTTCCTTAACAGGTCTACTTTCAATGTCGGCAGGCCCCGTGTTCGATTCACGGACAATGCAATATTCTTTTTGCTTTTTTTGTTTTTTTTCCCCTTCGCGTTATATTGCTGTTTTGTCTCTTTTCACCTTTTTGATTCTTCATTCGATCGAGGTCGCAGCTCAGGTTAGAATTATCAAATTGACATTCCATACTATGATACGGTGTATAGGACATTTTGTCCAGGGTAACGCGCAGTTTGGGGTATATTCAGGAGTGTGTATATATATGCGTCAGAGTTTGTATGATGCATGTGGGTTACATAATGTAGTCAAACCTCGGAGACAAATGAGGACTCCAGATTCTGCATCTCATACTATTCCATAGACGGACAGTTGGTCGAGAGTCGTATCAGCACCAATCAATCATTTCCCAAAACATGATCCGGACCCAGAGGAAAGACCCAGAACCCCTTGCAATGCTACTGTAGGTACTTTACTACTTTTGTACCGGCCAACGACCGACCTATCGGCCAAGAACACGTTTCAAGACGTCGAGAAGTTTGGCATCGCAATCTGGCACCAACTCTGTTGAGCGCCAGGCAATAAATCGATCTGGTCGGACGAGAATACAGCCATCTTCTTCGACTTCACGTCTTGATTCCCTAAGTGTGAAAAGAGATCATGTTAGAAACTGGGATTGACTGAGAGGTTAGATGGGGGTAATGCAAGTAATTACTCACCAATCACGATACAAGTCGACCCAGTCTTGACCCCAACCAATAGTCACACCTTTTATCTCGACGCCCAACTCCTTTGACACCTTCTCAGCGGCCGCGAGCCATTTCTCTCCGCCGATGCCAGTGAAGAGAGAGAATCGACCGTGACCTGCCAAGTCGATGGTAGAGGTGGACTGCTTTTGTGGAAAGGCGGTGTTGAGCCAGGCGTGCGGTAAGCGGTGGCCTGGGTAGGTGCTGATCTTGTGCTGCAGGATGGGGTCTTCAGGCCATTCCGGTTTGGTTCTGCCGGCGGCTAGTTCGTCGTCGAGATATACGGCGTCGGACTCGTATCGATGGTTCATCTCGACACCAAGTCCGTGGAACTCATGGCTAGTACCTTCAACGGCGGCGTTGACTCTCTTGCGGCGTTCTCTGGCTTCGGGGGAGGCTGTCTTCAAATCGTTGAGAGCCTTCATTCGTTTCTCGGGTGTAGGTTCCAGAAGTCCCAGTTCTTTCCAGACGGGAGAGTGGTCACGGATACCTTGGTTAGCTCGCGTGACGACACCAAGGCCGACGGGTTGACGTTCTTTACTGAAGGAATCTAACAGAGTAGGCGAGGCAAGGCCTTGGTGGACCATCTTGATCTTCCAGGCCAGGTTGAAAGCGTCCTGGATACAGGTGTTGGAGCCAAGACCGTTAAAGGGAGGGTGTCGGTGAACAGCATCTCCCAGACAGAAGATGTTTCCTTCAGAGTAGTATTCGGCGACAATCTCGTTGATATTCCATTTGGAGATGTTGAGGATCTCAATGGGGAGGTCGTCACGGCCGACAATCTCCTTACATCGCTGAAGATATTGTTCATGGGTCGGCTCCTTGAATTCGACGTCAGGTTTTGGGAAGAGAATGAACATCCATCTGGTTGTCAAGTTAGTTCTGATTGGGTGATTACGGGGTTGGAGGACATACTCATTCCAGGGCTTGACCATCCTGATCAAGCCACTCCACGCAAAGTCTGGGTATTCGACGTCTGGTTGGAAGACCCAGTGAAGATTTCCTTTTCTAGCCTCGACATAATCACTGAGATCGACCTTGACCAAGACATTCAAAGCCAAACCCTGACCGGGCTTTTTGATCAGAGGAATGTTGAGTTGACGAATGACCTGACTTCTGGCACCGTCACAACCAAACAGGTAAGTTGAACGAATATAGTACTGGAGCTGGGTCAAATCATCTCTGACCAGACTGAGAATGCGACCATCAGCCTGCTTGTCGAATCTGATGAGAGAGGTCTTGAATCGAACATCCCAACCATCTGCTGCTGCTCGCTGGACGACAATTGGCTCAAAGACCGTCTGGGGCAAATCGACATGACGACAGGGAGTGGCTCCCTCGTAATCGGCTCGGCGTTTGGGGTCATTTCCCCAAGAATAGATACGAGCATACTCTTCGCCAGTCATATCATGGCACCAGCGGGTGTGGACCATGCAGTCTCCCTGAACAGCCTGAGAGAGACATTCCTGCTCGAGATCAATGTCTCGTAAACATTCAAAGGCGGCTGGGTTGGTGATGTGGGCCCTGGGAGTCTGTGATGTGGTCGGGGCAGCAGCGATCATGATACCCGTCATGGAATATGGTGGGTGAGAAAGAAATGATGCCAATGATGCACCAGCAGGACCAGCTCCCACAATCAATAATGGAGTATCGATGATTGGTATGCTGGAGTCTGGCGTTGAGGTGGCATTGATCTCTGGAGTCGAGGCCTGACCATTGATATGGGGGATTCCATTGGTGCCATTCCCATGAATGGGCAAAGTGTTGCCATTCGTGACTGGAGAGACCATATTTGGAGAATGAGTGAGGAAGGAAGGAATTGGAGTAACAAAGGCAGCAACTGCCGCTCCACTGTTCTGTGCTGGGGAAAGCGCGAGGGTGCGAGATCAAATTTATGCGATCAGGAAGCAACGACAAGACAAGTGGATGAAGAATCAAAGCCCAGGTCTACTCAAGTCAGGTCAAGCACCGACAGGATGGAATATTGAGGAGTAGCAATGCGGTCAAGACAAGAAAACGGGGCAACAACATGGTTATGATATATCTGTAGGCTTGGTTTGTTCGGGTCTGGGTCGAGTCACGGAAATACCCCCAACCGGCTTCCCCAGACTTTGAGATGGAGAAGGAGAAGCTCCGGTCAGTCAGGAAAAGGTCGTTAGTTCACGGACACAATATTGTCTAGAATCAACAAGTCTAAGATCCCGTATGGAAGAACTCCCCACATGTGGTTCTTACTTGACGCTGACCATGATCCGGGACCTTTTGTTGTGTGATGACGAGAAGTTGGTGCAAGATTCACGAAGCGATGGGTTGAGCAATGAGGAAAAAGTCAATACCTCCCTAGAAAGTACACCATACGCCTGTATGGACCCCCCCGGTAATCGTGTCGGGATCTAGTGGAGTCTGGCCGGTTTGGTGTTTGGCGCGAAATTGCACCGAGAAAACATGTCAGGCCATGATTGAGGAGGTTTGTATTGTGACCCAAGCAATTGGCCAGTCTCTATCATACAGTCCTCTGCACTGTAGGTGGTTGATTGATTCAAAATATGCCGGTATTTCTACGGGTCTCATTGTAGGTACCTAGACTTGAGTCTTCCTCTCAGTGGCATTGGCAGGTGGAGGTGGCCTAGAGTGCCTGGGCAAGAGTGCCTCCAAGGACGAGGGCACGAGGGTCATGTGCAGTAGGGACCTACATTTCGTACTTGGTATTTCCATGGCTTTGATCACCTCCTTCCCTCCTTCCCACCGACCTCTTGTTATAGCCGTAATTGTAATAATTAATAATGATTGCCAAACCTGACCCTGACGATGGCTCCAGCAAGGAAAATGCAGATTGTGGGGTATTTCTAGGTACTTCCAAGTGCTCATCGGCTGGGGGCCAACGGGCCAAAGGGGCTTACGAGGAACCCTCCTCAGGCCCGGTGCGCCTTCTCTTTACCTGCATAACCCCCCACGTCCCCCTTGGCCTCTTGGTGCCACTGCCAGCCGAGGCCGTCGTTTAATTAATCCGCCTCGGAAGTAACCCACCGGGCTATACCGTGCCCCCCAGTCCATCACCTATGGACCCCCTCGACCACTGGTCACGTGTTGCTCCCCTCCATTTTTAGTAGGAGCGACACTAGGAAGGAGTGACATCACATACTCTAAACGCGCCGTCCCCAAACATCATCCAACATCATCTAACACCACTACACTCACCTCACACCCACGACTCTTAACCACTGACCTATCCTCTACAATACACTATACACCACAGACGACAAACCGCATATACACAATGCTTCTCCGGCCTCTCCTCCGCCCGACTTCTCTCCCCTCTCTCACCCTCTCCTCCCGGACCTACGCATTATCCTCCTCACCTATCTCTGCATCCTTCTCCGTCGCAACCCGCAGATCATCCCAGCGAAACCCAACAACAACAAGTCTGCAGTGGTCACGCCGCCCCCTACTCTTTGCAATCGGCCTCTCTGCTGGTGCAGCACCCTTTGTGGTAGGGCGACCTCTAGCACGACTGGATACATCACCTTCCTCACCTGCGGACGCCGCCCCGTTCAGCTCGTCTTCCTATACCCACTCGCGAGATGCAAAGACCCCTTTGACCAAAGACGGCAAGACGCTCAACCCAGCCGCCGTCAAGCAGATCAGTCTAGGTGCCATATTGGGACTCGGCGCCGGTCTTGTCCTCAGTGCGTTTTCCACCAGCTTGACTCTGTTACTCGGCTTGGGAATTGTCATTTGGCAGGTATGTATACACTACAATTGGTCGAGAAATCATCTTATGCTAAACATAATGTTAGTATGCGGCGAGAAAGGGATACAATTTCATCCCCGTCGATCGTCTCCAGCGTTATGTCAAGGGTGTCAATCTCAGGAGTGCCATCAATGACAATGTCGCTTTCAAGATCAGCTTTGGCCTGATGTTTGCCTTGTCGGCATTTGGGGAGTTTTAACATCTTTTGACCTCGTCATATCTCCCTCCTGTCACCATTCATGTGTATATATACGACTTGAAAATCATGTGACTTTATATAAGCAAAAGCATCGTCTGCAGATACCCGACGGGTGGAACAGGGGGAATTGATCCATGTCAGCATGTCATTATGCCATGTTTACCAGAGCTGATTCCACCATGAACTACCGTCCCTTGAATCGAGGATCCCTGTGAGCTACTCTAAACCAATCATCCAGTTTCTCCGCCACCCAGCCACTTCTGTCGACTGGTCAGAGGCGGTCAGGATCTCGAATGATCCGACTGGTGCATGATGACGACCAACGCATAGTGACACCATTTCGCCTCTGTACCTGCGTTACAAAGGAAACTCAAACACAACCTCGATCCATGTCGACCCCTGGGACAACCACTCGCCTCACCTGAAGTCACATGACCAGCCCAAGCGCCTGCTTCGGCTCCATATATTCATACCCATTTAGAACTCCATATCCGGCATTGCATTCTTCAAGTCGATTCAGGCTACTCCTCTCCTTTCAGGGACTCAATGACCTCTTTGGCTGCCCTCTGGCCCGCCGTGACTGCGCCCTCCAAATACCCCTTCCACTCGAACGCCGTCTCGCCACCAGCGAAATGGACATGACCAAACGGTTCTCTTAACGCCTGTCCATGTTTGCGCAACAATCCTGGCCCCATGGAGCTCGTCGGTCCTCCCCAGATATGCTCCTCCTTGGTCCACTCAACATAGTTGACCTCGAGCACGTCATGTGCCTTTTCTGCCAGTTCCTCACCCACCATCTGGCCCATATGCTCAATGATTGACTTCTTTTGTTGATCCGCCGGCAATTGATGCCATTCACGTGCGACATCCCCCGAGACAAATACCGCCAAACTGTACTGCGATAAATCTGGCACCGAGATCTCCCACCCAAAACAAGCTGGTCCCACCAATGACGTGAACTTGCCCTGTAGACCTGCCTCGCGCCACCAAGGGCTACTATAGGTCAGGATCATCTTGGCGTAGATCCCCGGCATAGTGTTGGACACAACAATCTTCTTTTCTTCTGGGAGGCCAGGCGCGAAATCAATTTCTTTGTATGTGTTGGTCGGGTTGGCCATTATCACCTTCTTGCTCTTAAATTTCTGCCCGGACTTGGTGCTGACAATGACGTGGTCCTTGGTCTGGACGATGCTAGTTGCAGGAGCGCTGGTGAGCACGCTACCAGATGTCATGGCTTTGGCGAGTTCGGTCGCAATGGCGGAAGTACCTATCAGCACAACCCCGTCAGCCAGGCATTCCACAATGGCACATGGACACACATATCCAACATTCTCATCTTGATTACTGACCTTCTTTAATCATCAGATATTGAGCTCCATCGGCCTTCTCACTGCCCAGACTGTCGAACCCAAGTCCAGACTTGACATAGTCCAAAAAGTATTGTACCCCAAGCTCGTGAGGTTCTCGACCAACAAGAGTCGATGTCAGTTGCCTGGTGAATGCTTGGACCACGAGATTGTCCCACAGACCCTGCTGAGCAACCCATTCCGCAACAGTCACATCCTGTTCTTCAGGGAATTGGTTCGGTCGACGAATATCAACCTTATCGGCTGCCTCGTTGATCAGAGCCATGAGTGTGCCTGCGAGCTGAAGCGCCTCCAGTTCAGGACTCGGTTCGGGGGATGGATCCACCTATATAATCAACAGTCAGTATTTGGCCGTAGCGAACTCCTCACGCTTTGTCCGTCCGGTCAACTCACACTCAACTGATCTAGCGACGGAAGTCTGAAGACCTCTCCATCGGGACCTTGGATGATTTGATCTCCTTTGATGTACTGCTCGATTGTTGTCAATCCAAACTTTTCAGCAAGACTGAAAACTGATGGCTGTGTGCTGTTGTTGATCCACGTCGCACCCAATTCGACAATTCCAGGTCCACTCTCCAGTTGATACGACCAAGATCGGCCCCCCAGTCTGTCCCTAGCCTCTAGCACTACTGTGCTCAGTCCACTCTGTTGCAAATCATACGCTGCTGTGAGCCCAGAGAAACCTCCACCGATCACGACCGCATCAACTTCTGTGGGTGGACCAGTTGAAGACCAATCAGTCCATTTGGGCTTGCCTCCTGCTGCCGCCGCAGTCGCAATGCCAGAGAAAGTGGCTTGTGTTGCCATGGTGGTTAATAATGTGGTGAGAATGGTTTTGTGCGAGCTAGATTTCATCTTTACAAGTTTCAAGTCTTGATGGTCTCTGAAGAATACCTTCCAGTCGAGGGCGAAAACACCCATCTTTTATAGATATTCCTGTTGGCACTACGGAAAGCATTCTCGCAATATTTACGTCCCAATCTCAAACACCAGCCCATTTCTGTGGAATGACGTGGGCATCAACACGCATCGATGGCCCACAACCCCAGAAGGCGGTGCTTGATCAGTCGTTACATCGTCAAACTTGGTATATGATATTGGCTAGGCAGCAAGCAGAAGATACACAAAATGGACCGAAAACCAGACTTGGGTTGAATTACCCGCGCTCTGCATCAATTACCCGCGCTATGCAGAATCCTTTACTTGTAGCCGCGGCCGATTAGGATGCTGATGCGGGGAAAAACCTACGCTGACTACTTTTGGCGCCAAGATGGCCAAGACATCCCTCCGCTCCTTCGTCTCTCCGCTTTCGTATCTCGTATCCACTTTTAGACGACACGTCCAAGGTGCCTGACCGACAAAGAACCGATAATGACGTTGAAGAGGTTCTGGAACCCATATCTCCTGCTAGGCAGTGCTACTGCCAGCTTTGATTGAGGGCCCTGACTTCAAGACCAATATAGAAGCGTGATTACCCGCGTTTCAAGCGCCGTTCAGAAACACACCCCCTCCCCTCCTCAGCGGGGCGGACAAGAATGCCGCCCAAACCCCGACCTCGCTTTTGTCGAACAAAGGCCGGATGCTTGACGTGCAGATCTCGCAAAAAGAAGTGCGACCAGAGCAAGCCGCGGTGTGCAGGATGTCGGCGGAACAGTCTGGAATGCAATTGGCCCGAGGGAATATGGAGTGAACCTGACGAGTCACCTCAAACCCAGCTGTCTCTCAAAATATCTGCTCATTCGTCGTTGTCGATTGTTGATGTTGGTGACGAGCGTGCAGGCTCACTCACCCCTCAATCGAGCATGCTCCTCGAACACTATCTCAGTGAGACTGTTTCGTTCTTCGCCATGACTCGCATGAAGCACAATCCCTTCCTTACCATCCTCCTTCGTATTGGCTATACGGATGATTTGCTTATGCATGGCCTGCTGTCATTGAGTGGGGCTCACATGACATACAAAGACCCTGACAACTTTGAGCTCGTCACTGCCACGAGGCTGCATTACTCGAGGTTGATCGGTGGCTTGCGATCCGAGCTAACTACCCTGGACCATAACGACATCGGCAAGGCTGACAGACTGCTCCGAATACTGCTAGTCGCAGCTCACTATGAGGTAAGTCAACATCACCGGAGAACGATTCGCATTCGCCCTTCTCGTACCAACAGTTGCACAGATCGTCTCTGGAGACACCAAAGGAACGATGTTCAACCACCTCCGCGCCAGCCGCTACCTCGTCCAAACACTGACATCTCAAAACTCGATTGAAATCGCTTCAAGCTCCGATGAACTTCGCGCACGAGGCTTTTGTGTCGAACTCTACACCTACCTCGTCATCACGAACACCATTACCCCCTATGGGACATTATCCAATCGAACTCTCCCTCTCGATACCTGCATTATGTCTCCCGACCAGATCTCATCATTCCCCACCTTTGGAACCATGTTCGCCGGCAGCCACGAACTCTATCAACTCATCCCCGAAGCCAGTCTTCTCGCATCTCATCGCCTGACGGAAGAAACCGCCGGCGCAATCCATCCCACCGCATCTCTCCAACACACCTACGACAACATTCACAACCGCGTCACCGCTTGGGAAATGCCACCGCCAGTCCAACCAGGAAAGGAAGAAGAAGGAGCAGAAGATTTCAGACTTAAACAAAGCGCCGCCGAAGTCTTTCGACAAGGTCTATACATCTTCCTCGCCACCGCCCTGGCAGGAACAACCGTTTCAGACCCTACCCTCCTCTCCACCATCGATCAACATCTCGTCAAATTATTCGGCCATGCTCAACAAGTGATTGATTCTCAATACACAGTCAGTTTACTCTGGCCGATCGTTGTGGCTGGCTCGTGTATGGTCAGGACTGAACATCGACTTGGTTTGGTACGGGAACTTCAGCGAGGAGCTTGGAAAATGAAACATTTGGACAATACGATTAATGTTCTACAATTGCTGTGGGATGATATGGATCCTAGGGCTTATGGACCGTATGGGCTTTATCTGATTATGGATAAACATGATTTGAATTTATGTTTGGCTTGAACTTGGGGAGCGGAATTGTTCATGTTTGGCATTGCGTCATGATACATAGAAAGTGGCAAGGCTATGTCACGTACTTAGATACCTATGAGTACATACCGGAACGGGAAACGTGGCATGAATCTCACTACCTACCTATCTAACTACCAAGTTCTGGACAGCTACAGTATGTACTCTGCTGTCTCTACGCCTCTTAAACATAAACGCTTCCACGCCGCATACCACCATTCCAAGATGAAAACCCTCCTATCCTATCCCATTCTATCCTAGAACATAGCCCCCAAATCAAGTATCAGGGTTGGTTTGATATTTCTAGCCTTGGGCTTCTGCATACCTACCTAACGTACCTTACGTACATGTGCATATGCATATGCATATGCATATGCGTGGTATAATGCACGTAAATTATGCATACATACATACTATACCACGATCTCGACTCAGGGAGGGAAATTCGAAATTCAACAGATTCAACCAATTCAACGATTCCCAACTTTCCTTGATCGCATACCGCCTTGTCCTACTACAAAGTGCCAATGCTGGGTTGAATGAGTAATGAGTCAGACACGGATGTGGATGCATTGCGATGGCGGACGCCTTTTATAAGGCAGAATCAGGACTAACCCGCACCGCACCCCAATGTGCTGTGCCATGCCATGCCTCTTACTACTAATTTCAAATTATTTTCCCTGTGTGTGTCGTCGTGACCTCGATGCCGTCACAGCCTCCGGAATCATCGGGACCTCCGAAAACGGTCATCATCTGCGTGACCTTTCGTGCCAGGACCAGATGTCGAGTATTGCCTCGTACTTTCAAGATTCCTTTCTTCATACAAAGTTCCGCCTCACTTTCGCATGTGAGGCCTTTGTGGCTGTGACGGATTTGTTTTCGCGTGTTTACTGGTATATCCTTCACTTGACTCGGTTGTGGGTACAATTGTCACTAGTGTGCCATTCTCTTGGGACTTGTGGAAGGCGTGCGCGGTCCACGAGGTTGCCAGTTTGCCTTGTTTCGTCCTGGTGAATAGATGTATTCGGCATGAGCGAGAAAAGTGGCGGTGAGAGACATGCCGTGTCTGATGACATGACATGACATGACATGACATTATGCTGTCACTGTCACTATCACCGGACCCTGCTATGCCATGCAAGTGGTGACATATGGATGTTTTCCAAGGGAGGGTTTCGAAACATGGAGAATCTGGAAGTACAGAGTACGGTACCTTGCTGCCTGAGATCTACTTGTTCCACCAATCAAAAAAAATATGTTTAGATCGACAACGCCACATTGTTTTCTTTTGTTCTTTCTTCTGCATCTAGAAATCAATTCAGCCTATCGCTTCGAGGCTAATTTCCATGTTTGTCGTGTTGCCTTGAAATGGCGTCTTACCTGCTCATGAGTCTAGGGTATCTATAGCTAGATCGTATCTCGCACAACAGACCATGGGCCAGGTTCAGCCTGCCTGTGGCTTCGAAAATCAGTCCAAATGGGCGTTTTGCATAGTAGCCTAGACTATTTGCAGCGAGAGGAGATGCACGTTGAGGAAAGAAAATGTTGTAAATTTCTCAGAAATGGTTATCAACGTGCGCTTTTGCGAATAGATGTCGCAAGGCATCCAGAAGGCAGATTTCATGCTCACCACCCTCACCACATTCTTGTCCCTTTCACCGCCACGACTTGAAGCTACTTCTATTGCCAAGTTCTTTCGGCGAGCGCCACACAATTCATCGAAATGAAGACACCGTGGCCATTGCCTGTGTACACCGCAAGATCCTGAATCCCAGTCCAAGGGATGTGGCTTGAATACGTGGTCCCTCTCAGGGGCAATTCGACCGCTGGTGTTTCGAAACTTCAGGCTCAAGTCGTGAAGCAGTTTCTCTCGTAGGGAATATGCATGAACCTGCGGTGTGACCAGATAGATTGCTGATAGGCAATATTGGTGTTGAGTGAATCTTGTGGCCAATCTTTGTGTAACCACGTCATAATGTCACGAAGCATGGACTCTTTGTTGTGATCGACGGGGAATCCGGGATGGAACTTTGCAATCTATCAGGGCTAGACCGCGTGGGTGGACTCCTCAGGCTCACCTTGCAGACTGCCTAGATTTCTTCCCCGTATACTATGCAGCTGCTTGTATAACGGTACATTGTCTTGTCCCTTGCAGTGGCGGTGACATTGTTCCGTCAAAAGTAGCTCACGCCTCCTAGGGCGATCCCAGGAAATACACCAAGGACCGTTCGCGAACTAAATGGATGCCTTTTTTTCCCGTGCATTTCAGCAAGGATCAGCCTGCCGGAGGTGGTGTGATTCTTCATCTGCCGAACTGGCCTGGACCTTGTCAAAGGGGATGCTGACCTTTGATCCGAGATTCAAGAAACACCTCAGGTCTCGAGGGAGAATTATTGGGGATTCGACGTCGTTTCTGGCTGGAATGGGACTGAATCCCTGGTCAGCGATCTGCATAACCATACCGTTGCTATTGCTGTTGCTATCATCCTGGGTATTTGTGTGCCTTTCCTTGAGTCATACATAGGGGGGTGGGCCTTCACGGCTCCGTTTTAAATCTGATGGCCTTGTGGCCTTATAATCTTGCATACCTATTTGTTCGCAGCGGCATCATGCTCACGCTTCACTTTGATCAACATACAAAGTTATCTTGGCGAATCTGTCTGTCCGTGACTTTTGGCGGGCTGAGGGCTGTGTAGTGTACACAGCCCATATCAAAAGAACCCGTGGGAATTTTGCAGCAGCAAATGGTGATGGACAGTGAACCTTGGTTTGATTTCAGGCAGATGTGAGAGATGCTGCTGGATGTGCCTGGCCTGACGTAAGGCGCAGGGGTCTGTAATTTAGCTGTTATTAGGCGAGAACGCAGATCCGAAACCTAGGGCGAGGGGCGTGCTAGGGTTGCCCAACGCACCGCACCATTGGGGCCAGATTCTCATTATCACCTCGTCCTTTGTCGAAACCTGGAGTCTTCGATGGTACCTAAGGCAGATAATCAGATGGATCTGGCTCGAGTCATCAGACCTCCAACCTCCTATGGTCGTGAAGGAATCACGTCCTCCTCGCGAGACGGAAACGCGAGCAATCGCATTGCGGTAGCCTGTTATGGTCAAAAGGAGTTGCGCGTTCACGAGGAGCCTGTAGTATCCCTTGGAAAAGGAATCAGCCAGGCAAAAGGGCAACCTTACAGCGCCACGATTGCGCCGTTTGAAAGAGCTTAGCCATCCCTACCGCCCTTGTGCTCTGCTCGGCGTCTCACGAATTCGCCAATCGAGAACCGGCAAGCGGAGCGCTGTGGCAGGAGGAATGGGTATGGCTCCGAGATGCTGAGTGCTCATGGCGGGTGGACAACTCTCACGTATTTGTCGGATTGCCAAAAGTACTTACCTCTTGTTTTCCAAAGAACTGACTACGCACTAGCCCAACATCAGACAGTTTAGTTCAAACACAAAAGGTTACTCACGATCGGGTGGGCCAAACAGGAAACGACGTTGCTCTCACATATTGAGACCTCGAAACGTACGACGAGCACACTCGTCCCACTTTCCATCTGACGTCCCCTGATGTGCGGTGTACAAGGCCTTTTGGGCGAATCAGCCTGTGAGCCCGCAGATGCCTTCTCAAGACACAGGGAGGTATCCCCGGCTGTCGAGTCCTTCTGGGGACGCCTACAATAGAGGAGGTTTCCAGCATCACTCAATGAATGTGCCACATACCCTCCCAATTTTCACTCCCAGACGAGATCCATCAACATCAAATTCGCACTTTTCTCCTGACAAGCGTCCATCACTGGTCCACTGGAGCAAAATTCATGGAGGTCCATTGGGATTGCAGGTCTCCATCTTCTCGCATTTGTCCGCCACCAATCTTCGTAATGCCGCGAAGTGTATGAGGAGCTTTCGAGTCGTTGACGACGGAGCAACCAATAAACATATGAGACCGAAGATCCTTGTTAATATCGGAAGTTCCTGAAGCAGTGCTATAGGCAATCTGTCCCGTCGAGCCCGGAGGCCCCGGTATGTGACCATTTGAAGCTCTTATCCTATGACCACACACAAACATTGGAAAGGCAGACTTGGATTGCTGGCCGTCTTGTCACACCGCCTCCTTCTATCATGGACGCTCCATCTCGATCGCTGCTGACCCTAAAGGGGGCAATGAAGTATAAGTACTTATTCATATCAATCTGATTCTCGTCTACTCACCTGTTCCAAGACACATCGACAAACAGTCGAATACTCCAGCATCTCATCCTCACAGTATACCAACAGTTCAAAGCTTCAAGCATTTCATCTTCCGAGCTTTCCCAAACACATCACGTCTACTTAGCCCCTTCATCCTCTTCAAAATGTCGTCCAGTGGCAAGTCGAGAGAGTACGCCCCAGAATCACTATGGGAATGCTCCGAGTGTGGCAACTGGAATAGCATTCGCTACAACAGTACGAACTGCCCATATCCTGGGTGCACTGGTCGTCGCAAGAATGCTTCCAAAACGAAGCCCGATGGTCAACCTTCGAATCGTCGACAAGAGGATCTTGCTCCCCCGAAACAGCGCAAATAGGGTCAAAACCAACTCTCCCCTCATCACATGTATCGCCTTGAATACCTAGACGGCGACCCATGGTAAGACAACATGATACGACCCCTATCCCAGACTCTGAGAAGGTTGCTGACGTATCGGGTATGCAGAACATCTCCAAGAACATTCACCCTGCCTCCCAACCTCTCGGAATGTTTGAGTAGGAGCTCAAGTACATGGTCAATCATTGAGTGAAAAGGGGAAAGTTAAGAGAAGGGCATACAGAGAACCCTGGACCAACAATCGTTTCATTCTTTCGTTCAATTCCTTCCCTTTGTATTACCAAGTCAGATTGTGGATGACAGGCCTGAGATGAGTCGGGTTGGCGTAGGGTAGGATGGCGTATGGTGTGATGGGATAGGGTATGGGAGTATGGGAGTATGGTGTAGGAGGATAGGATAGGATAGGATAGGAGTATGGAGTAAGGTCTGGACCAGGGATAGGAGGATGGAGTCTGGTATGGTCTCGTGCGTCAGGACAGGCTTGATGACACCGTCTTCCCTTCTTGGGTTTATTCCCTTTGTTATTATCAAGCCAGGTTCAACTATTTAGGAAAATAGTACTCGATCAACTCTTCAACTCATCTGTCTGTCTTTTATATCAACACCAGCTGAATTGCCAATACATAAATGACAGGTCTCAAAGAAAGAAAGAAAGAAAGAAAGATTATCTTTCAGTGGTTGATCCTTTGATGAAGACGTGACTTGCAGTTTGATCATCTGTTGACTTTGTTGAGATTCATGTGGGAACCAATGATTTGGACATATAAAGTATTCAAATGAAGAGATGACAAATCCCTCCAGTCGTTGAGAGGTGAATTCTTCAAGAAGTCCATTAGTCAGTCAATCGACTAGTCAACCTCAGTTTCATATAGACAAACATTGACGGACAAATGATAGGAGCTAAAAAGGATAACATCGCTTGAGTATTTTGAAGGCTAGACAAATAGGGGTAGTATTATTGGAGAGACCCTTACCGACCTACCCGGATGGCTACCTCGCAGTCATAATCACCAAAATAAATCGATCTGTACGAGGTCCAGGTCCAGGTCCAAGACAAGCTTGTATCAAAACCCACTTGTCCACTCATTTCCTCTTCTTCGCTCCAGCTTTCTTCTCCGCACCGCTCGCACTCGCTACAGCAGCGGTCGGCTTTAACTCCTTGGTATCTTGACCTGCAAGGCCTTCAACCTTTTTATCTTCACCCTCATCCTCATCGTCACTGTCGCCTCCTTGGCCAAATTCATTCACCCGAGAATAGTCCACCTTGTAGACCCATTTCTGATATAACCAGACAAAGAAGATGACGTCGTCTCTCAAAGTGGCCAGGCGGTGGAGAGTAGGCATGCGGATGGTAAACGCAAAGAGATCGTCGATAAATGTGTTGAGGAACTTGTACGTCATGGCTTTGCTGGGCATGTGGGCAACTGATTTCAATCGGTAGTTGATATACAGGCTGGGCACCATCATGAGGAAGCCGTACGCATATACGCTGCCAACCAAAGTTTCAATCACAAAGCTGTACCAAGATTTGTGGGTTTCGTAGACCAGGCTATAGACGGCATAGGCGCCAAGGAGAGGGATGGCGACGATATAGAGATATCGGAATGCAATTTCGTCGTATTCTTGCGTCTTCTTCTCCGTCTCGGACAATTTGTGTTTGTCTTCAAAAACAACCACGAAGGGGAGGAAGGAAAATCTGGAGTCAGGGGCTGGTTCGCGCAAGCGGACGTTGACCGTCTTGGTAATTTTCCAGGCCTCAAGTACGATGCCGAAGCCTTGTCCCGCGAGAATCATCCAACTGGTGCCCTCAGAGTTGTCAACAAGATAGAGAAAGATGACAGCCTGCATGAAGACGTTGGCAAGAATTGTTCGGACTGAGGTTCCAACATTGTCTTTCTTCTTACGCCAATGAGCAATGTCATTTTTGAAAGCCAAGGCCTCGAAGATCATGTGGAGGATGGAGACGAAAAAGGTGGTCGCGAGAAGATAGCTGTTGGTGTCAAGAAGGATCTCTTTGAACTTTTCCATTTCACTTCCATCACCTCCTGTCGGTGATGGAGTTCCGAAGGCGGCTTGTTGCTGCTGCTGTTTCATGCCGTCATCGATGGAGGCAAGAATAGAGTACTGCCAATTGATGAGGTTGTAGAGGTGGATATTCAAAGGAACAGAAGAGACAGTGTCATTCAATTCGGTCATGTGGGATCGGAGTTGCCAGAAAGTATTGAGGTAGAAGACGGGGTAGTACCAACCGTTCTGGCCAGAATCGTCTCTAGCGCCGGTGGGTTCTAGGACAATGTTCTTGCGAACGGCCGGATGCATCTGGCGCCAATCTTGGACGCCTGTGTTGGGTATCAGAGCAAGGGTGAAGTTCGGATGGTAATATGAAGAAATCTGAACACCTTGCGGTTCTTCAGGCTCCGCAGCTGCTTCTTCCGATTTGTCGAGGAGATTCTTCAACTTGCGAACCTTCTTTTTGGCATGATACTGAGTCAGAGGTCGAGTGAAATGATGGGCTTTGGCAGGATCATAGTCTTTAGAAGATGGATCAAGTTCAGCGCCAGCCAGGCCAATGAAGAAGTGGGCGAGAAGAGTGGCATTGTGTTGGACTTCTTTGGGCAGTTCGATGGTTGTACTAATATCACGGGTGTCCTTGTAATCTCCCTGTTTAAATTTCTTTTCATCCAAGACCAAGATCTCTCTCGGTAGAGTGCTCAACTTGGGCAACTTGGTGACTGGAGAAACATAGATTTGAATATCAAGTTCACTGTCGGTTGGCCAAATGGGGGAGATGTGGAAAGGAACTGCGGAATAGTTGGCAACAGTGTTGGCTTCGGGTCGCTGATCAAAGGTGACTGTTCCGGGTTTGGGACCGGAGCTTGTCGTGGTGGATGACTTGGAGCCAAAGAATTGATTGGAGACGAACTGAATCGCCATGAAAATGGCAATGCCTTGGGCTATGGACTGGAAAAGTGACTGAAGTAAGGTAGTCAGCAGGGAGCGCATGCAGCTCTAGGAGTGAAAATTACCTTTCCTCCGCCTTCCTGCTCCTGTCCAGCGGGACGACCGCCGCCTGCGCGAGGTTCAGGCATGGTGGGATAGGGATGCACAAAGAGCCAAAGCCGGACGAAGATAACGAGACTTGGGTTTGGCTGGAGTGCAGCCTAGAGGGAAAATACAACCCGGTGTGATGTAGAAGTAAGTCGAAGAGGATGTTACCACATGGTTGGTGTTGAGGTGAAAGTGGAAGGCCCCTCGGATATGGTGGAAGTCGAGAGACTGAGATGAGGTGCCCGCCACCAAATAAAAACCGTGGCCGCAGAACAAAGCAGTGGAGCAGATTGGCTATGGTAACGGTAGTGGGAGACGAAGTGGTTACATTATCTTGGAGTGGGACAGACGCGGAATCTAGAGATCGGATGGTGCCACTGGGGCTCGTTCCTGCCTCTTGTGAATTGCGTATTGGGGTTCCTGCCTTAAGCGGATCAACGGTTGTTCCAGGTGCCGAGGGATAAAGTGGCAGGTGCAAGGTGCAGGGTGGGAGCGGGAAGGAGCCACCTGGAGGGTCCATGTCCAGGCTTGGGTCTTGGCACGTCTCTTCTCCTCCCTCCTCCTCATACTTCACATCTCATGTCAAGTCGACTTTGTGCGCTCATCCGTGTGAGGTCTCAAAGACAGCCAGCCAGTCCATTCGTTCACCAAAGACGTCACATCAATCAATATCCATTGCCGGTTCGGTTGAGCTGTCGATCAGCCCGGTTCAGGACTTGACTCCATTGGCAATCCTACCATAAGATGAGCAAGCATCTCCAGGCAATGACAGCTCTCTTCAATCTGTAATGGCGAATGGGACAGCACCTCCCAATACAGCGCCGCAATTCCCAACACACAATGCGCCGAGGGTATGGCTGTTGACATCCGGCGAGTCGCCAATTGGGATTTCCATCGCACGTCAAGTCCTCGAACATGGCGACTATGTCGTGTCCGGCATTCTCCAGGCTGAGTTTGAGAACGACGGTGCGCGGAGTCAGGAGTTCAAGAGTTTCCTCGCCGATGTGGGAAGTCACGTTGGGTGGAAGGAGCGTCTAAAGGTCGTGGCCTTGGATATCACGTAAGTCTACTAGCAGCGCGGTAGCCATGCTGACTGTGTGCTTGACCAAACAAGACGAAACTAATTGCTGTCGTCGATAGAAACGTGGCACAATGTCAAGCAGCTGTCGCCGCGGCCATTCATACATTTCGAAAAGTCGATATTTTATTCTGTTGCACAAACGAGACGGTGATTGGCACTGTGGAAGAACTCGCCGCGACCCGTCGTACCCTGACCCTAGTCAGAGACCAATTCGAAAAGAACTTCTTCGGTCCCATGCACATCATCAGAGCCGTCATTCCACAGATGAGGTCTCAGATGAACGGTCATATCATTGTGCTTACCGGAATTACGGGTCACCTGGGCACCCCTGGATTGAGTATGTACTGTGCTTCCAATTGGGCACTAGAAGGCTTCTGTGATAGCATCGCTTATGAGATCGCACCGTTCAATGTCAAATTGACCATTGTCCAACCCAGTGTCGAGATTGGCGTCTTGACCAACAGAATTACATCGGCTCCTCCAATGAAGGAATACACGAGGGAGTTTGGGCACAGTGCCCCAATGTTCCGCGGAATCCTTGACGGCCTACTAAACCGACTACCAGGCATCCGGGCTGAGTATCCTCCTCCACCAGATTTGGAGATGACATCCCCTTCGTCAGAGGCCGAGAGGCAAAGTGGACCTTACCTACTGAGCCGGAACGAAGTGACCAGCTTAATCCCACCGTTGAGTCCAGCGCATACCGAAATGCTCGTGGCTGAAACCGTACATGCGCTGACGGCAATCGGTGGGCACGAAAACCCACCTGCGCGACACATTGTTGGGGTCGAGGGGATCAACAGCGTCAAGGAAAAGCTCAAGACGGTCAGCGAAGAGCTAGAAGAATTTGTCGAGACGAGCTTATCTGCGGATATCAATAAACAGACGGGAGCGGCAGCTCGTCGATCGAGCTATGGGGACTCGGACGTCAAGGATGTTGACAGCGAATTATTTGACAGTAATCTTGACCTACAGTTTGAGACATAAAGAATTCAATCATGCGAAATCTGTGGATCTCTCACTGTATCGCCTTCTGCTTTAGTGACGGTCCTTGTGATGGCTGCGACGGGAATGGGGTGATCTGCTCCTTCGACCATCCCGCGCCCTATAAGAATCACGTCGATCCGGGGCTGGAGATGTTGAACGGTGCTTGCGTCTTTCTCGGCCGTCCGGTGATGCTCTGTGTCGGTGATCTCTGTGTGGTCTCCTCCTATGGCTATCCTCGTGCCGCTCATCGTCCCGGGGTCGTCTTCTGTGTTCACGATCTCGGCCATGGTCTCGATGTCGGTGGCGTTCTCGACTTGCGCTTCGACTTGAACGTCTGTCATCTCTGTGTCTCCGCTTGTACTCTTTCAGTGCATACTGCAGCTCCTTATCATCTTGTGGGTTATCAGTACCCTGAATTCGATCAGTCACCGGACCTGCTCCAGACGCAGTAGAAGCGTGACCATATCCCACACCCCTCGAAGGGACAGGGTCTTGTCCGTCTGCAGCCTCCTTCAACAATTTCCCTACTTCTCGTTGAGTCCCTAGTTGTTCCATATTGGGATTATTTCGTTCTGGGACCGGCAGACCGAGTGCTCTGGCTAGTGCATCTTCCTCTACTTCTTTAACTTTTCGAATCTCTTCCTTTCTCTCACGAGCAGCCCTCGCCGCAGGATCTTCCTGAGATTCTCCATCGACTTTATTGTCCCTATCGCCCTTTGCATACCAGTTCAAATCGCGACCTTTTTGCCAGCGGCCGACTGGGGCCATAAGGGAATGACCCAGGTAATTTTCGCGGTGGGACGAGGTTTGAACGTCAGACCATTGGAAATCGCCACGGCCACCCCGAGAACCTTCCTTGCGAACTGTGGCTAGGAGATCCATGTCGAAAGAAGGTCAGGATAACGAGGAAAGAAGAGGGGAAGGGAAAAGAGGCTCTGGATATTGGTGTGATGTGTGATGTGTTCTGTAACACGAGGATGGCAAGCCTCGGCGCGTGCAGGAATTGTAGGCCTCGTTCGTAAGGTCGATGCAGGACGGTGAAAAGGGTTAGAATGAAATGGCACAGAGGGTCGTGCAGGTGACAGGTCTGCAGGATGATGACAAAATGGAGTGAAAGGACAGGACACGTCCAAGTCGGACTCGCAGTCCTGGACAAAAAGTACAATTTAGACGCAACTGATCAGGTTAGATTGCCGACTTGGACAGAAAAATGCAATCGTTGGCGGCGGTGACATTGGTTGGGATTGAGATGACGGGTACCTGAAAGTGCCCGAGTTTTGAGGAAGAGAGATATGTAGAAAAGATGATGTCTGATCTGGATCTTTTGTCCTCTTTTTCCTTTACTCAACTCAGGATGGAGTTGCAAAGTGGCTTGCAGGTGGACCGTTCGCAGGGCTTAAGCCTGTAAATTTCAGCCAGTTAAGCTCGTTATACTTGGAGGGGCTGACGTGCCCCGTAGCGGCAACAACGTGCCCACAGAATGCTGCGTGTACAGCATGTACAGTGCCTATCGTACCCTAAGCGCAGGGAAGTTCATAACTAAACGGGTATGCTTGCAGCCTGAGCCTCACCCTTGTGTCCTGCAAGTGTTCATCCCCTCGAAGCGCCCGGAGATCATTATGTGCGGGGCCGATAGGGGGCACTTGCGGGCTCTCGGGCTCATTGAATTTGATAAGTTAGATGGTTGCCCGCATAAAAACTAGGCCGATCGGGGCGCAGACCGCCCATTAGATAATTAAATCAGCCCCTGTGCCCCTCCTCCCCTCCAAGTGACACACCTGGCCTTGGCATGGTTCTTCCGCGATTATCAACCAACATCAACGTCAACATGCCATCCTCGCTTTCTCATGTTGCACAACACCAGGTTCATTGAGTCAGATCCTCAGTACATCCTGGCTGGTTCATCCTCATCCCTGACCTGCAGACAACTACACCTGTCGGTGATACAATTCCGGTGCGCCCCAATGATATAACTTGCAGCCTCGAATGTCAGATAAGTCGTCAACACCCATCTGTTGCAGACGGTGGTCTACGATCAGCTGTTAGACCTCGACCAAGACTAATGTCATACTGGTCTTATCAGTTCGGCTAACCTAAACTCTTACTGACCGTGGCGTCGACGACCAAAACCAGGCAAAGGAGCCAAGTCAGGCTGTCTTGAGAGCTCTCTCTATCAGTCCTTGCTCAGGCAGAGACAGACGCTATCATTGCATTTTGTCTCAACTGCCATCATGCCAGCTCCCACCTGAGGCCCCCAGGAGACCATTCTTCTTCCAGATTTGATACTGGTCAACCCCTGGCGTTTTCCATCGCTCGCCAGCTCCAATATGGAAATCGATCGTCGGACATTTGCTTCAGTCAAGATCGGCTTCCACAGCGTCGAAAATGGTCCTGACAGGTTCAAAAGGAATGAGCTGTATGATCCTCCGCCACATGCACTCTGGCGGAATAATCTCACCGCCCTTTCCCAACGACACAATCTCTATTTCGTCGCCTCACTGTCTTCTGTTCTCGTGTACAGACCTGAATTCCCATTCCAAACTCTTGGAAGGACACCTGAACTCGTCATTCCTCAAGCTCTTGCTAAAGCCGGCGCTAGGGGCTACATTGACCCTAATAATGCACACTCAATCAACCATTTGATGGTCGGAGATCTTGGTAGTCAAGAGATCTTACTACTTGCGACCGACTCGGGCAACATCGCAGCGTATTACACTCGCTCTATCCAAGATGCCATCCTCCGAAAGCCCTTTGCTTTTTCCACGACCGCTAGCAGTGATGTTCTAGGATTGCAACCTTTCTTCACTCATTGGGTTCATGAATCCGCTTGGGGCCTCTCCATTCACACGCAGGCTCGCCTGATTGCCGTGTCTGCTAACACCCCTTATCACATACCAGCAGACAATCCTTGTGCAACAATATGGGTGTTTGCTTTTGCACTGACTGAGCGTGACAGCGGCGATGAGGGCCTTGATGATGAATCGGATCCCCTCGAAAGCTCATCCGGTTCTGATTGGCACGATTGGGACCCTTCACGTGGTGTCGATGATCCCTCTCGCGACCGAAATTACAAAATAGTTCTCTCAGGGTTCGATGGTCATGACTCCAACATACCATGCGTGTCATTTGTGAACACCCTTCAAGATCCATACGGAAGATGGCTTCTGAGCACCGACATTGACGGGGCCACCAAAATATGGCATGTCTGGCGGGCAATCTGTCATCGTTCATGGGATTTGACTGAGAGAGGACCCCACCTAGGCTTACGTCGCCATCGTGAGGGTGGCTGGCTTGTAGCTGCACTGGATCCGGAGATGTTTGGCCTGGCCCAGAGTATGGAGGAGTTCTGTGGTCACTCGAGAGCGGCCCTGTGTTATGGTGCCACAGGGGAGAGCTATGATTTGACTAATATTGTCCGTTTGCGGACTCCCGGTCATAGTCATGCTCATCCTCTTTTGTACGAAGCCTCGGACGATTCAGATGATGGTCAAGACTGGGATGGGCCAAGCAACATGTGGTCCGATGACGAGACTGGGAACTCAGATGAGTCAGTCACTTCACAGCAGAGTCCGGTCCTACACTCCCAGCTTTTGTTTGACTCGACTTCGCAAGGACAAAGACCTACAACGTCTTCATCCTATGTCACCACTTTGGAGGACACCCCTTCATCGGAGGACATACTGCGAGATGAATCCGGGGCGAGTGATGCAGGTTCGGATCTTGATATTGACAGATCCGATCCTCACAATAACGAGTCGCCATTTTCTGTCTCTGTTGTGGTTGAGATCCCAGAAGTTCCCTCGACTGACCAGATGATGCTGGAAACAGAGCTTCATTACGACTCCAGCTCTGATGAAGATGAAGTCGAAGGCTCCTCCCTCGACCAGCAGAGCATCAGCTCCTTGTCCAGTCTCGCACAACGAACATATCAAGAGACAGAGGAACTGATTCAGTCAGGCTCTCCCACCCACTCCAAGACTTTGCCATCATCTGTACTACCACCCGAGATACCAAATTTTCCCATACTACACTGCAGTACGTCCAACCTGAGACTCTTCAATGGCCCAGACGCAGATAGAGCACACGTCTACTGCGCCAGCATCCTGACACAAGCCTTACCACCGGTACTAGAGGTACACCACTTTTCCCATTTCGATCGTCTCAACATGATCCAGTTCATTCCCCCCTTGGGAATTGTGGTGATCGCTTCTCAGATTGGACGATGTGCAATTTGTGTCCTGACTAGAAGTAAAAATGGCACTTTTGGGCTTCGAACGGACTGGACGTTGCCGACAAGGAAACAAGAGTCTCATAAGGTCCGACCCTTGAAACCATTGTTGGGAATTGCGGTGTCCCCTCTGCAAGGCCAGACCAGATCTGAGTACTCTGAGTCGTCGTCGGATGGAGAGAGTCACAGAGCATGGGGCACAGATGGGGTAGTTGATGGGGTAGACACTTCTTTTGATCCCACTGTCGTCGTCTTGAGAGACGATGCTTCTCAAATTCCCAGAGATGGCCGAGGAGCCGACGTTGAAAGCAGTCCTATGGATGCCGGGCAAGGGACGAAACGGAAGCGGTTCTCGTATGACCAACACGACCCTGTGTCATCAGGACAGCATCGAGAAATACGAGAATGGACTCTCCCACCACAAAGCAATCCCTGGAATGCGGCCGAGAACAGCACCAGGTATAGGCTGATGTTGACGTACAGCGACTTCACAGTTATCACTTATGAGTTATCACGCGGAGTTGAAAGAGGAGATGTCGCACAATGCCATGTTTCTACCATGGACTTGGTAGATTGATTTACTGCGGGATGAAGGGATTGATTGCAGGTTTTGGAAAAGGATAATGACAGTTCACGCGGCGAATTTGTGGCAGGGGTTCTGGTCTCTAGTAGATTTTGATACCCTCTGATGTTGTCCATTTGGACAACTGTATTCGAAGCTGTTTCTGAGTTTTGGAATTCCCTTAGCATCCTAGACAGATTATCTCAGTACAATACGATCTAGTGGTGATAGAGAGTAGGTCATTAGAATTGCTTGTTGTCTCGAATTGGTAACAATCGTCGCTCTTTGCCACCGTCATCTCATGGAGAGATATAATACATCATCCCCCTGATGAGAGATCTCACAAGTGATCCTAATTAAATAGCTTTGGAATGAACATCATATCTCTTTGCATCTGATCGGAGTTGAGCGTCACGTGTGGCCATTCAACATCAAATCTCCAACGTCGTCATCATCACCTCGAGAAGGATATTATTATATTCCCTCAACTATATCATCACCATTGGACCTCAGAATCGTGAAACCCTATCAATCATCAACACTAAGTCATAAAGATTGCCACCATAGCGATACTCCGGGTACCATTTCCAGCACCCACCCTCACCCTCACCCTCCCACTTCGAATCCCACTTCTACCTCATAGTCTCGTCCAAAGAAACAACGTCAAAGGACGACACCCAGCCCCAAATCATCTTAAGCCATCTTTTTCACCCAACATACCACACCCCAACCCCATTCACATCATGCCAACATCATCCTCACCACCATCGCCAGAAAAGAAATCCATCGTCATCGTCGGCGGAGGCATCATCGGCAGCACCACAGCCTATTACCTGACCCGCCACCCGCAATACGACCCAACCCGCCACCAAATCACACTTCTTGAAGCCACGGGAATCGCTTCCGGAGCATCAGGCAAAGCCGGCGGCCTGTTAGCACTATGGGCATACCCCTCGTGTCTAGTACCGTTGAGTTTCCGACTCCATGAAGAATTAGCTGCCGAACACGGCGGCGAAACGCGATGGGGATATCGAAGGGTTGGCGTCGGTAGTGTGGATCTTGTGGGGAGGAAGCTTGGGAGGTCTTCGTCAGGGAAGAAGGGCAAAGTGAGCAATGGAAATGGTCAAGGCGGGGATATTCGAGGCATTCACCGTGCGGATGTTGCGAGTGATGGAAATGTCGAGATGAAAGATTCCAATGATGACGCTCATGTCTCGCTACAGAAGAGGAGTGCCGATTCCTACGCCCGTCTACGCAAGATGGGACTTCCGGACGATTTAGACTGGGTTCATGAAGACACAGTTCGTGGATACGAGGCTATGGGCGGGCCTGAAGATACCGCGCAGGTCCATCCATATCAGTTCACCACGAGTATGGCAGAGTTGGCCGCCGAGAAGGGCGTCGATATCGTGTTAGGGTCAGTGACCAAGATCGCTGCTGATCCCAGTGGTGGTGGTGGACATCGCGTCACATATACACCTAAGAAGGACTCGAAAACCCCAGACTCTTCTTCCTCCTCTTCAGAACAAACCATCTCAGCAACCGATGTCATCGTCACCGCCGGCCCCTGGACCAACACCATCCTCCCACAAGCCCCCATCTCCGCCCTCCGCGCTCACAGCGTAACCATCCGGCCCACTCGACCAGTATCCGCATATTGTCTCTTCACATCCCTACAACTTCCCAAAAACTTCCACACAGGAGGACATTCCTCGCCTTCGATCGTCACACCCGAAATCTACGCCCGACCCAATAACGAACTCTACGCCTGCGGCGAAGGCGACCATTTAGTTAAACTACCCAAATCAACCGCCGACGTCGAGGTCGATGATTCTCGATGTCAGGATATAGTCGATTATTGTGCGAGTTTCTCGGACGAGATGCGTGATGGAGAGGTTTTGGTGAGACAGGCTTGTTATTTGCCTCAGGTCGAGAGTGCGGTTGTGGCGGGACCGTTGGTTGGTCCGACGTCGATGAAGGGGGTTTGGGTTGCGGCGGGGCATACGTGTTGGGGAATTCAGAATGGACCGGCGACGGGGAAGATTATGAGTGAGTTTGTCTTTGACGGGAAGTGTGAGAGTGCGAAGGTGGCGAGTTTGGATCCCAGGAAGGCGATGAAATGAATTTGATGGTGGTATTAGAAGAGAAAGAGAGAGAGAGAGAGAGAGGAAACAGTGAGGGTTATAAGATTCATGATAATCCATGTCATGATCATACTCATCTTCATTTCATGTCTCAAGCAACAACCTCCTCATGCCTTCCAAGCACTAACCACCTGAACCACATCCTCATCCGCAACAACATGACCCAACCCAACCCTCTGAGGGATATGTTTCGAACTCGCCCCCCAGACCAAAGCATACTTGAACGTATCCTTCAATGTCCGATGAATCTGATCACACACATCTTCAATCGTACTATTACTCCTCACAATCAACGCCTCTCCAAAATCCGGCTCTATGCCCTGTCGTTTCGTATAAATCCGCATCAACCTCAATTCTTGCCAACACCTCTCCACCACATCTTGAATCCCCAGATCCATTTCACACGACATGACCACCGTATTCGGTTCACGCGCCAATTCATCCAGGAATTCAACCGATATCGAATCGATCTTGTTGTATACGTACAAACAATTAATGTATTTTCGATGGTCTTTCATGATGACGTCGATGAAGTCGTCGACAGTGGCGTTTTCGTCGCGGACTAGAACTTCGCAATTGAGGATTTTGTAGTCGCGGAGAATGTTGTACAGCATTTTCTCGTCGAGGTTTTTGGGTGGTGACTGGAAGGTTATTTTCATGCCGCCGGCTTTTTTGGCTTTGAGGTAGATATTGGGGGGTTGCCGGTTGAGACGGATGCCGACGGCTTCGAGTTCAGCTTCGAGAAGAGCACGTTGTTCCGCACGTTTGGTCGCGTCGAGGACCATGAGGATTAGGTCTGAGGTCTAGTAGAGAGAAGACGATGTTAGGGATCTAAGGAGAAATAGATGAGTCTGTCTCGACCTACCTTGGCCGCACTGATGACTTGACGTCCTCTTCCTTTGCCTTCTGAGGCGCCTTCGATGATTCCAGGCAAGTCCAGGATTTGAATCTCTGCGCCTCCATACTCGAGAACACCGGGAATCGCTGTCAGTGTTGTGAATGAATATGCCGCAACTTCTGATTTGGTCTTTGTGATCTTGGATAGAAATGTCGATTTTCCCACTGAGGGGAATCCAACCAGGGCGATTCTGGCATCTCCAGATTTCGAGACATCGAACCCTGCACCGCCGCCTGATCCGGCGCCAGGACCAGGTTCCAAGAGTTGTGCTCGGAGACGTGCCAATTTTCTATTCCATTGAGTCAGTCTGGAGCACTAAGACGTTGAGATGGACTTGGTCAAAGTCGGGACGGGGCCCCAGTCACGTGGGTATTGCTGCAGCCACGCAAAGACTGTTCGTGGAAGGAAATATGGAACCATGCAGCGTCACAATGCAGACTCACCCTTTTAACAGACCAAGATGATATTCTGATGAATTGCGGTTAGTTTGTGTGACAGCGTAGCCAATATCCCAAGAACGAACGAACCTGTGGCTTTGTTTTCTGCATATCGTCAGTCAGCGCGGATCCAACATTCACATACGACTAGTCACTCACTTTGAGTACGAGCCATTTCGGCCTCGATCCTAAATCCATGTTAGACTCAACTGGAGGGCTTGGGCACAGTCATGTCGAGCATACTCCTTGATCTTTTCCGTAATGTTCACCATCTTGACGGTTCAGGCCTGAGCCTGTGACCTCGAGGTAGTGTGCGTCACAAAGAGTTGTCTCAGGCGATGCCCTTGATCTTCTCACAAGGGCCTGAATTCTTGTCACACCTCTCACTCTTCACGGTGTTCACTGAGAAATTGTCTCAGATCAACGACGATTACAGCAGAGATCAGTGTAGTTTGATCTGTGAGAATTATTCGTTTAGTCAGACTCTCAGTAAAATCGTCATATACACTAGACAGCTGTGATAATGGTGACGATCTTGTGATATCGGACTCGTCAGACACATCGAATTAGTCAGAAGGCGGTTTGATACTATCGGAAACTCATTTATCCGCGCCGAACGCTTGGCCCTCCTGACACTCCCCGCCTTGTATGAATCACAGGATTTTCCTATATATCTTGTCCTTTGCATCCCTTCTTTCTCGACAACTCCCCAGTATATATACAAAAATCACCAATATGGGTGGTGCGGCTTTGGACTAGGTGGCCGCGGCATTGCTGCGGTCTACCTCTGTGAATTGAACTCCAGCACGGAGTTCAATGCCAAGAAGTCCAGCACATCACCAGCAGAGACGCGCTGCGGGCTGGAAGTCCTCCTGGTCGATCTGGTCTCGACTTCTCCTTCACAATGCCAAAACAGAAGAGAGCCAAGGCAGCGATGCCACCATCAGCACCAGCGATGCCACCTCAACAGGCTCCGGGCGCAATGCCAGAGCCATCGTTTGGTCGATCCCATCGGGGCTTGGAGGAAGAAATCATCGAGTATCCGGAGGTTCAACGCAACGAAGCATTAGCAACAAAGGCCATCTATCCTGATGAGTTTGAGAGAATCCACGGGCGCAAGAACGCTTGGCAGGTGAGATCTAATCTTCAAAACTGCGATAAATGACATTTTTGATCTGATCTGATCTTTCCAGACTCGAGAGAATCTTGCTTTCCAGGTCCGGGTGGGACCTTTGGAGGATAAGGACTATTTTGTCAAGTTGATCTTTGAATTTCCACCCGATTATCCCAAAGTCCTGCCAAAGATCCAGGTCGTGACTGTCCAACCAGCAGATGTTGATTTGGCCAAGCAAGTTCAACACATCATCGCCACGTATCCGGCACAACACTTGGGCCACGAGATCGTCTTCGAGGTCAACCAGGCTATCATGGATATGCTTGAACAGTTCATCTCTGCAAAGGCCAAAGCCAAAGTCGACTTCAGCCTCGAACAAGAGCGAGCAGCAAGAGAGGCGAGGGAAAGAAAACAGGTCCAAGAACAAGAGGAGAGGACACGTAAGCGACAAGACGAGGAAGCTGAAAAGCAAGAGCAAGTCCTCGCCTCTCAAGTCGCCAGTGAGAAACAACGGCGACAGAAATCCACCTTGTATCGGAAGACCACGGGCGATGACAATGCCCAATTCTACGACGTCCCCGAAGAGCCTGTCAGATTTGACCAATCGATGATCTGCAAAGACGTCGAGACCGACACTCCTTTCAAATTCAAATCAGTGGCAGGAAGGACCGTTCTGTTGAAGAGAAAAGACAAAAAGGTCACCATCGTGGCTCCTCGTGTTGATATCGATGCCGTCCAAGCACCACGTCTCCTCTTGAAAGACATCTACCTCCCCGAGTCAATTGCCCATAAAGCTGATATGCAGAAGTGGATGGAAGAGATCGAACAATTGCTTGAATCGTCCAAAGAGCATCATCATCAGAACGTTGTCGACATTCTCAACTACAAGATCGAGCATGTCAACTTGGATGACGGCTCAACCCAATGGAATTTGGCCATATTGTCCGAATACGCCAACAAAGGCTGTTTGCACGATCTGCTGGAGCTTTCTGGACCTCTCAACTCCAACAAGATCCGTTCTTGGACACGCCAATTGGTTGATGCCCTGATGTTCTTTGACCAGCAAGGTTACGTCCACCCAGCTGTCCATGCGGCTAATGTCCTCATATTCATGTCTCGAAGTGGAGGGATCACTGTCAAACTGTCGGATGGATACGGGACCAAACTGCGCGATCTGGTCAACAAAGCTCGTGACCCCCCTGCGCCAAAGACTACATCTCTTCTCTGGCTTGCACCTGAATTGAACGGGACTGTTCCAACTCGAACCAACAAGACATGCATTTGGGATCTGGGAAAAGTCATTGTGCAAATGGCTCTTGGTAATGATTACCAGAAATACTACACTTCTCCGATCCAGGTCCTCGAAGGGACAGATCTTGAAGATAGTGCTGAGAGTCTATTGGAAAGTGTATTCCAACACAATCCCGCCAAACGACCAACTGCGTTTGAGTTGTCACACCGCGACTTCTTCAGAAAGACACATGAAGCAATCTTCAGCAGAGACTCCCCCAATCTTCCAGGAACGCCCTCGCGCCAGAGACGTCAGAGCAACAAGACTGACTCCAAGTACCACAATGAGTGGGAGGAGCTTGACACTCTCGGCAAAGGTGGTTTTGGCAGGGTCGTTCGTGCAAGACAGAAATTGGATGGACAATTTTACGCCGTCAAGATCGTTGAAAGCACATCGAAGCAAGCGTTGAATGACATTGTTGGAGAGGTCACTCTCCTTGCCAAGTTGAACCATCCATACATTGTGAGATACTACACTTCTTGGATTGAGAATGAGGATGATCAACCTGTGCGAATGTCTACAAAGGCCAAGAAGACTCAAGCGCTCCCAGATCTATCAAGACGACAAGCCATGCCACTGAGCATAGGTCATGATTTCATGGAGCCTTCTGTGTATCGCAACCAGGGTCTCGAATACAGCGACTCCAGCGGTGGCATGTTTGGGTATCAAGATCCGCCATCCATTAACGATGAAGATGGTTGGGACAACGAGGACGATCTCGGCAGTGATCCTGAACCTGCCACAGGTGAAGACATGACCTCGACGGACCCCCCCACCGATGATCCATTCGAAAGAGACATTACATCAACTGACGCATCCCCATCGGTCGAGACGAATCCTTTGGCTCGATCCATGCACCCTTTCCGTCCTCCAACGCCACCGATGATTGAAAAATCGACACTGTACATTCAGATGGAGCTTTGTGACAAGCGCACATTGTTCAATCGAATTCACGAAGGTCTCAGCGGTGACCCTGACATGGTATGGCGCTTATTTCGACGCATCCTCGAAGGTCTTGCACATGTTCATAGTATCGGCGTGGTGCACAGAGATCTGAAACCAGCCAACATCTTTTTGGACTCGCACGACAATCCCAAGCTTGGTGATTTTGGACTTGCAACCACAGGGCAAGCGCTGTCAAAAGCAATGCAATCAGAAGGAGGAATGACAATTACACGGTCCACTGGGGTTGGTACCAAGGGCTACACTGCGCCCGAGCTCTTCCATCATGGCAACAAATACGACGCAAGAGCTGACATGTACTCGTTGGGCATCATCTTCTTTGAGATGAACTATCCTTTCAGTTCTGACATGGAGCGATCAGTATTGTTGGAGAATTTGAGAAAGCCAATCCCTACTCTACCACCATTCTTCAACGATGATTTGTACCGAAAACAGGGCGAAATTATCCTCCGTCTAGTTCAGCACAAGGTGAAACAACGACCTCAAGCTGCGGAGCTACTTGCCAGCGACTTGATCCCAGAACCTCTTGAGGATGAAAAGTTTCAACGATACATTGACCGAGTGGCGGCTGATGATCCAGCACAGTACCAAGCCTGGGTCAACAAACTCTTTGCTCATCCAAACACAACAGTATCCAATCTGGCGTGGGAAGACAAGACTGCCAAACAAGTCACAATTGGAGAGTCTCTGCTTCGAGTCCATATGAGCGAGCAGTTGCGGGAGATCTTCCGACGACATGGTGCTATTGAAGTCAGCCGACAAGGCGTCTTCCCCAAGGCTGAATTCTATCCTAATCCAGCTACATTCCTAGACCCATCGGGTCTTGTGGTGCAACTACCATCGGATTTGACTCTTCCGCTTGCAAGGACGCTGGGACAAACTCGCTGCTCTTACAGCAAGATCTACTGTTTTGGAGATGTCTACCGAGCAACATCCCCTGGTCAGGAGGCAAAACAGGTCCCAGAAGTTGACTTTGACTTCATCTCACACAATGCATTGGACCTAAACATCAAGGAAGCGGAAGTCATCAAAGTACTTGACGAGATCTTACACGAGATCCCAGCATTGGCACTTCGCTCATGGACGATATATTTGAACCATGGGGATTTACTCGACCTGATTCTGAATTTCTGTCGCATCAGAAAAGACAGTTATTCGAAAGTCAAACAAGCGCTGTCACATCTCAACGTCGGACCAACGACATGGAAAGAACTTCGCGAACAACTTCGTGGTGCGGCTCTCAACATTCCCGAGACATGTGTGACCGATCTTTCACGGTTCAATTTCGACGGCCCCATCGACCATGTGCGGTACAAACTCACCAAAATCTTTGGTGAAAGCGAACATTTCAGTCGAGCAATTCCTCAATTGACGCGACTTGATGAATTAATGTCCCTAACGAAGAAAATGAACATTCAGAGCGAGATCCGCGTGGCACCACTAAGCAACAACTCCGAGCAACTGTACAAAGGCAGTCTACTCTTGCAATGCATCGACAACAGCTCCAAGAAAGTCATCGCCGTTGGAGGTAGATACGACGCCTTGATCCAAGAATATCAATCCAAACATGATCGAGGATCTACCCGCGGCGTTGGATTCCGACTGAACGTCTCTGAGGTTATTTTCCACATGCGGAGTCAAGTTCAGAACATTGTGGGAGGATCAAGATCTTCGCTCAAATCTGCGGCCGTTGATCCTCGTGCAGCAGCCATGCTGACTCGCTGCGACATTCTGGTCACTAGCTTCGATCCCACCACCTTGCGGACGACTTGTGTGGAGATTGTATCGTCTCTCTGGGCGGCAGGTCTTAGTGCAGAGTTGTCAGAGGAATCTCGTTCTTTGGAAGAACTTGAGATGGCATGCAAGGACAATGTTGGGTATTGGGTGGTAATTGTCCGCAGCGGAGTTGGTGAGCGTGGTTTGAAAGTGAGGAGTCCTTCAAAGGAAGAAGATGAAGTCAAGCCAGGTGAATTGGTCAATTTTTTGCAGACTCGGCGGAATTTTCGACGCAAGTAGATAGGGTGTCTACGGATAGATGGAAATAATGATGTTCATAGAGCCAAGATGGTGATAATCGAATTGTTTTGTAGCAATGGTAGAGGACTATCTTCATCTTCATCTTCAGCCTCGTCCTCGTCGAACCTGGTTGCATGTACCAGGTGTACAGTCCACCCTATATTTTTATATACGGCAGAGTACTCGTAATCTCAATGCTGCCCCTTTGTGACGTCTGCGCTTTCGTTCCTCATCTTCTCCCGCAACTGCAACTCCAACTCCAACTCCAAACTGCGAAACGAGGCCACATGTGCTTCTAAATTTGGTGTTTCGATGCGTTGATATGCCGCACCACCAGACATAAACCACCCACCGTCATTCATTTCCTGGTGAGACTCACTACAGTCATGTCACCATCATCGAGGGGCACAATGTCCCTCACCACCCTCATTACCACCTTGCTGTCACTCACTCTCCTCTCCCTCCATCCTACCTCCGCCGCCGCCGATTCGAGTTCAAACGACACCTTTTTATGGGGACCCTACAGACCCAACGTATACTTCGGAGTCAAGCCTAGACTACACAAGAGTCTGACTACCGGTCTTCTATGGGCCAATGTCGACAATTATGCTGCGGCACAGAACAATTTCCGCTATACATGTGAGCAGAACGAGGGAATGGCCGGCTATGGCTGGGAGGAATATGATGCTCGCAATGGTGGTCGTCAGGTCATCCATGACACGGGAAACCAAATCGATTTGACCATTGACTTTATCAAGTTTCCCGGCGGCCAGAATGGTGGAAGCTGGGGTGCAAGAATTAAAGGTGTGCCTCGAGAAGATGCATCTCCTTCGATTGTCACCACTTTGGTCTTCTACGCCAGTATGGAGGGGCTTGGTGAATTGGGATTCTCGTCTGAAGAGCCGGACTCGGATGGCGTGGTCACCATGCATGGTTCGACTGTCGAGTTGGGCGACTTTGATCTTACATTCACCGACCCGAAAGAGAACTCGTTGCCATATAAAACCCATCCGTCATGGGACAGCAAGCCTTTGGACCGGCCTTTGATGTCCAGTATGAACATTCCTGCCGAAGCTATGTGGCAGGCGAAGAATGTTTTGTTTGCCAACATGAAACGAGGCATTGATGCTTATGTTCAAGAATACGGCCAGGAGAACATGCCACCACCATGGCAATCATTCACCATTGCCCAGAATCCTGGGCCAGGCAATTTCCACATGGTCCAGAAAATCTATGTTGGCGCCTTTGAGTTCGATGTTCTCTTCAACTCAGCTTCTGGACCGAAAGTGACATCAGAATCCCAGACCAAGGCTATTGCTGAGACAAAGACCGCCTTCAAGTCAAAGTTTAACAAGATCTTTGCACCTCTTGCACCTTTCACGAAATCAAAGTTCACGGCTCTGTCCGAGTCATTGTTTTCAAACCTCTTTGGTGGAATTGGATACTTTTACGGCGACTCGCTTGTGGACAGGTCCTACGCTGCTGAATATGACGAGGACAATGAAGGCTTCTGGGAGGAGGCTGCTGAAGCAAGATCACGAGCTCAAATCCAGCCTGATGAGCCTGCCGAACTCTTCACCAGTGTACCATCACGACCATTTTTCCCTCGGGGGTTTCTATGGGACGAGGGTTTCCACCTAATTCCAATCGTCGAGTGGGATATCGACATTACCTTAGAAATCGTCAAATCGTGGTTTCGGTTGATGGACGCTGATGGCTGGATTGCTCGAGAACAGATCCTTGGACCAGAGGCTCGAAGCAAAGTTCCCCCGGAGTTCCAAGTCCAATACCCTCATTACGCCAATCCACCCACCTTGTTCCTGATTATCGATACACTCATCGACAAGCTCAACTCTGGATCACTCTCAGCCACGGAAGCTGCCCATGTCAGAACAGACCTGCAGACCCTGTACCCACTTCTCAAACGACAATATCACTGGTTCCGCAAGACGCAATTCGGCGACATCAAATCCTACGACCGCGAAGCATTTTCATCCAAAGAAGCATACCGCTGGCGAGGACGCACGCCTCAACACATCCTCACTTCAGGTCTAGACGACTATCCTCGCGCCCAGCCACCCCACCCTGGCGAATTACACACGGATTTGATCTCATGGGTTGGACTGATGGCATCGACCCTTTCACGACTCGCCCCTCTCGTTCCCGAAGCAGAAGACGACGTCGCCGACTTCACCAGCCAACATAAAGCCATCATCCGCAACATCGACGACCTGCACTGGTCAGCCACGGAGAAGATGTACTGCGACGCCACAATCGACGACTACGAAGACAGCATCCACGTCTGTCACAAAGGCTACATCAGTCTCTTCCCATTCATGACCGGTCTCCTCCCTCCAACCCACCCGAACCTCCCACACATCCTGTCATTGATCTCCTCACCCACTGAACTCTGGTCACCATACGGAATCCGATCTCTCGCCAAATCCGACCCCTTGTACGGCACGGCTGAGAATTATTGGCGGTCGCCAATCTGGGTCAACATGAACTATCTGATCCTGAAGAATTTATTAGCTCTCGCCCAGTCGAACGATACTCCTAAAGCGGTCAAAACTCAGGCTACTTCCATTTACGTCGAGTTACGCCGTAACCTCGTTGATAATGTCTACCGTCAATGGGAGCAGACGGGTTTCGCTTGGGAACAATATAATCCGGAATCTGGTGCTGGTCAACGAACTCAGCATTTTACGGGCTGGACGAGTCTGGTCGTGGTGATTATGCGTATGCCGGATTTGAGTGCAAATGTGGGGATCAAACATGGAGAGTTGTAGAAATCTCTCTCTGGTTTGGTTTGGTTTGGTTTGGTTCGGTTTGGTTGACCTCGCTGGGCGAGGAGAGAGAGGGTTTATTGGGGGAAAAGAAATCCTAGATTTGAAAGAAAGACATGATGGTAGGTAGTAGATACAAAAAGATGAAAAGAAAAGTTCAAAAGCCAATGTCATGTTTTTTGGTTAGATTTGACTTCAAGAAGAAACGAACTCTGAACTCTGATATACACAGTCCACGCATTTCAACGACTGACTACTTAGACTGGATATTACCAGGTAGTTCATCATGTCTTTTTAATTCCACCCACTGTGGTTCCAAGATTAGATATCTTGAAGTCGATCGACTAAATCTATCAAGTACTCGTCTAATCACTGTCATCATCACTGCCATATCCGACCAACGGGCCAGCAGATACCGGTGCTGACCTTGCAGCCTGAGTCGACGAATTTGCCGAATATCCCTTCAACGCAGCAAGCGTCGACGAAGAAAGAATCCCATTTCCTTGCTGCGTCGTGGCGGCGGTGGTTGAATCCTCCACAGGGAGGACCGAGTTCTGTGCCGCCTGCATCTCATGATTCCCATCCTCCAACAGCGCCCTCTCATCATTCCTCTGCGCTTCATACTCCAACTGTTTCTGCTGATTGAACCAAATCGCCTCTGGAGCCTCATAGCCTTCCAAACCATACCCACTTTCCAACTTCCTCTGCTCTTTCTCCTCCTTCGATTCCCTCCCTTCAATCTGTCTGACCGTCCTGGCGCCCAAGGCCTTCCTCACCGCTTCGGCCGCTTGCTCTTCAATCCTCGCCGCCTCTCTCTTCGCACTCAACGGATTAGGATCCACCGTTGCCCAACGAACATTCAGAATCTCATTATTATCCAACGCCTGATGCGCCATGGCTTCTTTCGCAAACTGTGAATTCGCTTCATTCACATACGTGACAAAGGCCACGCCTCTCCCCGTCAAAACCCTCGTGCGTTCGATTTCCCCCCACTCCTGAAAATGTCTCGCCACTACTTCTTCGATATCGTCCGTGACGTGAATCCGGCCCACGTACAACGTCCGGTTTTGACGCGTGAAACTCCCCACACCACCCATATCGTCGCGGTAATCCGAATGTTTGTCTCGTCCGAAACAGTCGACGTTGGGATTGAAAATGTCGAATGTCCCCGGTAAGCGGTGCAGGTATTGACATTCATGGCCCTTGGGACAGATTCCGCGGGCGAAGAAGAGACAGAAGAATGAACCGGGGGTTTTGTCGGCCGCGGTCCATCCGCTGTCGTTGCGGATGTTGCAGCGTGATACGGCCGCGGTTTTGGATAGCGCGGCGTCTTCACGGTCGCCGCCACTCCATTTGTTGTACCAGATGTTGAAGATGGTGCCGGTTTGCGGTGGGGGTTCGGATTTTAAGGTCGAGGCGTCGACTTGAGGACGTGCGGGTCGGCGTTTGCGGCGGATGAGTTTGGTTTTTTTCGTGGGGGGTTCTGAAGAGGTGAGGGAAGTCTCGTTGGTGGTGGTATTGGTGAGGGCGGTTGAGGTTGAGGAGGGTTCGGTGGCGGATTGGTCATTTTGGTCGAGAGGAGAGGCGGAGCGTTTGCGACTGGGTGAACCAGGTGTGGTAAAGGATGTGCGAGCTTGTACTACTTCTGCCATTTTGGCGATGTGGGAGGGGAGCGAGGTTGTTGGAAGTAGTGGTAGAGTGGTAGTGAGGAAAGAGGATTTCTTCAAGTTCGATGTCATGGAAAGTTGAAAATGCGTTTCTGCGACAAATCTGCGGCCAAGCGGAGTATAAAGTCGAAAAGTGCAATTTATATACGGTGGAGTATTGAGGACACCACGGACGTCTCTTTTTGAAATGAATTCAACCTCCATCAACTCGTATATCCATACCATTAATCCAATTTCTATGTCGAGGATTGAGAAATCTACAGGATGGATACGGTCTCATTACAATCCTCCGTGTGAGAGCTACTACCTATGAGCTCTGCGGCAAAAACCTCAGTTCGGACAAGGATGCTCTGATCCTCACAGATTTTGTTTCGTCTTTTCCATACTAAAATGTTGCTCACATTCAGAATGACCTAACCTCCCAATACCAATTCATGTCTCTCATTTCCAGACGCTTATACACAATGGCGCTTCGACCGCCTGACAAACCCCTTCTCGTTGTTCTAGGTGCAACAGGAACCGGAAAATCAAAGGTTTTCATTACACAATCATTCTGTCCATCCACAAAGATATACATCGGCTGATCACTCAAGATAGTTGGCCGTAGAACTAGCCACAAAATTCAACGGCGAAATCATCAATGGTGATGCCATGCAAATGTACAAGGGCCTACCCATCATAACGAACAAAATTCCCGAAGCCGAAAGAAACGGTATACCACATCATCTACTGGATTTTATTGCATTACACGAGAAACCATGGAAGGTTCATCAATTTGTCAAGGAGAGTCTTCGTGTGATTGATGAGATTCGAGAACGAGGGAAACTTCCTATCTTGGTAGGTGGGACGCATTATTATTCACATGCGCTTTTGTTCAAGGATGCGATTTTGGGGACGGAGGACGAGGTTGAGGATGAGGGTCATTCTGATGATGATCAGTCGGATCATCAGTGGCCGATTTTGTCACAACCGACGAATGAAATCTTTTCCAAGTTGGAAGAGGTAGATCCTGAAAGTGCCAGTCGATGGCATCCCAAGGACAGGCGAAAGATTCAGACGGCGCTTCGAATATGGTTACGATCTGGAAGGAAAGCATCGGATATTTATGCTGAACAGCAAGCTCGTCGGGCTGACTCTGCTCGCCTATCCACATCATCCGACGCCAACGACCAAATCTCAAAATCTGAGACGGGTTTACGATTCCCGACACTGCTTCTGTGGCTCGAGGCCGAAGATGCTGTACTCAAAGAACGTCTCAACAAGCGTGTTGATTCCATGATTGAAGATGGCCTGATTTCCGAGGCACGATTAATGGCACAGGTTGAAGCCAGTCTGAATAAGACAGACAACCCTGTCGATCGCACCAAGGGCATCTGGATTTCCATTGGATATAAGGAACTTGAGCCTTATCTCCAGGTGGAAGAAACAGGAGCCCAGGGCGATTCAGAACCCAACTCGACGCAAAAGAAAATCCTGCACGAGGCGATCGAAGCCGTCAAAGCAGGAACACGACAATATGCCAAGAGGCAAAATCGTTATATTCGCGTTCGGCTGGCGGATGCATTGGCTGACGCTGGACAGCTGCGACGACTGTTTCTCCTGGATAGCACCAAGCTAGACCAATGGGAGTCGATGGTGTTGCAGCCAGCGGAAAGACTGGCAAATTCGTTCTTGGAAGGTAATGAGCTTCCGTATGCAGCGACGCTATCCTCCTTAGCGGAGAAATGGCTGGGTAAGGTTGGAACTGGCAACAATAATGCGAAGCGTCTTGCTCGGACGTGTGAGGTTTGCAATAAGGTTCTGATGACGGACCATGAGTGGGATGGTCATCTCTTAAGTCGCGGCCATAAGAATACGGTGGCGGCACAGAAGCGACGGATGAGACAACTTCACCAGCCTTTGGAATCGGCTTCGGCTTCGGCTTCGACGACAGGGACTTCGAATATTGACACAAGCATGCCCTGAGTTGCTTGTCCTTGGGGATGAGTGTCTGGCAGGCAGCGATATCCTCAAGTTGGTCCGTCTTGGGGTTGCTCCATTGGTTGTGATGGCTGTAGTGGCTGTGGTGGTTGTGTGCCTTGTTGAAGTTGAGGCAGGCCTTGCAATCGCCATTTCACAAACTTGGCTGAGAGAATGTCACCATGACCAGTCTCAACGGCCTTGTAAACTTCAATGACGGAACTCTTCTCTCGCTTGCGAATTTTCCAAACGCCTTCTTCAACCACCACACCTTTCAACCCTAGAAGACAATGTCAAACATACCCACCACCCTCTGAATTGGCACAAACTCACATTCCAGAAAACTCGACGCGAAATTAATACACGCCTGACCATCCCACAGCCCTCGACCCTGAAGCCGAACCTTCTCCGGAATAGCCTGCGTATCAAGTTCTTCCACCCTTTCCAACAACCCCTGATGATTCCGATATCCGACCACAATCTTCGGCACACCCAATAAAAAAGACTGCGCCCAAAACTTCAAGAGTTTCCTCTCAAACTTGACCTGATCCTTTTCATTCTGAATCAAAGCCGTGGTCTTCAACTCCACCCAATTGACCTGCTGGGACTTATCCACCGGTTTAAAATCCTGCACCGCATCAACCTCACCCCCAATAACAATCTTTACCTTTCCAAACCCCGTCCTCACAATCGAACAATATTGAGCATAATTACTCACAACCATCTTCTCCCTCGACTCAATATCCTCCCTCGTCGCATCCGACCACGGTTTATCCAGTAAAGCCACCGTCTCGAATTTATATCCCCAATAGCTCATGAGATCCTGCGACATGGCGCCAGGATGTGCGGGGGCGGTGTATTGGTTCTGGCGACTATCCAATTTCTTCTCGTGACTTTCTTCGATGAAAAGTGTATCTTGGAATACGGTGGCGTTCATTTCCCAGTCGTCTAGATAACTGAACGGGGATACCATGATCTGTTACTGGGAAATGAGTAGGAGTTCTGATGTGATCATAGCAGGTTTCATCTTGTATGTTTTCACACCTTGGTCATCATTCCTCGCCATGTAATGATGTCAGTCTCCACTTTTGATCCTGTAGTCTTTTCATGTTCGATGATTGCGTCGAGTAGACTGTCGAGATGTTCGTCTACAGAGTCGTCTACATGGCGGAATGTATCGAAGCCGGCGCTCAAGTCGCAGGGAAGGAGGGGAGGGTAGTAATATCGGAGGCTTGAGGCATCGTGTCGAAGTTGGTGCTCTTCGTCGTATGAGAAACAGGTGATTTCCTGGAGGAAGTCAGGTGAATTCATGTCAGGTTGACTTTTGTTTTAAGGTCGCGGTTGTATAGCTGTCTGGTATGTACTGGCCTTGACTGGACTTACTCTTGGACGTCGTATAGCGGCCTGCCCACCTGCGAACAGTCTGGGGTTTCCGTCAAATCGGTGGATTTGCGCCATGACAAACTCCCTTCACACAGGCAGTGGCATTTTGAGTGTCTCGTCCACTAAATCCCCTTTGCTATCGTGTCGAGAGTCTGGTCGAAGGAGGGTATATTCCGCGGCAATAGAAATGTCTTGTGTTGAGTACAATTGAGAATGACATCGTTGGAGAAAGAGACTCAACACACGTGACTCCGCGTGGAGTTCGCAGGGAAGGCGCGTTGACTTGCAAACCTTCCTAATTTTTGGAAAGCGCAACGCGTGTCCCTGCGTCCTTCTTTTAAAAATGTACAGGATGCTGAAAATGAAGAAGAGAAGAGTGTCTCTAAGATGCACGGGACCATGAAATTCTCACTTTTGATCAACTTGACCAGAGGAACAAAATATAGGCAACGTATAATACAAATTCTTTCAGATGCCTATATATCTTAGTCTATTTAGTTGTCTCATTCTGTCATGCAGTCGTGCACAACAAAGCCCTACACTACCCAGTACCAAAGCCATCCCAAGAAGACTCCTGGCAAAACCCATTGATACTCGCTAGCCCAAAGCTATTGTCATGGTATATATAGGTTGAGGATTGGACCGTATGTGAAATCCAGAAGGCGAACCAAAGAGATCTTGAAAGCTCTCGACTCTCTGAAACATTCTCCTAGACCATATGCTTATCCTGGAGTTGATCAAACGTAATCTTTCGATTCTCAATAATCCGCTGACTGTCTCTGGATATTGAGCGACTCAGAGGAGCGAGGTGGTCGAAGCTGATGGTGCGGTTGTCGATGATGCGTTGACTGTCTTTTGTCGTCGTACGGGTCAAAGTATCGTCAGGACCGTTGAGACTGTAATTGAACTGCGGCCAGGATGTCATGGCAGAGACGGGGATTTGATCAGGATCACCACGGCTGAAACGATTGTTGACGATGATGCTGTTGCGTCTTCTAAAGTCACCACTGCGACGAGAGTTCTTTGGAAGAGGTTGATTGTGACTGAGAATAGTGACTTCGATGGGTCCTTCCTCGTCCTCGATCGGTTTGACGCCACGCCATTTGAGGAATGCGTTGAGGCCAGGGATGGATAGACCGTGGACGACGACACTGAATAGAACTAACCAGTAGATGACCGGCACCATGGCTCGAGTGAGAATGTTTTCTTCTGCGGTCAGGGCTTCGCCTGAAGGTGGGAAGAGATGTTTGGTGTGTTCGACATAGAAGACTGCTCCGATACCGATGGGGCCGAAGTAGCCTAGGAAAAGGGCTTCTTTCCAGTTGCGGCAGATCTGGGGATATAGTTTGTAGGTTGCGAAGATGGCGGGAATGCGGCGGCAGAAGAGGACGAGGAAGCCCAAGCCAATGAGGCGTGGGTATGTAATGCCAGTTCCGTCGGGGTCGTTGAAGTCGGACCAGGGGATAATGGTTCCAATGTAGATGAACCCACCGAAATTCAGGAGAACGTCGATTGAGGAATTCACTTCGTCATGTCTTCTTTCGAGTTCAGCCAGGAATTTGCCATCCCAGTTGAGTGCACACCCAGCTGAGAAGCAGGCAAGCAAGTCATTGGTACCGATGAGTCCGCATGTTCCGATGAGGAACAAGCTGAGAGCTGTTGGCCAGAGTAAGAATGCCTCTGTGTCAATCCAATTCCTGCAGAAAAACGTTAGTTGGAAAAGTTTGATAGGATGGGAAAACCGGCTGGGCTCACTTTCGAACACCCCATCTCGTCAGATACATGGAACCATAACCACAAACAGCTCCGTAGACAGCACCCATTGCCACGTAGTACAGCCAGGTTTCAATGACCCAAGAGCCCAGAGCCTTGCCAACGCCTCCTTGAAGTCGGCCAACATCATCTGCCCGAGCTTCGAGTAGGGCACGGGTGACCACGTGGGCCACTGCTTCCGTAACATTGCTGGCCAGGCTCTCTGCTTTAAGGTCCAGGGCTTCTTGGTGGTCAGCCATTTCTTGTTCGAGTCCGGCATGATCTGCGTGTCGGATGAGGTAGGTGGCCAACATCAGGAAAGGAAAACCGAAGCCGTCATTCGCTCCAGCCTCGGCCGAAATCATCTCTCTCAATGGACGACGGACGTATTTATCGGCAAAAGGACCTTTGGCAATCGACTGGGACAAGACGGGGTCTGTACTTGTGACACAAGCGCCGATGGCAAGGGCAGCGAGGAGAGACAGTTTTGGGATCGTGGCCAACATGCAGGCGGCAGTGCAAAGCCACATGACACACATGATGAGGATGAGGAAGAGAATCATCTCTTTCCATCTCTGCAGAGGGAACTTTGCTGGAAGTTGATAACCGGCGATTAGAAGTTGAATGCTGATCACCACCCGACACATTCCAAGAGTGATTTCACTCTGCTGGTTTGGATCGGCAAAGCCCCATCGCGTGGCGTCGAGGAACCTCGTTGACACAGGCCCTACAATAATACCAAAGATAACAGCGGGGACTGTCAAATAGAATGAGTTCACGGCAAAAATGGAAAAGGGAGGATTTGATGCGTACGTGCTTCCCCAAGATACCACAACTGCTTGATCTTGATGGATTGGAAGCCATAAGCAATCATGAAAAAACCCAAAACGCCAAGAACAATGTTCAGCTCGCTCAGATTGAGAGTAGGCATGGCGAACTGTGAGGATTCGACCCTCGAAAACAATCGAGGGCACTCAATAAAACAGGGTATCAAAACATCGAAAAAGCAGACGCGATATATGTGAAGAGAGGATGGAAACAGAAGGAAAACGGGTGAGAAAGAAGTAGTATGACCACAGCCGCCAGCGGACGTGTAGGTCACTCGGGTCGAAGAGGAGGTGCAGAAATTGGCGAAGGAAGTTCTGGATGTGGCATTGGCTACCATGTAATATTCGCAGACCCTCCAAGAGACCACCCATCAAGGTCGTCAGCCAAGGCCATCGTCTGTGGCATGAAACTCTTGTCCATGGCATGAATCAAGTTGTCCAAGGGGCTCCGCCGCGTTATCAGACAGGGTCACTCAACATATGGGATGTTCCATTGGGCGGAACTGATTTTGAATCAATGACCGGGGCGGCCTTGGCGGGTTTGGCAATGGATACGCTTCTTGGCGGAATCCATGGCCCAGTACAACTTCAATGCCAACAATGCCAAGGGAGCCCGTCATCCTCCCCTGATCCAAAGCTTTCCGCCAAGGGCTCTCGGAGTGCGTATGCCGATCGCCCAGAATGTCAAGTCGGAACAAACAGGAGGCGGATCGTGAGACTCGGCCCTGCACTCTCTGCTGCTTGTTCTGCTTGATGCGTGCAGATCATTTGAGAATCACGTTCAAGTGGATGTTGCTCTCATATCTTGGTGAAGCTTGGGTTCTAGGCAGTATCTGAAGTGCTTCAACAATGCCCCAAGGAGCAAGACCTGCGGTCATCGAGCAGGCCTCAACTTGGAGCGTGTCTGGTGTTAAGATTGCAAATATTCTCAATGCGGAACCACTCCACCAAGAGGCCAAGGCCGTCAAGCTTCCGACAAAAGGGTTAGAATGAGGCAATTCTTTGGCGATGGAGATAGCTGTTCGTCGTGAGAGTAGTGTTGATAACCCTCGTACTGCCGGCGGAAAATCTGCTGCCTTCAACATATCAAACGCTAATCGAAGGGCAAGCATGATTCTGGCTGATGGGAACACTTGATACACCATCACTGACATGCCACGTCGGAAGAGTCGAATGTGACCTTGGACCACATTCGACCACGAACCTAAGACCCGGTCACACACCTGCATGGATCGATATGACAAGCTTTCTCGGCGTGGCTGAGAGTGTGTCTTGTAAGCCCATGGGTTTCAAGGACAGCACCGGTGTGACATGGTAGTCTGTGAGCGATATATAGAGACATTCTGAGCGTTAGTCTTCTCTTTTGGCAAGAAGCACATTCCTTTTGCGGTTCGCGATGAAAGATAGCTTCGTTGATGGACCTTTTGGGACTGAGCCGCGTGGCCGCCTATCACAATTTGACAAGTGGACGAGGAGCATGCCAAGATGCCGCTGCTGATGCCGCTCTCACAGTGTCACCATCACTGAGATGCTGCAAGACTGTCACGACTGTCGACGAAGACCGTATGTAGAACGGAGAACTTGATTGCAAGCGTGGTTTCTAGCTTCCGCGTGGCTATGTCGATCATGGTTGATATGTTGCTAGTCATGGATGTGCGCCAAGTCATAATTCCCGAGTCATGAGTGAAATGGTTACTCCTGCCTTTTCAAAAGAAACTCACCACGTTTTCCCTTTGTGGAGGCTTACGGAGTGTGTCTCCCATCTGCTGATATTTCTTCTACATTTTCATTGCAGTGTGACATGAGACATTAAGCAATGAACAATATACGCGATGCTGTGATGTAGTAGTTTCAGGTTCTGCAAAGAATTAGGTCTGGTTGTGCCAGAGTATTATACACTCAAGTAGCTTACCTGAAGCACCCTGACATTTTGGGTTGTCATAGGTAAGGTCTAACGAGAGACACTCACCCAACGACCCCGTTATGGGCCCCTCGGCCCCCAGAGGCTCCCCAACCCCAACCCCCGGAGCTCTCGGGCCATCTAGCCACCCACCTATGGTAGGCCTCCCATCGTCAGTCCCGCAATAATTCAGCTCGCTCCAAATCACCAGCATATTTGACTTACTCAGATAGCCGTCGACCCAATCAACGATGAATGAATCAAGCTGCTCAGTAACACTGCCTACGGCTGGATAAGTGTCTCTCACTCTAGTGTAACCTTTTAGCAAGTCAGTCAGCAACCTCCATCGACATTATTGACGCATGGTGAATGCACATTCCTCATCATTCTGACCCGCTACCCGGAGGAACCGGGGCCAATTCTGTCCAGGCATACCGCAACAACAGCCAAAACACCAAGCACACTTATTGTCACTGTGCCTGTAGCTGTTCTAATTCTCAAGAAGTTGTTCTGAGTACGTTGCCGGCGTCAGACTCTGTCAGGGTCTCGACTGGATCTTGACTCACACTAACAATCCAAAGCCGCCGCCTTGATGACACACACACAGCATTCTCACCGCACCCTTGTCTGAGTCAAAGACGACCATGCCTAGCATCTTTACTTAAATACCTTACCTAACCAACGAGTCTCTACCCTGCGGTCCACGTCGCAGGTCACACGACCAATCATGGAGGAAGTGGTCACATACACATCCGGGGATATTTCATCACCGCCTGATGTTCGTCTAGTACATTTCAACGACGGTGAGATGTCCACGATACAAAACCCCTGATCTTGTTGACCCGCAGCACATGGACTAGTGACTGACGACTCTGACTTGCTGCCAATTAGTCTACCATCTGGATGCCTCATCTGCTGAACCTGTCGGTGGCATTGCCCGATTTCAGTCTGTCGTCAACTACTATCGCTCTGATGAGAGGTTCAAGGACCAGCCGAATCTCCTCACCTTTTTCTCGGGCGATGCCTTCAATCCGAGTCTCGAGAGCAGTGTCACTAAAGGTATGATCAACTCCGGACTCAGCTGCTCAGTCGAATGAGACACTTTCTGATGAGAGCGTCAGGAAGTCATATGGTGCCAGTTTTGAACAATATCGGTACGGACGTTGCTTGTGTCGGGGTATGTTGCGTGAGGTATCCAAGAAATGACTCTTCTTGAAGCTGATGTATGGCTACAGAATCATGACTTGGATTTCGGCATTCGCCAGTTCAGGAGTCTCGCTTCTCAGTGCACTTTCCCTTGGTTGCTTGCAAATGTACTAGGTAGGTCTCGATGTCTGAACGTCAGATTTGTGGACGAGGCTGACCGGCCATGGCAGATCCAGCCCTCGGCGACGATGTCCCCCTGGGCAATGCAACCAAGACCATAATGCTCACGAGTTCCAATGGGATCAAGATCGGCGTGATTGGATTGGTGGAGAGAGAATGGTTGGACACCATCAATTCCTTGCCTCCAGATCTCATCTACAAATCGGCTTCGGCCACCGCCATGGAGCTCGTACCGGGTCTGCGAGAGCAAGGTGCCGACATCATCGTTGCAGTGACCCATCAACGAGAGCCAAATGACAATAAACTCGCGGCCAAGACTCCTGATGGACTCATCGACCTGATTCTCGGTGGCCACGATCATTTCTATCAGCACAATTTGATCAACAGTACCCATGTGCTCCGGTCAGGGAGTGACTTTAAACAACTGAGTTATCTCGAAGGCCGAAGACAGCCGGCGAATCCTAAAAAATGGACCTGGCAGATTGTCAGGCAAGATGTTACATCTGCTGTTCCCCAAGACCCAGACACGGTGAAGCTAGTCGACACGCTGACAGCCAAGCTTAAGGTCAAGTTGGAAAAACCATTGGGGTTTACTGCTGCCCCGCTAGACGCAAGATTTACCACGGTTCGGCTCAAAGAGTCCAATGTGGGTAACTTTGTATGCGACATGATGAGAGCTCACTATTCGGGCGATTGTTGTATCATTGCAGCTGGAACCATCCGAGGCGATCAGATCTACCCACCTGGAGTGTTGAAGTTGAAGGACATTATGGACTGGTAAGTCTCCTCTCCCGCCATAGGTACGGGCGCTTGAGTTGCTACAGCTGCCTGACAAAGACTAGCTTTCCGTTTGAAGATCCGACCATTGTCATACGAATCACCGGCGCCGCAGTGTTGGCGGCCATGGAAAATTCCGTGTCAACTTACCCAGCTCTAGAAGGACGGTTCCCTCAAGTGTCCAACATCTCATTCGAATTTGACCCATCTCTCCCACCTAATCATCGTATCAAGTGGCTCAAGATCGGCAACCAGCCCGTCGACCTGGAAAAGAAGTACGTTGTTGTCACGCGAGGTTACATGGGGCGCGGTAAAGATGGATTCGACTCGCTCCTCGTGCAATCTGAAGGCGGGGAGGCTGAAGAAATCGTTTCAGAAGAGAATGGAATCCTTATCAGCATGATGTTACGACAGTATTTCATGTCGTTGAAGATTCTTGGCAGATGGAAGCATTGGAGCAAGAGTATGAATCGACATTGGGAAGGGGTTCATGAAGACCTCCATTCGATGCATCCAGTGATTGAGCCAAACCTCCAGACTGGCAGAGACCAAAAGTCTGATACTACTGCCGCCGCCTCCACCAATACCACCAACACCCAAGAAGCTGGAACGACGACACCACTTGACGACTCGGAGGATGAAGAAGGACAACATCGCATTCCCGTGTCGATTCCCAAGTGGAATGAGAAGGAACTGCAGATTATTAGAAGGGTGACCCGCAAATGGCGACGATTGGCAGGACTCAAGGGTCATTCTAGCTGTTGTGATAACGTGGCAGAAGACGAGTTCACGGTGGACTGGACTCGAGTGAGTGATTTTGAATCCAAAAACTGAGGATCTGTTACTGATTGAGAGCAGGCCATTGTACCAAGACTGGAAGGTCGCATCCAAATCACATCGTCCAGTTAAGATGATGATCTCTGCAGGGCTGTTGATATATCTGGCGATGGGAACAAGATCCATCCATCGGCCGTAGCTGTTGTGTTTAGGGTTGGACAGGCGGAAAGATGTATTGACGAACGTTTGCTCACTCGAGAGATCTTGGTGTCTCGATATGAGTCCTGTCGATAGTTAGCACAGCCTAGTCCCAATAACGACCATGCAACACTTCATCAGTAGCCAAGGTCGTTGTCACAGGCGAGTCTCATGCCTGGGGACTTGTCTGATCCAGCATCTGTCTGGTCTTTAGACCAAGTCTCACATGGCTCGCGGGGCAGGTCCAGAAATACTACTAAACTCCGGCTGCAAGGCGAATAATTCATCTTACATGCCGGTGGCTGTAGTACTGGCTTGATGAACCATGTCAGTATGCATCCCGTGACCTATCAAACCGCATATTGACAGCTGGCGAGTTGCCTCGTATCCTGAGAATTTCCACCCACTTGGCTTGCAATGAGAGGCGCCTTCCTCCCCCGCAAGTCGAGGGTGCGATGCGGCAGGCAGGTGCGGCTGCCGAAGTGATCCATCGCTCTTGCCCACATAAACGGAGCAAAGCCAAGTCATGAACAAGGAAGGTGCGTACTTGCAGGTGTCTTGTCTTAGGGAAGGTGCGAAGGAAAGCTTGACCAATTACTTTGTTGAGTGGAGAAATCTGCGCACATCCCACGTCTCCCTGGACCCTAACGCCATCCTCGTTTATCCCTACGAGAAACAAAGTACAGCTTCGAGTCAGCAAGACATCAATACAATACGCCCTGTTCTGTATCATTTGCACATCCCAACGCCGTCACATCCCATCCCGTGGCCTCACAGGCTTCCTCAGACACACCTTGCCATTCAGTGGCAAATTTGAGTAAAGGGAGGAACAAAAAAATGACTGACAGAATTGGTCCTACCATGACGATACACAGAGGGCTAGATGATGCCACCTACATGCAGCTTAGCCCCATCGAGGGGGTCACCACATTAGCTGCTTTTGCACTCGACCACAACTCATTCAGCCAGCAAACACATTGACATTGACGAGGCTGGGGTTGTGATGTCGACAACCTCCCCATACAATGTGTCTTCAGCCTGATTCTTTCTCATATCTTTCACTCTCATCACGGGGTATTGGCAAAATCGTCTACCTGCCTTAATAATTGGCCCTGTTCACCTTTGAGCAAATGTCATCGTCACCAACAAACGCTGCTCATCTCCGTAATGTCCGGGTAGCCTTCGCGCAGGCACTTAAGCCCGACGATACCAACGACTTGAAGGCGCTGCTGGAGAACCAAGATGTCCTTCGACACGTGGACGAAAATTACTTGCGTGAACTACTCGGCCGGGCCATTGGACATGGCAATGAAGATGCTGTCAGCCTCCTTCTTGCTGCCAATGCAAAGACAGATGTCACGGCTGGATATGGTCCCATCCATCGTGCAATTCGCAACCAAAAAGCAAAATCCCGCTGCACCATTATCAACCTTCTCCTCGACCACAACAGTGATGTCGACTTTCGTGATGCGGACGGCAAGACTCCTCTCATGGTCGCCACCCTTCGTGGGCAACTCGATGTCGTAATCACACTCTTAGCACACGGTGCCGACCCAAATGCAGTTGACAACAAAGGCAAGAACATTCTCCACCGCATGGCATCCGACAGCCCGCCCGGCCCCCAGTGGAGTCCAGATCTACTGTCCTTGCTCGTTACCAAAGTCACGGATCGCGAAGAACGTGATGCCGAGGGGCGAAGTCCCCTGTTATGGGCCGCTGCTAAAGGTTCCACTCAAGTCGCCGGTGCGCTGCTACCTTCATCCGGTGCCAAACTGGTCAATGTCAACCAAGTCAATGACCATGGCGACACCGCCCTTCATCTGGCTGCAAGAAACAACCAGCCAGATATGATCAAGCTTCTCCTTTTTTCTGGGGCCAACATCGAAGCGACAAGTGACGGGAAGTGGACTCCCTTGCTCGTTGCGGCAAAGGCTGGTCATGAAGCGGCCATTGATGCTCTTTTGACCCATGTTCCCAGCGCATATGTCAATGCTCGAACCTCATCGGGCATGACGGCCCTGCACTGGGCTGCTGAGAACGGTAAGCTCGCGGCAGTTCAAAGAATTCTCAAAGTTCCTTCCGTCCACAAAAACATCAAGGATAGCTTCGACAGCACCCCCTTGATTCGAGCAGCTCAACGTGGCCACTGGGACATTGTCGAGGAGCTCCGGCCTCTGGTCCTTCAGGGGCCGACCGATCGTCTGGCCCGCAAGGCGTGCGAGCGCTTCCGAGCCGCCGTGGTCAACTTCTTCCAGGACGATCGATCCCCGACCGGATTCAAGAGTAAAGTCGACAGGCATACAGTTTGGCAGGTTCTTTACGCCCGAGGAAAAGACCCACACAAGTTTGCAATTCCCACGATCTATGACGATATCGAAAGCAGGAAGCCCGATTTCAGATGGATCCATCTCCCTGCAAACAATCTTTCTTGGCTCGAGGCCATCCTAACCAAACATTTTCTCGAGCGCAGGTCCAAGGACCTCTCGCCGCTAAAAGCGCTGCTGAGGTTGTTTGGACGTCAGCAACATCGCGGCTCCAAAGTTCACTCCCGCTTCATGCGACCCTCGTGCAAACGTATCCCCATTACGAGAACACGACCCTTGGAGATGCCCGAGCTGAATTCCGCCACTTCGCGGAGATCATCTCACTCAACCCAGGCAGAGATAAACAGTGCTCTTCATTCAACCTTTCGACCCCGCCCGCCGAGTCCAGCTTCCATGACAGGCCCGCAACCACCACCACCCCGAGTACAAGGTTCGGTTCAGCCTCAGCAGCAGCAAGAGGTCGAAGACATGATAGTGGTATTCATGCCATATCTCCACTGGGAAAGTGACGAGAATCGACGTGCATTGACCCAGTCGATCAGACTGCCTCGACACCAGATGAGTAGTATTGGAGCGGAGGAAATGGCTCGAGTGATCAAGGATGAACTGCTGATCCATGGCTACCCGGTTGACAGATCTACCGAACTGCACCCCCGGCGAACCTTGGACCAGTTCAAACACCACAGCACCGACACCGACCCTCAGGACGTCGACCAGGTCGTCTACCGGTACTGCAAGAACAACAATGAAGAAGCCAAGATTTACATGGTGGACCAACTGTGGTTGGTTACCGTGGGCGATCTCCTGATCACCTGCTTTCCTGAAAGATGGGGCCAGCCACGTCGAGATCCTCTCAATTTGTTCGATGGCGTGGTTGAAGACATCAATTCCACCACCCGACCTCCGGTGCGCAACGTGTACGAATTGAGCATCCTGATTACGGAACGCTGCACAGGAGTCTTTGATCGTCATCAATGGGGAGATGAAGAGCTGTTGTTTGCAGAAATGTTTGAACTGAGTATCGGTATCTTGACCCGTAAAGAGACGGCATTGTTTAGCCGATTCAAGAATGATTCCATGGTCGCAGCACATTGGCTCAAAGAGCACGGCAAGAACAGTGCATTGTACGAGAAGCAACTTGTCAGCCCTCAAGAAGACTATGCACACCAACATTCTGCTCACCTTGACTCGGACATCGACGCTCCGACCGAGTCTACCGGGAGTATTGCTCAAGACCATAAGCTGGAAGCAGATGAATTCGTGAACAAACTGCTGAACATCGACGAAGAGGCCGCCCTGTTGGTGGAGTGTAAGGATATTGAAGACGAACTTGAGATTCTTTCAAACGTCCTCCGGCAACAAAAGCAGGTGTTGAAGAATGTCGAAGACGAGCTCCGAGGTTCCAAGACAGTAGCATACCACCAACGCTTAGATGCATATACCAAGCTAGGCGAGCAGCAGAGACTGGTGGATGCCGATATCACTGATTTGGCTCGCATGGCGCGACAGGCCAGAAGCGTAAATGACAACCTTACCCAAATCCTGGACTTGAAACAGAAGCACGCCAATGCGGTCGAAGCACGGTTTCAACGGGTCCAGGCCCAGGAAACCGCCCGTCAAGGACAAACGCTCATGGTTTTCACCGTGGTCACCATTGTTTTCTTACCTCTGAGCTTCCTGGCAACTGTTTTTACTATCGATATCATTGAGTTTCCGCGGCCGCCCGATTCTGGTTCTGGCGAACTCCATCTCGGCTGGGTGCTGAAGTATGTCCTGGGAATAGGACTTGGAGTGAGTGTTCCACTCATTTTCTTTGCATTTGTGGTAGGAGACTTGAAGGCCTGGTGGGCTCGACGCGGCATGACCATGTCACATTCGAACTCGAAACAGGCTTCCAGCAAGTCGGACGACGGTGTCCGCGATGTCAGCCATCTTGGTCTAGACTCTCGATGGCCTCGGGCTATACGTGGACGAAGACGAGTGGAGGCAGGCGATGGAGAACGGGGTGAGATTGAGGATGACAAGATGCTTCCGTTTCAAAGACCTCCGACTCTGAACCCACGAATCTCGAGAAATTCCGTGCCGACAGCACTTCCTAACCTGGTGTTACCAAACAGACCAGCTCTGTCGAGTATGGAGTCGGATCGTAGCGCGAACCCAATTCGTCGTCTCAGGCGTACCGTCACCGATCGCACAGAAATGTCGGCTGCAACGGAGGATTTGGAGGTCGGACGCACATAAGAGCGGCGATGAAAGGGGATAAGGCTCCTTTCCCTTGCCACTTTGGGCGTTCACGGGTTCTTGCCACAATCCCACTACCAATTGACTATCTAGTAATATCGCTAGCAGTGCATAGTCATAGCGCTTCATCGCTGATCCTGTCTAATGTCCATTGTTATTGCCTGGGTCTTTATCAAGTCGCCGAGGTCTTTTACTCAAAAACCTGGTATATGTCGAGAACCGCCCGGAACCGGAAACACAACTCACCTCGGGGAATGGTCGTTCGGATCCGGATGCTCGGGATGGGCTCGCTTGGGTCACTTGCCCCAGACATCAGCAACTTTCATATGGCCCATAGACACAGTATAGACATCAAGGATCTTCAGGCCGAGGTTGGACCTGACACGAGAAAGATCTTCTTCCTTGCATGTTTGATCCAATCGAGATCAGGCGTGAACCGCTCAAAGCCGTTGTTGACCAGACATGGTTCGGCCGGCTACATCCAGTAGGACCACTTCAGTCTCTTCTTGTTTCCCGTTGCACCAGTCACCATCATGGCCAATATGGGGTCTGCATGTTTTACAGCGGCAACACCCCGGATCGAGCGGTCCACCAAATCTTGTCAGTAAGTTTTGATGACTGTGGTCATACAACGATATAGTACTCTCCGGCTCAGAGCATGCTGTCAGGAATTGATTTTAGGTATCCCGCAGTCATCGTATACAACCGGTGCCCACCGCCGTCGAGACCCACTCAGCCTTTGATCACGAGGACTTGAGCAGCTCTTAGCCATAGGGCTTCTCATTGGCGTAAGACCCATCGCGCAAAGTCGATACCTCCCCGCAGCAACCCCAGACCATGAGTTCCCCATACGGCTTCTTGAGCCCCATCTCCCCCAGAATGGAGCTGCCTCGGTGACTAGGTATATGAGTTTCGGCTTTGAGTCGAGGCACCAGGAGGTGTCGAACCAAAACATTGATATAACACCACCACAACCTCGTTCGAGCACGCGCTTCTTTCTGATCAAGGTCCGTAAGTTCGAAAGACAATAGTGCAATATAGCCAAGAGGACAACAGAACCGACTCTCCTTGGACCAAGTTGCACCGCTACCATGGCCGATTCGGGTCTTCGACACCGTGGTCACCACGACCACACTCCTGACGAGCTGACTGAACTTCAACGCCTCGAACTCGAGCACGCTCAGCGAGATGCCGGCGCTCTTGAAGATCTCCAGAACTCGGATGCCCTTGTCACCGATCAATCCAAGTTCACTGGACGGTATTACTTCCGAATGGCAACAGCATGTTTCTCTATCAGTATGGGTACTACTGGTTCATACTTCGGCTTCACCTGCCCGGCGTCTCTGCTGACCTACATCAATGAGGATATTGGTAAGCATGTCCCCACCCAGTCGCAGTGAAGAGATTCAGTCTTGATGACTTGAACAACAGGACCCAGCAACAACGCTAGCTTGGTCTCCATCATCTGGACTGCTGCTTGTGCCATTGCGATTATTCTTTTCGGTCGACTGTCTGATAAGTTCGGCCGAAGATGGTTTGTCGTTGGAGCTTCTTTCATGGGTGTTATCGGAGGTATCATTGCCTCTCGGGCTCAAAATATGGACACACTCGTCGGCGCAAATGCAAGTCCCTATTAGTCAATAACTGTGAGCGAAAGGGCGGTTTACTGAATCTTTCTAGGTCTTGATCGGTCTCTCTGGTGGTGTCCACACCTGTTATGGTCTGACCATGGGTGAACTCGTCCCCAACCGCTACAAGACTGCAGCCTTCTCCGCGGTCGTGGTTCTGTGTTTCGTTGGTATCTCCTTTGCGCCAATCATTGGTGGGTTCTGTCTTGTTGACACCGAAATGGTCTTCGTCTCTAACGCTTGAAACAGGCTTCAGGCTCATCAAGCTTGGCCCAGGTTGGAGATTCATTTACTATATCTATATCATCTTCATGGCTATCGCGACCATCTCGCAGTTCTTCTTCTACAAGCCGCCGTCATTTAAGCAGCTTCACGGTGGAAAAAGAACCATCATGCAAGAAGTCAAGCGTATTGACTTTGTCGGATTGTTCCTTCTCACCGCCGGAATGGTGCTCTTCATCCTCGGTATCTCGTGGGGTGGTCAACCCGTTCCATGGAAGTCAGCACAGATTCTATGCCTTCTTATCATCGGCTTTGTGCTCTGTGTGCTGTTTGTCCTTTGGGGTAAGGGGCTTTTCCCGATCCAACATACACTTCGTTGGACTGACGATATCGCTCAACAGAGATCTATTCCAACGTGCCCAATCCTCTCATGCCTATGTATTTCTTCAAAGATGTCAGAGGATTTACCTGCTTGGCAATTATCGACGCGATATCCGGAGCTGGATATGTTGCGCCTTCCGTCATCTGGCCTATGCGTAAGTATATATTCATCTTGACTGTTTCAACGGCGAGGCTGACCTTGACCTCACAGAGGTTGCTAATATATACGCTGCTGGTTCCAATCCTGTCGGCTGGGAAGAACAGGCATGGTTGACCTCAGCCGTGACATTCGCCATCGTCGGAGGTATCGTGTTCTGGGGAGCTATTCTGCCAATCATCAAGCATGTCAAGAAACAAATGATCTTGATGGCATTGATGGTGCTCGCCTTCTCCGGAGGTCTCGTTGCCTCGAGCAGAGACAACAAAGGTCGAAATGCGGCATTTGCCTTCCTCTCCATGTTTGCCGATGGTATGCTCGAGATCACACCACTGTCATTGGTGCAAATTTCTGCCAACGATGCCGATCTAGGCACGGTCTTTGGTAAGTACTTGTTCGCCAACATGCCTAATAAGAACTTTGTGCTAACATGAGAATTCAGGAATTATCTGTCTCTTCAGAACTGTCACTGGCTCGATCTTCACTGCCATCTACCTAGCCATCTTCCAAAACACGCTCCCTGAGGAAATCGCCAAGTTTGTCCCCAGCGCTGTCGAGGCCGCTGGACTTCCCTCCTCATCTCTTGATGAACTAATGACGGCTGTCGGCGATGGTACTGCCGATGCTCTGAACGCGGTTCCTGGCATGACCGGCGGCATCCTCAATGCCACTCTCGACGCTCTTGTCGATGCCAAGACTGCTTCCTTCTCCTACATGTACTATGCCACCATCCCAGTCAATGTCATCATGCTGGGTGCAGTTCTTTTGATGAAGGACTACGACAAGCTTCTTACTACTCACGTCCCTCGACAAGTCTACGCCAATGGTGAAGGTGTTGAGCACCACGAGAAGTTCGGCGACGTTGAGGGAAGCCCTGCACACCCAAGCTCCGAGAAGGTACAGAACCTTGAGATTGAAGCTGCCGCCGCTGGCAGTAACTCCGACCGCGAAGATGTCCGCTAAACGGACAATTCGCGAGCTTTTTCCTAAGGTCCTGCCTTAATACCCAGGCCTGAAGTGGTGATGGATGGATGTATGCACTTTAGAGTGTCATGAGCGCCTCAAAGCGGTGGATGGCGTGTATCTAGCTATCAAGGAGACAAGTATTGTCGCATTTACGTCCCTAGTTAAATATATTGCGAGGCGCAGCTTGCAAATCTCGCGTTGAGACATTTCCAATGCAATGAATCGTTCAGAATGCTGATAGTCAGCGCCGACTGGATATATTTATCCAGTAGAGGGATTCTTTGTATAGGCGTGAAATCACACTCTCTCGTCCCTTTCTTTCTGATGCTTGAGGCTGATTGCTGCACATCCGTCGTCTCCCCAGTTACAGTAGCAAGGACGTTTGCTTTGTGAAAATTCAATCCTGCCGGGGTGTATTGTGCTGGCCTTCATGCATTGCCTCCCATCCTTTGAACGTCGCCGAGGTAGTCACACAACCCTATGGGCCAATCATCGTTCTGGCGGAACCGCATCGTCCATCATTCGAGACTGAGTCGAAAAAGACTTTCTGACTACAGAGCTTGGTGCCTCGGGCGCCAAAATGTTGCTTGTGCGCTTAGTCGTTCCCTTGGTACGTCCCGCATTCTTTGTGACATCGCTATCGAGCCAATGGCAGTCTTGGTGGAACCGCATTGTGACGCAGAGAAAACCACAAACATGGCACGTGATATACCTATGACGAGGGGCTTCCCGTGTCTGGACCGAAAGTTTGGAGTATCATCCCCGTAAATGGGGTGGACGAGCCGGGGTGGCGACGGTGGTAAGTCAGGTCGAGTCCTATTTTTCGGCAGCCTTCCAAAACTAGGTGAAGGTGCCTCTGCTCTCTTCTCTCCTCCAAGCGCAAGGCGAGATCCTTTGGCAGTCAACGGCATAGGTGGAGACATGCATGGCGACGACAAGGACGCATACCCATATGGCAAAGCCGAGAAAGCAATATCAGAGCTGCGACCGTTGCCGCCAAGGTCGACGGGCCTGTGACGCGGTGACAAATGGCGCGAATCCGCTGCAGCGCGGTGCCGCACAGGTGGTGGCCTGCTCAAACTGCCAGAAATCGAAAAGAAAATGCACATTCAACTGGCTCCAGCAACTCCCGCGTGGATCACTACCGGAAAGGCTGAAACAAAAGTTCTCCAAAGACTACGATTTCGTTCATTATGAACGAGAGTTGCAGCCTCTCAGGATGCCGCGTCTGCGTCCACAGCCTGCGAGCCCGTCAGGAGACATGCCCATGGACGCTCCACTCCAACCGACTTCCGGCTATGGAGATTGCCACCATGCGCAGGATGCGCGCTCCGCTGATTTGGCGATTGACAGTGGTTCTCTTCCCTGGACAGGAGATATATCGGGTACAGCGGCTCACACATCTGGCTATGCGCCACAATCCTCTCATAGCCTGGGGACTAGTCAGTCCGAAATTCCGGCTTCTGACGTTGGTGGAGAAGAAGGCTTCCTAATGTCGAAAAGGCTCGACGAGGCAGGGACTGTGATGACGTTTGACACCTGGGAACCGCCATCATCATCATCATCTTCATGGCCCGCTCATCTACCAATAGTCGGTTACAAATTGTCCCTCGGGATTCCTAAGGGCGTAGAAGAGTACGCAACAACCGCCCATGCAGGTCCAGGCCATGCCACAGAGATTGGAGGCGCGCCTCATGGCTCGTTTGCAGCAGATCAATCGATTTACCAGCCTGTCCATTACTCTCCAATAGACTGTTCCACTCCATCGCGGGAAGCAGAAGTCAGTGGCCAGGAGTTACAGCTAGTACAGAGGTACACCAAAGGTCAAATTTCCAGAAAGCTCCTTCAAATATACCTCGAAAGTTTTGAGAACATTCCAGCACTCTACTTTCAAGGATGGAACTGGCGATATATCCAAGACCACACCCCGCTCCGTGGGAGCTTCAGTTTCTTGCAATTGGCCAAGAATCTCGACAAGATGCTCGACCCGCTTCGCAGGCAACCTCTCAGTCAGCAAGACAGTCTCAAAGCTTCAAATGCTCTCACATACGCTCTCATGGCGTTTGCCAGCCAATGGCTTCAACCAGACCAAGCCAAGTCGGCAGAATTTACAGATCAGTGGGCCATTCACACTGCTGGGACAAAGTTTGGAGAAGTCCAATCCCCTTTGCAGCAAGAATTGCAGCGCGAGGCGGAGGATGCGCTTCGCAGTTGTCTGGGTCTCACATCGTTTCAAGTGATCCTCGCCCAGCTGTTATTCTCATGGTTTCGCAAACCTCGGGTTGCCGACAAAACCCTTTTTGGCACGAGTCCAACTCACCATGAATCCACTTCACCCCAGTCGCCTGGGGCTCACAGTCCTCTCGATCATACCGTACTTGCTGTCCGACAGCTTCTCTCTTGGAAAAGAGACATCATTTCATCGGCAAACGAAGCGGCCGATTCCATTCCACGGAGCGGGCTCGTGTTGTCGAAACTCATTCCTCGGCAAGGCTATCTGGCTTTCAGTGTCATGTTTCGTTTCGGAGTCATGTGCGACACCACAACGGCAGTCATGAAAGACCGGCTTCCAGTCATTCCCGACCAGGAATCCGTCTTTGAGATCGAGGATGTCGAGCCGTCAGAGTACTCAGCCTCGGAGGCGGTGTTCAGTGCAAATCGAGCAGTGAGCATGTGGGATTCTCTGGCTCCCGAATCGGTCTGTAAGTTTGGCATGACAGCTCCACGATGGCCATGGACGGACGAGGTGGCGGCACGAGTGCTTCAGGAGGTTCTCGCACTAAAGAACCTTCTTTGGCGTAGGTTACCTGTCATACAGACCAGTATAGCCGGTGTCTCGGCCCCGTACGACCTCGAAAAACACATTGGAGAAACGTGCCAAATCTACCAATATGTGACGAGGCAGTATTCCGAATTTCTCGAGGACTGTCGGGCTCACCTTGCCCAACTGTCCTTGAAGCTCAAGTCGTGGTATCTCATGATATGTAGTCATTGGCATTTGGCATGCCTGATTCTGGCTCGTCACATCGAACTTATTGATGAGACTGGCCAATCTGAATCCGTTCAGCGTTCGCTGCGCCAATCGTCGGCTTTGGTTTGGGGAATTCGAAAAGATAACGCTTATGCCATATCGAGAGTGGCCAGCGTAGCAACCCTGCCCGACTTTTGCAGCATGAGCTGTGCACGTGAGGACAAGTTCTTTTTCTTTGCTGATCAAGGTGCACTGACCACTGAGCCATGGTCGGAGGTACTCTACCAAAGTATCACAAGGTCCTGCGAGATTCTGTTTTTTTGGATTGCGTGCACCAAAGAACCCAGTCTCGATCCCGATCAGCTGGTCTGGCTCAGGGCAAACACAAACATTCTGGATTTGATCGAAAATGTGTCGAGTTGCATCGAGGCCCTGAAATACTTGGGCGGTCGCTCGGATCACATCATGTGCACCGCCATCTCCATGGATTTGCGCCTCCAAGAATTGAAGATGGACACATCACTTCAAACGCAGCCTGGCGGCCTCGGATGGCGAACCTGGGGCCAGGGTCCTACCTATGACTATTTATTTTCCTACGATCATCTTAACTATAGTGACCCTCTTTTTTGATCCAGATATTCCCAAGTCCTTGAGTGGCGATGCCAGGCTACGTTACTTCCAGGAGAGTTCGGTCATCCACAGAGTCCTTCCTTTGACCGTCCCAAGAACGGTGGGTCACTTGAATCTCTTCTGAAGGCAAAGTGAGGTCACCAGATACTATTAAATCGCTCAGAAGTTCTCGGTGATCGGGGGGAGCTCAGTTCTGGATGATGGTAGCCGTGGCTTTATACTTGGTCATAGGGGATAAGAAAGTATTGAACCATTCACCTTCTGGCTTGCTGCTCTCCAGAATGACGAATTCGGCTTTCTCGTCGACAAAAGGCTGTGCGTGTCGATAATGCAGATTGAGGACCGAACACTCAACTGCTTGACCAACCTTGATGACGCCTGACGTTCCAGAACTTTTGCCATCCTGAACCACTGTGCCGTCTTCAGAGATTAACTCGTCGTAGGCTCGGAGAATGGTAGAGTAAGGTGTCAACCAATCGGGGCCCCATTTGGCGCAAGTTTCGTCCGAATAGTCCTGGGTATTGACGTAGTTGGGCATCAGACAGTTCAAAGCGATGCCATCGCTCTTGTATAGGAAGTGAGCGGTGCTGCGGGTCAGCGACAGCACGGCTGCCTTGGTCATGGCGTATTCGACGGCGCACGGGAAGGGGTATATGGCAGTGCAAGATGACATCAGGACTGCTTTGGGCTTGTAGTCGCCATTCATTCCAGCTTGAGTTTTCTTGGATCGCCGTACGTAATGGATGAACCATAACAGGCTGTAGTAGACGCCGATTTGATTGATCTGGGTGGTGAGCATCTCCGGCTTGGTCGGCTTGCTGTCAAGATCACCGACGGTGGTTACGGCCAGCGGCTCCACGCGTACAACTCCTGCGTTTGCGGCAAGAAAGTCCAGGCGTCCGCCACTCCAATCGAAAGCCCTCTGGTACAGTTGGGCTTGCGACTCCCATGATCCCACGTCCGCGTGCACAAAGATGTGCCGCTCCGGATTCAGCGTCGATTCGATCTTTCGATATTGCTCCGGTCTTACGTCCGCCACCACCACTTTCCAATCCGGCTTGGAGAGTAGATGCTGTGTCAGGGCTAGGCCCATGCCACTACAAGCACCTGTGAGGCTGGTCATTAAACTGTCGAGACATCATGCAAAGGAGAGAGAGAGAGAGAGAGAGAGAGAGAGAGAGAGAGAGAGAGAGAGAGAGAGAGAGAGAGAGAGAGGCAAGTTCCTTACCTGTCACGATAGCGGTTTTCAAATGGGGTGCCATGGTGTGTCTCACGTTGACCGTTTTGGATTGTGTTCTCCAGACGGCGTTGGAGATTCCATGCCACAATTGTAGATATCTAGCCTCCCTTTCCCTTTATGTTCCAAGTCAAGCATAAAGCCGATATGAGTGTAAGTACGAGATGATATCCAGTGCTGAGGACTATCTAGCATACTATTGGCCTCTACAGGTGGCCGTAGAAGTGTGACTACCCTCCCCTCTCCGTATGAGAGCGAACAAACTCCTGCTCTTTGACGGACCGCTCACAGCTCCAGTCAAGCTGGAGAACGACAGAGTCCAGTTCCGCGGCGACCGTGGTCTGGGTGGATTTCGAGCCCACAGTGCGGAGGCGAGCTGGAGGCGGGGACAGGGGGCACGGGGAAGGGAAAGGCACATGAGGCCCGAGGCCATCACTAACCACTAACCCAGTATTCGTTCCTTGGTCTGACTAGCAGTTCATATCAGTCTCCTGGTGGATGTGGAGCACGTAGACATCCGTGGGTCCACTTGCGGTTCCCCTCAAGCCGTGATTGGCCAAGGTGTGTATTGAACTTAGGATCCGACGCGTTCATCACTTTGTCCCCGTCGAAGAAATGTCAAATCATCAGCATGCCTCCACCCCAGGACATTTACCTCGGAGGTATCCCGCGGAACGTGGTCTGGCGGGTGATGCTCTCGGTGACTTGATGTATGCATTCTGGAAAAAGGACACGCAAGCAGAAAACGATGGCCACGGTCCAAAACACAAGAATGTACTGTGGCCAATTGCTTTTCCCCAAACCTTCCAGCCTTCCAACCACAGTGTCAGTGGCCAAGATTGTGACTCGACCTTGAAAACACAGACGCGAGTTCGACATTTCGAGAGTGCCATCCCAACTTTTGCAAATACTCTCCTCCGCCAGTGGACACGTCTGGAATTGCTTGATCTCAAAGATGACGGAACTGGACTCGAGTAAAGGTGCTCTGGCATGGCTCTCGAAAGCAGGTGTTCCGGCTTTGAACTGTCCGCCCGGAACAAAGATGCATTTATTGGACTTGGGACGACTTGAGGCTGATGAAGGATGGTGAGTCAAGTCCAATGCCCAAGGTTTTTCCTTCTGCTGGTGAGAAGTGAGCATTCTGACTGATTCAAAATCGACATTGTGGGTCGTAGGTTTTTTCAAGGAGGCAATACCAGTACTTTGAGCCAGAAAAATCCAGAGAACAAGAGACGCACCATGATCTGTATCGCAGCCTTGATCGAATATCCTGGACTGGGACTCATATTGTTTGAGACTGGGTGCGCTGAAGATGTCGACACTGTAAGTTGAATTTTGACCCCAACACTCGACAGCCCACCTCCGCCACCTTTCCATCTTACGAGTTTCAGCTTTCTAACGTGATTCTGCTCCGCTCTTTGTTGTAGGAATGGGGAGCTCCTCTGACCGATGTGTTCCCACGCGTCGAGTATCGGGATTCGCAAAAATTACCAGCGGCGATTCGGGCGACGGGCAATGATATACGAGACGTCCGAGCAATCATCATGGGGCATCTTCACCTAGACCATGCGGGAGGCCTAGAACATTTCGTAGGGACTGACGTACCTATCTACGTGCACGAGGAGGAGTTCAAACACGCCTGCTGGGCAGTTGGTACAGGGGCTGATCGAGGTGTCTACCAACATAAATATATTAGCCTTGACAAGCTAAAGTGGAGTACTTTCACCGATACCCATCTCGATTTATTCCAGGGCATCACTCTCCACCATAGTCCAGGCCACACGCCGGGGTTAGTAATTATGCAGGTCAACCTAGAGAATTCGGGCACCTTTATCTGGACCACAGACCAGTTCCACGCGGCGGAAAACTACACGGAAAGCCACCCCCAGGGATGGCTGGCTCGAGATCACACGGCGTGGATTAAGAGTTCGACCATGATCAAGAGGCTGCAACGCCTGTTCAACGCTCAATTGATCTTTGGGCATGACCTGGAGGTGGCGGCGAAGCATTTCGGGCAGGTATACCAGTGAGTTATGCCAGAGGCATACTCCGCTGCATTCTGAACAAATGAGATATCTTTGGTATAGGTACTCGCTAGGGAACTCGCATGTGTTTCTGTGGGTAGATATACCTCGGAAGCTCGAAGTCCTAACTCGAGTTATGTAGTTACCCAACTCACAAGATGGTTGGCTGTCAAGCCGTGTCTTTTCTGTTTTCCTCACTGTACGAGAAAGCTAAACATCAGCTACGTAGACCTGAAATAACCAACTGAGTAGACGGTTCGGGCTCCGTCCTCAGAGTTAGAAGTCTCCATAGAAAGGTCAGCCGTACTCCACTTTACGACATCTCTATAGTGGGGGTGGAGCGCTGTTCACTTGCCCCCGGTTCTAGGCATGACCAATTCTTCCGAACATTTTACTACGCCGGGTTTGAAAGTGCCCACCTCCCCTCCCTCTGTCGGTTTACCTTCAAGCTCCAACCTAAGATTCTGGGACCGAAACGTCGAATCACTCATCCCACGATGACAGACAGCAACGAGGCCAACTTACATGTTCAAAGTGAGCCGCCAAAGTCACCGCCAGCCTCTCAATCTACCGGTGCGAGGACAAGAACGGCATGCAAACATTGCAATGCACGTCGTGTCAAGTGTGATGTGATGCAGCAAAAGCCATGTTGGCAGTGCCGGACACGAAATGTCCCTTGTGAACTGATCAGTTCGAAGCGTGGAAAGTAAGTGGTAATCATCAAGCTAGCTATAGATACTATAGGCCTCACACAGCTGTAGGTACGTCCGAGGACCCAACCCCAAAGGCAAGACCGACTCAGCGTCGAGCCGTACAGGCAACGTGACAAAGACACAGTACACCGCGCGCTCAACCGTGTTCTCCAGAGGGGGAACGGATGCCGCGGCGCCGTCAGTCTCTGTGTCAGGCACTGTTTCAGAGCCGATACTGTTCAGTGCCCGAGCGAATGAAGGTCAAGTCCAGGACAACCATACCGTGACCACGACCACAACCACCACAAATGAGAAAGAAACCCTTGGACAAGTTGATGGTCCAGAAATGCTCTTTGCTCGCATGACAGAGCCGGAACTGCTTGCCCAAAATGCTAACGCTGTTCCGGACCAAGCCCGTATGTTGTTCTTTGGCGAAGCGTTACCCATGGGCTTCATCATCAACACCATCTGCAGTCTTGATGGGAGACTACCGATTGTCCGACTACACCACCCTGTTCCTGCCAAAGTCCCGGAGTTTCCGATCTCCCACCTCAATCAGGATGACATTGAAAGGCTGAGAGCTGTGGGTGCGCTGGACCTGCCCGAGAAGGAGATCCGTGACGAACTAATCCGGAACTTTTTCCAATACATTTATCCTGGGTTTCCAGTCCTCGATCGAACCGGGTTTGCCGAACGGTATCAAAACGGTCAATCATCGCTCTTGCTTCTTCAGACTCTCTTCTTTCTTGCGACGACGGTGTGCGACGAATCTCTCCTTGCGAGAGCAGGATTGCCCGATCGACTTCATGCCCGGCAGACGTTCTACAAACGAGCCAAAGCATTGTATGATGCCGATTACGAGCAGGATCAAGTCACTTTGACGTCTGTCCTCTTCTTGCTCTCCTTCTGGTGGGCATACCCGGAAGATCAAAAAGATTCCTGGTTCTGGCTCGGCGCCGCCATTAGCCTTGCCCAAAGCCTCGGATTGCACCGCACGTAGGCTTATTCTAGTCCGAGACATCTTGCACATGATTGGTTAACCACCGT